CAAAGTCCAGGCAGAACCAACTACAAATTGGGAGAAATTTAAACTCTTAACGACCTAAAACTTCGCCACGTCACTTTCTCAATAAAGCGCAGCAGCATACCACAACAGTCCGAACCATGTGAAAGCTTATTGCCACAGTGTTTTTTTCCAGCTAGGTATTCAAATGCGCTTTAATGAAAAGGCGACGTGGCAAGTTTAGGGATCCTCTAAAAACGAATTTTAAGGTGGAGACCAACTACAAATTGGGAGAAATTTGAAATTTTAAAGACCTAAAACTTCTCCACTTCACTTTCTCAATAAAGCGCAGCAGCATACCACAGCAGTCCGGACGCTGAGGAAGCTAATTGCGGATAATTTTTTAAAACCGCTTTGAGTACTTTTTAGATTATTTCCAGCCTTACCCCTCCACTTGGCGGTGGTGCCGCTGTTGGTGGCAAGTAATCAGACAACAACTGCGCTGGTGCCACACTTCTCTTCCCGTGGTGAGATCCCAATCCTTTCTCCGTCCCATTTGTCTTTGTCTCTCCTGTTGCCATAACCATTGTGTAGTTTGTGCCAGGCTCATATTTGAACACAGCCTGATCATTCGCATTTCCTTCTACCAATACATCAGCAGAGCAGTAGAGCACACCATCCACAAACTGGACACGTTGATTGCTGAACAAAGTGGAGACGTCTGTAGATGGTCGAAGGTTACTGTTGTGTGCATTAACGAGGTTATAAGAAAACGTCATTGAAAATGTGCCATTGTCGAAACTCGAGCACTCGATAACACTGTTGTTTCCCATCCGACCGTTGGTTGAGAATCCCATTGCCACGTACTTGTTAGGCGTTGCCACTTTTCCGGTGAGCTCCACGTGAAGCTTGTTTGGACTCAGCACTTGCCAGGAAGATGCGATTTCATCACAACCTCCATCACAGTCTGTTGGTTGGAAGCATCCCTTCTTGTTACCACAGTCAGCATCATTAAATCCAATATTGTCAAGTTGATCCAAAAATGTCAAAATTGAAACACAAGATCCCCAATGGGGAGTAAGCCCAGTTGATGCTGTGAATCCTACGGCGAACAGCAAATGGTATCCCTGGTCTTTGTTCCATTTGAAGATTCTCGGCTCGTTCACATCTCCGCCCACATTGACGATTCCTTTGCAATACACCGATCCGTCACTGACCTTTCCGATTGACTGTTGGATGAGTTTAGCTCGAATCGCTTCTTCTCCGGCGATTCGTGTGTTGTTGAAGACCGGATTGTAGCTGAACTTCATTGTGGGATTGGCTTCACCGGGGAGTTGGGAGCATTCGATGACACTGGAGGCGTTCTTAAAATTTCAAAGAATTTTAGAAGTCTAGAAAGGTAGAAGGTTCTGGAATCTATTGAATTCCCGCTAAAACTGAAAACTTCGAAAAAGTAGCGATTTTTTAGTCATTTTTCGAAAGAAAGGTTGATTTTTTCTTCGATTTTTTGAAAAATTTTTAGACCTTTTAAGTTTTTCAGCTATTTTCAAAGAATCGTTTTCGATTTTTATGAATTTTTAGTCTGAAATTTGATGGGACGGTGAATATTACTGTGGATTACTGTAGAACGTCAAAATGCAGATAAAAACTGGAAACAAAAAATAAATAAAAAAGAAAATTCGCTTTCTACAGTAATCTACAGTAATTTTCCCGAATACCTTTTTTTCAAAATTTCCGACAAAAATACCGGAAAAATCGAAAAAGAATCTTTGAAAATAGCTGAAACACCTAAAAAGGTCTAAAAATTTCGCGAAGTTGAAGAAAAATTCAATTTTTCCTCCGAAAAATCGCAAATTTTCGTAGTTTTCAGTTTTGGCGGGAATTGAAAGACAATTCCAGAACCTTCCGGAAGTTTCCAGAAATCGTCTTTTGAAGCAATTTTTCGTGATTTTTGAGGTTTTATTAACTGTTTAAAAATTTTTCTTTGTTGTCTTCTGAAAATGGTACTTCTGAGATAGGTATTTAGGCTACAGCGGCTTAGTAGTAGTTTCTGGGTAGCTTATTTTCGAAAGGACGGCCGGCCGCGGTCGCGTTTTGCACAGCCTTATTGCTATGTGCATCTAAATATTTTTCTACACATTTTAATGTATTAAAACATCTTTGAAGCTTCATTGTTTCTAAATTTTTTATATATTTGAAATTCTGTTACACTTTGTAAATTGCACAAACCATAAATTCGTCATTCGAAAATCCCAGAGCAACAAAGACATCGTTAGTCGCTGACGTGTTTGCAGGACCGAAAATCTCAAATTCAATGTTTTGCGTTCCTTCGATTGGCCGATACGATGCTCCGATTCCTCCATCGACATTATAGCAAGAGCCAGCGTCTGGCATAGTGCATCCTTTGGATTTTCCACATTGGGTTTTGTCGAAGCCAGAGTTCTGAATTCAATTTTTCAAATTTTTTTCCAATTTTTCCGCTTTTCCTTGTACTTTCCCCTGTGTCGAACTTTTCTGATGCAACCAGGTCGTCAAAAATCACCTATTTGCGTGCAGTTTCTCATCTTTTTAAACATCATACCCTAGGTTTTGTCATTATTTCAGAGGTGCGTCTAATCTTTCAACTTGCACAATGATAAGGGAAGCGTCTTGTCAAAAGCGAGCGAAAAATTGAGTATAGTTCAACGACAATAGATTAGAACTTGAAATTTCTAGGCCATGAAAAAAATCTTACCTCAGCAAGCCTTAATTTTCGGGATACCGACGACTGGCTCTTGTGATATCCCAACCCTTTAGCTGTGGTTTTTCCATTGGCCAGAAGCAAATGATATTCTTTTGATGGGTCGTATTTGAAGACTTTCTCGTTTTCAGAAGATCCTGACACTTTTACAGTACCCTTACAGTACAATTGACCGTCTTGGAATGATGTGGAGATGTCGTAAAAGTGAGCGGAGAAGTTCTAAAAATGGAATTATTCTAAAATTCAAAAGTTAAAAAACGGAATACCCCTGGAACTCTTTCATTGCCTTTTCCATTAGCTTTATCGAAGGAGAACTTCAAGCTAGGAGGTTGCTGAGCAATCGCAGAGCACTCGATCACTGGCTCGTTTCCCTGGAAGAATTTTTCCTGAATTTTTTAAAAAGCTCGCAAAATTAGCTACCATTTGATCGTCATCTGAAAACCCAACAGCCACGTAGCGCCCGTTCGCCTGATCTGTATTCACAAACAACTCCAGCTCTAGAGTCTCATCGTCTAGCAAATTCCACGCGACACCCATCCCAACAGAATCTTTGGGTTCTGGTAAATGACATCCTTTTGTGATTTCACACTGCGAAGTGTCGAACTTCGGCTGTTGACAGTGAATGAAAGCAGGTTGAATTAACGCAAAGACGAGGAGAAATCGGATCGTCATCCTGGAAAAATGCAATTTTAGGCCAAATTTTTAGATTTAGCTTAGAATTCAAAGGAAAATCGATAAATGTTCAAATTTTAAAGTAGAAATTCAATTTTCCCATCACAAAAGATCCAAAAATTAGCGAAAATTTGACAAAAATATTTCAAAGAAGCAAAAAAAAAACATTCCGCTCGAGACCGGAAAACAATGTTTTGCGTGCTCCTTTAACACACTGTATTTAGAACAAAAACTTTTGATTCCGAACAAGTAAGCTTCGAAAATACTTTTAAAAAGAACGAAAAGAGTGAATTTCAGAACATAAAAATCGCCGAAAACTTCGCCCAAAAATAGGGCGGAGCCTAGGAATGATGATAAATGAGTCTGCGGCGAAGCGGTGCAATGAGTGTTCTTATTACAAACAAAAAAATGTGGGCAGGGTTTTCTAAACTTTTCTTCTAGCAACAAAGGCTTTAAAAAATTTAGCACTTTTGATATTAATCTTTTGAAGAGTGACCAGTTGAAGCGAGCAGAAAACAAAGACAAAGAGGGAAAAATAAGGTGAAAAATAGAAACATGTTTGTTTACTGACGGAAAATTTGAAATTAGCGGGTTGAAAAATTTTTAGAGGGACTAGAAATCGCATGGCTTTGATGGATTTCTGACAATTTTCGCTGTTTTTTGTCGCCAAACAAAATTCAAGTGAATCTATACCTATTTTGCCTCTCCTGAATTGCCTAATTTCGGCGCTTAATTGACGGGTGTCTTGGCCGTCTTTTTGAGTGGAAAACGAGCGAAGAAAATGGGAAATTACACACACAACACAGGTGGCGGTCAGTTTTTGGAAAAAGAGAGAATTTAAGAAACTGGAGTGTTCGGCTGAAAATTTAAAGCTGAAAAACTATTTATGATAAATTGGTTTAGTATAGGCTTGGAGAAAAAAAATCGTACAAAAAATCAACAACGGTCAGCAGAGAGGAGTAAGAAAACTAAATACAAGAAAGGCGGAGGAGGAAACTGGTTTGTACAGAAAAAAATGTAATAAAAATATTGTTTTGAAAATCAAAAATCGTGTGGGTCCTACCACAGAATTACAATAACCGAAGGTACTACAACGAAAAGTACAGTAAATATTTTCATTTTTCGTGAAAATTCTGTCAATTTTCCACTGTGAAAAATATTTGAATTTCCCGTCTATTTTGGGGAAAAATATCAACAGAAATTTTGACGAAAAAAAGCCCGAGAGAAATTATGAAAAAATTTTAGGTTACTGTACTTGTCGTTGTGGGACCCACATCTCCGATTTTTTTTTCGGTACCAAAATGGAATGTCCAGTTAACATATGGTAGAAGCCAAGTTCGGTAACAATAAAATACCAAAACCACCGAAAAATCATTCGTAAAACTTTTTGGTCGTAAAATTTCGCTACAAAAACACCAAAAAATCGCTATAGAGCATGAAAACACTAACAAGACAATATCTCTGAAAATATTTTTTATTATGATAATTGTTGTATTATGCGGGGCCCGCAGCGCCACAATTAACTAGATATATTTACAACCACCCTCTCCCTCTCTCTCTCTCTCTCTCTTTTTAATAGTGTAAACTAGCTTTTGGCATATGCCACCAAACGGACGGTATGCGCTGGGGGGCAAAAGGGAAACAATGCCCTCAAAAAGTCCCCCCCCCCTCCCCTCCTCCACAGACGACAATGAAGATGTAATAGAGAAGAAGAAGGTGTCGCGCATCTTTTTTCTAGATGCCAGAAGCCAAAAAAACGAGACCGGTTGATTTTCAGATAGAAGACAGAGAAGAAGCTGTGTATTTAGTCTGAAGGTTCGGAAATGGAAAGAAGGAGGAGGGCCTAAATGCCAAAATAGAATATATACATGTCACATCCTTCTTTTTGCTAATAGGGAGATAGAGTGTGAAGTGATTTATGAATATCTTATAGGTGAAACGATGAGGAGAGGAACAGGATTATTGGCGAGAGAGAAAGGTAGATTTATGGAAGCAGATACGGTATCTATAGTTTCAGCAAGGCAGCCACCTGTAATAGACGGCACCCATACTCTCAAATTTGAGCCAATTTTTTTCGGTTCCTTTCAAAGATATAGAAAAGCGGTCAATAGGTTGAATGTTTATCATAGAATCACCAACATTTTATCAGTTGACAGATTTTTGATATCTCTTTAAGAAACTGATATAATTGAGCTCAAAGTTTGAGTATAAGGATTAGAGTGTTTACGGTAGGTACGGTGATTACGGTAGGAAGAAGTTTAGGGTGTTCTAGTTTCTTGAGCTTTGAGTGTCTTCGAATCTACCTAGCAAATATGTCGAGTTTTCAAGTTTTCTAGGTTATAGTGATTTTATGAAATTAAAATCAAAAAATCGCAAATCTATTTGTACACAAAAATTGTTGATACCTATATGTTGATCAAAAATTGTGAAGTCAATAAGTCAAGGACATGGGGTCAACAATGAGTGGGCAAGTTGGGAAAAAAATAAAATCGAGATGTTCTCATCCTGACACGGAATTATTTTGCCATCAGCTGAGCAAACAGTTTGGATAAATTTTTTTGCAAAGATGACAAAATTTGGTTTTTTTGGGGGAAATAGCAAGATGAAGCTAACTTTTTGTAGTCGGTTTTCATCTAGATAAGACTATGGAACAATGCAATTAGGAACTTTTCTGAAATTCTTGACCATTTTTGGGTGTATTAACATTTTTGGGTGTACAAAATTGGAGCACAACTCTTCATACCGTATTTTCTCTTATCGAAGCTCACCGAAGCCATTATTTTAAGCTCAATTAACTCGGTTGCTATGAGAGACATCAACAATTGGTCAACTGATAAAATGTAACTTATGTTATGATAAACATTTTATCTGTTGACCATTTTTTGATATTTTTCTCAGAAAATGAAATAATTTAGCTCAAAGTGCAAGTTTAGGGTGGTTTTTTGGGAGAAATAGCAAGATGAAGCTAACTTTTAATATTGCACAACAGATGGTACAAAAGGCCCAGACTTAAAAATAGGAAATCTCAAATACCGAATTTCCTATAATAGAAGCCCTCCCAAACCTTCATTTTTAAGCTCAATTATCTCGATTCCCGTAAAATCTATCTAAAAATTGTCAACTGATGAAAAGCAACTTATATTATGATCAGCATTATATCAGTTGACCATGTTTTGAAATCTTTTACATGAATCGAGATAATAGAGCTGAAAGTTGAGGAAATATGGTAGAATTAGCGAATTTCAAGAATTTAGCACACAAACTCGAATAGGAATTTCCTAGTCTACAACCTACATCTCTAACCCTAGTGATCCGATTGATCAGTCGCTGGAGGGCAAATAGTAGACTCATACCTGTTTGACTACCACAAAGACTAACAGAAGTGGGTGCAAACTTTCTTGAAAAGTTCCAAACCAAAAGATGACAAAAATGGGTTTTATGAGTCAGCGAGAAAAAGAGTAAAAGTCGAAGTCTGTGTGTCTGTTTGTACAGATATCAGTACGCTGAACTTGTAAGTGATTCATAGAAGCTGTTAGAAGGAAATTCTAAAACTTTAGAAAGTGACATCAAGGGGAACAGTGGAAATAATTTGAAGACGGGTGACTAACGGTATGTCAGAGAAGGTGGAACAGAAAAGGAAGGACGTTTTTTTCGGTTTCTTTTTTCAGAAGAGAAAGTTAAAATCGCATTTGGTAACAGTAAGAAAAGATGATGAGATTAAACTGGGAAACTTTGAAAATTCAAAAGTTCCAAAGTTTCGAAATGCTAATTAGGTTACTAAACAAAACAAAGCAAAGCAGATGACGTGGAATTCTGGAATATTCTAAAAATGACTAAAGTGAACTAGAAAAAAAAAATTCGAAAACAGTCATTGACGACAATCCGAAGAGGGACCGGAAATTGGAAAAAAGGTGGATCAAAAGATGGATTTCAAAAGAGTTCTGAATATTTTTGAATTGTTTTTCAAGCTTTTTTTCGCACGTAATCGAGTTTCAAACTTGATAATTTAAGAGAGAAAAGGGGAAATTGCTGAAAAAGATATAATAATGGACAAATTTTGGAATGGAGGTTTCGAGAAAACCACAAAACCAAATTACACTCTTAATTATAAAAAACCTCTAAAACATTTTCTGGATTCCTTCAAAATATATTAAAACAAAAAGAAGCATTCTGATTAATAGTCATATCATTGGAAGTCGCGATTCTTAGATCGTTCAAAACTTGGCTCATTGTAGACCGTGGAAGCTGAAATTAGTCTCAAACAATATCTTTTTCGGCCTTTTATCCATTTCTGTCGAAAAAACCAAGAAAAAAATCTAAACTCTCCAAAATCGTATTTTATTCTGAAAACGCATTTCCTCTGTTCGCCTCTCCCCAGTTTCAAGAGAGAAAAGTGGGCGGAGTCTACTGCCACACAAAGTATAGTGGCCGGCGCGAACCCGGGAAGTGTCGGCTGCTTGTGGTGGAACGCGCGCTAGGCTCTATTTGTTGCGCTTATGAACTGTTCTACAACGGAAAATCGAGGGAAATCGATGAAAATTGATGGACGGGCACTTTGAAATACGCAGAATCCGAAAATCTACTTTTCGAGACAGAAAGTGTTTGAACAGTATGGAAATTTTGGTAGAAAAGTAGTCAAATTTTTCACTGAATTCCGTCTAGTTTGCAGTTGATTTCCCCGAAAAAATGTAGGAAAATAAAAATTAATTAAAAGAAATTGCCGGAAAATAACTTCAAATCTATGAAAATCGTCAAAGAAATCGAACGATATTCGAAAAATCGCGGAAATTGACTGAAAACGCACAAAAATCGAGAAAAGAAAAGGGGAAACAACAATTTTTAGGTTACGGTAGTTTCCGTTGTGGGACCTTCGGCCACGGCCACCACCGGCCGAAAAAATTAGGAAATTCTCACAAAGTTTAGAGATCTAGAACTCATGTTTACATTTCCCAGACGTGCTGATTATTTTCCCAAGAAACCAAAACTTTGATTAAATTTTTTTCTTCTCACTGCCATAAACACTAAATCCACTAATAACTACTTTTCGAGACATGTAGCATTTTTTGAAATATAGAAAAAAGCCCAGAATAAACAAAAAATGAGTTTGCTGCCTGCCACTTGACTCACTGCTCTTTTTTCTCTTCGTCATTTTTTGCTCATTTTTTTCATTTTTGTCGGCCTAATGACTAAAAAAAGTAGGCAAACAAATAAATAGTTTCGAAGCAATAGGAAAAATTCTTTTGGAAAACTTTTTGATTGACAAATACTTTACAAATATTTAGTACAAAGATCGGTGCGAAAAGGAATTTAGTTTGGCACTTGTTTGAACAAAAATCCTTCTAGACGTTTTTCTGAATTTGCCACGTGGTTTTCCTGCTAGTAGACCTAAGCTTCGCATTACAACTTCTTTTAAGTAAACTTCAAAATTGGGTAACTCTCTAGAATGTTCGGCCAGAATCTCTGGAATTGAAACTCTACATTCCCACGTGGATTCCTATAGGAAAACCTTTACATTAAAAAAGTAAAGCCTTCAATTTTGATTACATAATAGGGATGCTATTAATAGTGGGCGGAGCTTAAAGTTATTAATTGGCTTTGTATTTACTTGAAGCCAATAAATCATCGTCAGAAATTTTCGAAATTCTGAGTAGAAGGTCGGCGTTCTCAAAGAGAAACTAGAGTCCATTCAGTTCACCTGTCTCCCTTCAAAACACTCGAAATGCTGACAAATTATAACTTGTAGGTTGTAGGTTCTAAAAGATCACTCGAGCATATTTTGTCGAAAAGATCAGCAACACCACCACACCCTGAAGAGTTACCGGCGAGACAATGACAGTACAGTCACCCTTTTCAGCCATAAAAGTTTTAAGTCAGCGATTTAGTTACATTCAACTCAAAACGCGAATCATCACATCATGATTTCAGATACAGACAATTTTTCGGGGAGGGAGAAATAAGATACACAAAATAATTAAAAGGAAAATGTCAAAAATAATTTAGGAAGCAAGAGAAATTCGAGTTCTCAACAAGCAGTTGACCGGAGAAGATGGAGATGAAAAGAAAGAGAGAATTAAGCATGAATAAAATTTCGTGTTAAATAGATCAGAAAATAATTATGGCTTAGAAGAAACTTCCATTGGCTCATCAACGACATTATCAGCTTCGGAGATAACCGGTGCTGGTGGCAGTTCTGGGTATTGTTTGATGACACGGGCCTCGTAAAGAAGAACGTAGGCACTGTGCCAGTCACCTCCTCCAGAAGTCTTCAGAATCGCTTCCTCGTCGACAACGGTGACGTGCTCATCGTCGAACAGACGCCATTTGTTGTCTTCGGCAGAACGGAGCCATGCCACGTAGTGACCGTCTTGCGAGGAGCGTCCTTTGTGAGTGATGATTCCCTGTAATAATTTTTTTGATTAAAAATTATTTTTTTTTTTTTACCTTGAGCTCATAGAATCCAGAGTTATTAGATCCTGGATCAGACTCGAATTCGGTTGGAAGAGCGACTCCATCGTCGAAGATTTTATCGGCTTGCTCCTTATCCAGAACCTTCTTTCTCAGCTCTCTTTCCAACTTGGCATCCTCTTCCAATTTGATATCAGCACGTCGAGTCACGAGCTTGTCCTTCAACTCTTGAGTGCACAAATCGTAGGCGTCAAGAGAAATTGGGAATTGCACCGACTTCAAAATCTTAGCGTTTGTTTTGGAGGATTCTTTGAAGAAGAATCTGTTGATATTGACTGTCAGATACTTTGGAAGACGGGAGATCAGAGTGTGGTTCTGCCATTTGGCGTCACGTCCCAATTGAGCACTGTTTCGCTCTACCTCTTGCTCAAATCCTGCCTTGATACCGGTTTGCAAGAATCGAACGTCTTGATTCACATAGCAAGTCAGTTGAGTAGCACTTTCGGTCTTCTTCTCAGCGACTTCTTCAGTTTCCAGACATTTACAATTCGTTTCTGTTTTAATTTTGAAAAGATTATCAATTGGATATCCAGCCAGGCCGTAGAACCGAGTGAGGTTGGTCATGATTGCGACAAAACACTCATTGGCGTCTTGTTGCTTGAATTTTTCGAATTGAGGATAGGACTCCGAGAGACTCTGGAGAAAAATCAATTATAAAGAAAATACTAGCAAAAATCTTACAATAATTGAAGCAAATGGTTTGATTGGGTCTCCCTTGCTTCGAAGAGCCTTATCTTTATCACGAAGCTGGCAGAGCAAAGTGGCCAAATTGTGGCAGAGTCGATCATTTTGCTCACGGATTTTGGTTTCGTCGGCTGGCTTCAAAATCAACTCGTTGACCTCCTTTAGCATTTGCATACAAGAGTTGAAATAGCAAGTGTTTCCAAGATTGGCAAGTCCGCATGGGTAGAGGTTGGACATTTCCTCGGCTTGTTGGCCGACATTCTGTTGCTGGGCTTCGAGAATTGTTGGTGCTTTTGGGATTTCTCCGATGCTGAAAAAAGTTTGTTTTATAAAATAATAATAATGAAACACTCACGATCCCATCATCATAATCGTCATATTCTCCTTCAAAGTGATCCCTTCCCAATCGTCATCACCCAAGGTTCTGCCAAGGATCACAACCTTCTGTCGTTCTGGAAGCACTTGAGTCAGTGCGAAAAGTTGAGCTTTGAAGACCATTGGTGGCGCAGAGGTGTCGATTTCCACCACATACTTCTCTTTCTGCCACTTGACATTTACAATTGGCATTTTTCTAGTCTGAAAAGCCAAAATTAGAGGAAGGAAGCTAGAAAACGCGAGAGAAAGGAAAATTAAAATTCGAACGATGACAAAAGCCTGGCGCGTTTGCCGACAAGGGTAAGATGGGTCAGCAAACGCCTCGCAGTCGCTTTTTCAGAAAATTCGCCGTTATTTCATTTGAAAGGGAAAGTGACCGAGATTGGAAGTGAACACCGGGAAATTGAGTAGGAAATTGGACAAAGTGTTTGCAAACCATAGGAAAACTCGTGTTTCTGGATTTCGCAACAAATTGCTGATAATTTTTCAATAATTTATTTTCAGATTGATTTAAATCTCCTATTCCAAAGTAGAGACAAGTCCGACGGCTTCTTCTTCTTATTGAACATTAAAATGGAAAGAAGCGAAATTCGCATTTAATCTCATCTTCATCTTTCATCTCTCCTTATTGTGTGCGCCTTTTGCAGCTTTCGTCGGTGAACGCAGGTCTTTCATGAAGTCCCGCTTTCTTATTCGATTCGATATTTTATAACTTTTATAAATGTTAAACCAAATTTTTATAGGAAAAATACTTTTAAAAGGAAGAAAAAATCGGTATTTGAAAAAAAAATTCTGTGAAAATGATTATAAAAATCAAAGGAACGTTGAGTTTCCAGTTTATCGGGTCCTAACCGGAAGAGCCGTGAAGTTCTCTCTCTCTCTCGGAGTTGTAGATTTACGGGCTACAGTAATGTTTTCCATTTTTCTCCAATTTTCAAAGCATGCTTCGCACTTTTCCTCTTTAAAAACTGCAAAAAATGAAGAATTAAGTCTTTCGAAACTGTCTTATCATGTGAAACAGCATGAATAATTTCCATTTGTTTTACGGTCACCACCAACATATTTGTTATGCAAAAAAGTAGAAAAAGGCGATGTTTGTTCGTCGGCGTTTCCACATCCATCCATCCTCTACCTCAGCCCAGCGCCACGTTTATGTGTGTTTTTGTATGTCTCTGTGTGTCCTCTCTCGCTCTCCTTTTATGCTTTCTCTCTTGGTTTTTTTTTTCAAAAAGTGATGCCTGATTTAGATTTTTACAGACAAAAAAAATGCTCAAGAGGCCCGGCGAGTACGAACCACCGTTAGGTAAAATTTGGACGAGGTGAGTAGATGTTTTTTAATTGAAAAAAAAATGAAAATTTTGAATTTTTCCAGAGCAGAATCTCGAATGTGGACGATAACCATGTTCAGTGGAACGTGTGTTCTCTACGCCGCCCGTGCAAGTCTTCCGATATGTGCCGCAGCTGTTGCCAAAGAGTTCGCATGGAATAAAACAGATTCTGTAAGATTTTTAATTCGCAATTAAGGAAAAATACATTTTCAGGGAACAGTACTATCCTGTTTCTTCTGGGGATACGCTCTGACACAAGTGTTCGCTGGAAGGATAGCTGACAAATATGGCGCTGAGAAAATCCTCCCTTACTCGAGTCTCGCCTGGACAATGATCACCTTCTTCACACCTCACCTATTCGATTTCGCTTACTGGACCAACTACCCGCTCGTTGTTCTTCTAACAATTCGAATTCTAACGGGTGTCTGCCAAGCATTCCATATTCCATCATTGGCTTCAATTGTATCAAAACACTTGGCCGCAGCTGACAAAGGACGTGTTTTTGGAATCGTTTTGGCTGGCTCCCATTGGGGTACTGTCCTTGCCGGTGCTATTGGAAGTATATTGATCGAATGGATCGGATGGAGATCGTTATTCCAATTTGTGGGAATTCTCTCGCTTGTCTGGTGTTGGATATTCCGATGGGTTCTGGATAAGAAGAATGGGACAGGTGGAGGAAGAAGTTCTCCACAGCCAGATGAAGAAGTTCTTATAGATAAGAAGCATGACACCATAGAATCCCACTTATCAGCCAACACACCATGTCCCTCTGTTCCTTGGGGAACACTCTTCCGTCATCCAGCTTTCTGGGCTGCCGCAGTTGCTCAGTACACCGGAGGCAATTCCTACTCGATTCTGTTCAATTGGCTCCCCTCCTACTTCCACGAGACCTTCCCAACTGCAAAAGCGGTCGTATACAATGTGGTTCCATCATTAGCCATCGTCGTGACCTCCTTAGTAGCTCCTGTGATGGCTTCCCGAGCACTAGCGGAAGGAAAAACTGTTACCTACACCAGAAAACTTATGGAAGGAGTTAGTCTTATTGGAATCGCGTTCTGTCTAATGCTAGTTCCAATGACTTCTTCCTTCTGGCTCTCATTGCTCATTTTCACGATGGCCATGGCTGCAAGAGGGTTACATCACGGTGGAGTGTCTGTGAATCCACACGACTTTGCACCGAATCATGCTGGATCGGTTTTTGGTAAAAATTCTAACAAATCTTATGTTTCAATTTCCATTTCCAGGCGTCTTCAACGCTTGCGGAGCTATCACTGGATTCGTTGGTGTCTACATCGCCGGGCACATTCTCGAAGCCACTAACAACAACTGGTCCTACGTGTTCATTGTTACGGCGGCTCAGTGTGTTGTAGGAGCAATGGTATACACACTTCTAGGCACTGGTCAGAAGATTATTTGAGTTTAGAACTTCAATTAATTGTTTGTATTCTTGTTCCATACGTGTAATTTATTGACTGATGCTCTTCTTTTTTCTAGATGTATGTTTTCAGATAAGCTTGCCCTTCTAGATTTGACCCCCCACTAAAAAACGTTTAATGCATTTTCCCCTCCTACCATCCGGGTGCCCCTTTCTCAATGTCTTTTTCTCTGTGATGTTTGTTGTTTCTTTCTTTTTTGCCATGTCTTTTTAAACGAATTTTTTCTTACGAATTAAGTATGCTTTATTATGGTACAAATTTCAAAAAATAGGAAGTTTAGATTTTCAAATAGGCCTTGGCGATTTTAATGGAGTCGTCGAGATTCAATTGCTTCATATTGGCGGCTTCTTCGCGGAGTTCGTGGTAGAGAGCCGTTGACAAATAACGTTCTCCAAAACTGTTCACAGTGGTCACAATCAATTTTCCTTTGTTCTCGGGACGTTTGGCGAGCTGGACAGCGGCACACACGTTGGCTCCAGATGAGATTCCACCGAGGATTGACTCCTCATCGGCAAGACGTTTAGCCATTGCGATAGCATCGTCGGAGTGAACACGAAGAGCTTCGGTGAAGAGTTTCAGGTCGAGGATATCAGGAATCATTCCGGTTCCCATTCCTGGAAAATTGAAAGCATTGTAAAATTAGAAAATTTTTCAAAAAATTGACTTTTCTGAAATTAGAGATAAAATTGCAACTCTGAGAGCTTCAAAACGAGTATAATCATGAGCTAGTTCCACCAATTTCAGGTCCCACCGCGAAAACTACAGTAATGCAAACATTTCGTGGTGGGACCCAACTTGCGTTAAATTGGGTCGTGTTTATACTCCTTTTGAAGCCCTTCGAGAGAGAAATCGAATGGTATATTTTTCATAAAAATTGGTTCATAAAGAAAAGAGTTACAGTTGCTTTTCGTGGTGAGACCCAATTACTCATTTCGAGGAAAACTCTAGAAAAGTGTTTATTTTAAAATCGGGAGTGTTTATTATCATTTTGAAGCTCTTAACTTGCTAATCGCGAATTTTATAATTTAGGATATAGAAAATTCTGGAATATACAAGTTACGGAAGTTTTCGTGGGGAGACCCCAAAATTAGAAATTATCCTATTCGATTTGTCTTGTTGAGAGCTTCAAAATGAGTATAAACACGACCCTATTTGACGCAAGTTGGGTCCCCAAAAAAATCTAATTTTTTCTAATCTATATCCTACCTTGAATCTTGTGTGGACTGTGTGGCAATCCATTGATAACGGAACTCTCGAATGGCTCAACTGGATACACTCGCACATTTGGATTCTTCTCCTTCAGGAACCGCCCGACTCCGGTACACGTGCCTCCCGATCCGACACCAAAACAAACGATGTCCACTTTTCCTTGGGTCTGTCTCCAGATTTCTGGTCCCGTAGTTTTGTAATGAGCCTCTGGATTGGCAGGATTTCCGAATTGGTTCAATATGTAAGCATTTGGAATCACATCCCGAAGTTGTTCGGCTCTCTCGACAGCGCCCTTCACAGCGGTAGCGGGATCGGTGAGGATGACCTCGGCTCCGTAGGCCTTCAGAAGACACCGACGTTCGATGCTCATGGATGCTGGCATGGTAAGAATGACTTTGTAGCCACGGAGTTTTCCACAATAGGCCAATGCGATTCCCATGTTTCCACTGGTTGGCTCGATTAGGACAGTCTTTCCGGGATGGATCAATCCGGCCTTCTCGGCGGAGTCAATCATATTAAAGGCGATACGATCCTTGACGGAGCAGGCTGGATTCATGTACTCGACTTTGACAGCGATGGAGGCGTCGAGATCCTTTCCGATCTTGTTGAGTTTGAGGAGAGGGGTGTTGCCGATGAGCTCACCGCCGGTTTCGACCATCAATTCACGGGACATGATATTTTCTGTAAAAATTGGAATTCGTAGTTTTCTCGGAAATATGAGTTTCAATAAAAAAGCGAAAAGTATAATGGGATTATTCATGTAGCGAAAGTGTTTATTTCAAAACGCATTTCAATACATTTCGGTGGCACCGAAATGCATTGAAATGCATTTCGCGACACTGTTGCATTGAGTTTCGGTGCAGACTTTCGCTACATGAATAACCCCATAAAGATACGTAGATGAAAAACACTCTGCCCACTCCAATAGAAGACCAACTGAACCGTCAACTTTGAGCTTGCATATCTTTGTGCCTGTGAAAGATAGCAAAAATGGCGAATTAATAGAATGTTTATCTAACTATAAGTTATATTTTATCAATTGATACATTCTTGATATTTTTCACAAGAACCGAGATATATGGGCACAAAGTTTATGCCCCCAAATCATTAGAAGGCTACACGACCAGCCAACTTTGAACTGATGTCCCGGTTCATGTATTAGATATCAAAAACTTGTCAACTGACAAAATGCTTATCGAAACATAAGTTACATTTTATTAATTGATTATTTTTACATATCTTTTACCTAAACCGAGATAATTGAGCTCAATTTTATGACTCAATGGTAGTAGAAGACCACAAGAACCACCAACTTTAAGCGCATATATCTCAGTTATTGTGAAAGATATCAAAAAGCGACCAACTGACAAAATGTAAATCATAATATCAAAAACACTTTGTCAGTCGACCACTTTTTGATATCTCTCATAGAAATCGAGATAATTGAGCTAGAATGTTAACGGTAGCTCAAGAAGAACATTGGCAGCCGCGCAAAACGACTCAAAAGTGAAAAAAAAAGAAGAATCAATGAGAAAAAGGAAGAGAAGAGAAAAAACAGAAAGAAATTGGCGGGGTCTGTGTTGTTCACTAATTGTAATTGACCTTGATTTATTGTCATCATTTTTTTGTAAATAGAATTTTAAAGAGGAATTGAAAAACGGGATTTTATTCTGTTCAGAAATTTGAAAATCTTAACATGATCTAAATTTTACAAAACGCGAATTACGACTTCAAGAAAATGAAATATTTTTGGCTGAAACTGAATCATATACTTGCCTTTGAGCTTGATTATCTCAATTTCTATAAAAGATATCAAGAAGTGGTCAACTGATAAAATGTAGCTTATATAATGATAAAAATTTGATCAATTGACAACTTTTTTGTTATCTCTTATAGAAATTGAGATAATTGAGCTCAAAGTGAAAGTAGGAGTCTTTGCAATACTGAAGGAATACCGAACAGTGCCATGTTCAGACAAAATTTCCGAAAACAATTTATACTCCTGTACTACGTGCCTTTTGACTAATTGAAAGCGGTTCCGCCCATGAGGGCCAACATATTGCTCTCGATCTCTCAGATGATGTTCTCGACGGGCATTATCATCATTTCTGTAGATCTGTCTGCGTCTCTCACGATTTCTCCCATTACGATTCTTTGAACATTGCCTAGATAAGGAGTGTCTACGTGCAGAATTGGAAGATTTTTTTAGAAGGAGAATGAATGGATAGGCGAGGCCGAAGTAGTTTGGAACTCTGAAAGTCTTGAAAATTGGAAATTACAGTAATCCTCCGAATAATTCTTCAATTCGTGAGAAGTTCCAGTGAATCTGAAATTCAAATTCTGAATCTTAACTTCTGAAAACTACATTTGTGTGATTTCTTTGCCGGCCATTAAACATTTTTATTGAAAATCCTTCACTTATGCTTGAAACCTTTTTCAGACAATTTTCTTTTAGAAACTGTTTCATCCTTCGATCTTCGGAATCTAATCAGATTGCTGATTAGGCCACAAAGTACAGTAATTTGTCTACGTGACTATCTGTAGACACAGAATTCCATGAAGAACGTGTCTTCTGAATTGTCATCATTTTTTGGAGACGGAGAACTTTCCCTTTTCTCTTAACTTCGCATCTCCCCTCTCCTCTCTCTCTCTTTTCTCTCGGCAACTCCCTCTCGTTTATGTTTGCCATGCCAGGCCGCTAGCAATTGTTGGTGGTGTGGAGTAGTGGTAGTGCGCCGGTCGTCGGGGAGCTCGCTCGCTGTTTCGACCACGCACCCGTAACAGTGATCGAAAGTCGGGTACTAGACTGTAAGTGAGGAATATCACCTGACAATGCTGCCTTCCTTCTGAGTTACTTTTTTGTTTTTTTTTCAGGCATTGGATTTCCTGAAAATGGATGTGGAATCTGAAGAATATGTGTGGTAACTTTTCACTGGTAAGTGGGAAAATATATTTCCCAAAAACCATAATTAGACATGCCAGAGGAAAACTTTTTTGATCTACCTAATAATTATTTTTGTACCGCCAAAATTTTTCAAATCAAAATGGCAAACAATTTTTCTTTTTTTTTGGTTTTCAGCTCTTTTTTTTGAATAATTTCCGCTATTTTTAATTCAATAAACGAATTTCAGAGAGGTCAAAATGTCTGAAACCCCGGGTAGTCTGAATGAATCGCCAAAATCTTCGGTTTTAAAGGGAATCCCACTTCAAGCAGCTTCATTTCAAATTTGGGCAGAGAAACACAAGAAAGAAAAGGACAGGAACAAAAGCCAACTGGATCTTTTCAAAATTTATGGACCAATTTGGGAGAAATTATCAAGACAGGAGAAGAAACCGTTTGAAGACGAGGTGAATAAGTTGTATTCGAAAAAAGCAGGGTTCCAGAAACCGGAAAAAGCTCGAAAAGTGAATCAAAAACTCAAATATCCGCCAAATTCGCTGGGATTATGGTTGGAAGAAGTTCGGACAAGTGATGATGTTGGGAAGAGTGTCGTGGACCTGAGCAGAAAGTATGGAGAAGCTTGGAGAAATTTGTCAGAGGAGGAAAGGAAACCGTTGATTGAGAAAGCAAGAAAGTTGAGAGAGATTTTTAAAAAGGTAAAGATTTCAGAGTTTTTTTGTTGAGAAAATGGCTACTTCTGAAGGCCACCCGATACTTGCATTTTGAGCTCAATTATCTCGATTTCTGAAAGAGTCATCAAAATTTTGTCAACTGATGAAATGTTTGCCATAACATCAACATCCTTTTATCAATTGACATATTTTTGATATCTCTCATGGAAATTGAAATAATTGAGCTCAAAATGCAAGTACGGTATTTTTCCAGGAACACCCACTCGCTTACACACGGAAAAAGGATGAGGAGAAAGTCATTCGATTTAAAGAGGAAACTGTGGGAGAAGTGTTAAAGAAGGTAACATTTTCAAAGTGTATGTAAGTACCTCAATAATATTCTCAGCAAGTCTTCCAATACAAAGAACCAGAAGCTGAAAAATTGAATCAAGAATTGAGCTCATTTTTTGAGATCACAAAAAACTTGGGAGTGGATTTTAAGACGGATTCGGTGGCTGATTCATCTGAAGCCCAACAAAATTGCAAAATCGAAAAATCTCGACACCCAATTGATATTCCAATTCTGAAGGATACCGAAAACAACAACAAAAATCAAAGTGGTTTCCAGAATTTGTCACAGAATCCGTTACAAAATTCCTCGGTTTTTCAACACAATTCGATTGACTTGGTGATTGAGGATGTTTTAAGAAATGTGAAATCTGGAAGTCTCGATTACAGAGTTTGGAAAAAATCGATTTATGAAAAGGAGTATGAAAAGTTTCCAGAGATTTTTGAGGAATCTGGAAACTTGATTGATTTAGAAATTTTAAAGTCTCCATCAGTTGAGGTATTAAGTGGGAAATACCGTGCACTTTGAGCTCAATTATCTCAATTTACGAAAGATATATCAAAAATTGGTCAACTGATAAAATTTTTGCCATATGATCACCTATATTTTATCAGTTGACAGATTTTTTACATCTCTCCAAGAAAATGAGATAATTGAGCTTGAAATTCAAGTATATGGGCTTCTATTATAGTGTCCATGGTAGTTTGAAATTTCCGAATTTCAGTATTGCCCAGCACCTTCTGAAACCCTCTCAACGTTCAAAAACAAGACGAAAAAGGCTACGAAAAATAGAAAATCTGAAAACAGTCAGAAAGTTATCCAGATTTTACAACATTGTTCGTCAGAGGATTTCAAGGAAAAGTCAATAGAATCGGTGATTGAAGACGTTTTGAGAAATGTGAAATCTGGAAGTTTGGATTACGAAATTTCAAAAGAATCGGTTTATGAAAAGGATTACGAAAAGCTTCCAGAGATTTTTGAGGAGAATTTTGGCTCTGAACCTTCCAAAGCAAAGACCAAAAAAGTTCGGAAAATTGTGAAATGTGAAAATCCAAATGATATTTTACCGTTTCCTGAAGTGGACCAATTAGATGTACAGTTTGATATTGATAGCATTCATCCAACATTTTTCGGACCGAATGGCTATAAATGGGAGCATTTTTGAGGAATCAGTTGAAGGATGATAATAATAATAATAATTCGAGATTGTTGAATTTCTTAATTGCTTTGTTTTAATAAATTTTTTGATTGGACTTATAATTCTTCAAAAAACTGATCAACGATTCAAGCTTTCTGCCTTTCTTCCAAAAGTTATGAGCAAATTTTTCGAAAACAAGTTATTACTAAAAAATATTTTTATAGAGATCCATATCTGAAATTTTGTGTCATAGCTTGCATCAAGGTGTAAAAGATATTGGTGAAAGAAAAACAAACTTTTTTTCCAGATTCTTTAAAAAAATCTGATGGGACCTAAGATGTAAATTTTTAGTATTTCCGCTAATTTTAAGTTTGGCAGTTCTGGAAAAAGTAATCCTGAATGTTTGGGAATCAGTTTTTGCAGATAAAAACAATCATCTTACCGTTAACACTCTAGTTGAACGCCACCCGGACCGTCCACTTAGAGCCTATATATCTCACTTCTTTTGAAAGAAAAGTTGTTATTTAACAAATTGTTTATCATAATATCAGCAATTTTTATCATTTGACCGTTTTCTGATATCTTTTACAGAAATTGAGATACATTAGCTCAAATTTGGCGATTCGGGTTGCGTTCTATTAGAGTGTTTATGGTAATCGTATTATAGAAAAATAGTTTATCAATTTTTGTCAAGGAACAATAATTATTGGTTCTTCAACGTTTTGGACCTAAAAGGAAACGAGGCAGAAAACCATCACATAGAATGAGAACATAATCTTTATTTCAATCGCTTCAGTTCACAAATTATTGAGCTCCTGCCTCCTTGGTGATCATCACCTTCACCGAATCCCCATTCTTTGTGTCCTTGATATTCACGACGACTGGTTTTTCCAGAGATCCTGGCTTCGTGAGCAACTTGACAATTGGAGACTCCTTTCCGACGAGCGCTTGATCGAAGTTTGCAGAGAATTCCGACGTCTTCTCGATTTCAGCCAAGAATGGTTTGTCGAACTTGATCACAATGGTGGAGGTGTTGAGTGGGACAATGGCGATGAGCTTGGATTTGTCGTCAGTCTTTTCTAAAAATTTTGTGGTTGGTTTGAGAAAGGAAAAATAAGTTGTTTCACTTTTAGCGTTGCTAGGGACCTGCTGAATATTAAGCTAGTTCTCATTGTCAGACATCTTCTAAAAATTCTCTAGCCAGCGTTAGACTTCATAGCGCATTCTAAATTTCTGTTTCAAAAAAGTATTTGCAAAATTCTCGAACAGAACCTCAAATCTAAACAAGGCATCAAAAGCCAAGCCGCCAGCACCAGTCGATCTGGGGCGGCAAAAGTCATAAAAGATTCTGATCGTAAACAACGATCATAAACGATCCCACTTTTCTATTCCCTGGTTTTTGTTGATCACCATAGTCACTTCGGTATAAAAGAAGGACAAGTTCTGGCCCAGTAGTATTACAGTACTATTACTCACGCTTCAATGGCACTGGAGCCAACACGTACTCAACGTGCAATGGGGCAGCAATGACTGATCCAATAACGAAGGAGACGATCAGAATAAAACCAAGATTCATTTTTTGAATGAATGTGAAGAAGTAGTTCTTGTGCTGCTCTTTTATACGTGGTTTCACGTTTCTAGAATTCGGTTCCCAGACTCGGTTTGGGAACCGGGGTTTTTTTCCACCCCATATTCTGAGAGACTCCCAGAAGTGTATGAATAGTGTTTAGTATATACGTAATAATCTACCGTAATCTAGAAATTTGTAGTCGATAAATGGGATCAATTAAATTGTTAAAATATTTAGCTGTCATCCAACTTTTGTGCCTAATAGCATACTGGTAAGCCGGGCCTCTGCGGGAACTGCCATAGTTTCTTTCAGGATCAGTATTTTTGAACAACCTAAATAAGAGAATATAGAACTCGACGAGCACTACAAACTGATATTAATTAGAAAACCCTATTTTGTCAATGAAAAAAGTTACAAGATTATAAAACTATTGACCGCGTAGCTCCGGTGGTTTTTGGATTGCAACTCTGTTCATAGACAAGATAATGTTTTCCAAATAGTACCATTTTGTAGTATTCGTCCAGTTCTATCATGTTTATGTTAGTTGGTTCAAAAATAATGATTCCAAAAGAAACTATGCCAGGTCCCGCGAAGGCCCGTTTTACAAGTATGCCTACCATGAGGAAATTATCAATTCTGAGTGTCTCGAACCACTTTGTCCCAAAAGCATTCCTACGTGGCATATCTGAATTGGATGGAAAACTTAATACATACTAAATTAAGCTCCACTTTTGTTCATTAATTTCTAACAATTTAAAATTACTGTAGACGCTCTAATAGAACGCCATCCAAACTCTACTTTGATTTGATTTATCTCGATTCCTGTTAGAAATATGAAAAAGTGATCAACTAGCAAAATATTCATGATATTATGATAAACGTTTTGTCAGTTGACAACTTTTCGACATCTCTTACATGAAACGAGATATATCGGCTTAAAGTGGACGGTTTTGGTGGGCTTCTATTCGAGGAAGTACGGTAATCCCACTTTCGGACTCTTGACAAAATTTAGAGGTTTTTGTTATTCATTTCTGGAATCCTCCTTCTTATGCCTTCTTGAATGTTACATCACAAGATACATGTGATAATTTTCTTATTATTATCCCCCACCCACATATTTGTGCGGACTTTTTTGACATACGCAAATCTTAAAAATTGTATTCAGTGATCCGAAAAATCAGGAGACGAACTACGTAAGAAGATTTTCCCCTTTTAGTACACCATTCTCATTTTCCAGCCTAAGCTTCTTGAATTTTCCGGTTCTTGAGATCCATGATGGAACAAAGAGTCGTTCTGGCCTTTTGCCCGCCCGTGCTGTTTAACCAGAAGAATCGCAAAAATATTTGCTTAAATTCAAATTGAACAAACATGGCGTTGTGTTGTTTGGAGGTGACGAAAAGTGTACGTATTAGAGAACGCGAAAAGTTTCATCCAAAACAAAATTTGCTGGTATTCCGGGTGTGAAACCCGGAAATAGACTTTTCTAGTAATCTTTTTTCTTTTAATTTTTAATTTCCTTGGATTTTTGCACCTGTTTTCAAGCTTTTCAAGCTCTATATCTTCTATTTTAGCGCAACTATACAAAATTAGATATTTGAGATTTGACAGGTATAGTTTTTTATTAAACCTTTTTCTCTATTAGATCAGCACCCCATCAGGCACCTATTTTTTATTTTTGTTCTTGGTTTTCTGTTATTGTGAACATTTTCATAAGCCTGAAGCTCGGCTGTCAAGTTTTCGATCACATTGAAAATTATGGAGGGTATAAAACATACCTAGATTGAAAACTTTGCATTTACAGAATTTTTCGAAAATTCCTAGTTTACCAGATATATGCCGATTTCTACCTCTTTTTTACTGAAAATGTGGAAAAAGGTGAGTTTTAAAAACCGGCAAATAGCTGAAAACTAGTGATTTTTAGAAATTATGTGAATTCGAAATTTTCCATCTAGATTTGTTTTACACACTCAAACGTTTTCAAAGTGATCGGGAAGTTGACCACTGATGAATTTTTTATCATATTATCAAAAGTAATTTGTCAGTTGGCAGACTTTCGATATCTTGCATTGTAATCGAAATAATTAAGAGCTCAAGTATGACAGTGGGGGCCCTTCTACTCCAGGTTTTACGGTAGTTGCTTATCCGAGCTTTTGCCTATTTCTATCCCAAAAACCCAAACTGTGTAATATAAAACCGTTCTTTTGCTCTAGCCTTTGCTCTTTTCATCATCTCATTCCTCCATCTCTTTTTCTCTGCGTCTCTCCCTCTCCAATGATCTTTACCCTCCAATCGTTCGTTCCTCTCTCTCTCTCTCTCAAATCACCATCTCGCGCAGTGTGGCGCCCCGCAAGAGAGTGCTTCAGTACATTTTGTGTTTCTTCCCTAAAATTTTCTGTTTGCATTCTAACTGTCTATGTCTCTCCGATCAGACACCCTCTCTGTCTATCTCTTGTTGTCCCTTCTGGTCTTCCCCCAAAACGTTTCGACTGCTTTTGTTTTCGTCTGCAATCCAACACTTTAGGCACCATTGATTGTTATTTGAATCGAAATCGACCTACAATTTGCTAGATTTTGGCCTAGGATGATTTTGAATTCTGGCTTGATCCAGAAGTTTTCGGGTTACGGTAGATTTATGATTGTTGGTCAAAGACCTTATGGTGGATCCAAAAATCCGTTGTTTTACGTTTCATGGCTTTGATCCTAATTTTTCAAAGTTAGAATCAATTGAAGGTTCATTGAAAATTTCAAAAATATAGATTTTCAAAGTTTTGAGATCAAAATTTTGAATTTGCAATTCGGAACGTTCCCGAAAGTGTCTTAAAAATTGAGATAAATTTTTTACTGTAGTCGGGATAGGGCCTACAGTACCGGAAAATCGTATTTTCCGGTTGAATTTTCGGCTATTTTGACCATTTTTAAAAGTCTAGAGCTTGGCTGTTCAGTTTCCGATCACTTTGAATTTTTGGAGGGTGTAAAACCGACCTAGATTGAAAACTTTGCTTTCACAGAATTTTTGAAAATTCCTAGTTTTTCAGCTACATGCCGATTTCTGAGAGGCAACGGTTTTAGTACTAAAACGGGGCAAAAAGGGGCGTCTTCCAGAAATGGGCAAATAGCTGAAAAGCTAGGAATTTCCAAGGAACTCTGTGAATTCAAATTTTTCTATCAAGGTTTGTTTTACACTATCCGAAGTCTTCAAAGTGATCGGAATCTTGACAGCCGAGCTCCAGACATCTGAAAATGGTCAAAATGGTTAGAAATCATCTGAAAATCAATCTATGTACATCTTATTGACTGGTACTGTATATTATCACTTACAAATTTTTTTTTCGTCTTCATAACCTTTAGGATGAAAGTAAGGACTTTGGAGATATTAATGTTACCTGAGAAAAAAAGGTTAGAGATTTTTTTTTGCAGTCTGAATACGGTAGGAATATCGAAGCGGCGAGCCCAAATAGCACATGTTAGGTGGAAACGCAGACAGCTTATCTCTGAGTCTCCACTTTTTTTTCTCAGACAAGAATAATACTCTTCTATGAAAGGAAGCTACCGTAAAAGCTGGAATAGAAAATGGTCAAAATGGGCAAAAATATACAGAAAAATACGGTTTTGTTCATCTCATTGACCAGTACTGTATATAAGGATACTTTCCCGAGAAATTCAGTGTATTTGGGCTTACAAAAAAGCGAGATTTCCACAACTAAAGTTTTTAACCAAACTAAAAGCACAGAATGAGACAACAAAAAAAACCGACTCATCTCTCTTTTTCGCTCCAAAAAGTAAGGCGAGTACTCGCTCTACTACCCTTTTCCCCCCATCCAAACAACACACCAACGACCAAAGCTTTTTGACAATCTCCATTTCAACTTCCTCTCTCTCCCTCTCTGCGTTTCCTGCGTCTCTCTGGCGCTACAGTACTATCTCGCCGCGCTGCTTCTCTCCCACGACCCTCGTTTTTTACAGTCTCCCGGTGCTCTCGTGTTCTCTGACCAGGCCTCCTGTTTCTTCTGTACTATTTTTCAGAGTGTGCGTTTATTGCCCCTTTCTGTCCTCCTCCATTCGCGGGCGCGACAAAACATACCGTCTTCACAATGTCCGTATTTTAGGCCGAAAGTCTAAAATTTTCGGCTTTCAAAGTTTTTCAAGACCTTATTTCCTAGTCTTCCTTCTATTAGTTTTCTAGTTATTATCCCAATAAATTCAGCTTCATAGTGAGTTTTCCCCCTTCAAGAGATACTGTACGTTTAAAGGCGCACGTTCAAAAAATGTTCTGTTTCTGCAAACCCAATAAATTACGTGCATTTTTTCTTATTTTTTTGAGAAATTTCCGGCCTAATTTTGAACAATTTTTATCACGAAAAAACTAGAAAATCGTTTCAGATGAATCGCATGACAATGCTGGAGAAGGGATGTGATCCGATAGCGAGCACGGCGCCAAAGAATTCCTACATGAAGTCTCCAAAAATAGGTTGGTGAAAAAAATCCGAGAAAAATTCGAGAAAAACAGCTGAAAGCCTAATTCAAAGTTCACTTTTCTCTATCAGCACTTTGCGATCTAGATCTTTTTTTCATTTGTCGGTCGGGGCGCCAAAAAGGGCGAGATTCCTATCATGATCGTTAAATTTTTATTCGTCGTCAGCTGTTCATCTGAAGGCGATAAGGGCAGGAATAATGAAGTTTTGAAAACATTTCGGACAGTCCGAGTTCGAAATTCGATTCTCCATAACATCCCGGCCACAAAAAATGGGTTCCGGGACGTTGCGCAGGTGTTTTTCCGACTGAAAAAAAAGAATTATGGCCTTGGGAATGGGCAATTTCCCATCGGAAAGGCTGTTGAATATCCTAAGAACATGAGGAAAAAAGATGGCATTAGTTAATGCAAACAATCCAAAATTAAAAGAGGACTCCGATCGAAAATGTATATATATTCTTGAATACATCGGTTTATGCAGAAAATATGTAATTTATCTATTCAGTAACAAAGAAAGAATTCAAAAAAAATCACAAAAAACTCGAAAAATCGCAAGACATCGCTTCAAATTGCCATTTCTGGAAACTTCTGGAAGGTTTTCGAATATTTTTTGAATTCCCGCGAAAACTGAAAAATAAGCGATTTTTCGAAAGAAGAAATGTACTCTATCTTCGATTTTTTGCAAAATCTTTAGACCTTTTCAGGTTTTTCAGCTGTTTTTGAAAATTCTTTTTCGATTTTCCGAATTTTTAGACTGAAATTTAATGGAACGGTGTTGATTACTGTGGATTACTGTAGAATCCTTTTGTAGTTTTTTTATTAGTTCAAAATTCAGATAAAAACTGGAAACAAACAAAAAAACCACAAAAGAAAATTCGGTGTCTGCAGTAATCTACAGTAATCTTCAGGGACACAGTTCCATCAAATACCATCCAAAAACCGGAAAAATCGAAAAAGAATTTTTGAAAATAGCTGAAAAACCTGAAAAGGTCTCAAAATTTTGCAAGAAATCGAAGAAAATTTCAAGTTTTCTTCCGAAAAATCACAAAAAAAATCGCTGATTTTTCAGAATCTTCAGTTTTGGCGGTAATTTGAAAAAAGTTTCGGGATCCTTCCAGAAGTTCCCAGAAAATGATATTTCGAAGTGATTTTTGCGATTTTTCCTTCGTGAAATGAAGCTGAATATTTTTCTACACATTTTGATGTATTAAGTCCCCCTTAAGATAGTTCTGGAGGATCGAAACAGTATTTCCAGTTACTAGTAGTGCCAAAATTCGTATCAAGGGCTCCTCAGAATGCTCCACAGAGCGTCAGCTGTATTTAGATGGCCCAGACTTTCCATATGCTCTTTGCGTCACTTCGTATCTAGCTCCTCCAGACCCATCAATCTCAATAATAGATTTATTGTTGCGAGCCATCAGACCAAAACAATTCTAAAATAAAATGCACTTTTACAACAAAGAAAAAGAAGCTGTTCTTAAAAATGTTTTGAGAATCTATTTTGGGAACCAGACTATCGCTTGGAACACATCCGTGATCTCATGCCGAAATTTGAACTTCCGCGGAAAACAACGGATATTTTTTCCCTTTGAAAGGAAGGGAAACAATAACAATTTGCAAGGTCATTTGTATTCCATTCGTCTCTTCCTGGATGTGAATGTGGTCGCGTGTGCATAAAGGGAAGCCACGACACAGATCACTTGAGAGAATGCGACGTGTTGATTGGCAGCGGAGAAAGCGGTCCTTGAAAATTTTTTGGAGGGTAAGAGGGACCAACAAGCAAAGCAAAGCGTCATGTTGTTTTTGGGGTGTTATTCGAGATCCACACATGAGCGAATTCAGGAAATTTGAGGGGTTTTTTCGAACTGCATAATTTTTTATGTAAAAATTTCAGTTCGCGTTTTGATACTATTGTTTTTCCCGGTATCGGTTTACCTTACAAAGTTTTTCTACAGTAACCTTCACGAATGCCGTTTTCAATAAAAATGTGGAAGAGAAACGCCAGTGGCCGTGGCCGTAGGTACTTTCGGCCACGGCCGCCGGCATTCTTCTTCCACAGCTCCGATTGGGGTATATTGTAGGTTCTATGGTTTTCAATAGTTGATTGCTCGGTATTCAAGAACTCATTCCAAAATAATACCCCATGCAATCAACACTCTCATAAAAACCATCAAATCTACAGTATCCCTTCGTTGTCCTTTACCCCTCTCGTGGCTTTCACTGAGTTGTTGACAAGACTTTGTATTCCGTGTCCGAAATTTGAAATGGGCGTCCTGTCCCGCCAAAAATTGTTTTTATGGAAAACATGTTGTCTGCTCCTCTCTCATGGCACCGAACACACAGATGTTTCTAGTGTTTTTGGTTTTCTTTTTCTCCTCGTCGAGTCTCCGCCCACTTTTCCACCTTCTCCGTCCTACTGACCTCATTTCACTTCCGATTTCTAGAACTAAAATGCGTCGTCTATTTCATCATAAGCCGGAAAATGCTCCGGAGGACCACGGAATGGGTACTTCCGAGAGTTCCAATCCAACTGAAAAAACTGTTCATTTCTCTGATCACCTAGAAGTTCGTACGGAGGAGGACGCCGGTAAGATGACGTTGTCTAGACTCAGATATTTTTTCCCTAGGTGTTGGGGTTCAGTAGTAGCCTTATGGGGTTATTCAAAGGAAGCAAACCAGCAAATTGCTACGGCCGTGGAAACCAAATATAGTGGTTTCTAGGCCATTGGCCTGTCCTCGTGGACAAGCAAGGCTAGCCAAGCGAGGCCCAAGCGAGCAGGGAGTTTTATGCGCCTTTGATTTTGAACTCGTAAATCGCTTCAACATTAAAGGCGCATGGAATTTCCTGCAAGTGTTCTGCTTGTCCACGATGACAAGCAAATGACCTAGAAAACTCCAGCATTTTTTGGCTGCCTCGGTCGCAGCGAATTGCTGATATCGCTTTGCTCTGAATAACCTTATAATATCTCATGTCTTTTCCAGAATCCCCGACCCCAGACCAACAACAACGTCGCAACTCGGCATCCGGCAGACGTCCATCGTTCCTCGCTCAAATGCGAGACCTGATTCATCCACGTAGCGGGAGTTTTGGATCTAGTATGTTCCGTCGTCCAGAAGCCACGCGTCGCGTTCAAGTAGCTGAGTGCAACGTGGAAGCTGTGTACGACTTGCGCGATAAACATGCACACTTCTACGACGATGACAGCGGATTCAGACGACCCAGATCGAATAGTTCGGATTTGTTGATCCTCAGAAAGACGTCGAGACCGATCTCGTTCAATGTGGTTGGAGTTATTGGTGAGTTTGAGGCTACTCAACTTCGAATTCTCTCAATCCTTGAAAATTTTCAGACCAAAAAACCGATCCATATCATCAGTATATGTCAGTGGTGGATGTCTACGAACTATGCCCGAACAACTCGAAAATCATCATCATCGACGCGAAGACTCCAGCCACTCGCGCGTTTCGTGTCATGCGTGATAACAACATCACCACACTCATCGTCTGGGATACCAGTGACACTGAACGCGTCCGTCGAAACATTCTCACTCTTACCGATTGTCTCCGTGCGATTCGAGATGAAAAGAAACCAATGCTAGGCCCAGATCTTACTGCCTGGGATATTCTATCTGAGAATGAAAAAAAACTGGTCAGCGTCTCAATCTCTTCGAAGATTTCGGAACTTTGCGAGGAGCTTCATCAGAATAGTTTGCATCGTGTCATCGTGCTGGATGATCACAAAGAAGTCGTCAGTATCATATCTGTTCGACGTGTTCTGATGGCTATTCATAAGCAGAATCGATCCATTCATTTTGCTCAATGGCTCTCCAAACCAATTGGAATGTCAGCGATTGGAACTTGGGAGGACGTGTGTGTGATTGGAAGAGATGAGACTGTCTACAGAGCAATGGAGGAGATGCTGGATCGTCATTATTCAGCTCTTCCAGTTGTCGACGCAAATCAGAATGTATGTCGGATTGCTTCTTCGGAGATGACCTATAATTTTTTCCAGGCCATCGGCGTTATCACGAAAACCGACATCTGCAAAGCGTTGCCGCGTAACTTCATCGAACCGAAACGCTGGCTGCAGGAGACTACTGTAGCTGATATGTTGCACATTTGCAAGAGTGAACTGTTCATTAGCTCGGCAGACAGTGTTGGACAAGTTCTGGACACATTGCTCAATGCTGATACTCAGAGTGCATTCGCCATTCATAACAATAAGGTGAGGAGGTCTTTCAATTTGATCGGCATTTGTTTAAATATTATTTTATCCATTTTTTGAAAGAGGAACTCCGATCAAAAATAATTTTTTTTTATGCATAAAATAAGTAGAAAAGTATGTAGATCCATATAGCAACAAAAAAGAAAAAAGCGAAAAATCGCAATTCTCGGCCTTTTCTGGAAGCTTCTAGAAGATACTCGAATCTTTTTTTCTAGTTCTCGCCAAAACTGAGAACTTCGGAAAAATAGTGTTTTTTTTTGCGAATTTTCGACAGAACAATTGATTTTTCTTCTTCAATTTTTTCGCAAAATGTTTAAACCTTTTTAGGTTTTTCAGCTATTTTCGAAGATTCTATTTCGATTTTTTCGATTTTTTTTGTCTGAAATTTGATAGAATTTGATGGGTGTTGGCGAAGATTACTGTAGATTACAGTAGAGAAATTATTTCCTTTTCTAGTTTTTTTACAGCTTTTCTGCATTTTGACGTGATTGTTTTTGAAAAAAAAACTGCAAAATGAAATGCTTTCTACAGTAACCTACAGTAATCTTCGCGAACGCCGTTCCATCAAATTGCAGACTAAAAATTTGGAAAAATCGAAAAAGAATCTTCGAAAATAGCTGAAAAACCGAAAAAAAAGTCTAAAATTTTTGCGAAAAACGAAGAAAAACTCAATTTTTCTTTCGAAAAATCGCAAAAAAAACCGGCTAATTTTTTTGAGTTTTCAGTTTTGGCGTGAATTCAAGAAGCTTCCAGAAAGAACAAAATCTGATTTTTTTGCCTTTTCAAGCGATTTTAGAGATTTTGCGAATTTTCAAAAATCGAAAATTGAGGCGTTTCGAAATTCTGAAATTTCAAAAATCCATATTCCAGGTGATCGGCGTTATCTCTCTCACTGACTTCCTCACTCACATTCTTCGCTCTCCATTGGCCACCACCGACGAGGAACCACCACAACCAGCGATGCCGCCAACCCCGGAATCCAACTCGAGTAGCACCGAAAACATGGCTCATAAATTGTAAAAATCTCATACCGCATCCCGTTTTACCCTGTTTCCCCAACCACCTGTTTTAATATATATTCAAAATCTCGGTTTTTTTTTGTTTTCCCTCGCTTTTGTTTTTGATACAACAACCACACACTCGTACCATTTTCCTTTTCTGTAATAATCATATTCTTGTTTCAGCCCCAATTTTTCTTCTTCTGAACCATCTCTTTTCGAAAAACCCCTCTAGAGCTTTACCGCTACCTCTCTCCACTTTTATCTATACCCTTTCCACCTCTCCTCTCTTCCATCCATAATAATGTACTTACCTGTTTTCCAAATCTCCATTTCCTGGTTTCTTAGAAAATTATCATTAAGAAGCTTGATTTGACTAAAAAAATTTTTTTTTGAGTAATTTGGCAGGAAATTCGCCAAAAGACCCAGTTTCAGGGAAAGTTTCACAATCTCCCAGAGCACTCTGAAATAACAAAGATCAGCTGAGGTGTCCACAGGAGATGGCTCAAGCATGGAAAAGGTTTTGATTTTTTGTTATTTTAATTTAATTTTTTAAATTTAGTAATTCTCATTTTTTTCAAATGCTGAACTTACTAATTTGAATTTCGGTTCATCTTATTTCAAATTTGTAACAAGCTAATTTGCTCCAGGTGCCAAAGATTCCATTATTGATCGTTTTAATTTTACTCCTTTTTAGCTTTTTTCTAGCGAATTGATTTTTTGTAGATTTTCGTAAATAATTTCACAGGTTTCGATAACTGACTACCGTATTTCCTCTAATAGGCTTCAATTAGAGGGTGAGCTTCTAGTATTCAATGATTTATTTTTAAAAAGTTTTTTTCGAAATTTCAGAAATTTGACAATTCGAAAGTTAAGAATTCTGAAATTCGGTGTTTTGGAAAATTGAAAATTTTCATTCTGCAATTCTAACTTCCAAAATTCCGAATTTGTGATATTCTGAGATTTATTTTTGAATTCCGAAACTTAGAAATTAGGAAATTGTCGAGTTCTAAAATCACAGTTCTAATAGAAGCGTATGGGCTTCTATTAGAGGTTAGGTTCAAATAGAGGTGGGCTTCTATTAGAGGAAAATGGTATCTAATACAGGGCGACAGTTTATTACGGGAACATACTTAGCGCGTTATAAAAACAGTCAAACAAGAGATATCTTAACAATTCTTTTTATTGAACAACAACTATTAGTCTAGGCATACATAGAATGTTAGGAAAGGTTTTCGAATTGGCCTTCTTTCTGGGACGGACAGCAGAGGCCCGGGTTCCCAGAGTTTTCATGGTTTTCCTGGTTCCTTCGTCATTAACAATTAAAATAAGGATTTATAATTAAAGAACTCTATTGATGTGAAGAAAAAACAGGATTTTGTTCGGATTTTGTGTACTGTACTAGCCAGACAAATGTAGTCTGTTGATCCCTCTCGCCACGTAGAGGCTCAGTACATGAAAGGGAAAATGGTTTTTTTACCAGGGAAAAAACCAACCAAAAATCCCATTGTCCGCAGTCTGATCCTCAGCATGAGTGGCGAGCCCTGTTCTAGTGATGCTGCCTTCCAGTGAACCGTAGAACACTGACCGACTAGACCACCAGCCCATTGCCCACGCAGACCTGCCTCCCAAACCTTGAACTGTGCTCGCAGTCTTATCCTCAGCAAGAGTGGCGAGCCCTGTTCCAGTGATGCTGCCTTCCAGTGAACCGTGGAACACTGACCGACTAGACCACCAGCCCATTGCCCACGCAGACCATATTTTGTTACACACGAGATATTGTTCTAGCTCAGTTAAGAGAAAACATGAAAAAAAGGAACTAGTTGCCAACCTAATAGTTCAAATGGGTCTTGTCACGTGTTGAAAAAAAAGGTGGAGCAAAATGCATGTCTAGAAGTTGAAAATAAGTTATTTGAATAAACAAAAAGTTGGTTTAGGAGAAGGAAGAAGGGTAAAGAAAAAAAGAGGGGAATTATAAAAATATACCGTATTTCCTCTAATGGAGGTCCACCTAAAGCATTAACTTAGAGCTCAATTATCTCAATTCTTGTAAAAGATACCAAAAATTTGTCATCTAATAAAGTGTTTAACATAGGTTTACCAATATTTTATCAGTTGACGAGTTTTTGATATCTCTTACCGAGTTTGAGATAATTGAGCTCAAAGTTGACAGTTTAGGTGGGATTCTATTAGAGTTTAGGTGGGATTCTATTATGGTGACAAACAAAAGGCAATTTTCAAATTAAAATAAATTGAATTACTACCCAAAAGTAAAAATAAAATGAAGGAGAAAATATCCAAAAAGATTGCTTTGTCTAGCCGAAAATTCAGAATTCCGAATTCAAAAAAAATTCCGGGAAATTTTTGATTTTAGAACTTTAAATTTGGTCAAATAGAAAATGTGTTGGTAGATCAAATAACCATTGAAATCTTCAAAATCTCGTCAACTCCTTAAAAATCCCAAATATTTTCAAATTTTAGGTCAACTGAAACAATACAAAAATATCGAAATTCAAAGGTTTTTAGCCTTAAGAGACAAGAAAAAAAACACAAAAAACACAAAAAAGAAGCGAAATGATTTATCACAAAAAGACACTCATTAAAAATCAAGATTTTCAGAGTTCTAATTATATCAAAATCGTTTTGAGAAGTCTCCAATGAACGTGAACCACAAGATTTCGAGGCATAGTTTACTCGGCAGCTGACAGCTTGATGATCGTCTCTCCGCAGAGTTCACCAACTGGTTGTCCAGTGGCGAATGAGGCTTTCGGATCACGGCACGTTTGCTCGACCGACGCGAATTGAATGATCAGACGATCAGCTTGCGGTTTTCCGGGCTGCAAAATTAGACTGAATTTTTTGTTATTATTTTGATTGGTCACCTTTCTGGTGATGATCAAATCGGCAGTGAAACCGATTTGAATTAATCCATAGATGGTGTTGACGCTGTAGTTGGAGTTGTTGGATGATTTGACCTAAAAACTTTTTTTTGAGATGATTGCGATCGAAGCTCTGAGTTCACCTTATAGGCCAACATCTTATCACAATGATTGATGATTTGTGTTTGGAAGTTCCGCCGTTGGCCTGAATCGGACAGACGGGTGGATCTTAAGACAACTCGACTCCCATATTGGGACAATTGATCGCACTTCAAGAACTGATTTGGTGATTTTCAGATTGATTGAGCCAGCAGGAAGGAGATCTTATCGAGTCAACAGTCGGCTCCACGTGTTGAGTGGAAAAATGGGGGTGACAACGTTTACTTATGCAATAGTTAATTAATCAATTAATATTCTCTAATTTTAAATATTTTTTTTTGGCGTAAATCCACGTATTCAAAAAATCAGTTCCCTGTGAAATCCCCCTCGTCGAACTTTATTGTTGGATAATTTTCACTAGCACTTTCTCACTGGTAAGAAGCTCTTTGCATTTCGCTGCTTATTGTTGTTTCTTTTGCTTTTTTCTGTCGATTGGTCCGAGGCGAAAAAAGTACTAAAAGGCCCTAAGGGTCGCCATGTTTCGGGGTTCATGGCTAGGTGATTTATCACTGAACGTCCCCCAGTAGCAAGAGATTTTATCAAAGATTAAAAAAATTGAGACAACAATGAAAAGCGGTATGCAATGTGGCTTCTTATCAGAGAGAAGGAGCTTTTGAAAATTAACCGGCAATGGTCTCCGAAAAGAGGGGTTTTTTCGGGTGACTTCTTGTTGCTTTTTTTGTTATAGGATGGGGGACCCCTCCCTCCATTCCCTATGGGTTTTAGAAGGTGATCCCATTGGCAAAAAACCTTGTTTCCCTTTCATGTACTGAGCCTCTACGTGGCGAAAGGGATCAACAGACTTTCTAGTCTGGCTAATCAGTACACTATTCGAAACTTGTTACTTTTCATGACTTGTCATTCTTATAATGTTGTATCAATAAATAAATGAAGTTGTGTTTCTTTCTCTGTTTGTTTGTTTGCAACTTTGTTCAAACATTTTTAAAAGCTTGGAAATTGAATATGAGTCGACGTTTTCAGAAATAGTTAGGCGCGGTGCGACGAACAGTGAAAAAATAAGTCAAATCGTAACCAGAAAAACGGACCTGGATTTCTAGTTGAAATTCCTAGTTTTCAGCAGTTGGCCGATTTCTGAAAGAACCCTGTTTTTTCCCGTTTTCAGTACAAAAACTAGGCAAAAAGAGGTGCCCTTCAGAAATCGGCAAATAGCTGAAAAACTAGGAGGTTTCAAAAAATTATATGAATGCATATTCTCAATCTAGATCTGTTCCACTCTCTCTAAAATTTTCAAAGGGATCGGAAACTGGACAAGCGAACTCCAGACTCTTAAAAAAATCTCAATTTTCTTCCCTAGAATGTGTTTCCAATTATAATACTAATGATAACAATAAATCATGATTCTTTACAAATTCCTTATTAAATGGAATCCCGGATTCCGACTCCGACCGAATGTCTGTCAGTTTGTTCAAGATGGAATTCAGGAACTTGATAAGAAAATTTTTCGACTTCTTCTTCGTTTTTCAAACAAGCCGAAAGGGTCTTATCTCAAATAAATTTTTGAATAACATATTCCCCTTAAAATTATCAGTTCAGTTTCTCGCTTATCTACCACTCCCTTAATTGATTTATGAATTTTTAAAGGTTTTCCTTTTCCGAGGAAGATGAAAATATGTTGAAAAGATGTAGGAGAGAGGTGCTCTGGAATTTGTGCTCAATTCTTATGAAATTTTTCAGTTGGGTGGGGTGTTAGTGTTTCCGGATGATGATAATTAGTTTACTTTGATGCGGAGAAAGAGCACAAAAAACGATCTGGAAAAATGTTTAATGAAAAAATCGTATTATTTCTTGAATCACTATTGGAAGATAGATAAAGTTGAAGGTCTAAAAATGGGAGTTTATCCTATTCGAAAAATGCCGAAATTTGCTAAGAATGTTCTGTTATAGAAGTCCGCCCAAACCGTCAGCTTTAAGCTCAATTATCTCAATTCCTGTGAGAGATATCAAAAAGTTGTCAACAGATAAATTATTTATCATAAGTTCACCAATATTTTATCAGTTGATGAAATTTTGATATCTTTCACAGGAAAGGAGATAATGGAGCTCGAAGTTTACGATCTGGGTGGCTTTTATCAGAGGAAATACATTATCTGAAACTTCTTGGCTGGAAAAAATATCGGTCAAATTTGTGAAACTGTGTCCCCATTTCCCCTCTCCTCACAACCATTTTTTTTGTTAAATTTTTGAACTCTTCAGAACATTTTTTTTTCAGAAATCACATATTATTTGTGTTCCAGCTTTAAAAAACCCAAAGTTCAAGAAAAGAGTGATATCACCTGGAACTTGAACACTTTCAATTATGTCATAATTACTAGACTTTGAGTTGGATGATGTAGTGTATTAACATTTTTATTTGATCATTCGAATTTGCAAATTTTCGTTCCTGGTTCCCTAATTTTCACCTGAAGTGGATAATTTCCAGCTTGCTCACATATGAAATTTTTCTTTAAAAAATAAAATCGGCAAAAAAAATTTTGTTACTTAAAAAATTTACTTTGCTCATCCTGGAAAAGTTTGAAAAAAAAAAATTCTGTCTTGGCAAACATTTCTAAGGAAACATACCGTAAACACTCTAATAAGACGACTTTCTAACTTTCAACTGTAAGACAATTTATCTCTGTTCATGTGAAAGATATCAAAAAGGTGTCAACTGGTAAAATATTTTTGACTTCATAATAAACATTTTGTCAGTTAACCACTTTTTTTATATATTTTATAGGAAATGGGATATATGGGCTCAAAGTTGACGATTTGGGAGCTTTCTGTTAGAGGTTTTACGGTGATTGCGCTCAGACCGAGATAAAGATGCTGAGAAACACCGAATTCTGAAAATATTGATATCATTCTAAACTCTTGAAAATTGGATATAATGAACATTTTCAGGATTTCAGAGTTTTCATTTCAGAAAAAGATAATCTAGTTTTCTGAATTTTTCTTAATATCCCTTCTAAAAATTCCCCGCGTCATAAATTCGAATTGTCGTCTGAAATATAAGGATGAGAAATTCCAGAAAATTCTAACCCAATTCTTGGAAAAAACATTTATCTTGCTCATCCTATGCATATTATTTCAGAATTTCAAAATATTTTTGAAAAATTCAATTTCTGATTTTTCAAAGTCCACAGTACTTTCTAGAACTAGCAATTTCCATAAAAGTCATGTTTTAAGTTTTGCAGAACCTAATCTAAAACAAATATTTACATTATTTCGAGAGTTTCTGATTTTTAACATTATTCACATACCGTAAAACCTCTATTAGAAGGGCTCCTCTAAAAGAAAGGTCCACCGAGAGGGGCTCGGAAGAATAAAAGGGTCCTCTCTAATTGAAGGGCCTCTGTAATAAAAAGCATCTCCGGGGGTTCCTTGGAACAATAGAAGGGTCGGCCCTTCTAATACAGGTTTTACGGTATCATGGACCTAATAACTGAAATCCCGAAACTAATTTTCAAAAATTAAGATCAACAAAAAAGGAATCAGAGAACGTATCACTTTTCTAGTTTGGTGTTTGTTTTTCAAACGCGTTTTGTACGCCGGCAAAGCGTAGGGGGTAAAACAGATGGATTGTTTGGACTGTTCTTTTTCTCGCTGCAGTAATAGATAGGTCGCTATAAATAAAAAGTGAGGAGATTTAGCGAAACAATGACGTTTCGATTTTGACAATTGCACACTCGGAACAATATTGTGATTAGCAAACAAAATAGCTTGTGTGTGTGGGGTCAAAAATTCAATGTGATGTGATTTATGGGAATTTGTAGCCGCCTACACTGTGTGGATGTTTTGATTAGAATGAAGTGATCTTGTCACTGACCATATTTGTTTTTTGCATACTTGTAAACCGAGCTTTTGCGGGCTTTACATAGTTTCTGTTGAAATCAATTTTTTGGGCCAACTGAACCAGTAATGATAGAACTCGATGAGTACTACAAAATGCCTGGCCGGCGCGGCTCGGCAGGGCACGGTCATTTTATGACTTGTAACTTTGTTCATAGACATGACCCAGTTTTCCAACTAGTAGTATTCTGTAGTACTCGTCGAGTTCTATCATATCTATTTTAGTTGGTTCAAAAATATCAATTCTAAAAGACACTATGACAGGACTCGCGAAGGCCCGGCAAGGCCTGGTTCACAAGTATGGGTTTGGGATTTTTTCCATATGGCCGAAGGTCCCAAAACGACAACTATCGTAACCTAAAAATATTTAACACATCAAAGAGTTCATTTAAATTTTAAGAGAGCCGTAGAGAGTTAGAATGTCTCGTTGTCGGCGCTTGCAGCCTTTATGACTTCAAACGACTGTATCTCTTGTTCTAGAGGTTCTAGAAATCTGATTTTTGAGCAAACATGATTCTTATTAATTGATAAATTGTTTAAAGGGTACATGTCAACGAAAAAACTTTGGCGATCCAGAAGAACTCGGCTGTCGGCGCCAATGCAAATCTCTGAGCACATTATTCTGTATATTAGTTAAGACTTGTGGGAGACATGTGCAAGACTTGTGGTAGGGGTGTCCTAGACTTGTGGGAAGCTTGGCCAAGTCTTGTATTTTACGAAAATAACAGAAGCAACAAAAGTCTCCCACAAGTCTTGTGCAAGTATTGGCGCCGAAAGCCGAGAATGCATGTTTCAGCACATCAGCCAAGTTTCTAAGTTTCAATTTTGACATTATCATCTTGATGGTTTCTTGCTAAATTTGAGTAAAAAATATTGCTAATGTGCGGAGGAGCGCACTACACGTCCTTATTCCCTAATCAGTTCTCGAAAAAGTTTGCCTGACTTCTGCTTTCGCCGAAAATCAGAAAACCGGTGAGACATTCTTCCTGTCCATGTGTTCGTAATACGTCTATAATAACTCCGTGTCAAGTCTTATCGAAACTCAACGTTGCAATTAATTTTCTCTCTCTCTCTCTCAAAAAGGCAGAGAGTGATAAGACATAAACGTTAAATCATATTGGAGATTGCGGCGGAGTCTAGCTTTTCAAAGAGAAACCCCCTGCGGATGTTTGTCTTCGTGTTTTAAATCATAACCTAGAGTTTGGTATTAATAGTAATAGGATTAATTATTTTTTGAACAATTTTCTTCAGTTTTTCATATTCTTGAAAACTTTAGAAAAAAATCGAATCAAAATTTTGAGTCTAAATTTTTTTCTGAAAGGATCTTTATGTCTAAAATTCCGGTCAGTTTTTATCAAACCTCCTAAAATTCTAATCTTTGCTCATTCTTATTTCGTTTTGCGGGTTTGCGGTTTTCGAAATCAGCAATCAGAATCATGCAAAACAGATAAGAACTATAGTTGTAACCGCAAAACGACTTGGTGCTCATCATTAAAGAAACTAGATGACGTCGTTATCAAAAAAGTTTGAACTGTAGATATGTTTAATTTTATCTTAAATTCAGTCACTTTTGATAACTGGAATAGAAGACATTGTTGACTTTTCTAGCTCAACTTTTTCTGGCAGGTATTTTTTCGGATTTCTGAATTCTCTAAAATTCAAAAATGTCCTTTTGAAACATTACCGGAAACAGTTCACTTTTTATGTGACCACAAATGTTTCAACCTTATCAATTTTCCTCATTTCCAAGTAAAAAAAAGACAAAAGTGACTGAGGAAATAAACTATGAACCTATGAGGAAATAAACTATGAACCTAAAATTACTCTTAGGGGTAAAAAGTTTTAATAGAAAAAGCTTGAAAAATTTTGCAATTGTTTTTCTTACAATAATTTTCAATTTGACCCAAATTAACATACCGTAAAACCTGTAATAAAAGATGCCTCTTAAATTTGAACTTTGAGCCAATTTATCTCTGTTCCTGTGAAAGATATGAAAAAGTTGTCAGCTAACAAAACATTTTTGATATTTTGATAAACATTTTGTCAGTTGAAATTTTTTTGATATCTTTCACAGGAACCGAGATACATTTCTTAGAAGTAATCAAAATGCTGCAGCCGCATGACCTTGCATACTACACAATTTCCTCTAACACAGGTAAAATGCGAACGGATCAGTTACGGACGCTCAGCGTTCGCGCGCGGTTGAAATAAGAACCGCATACGGACCGCACGCGACCCGTTTTCAGAAAACCACAGCACATTATTTCGTATTTCTCCGTATTCTATCCGTTTGCGAACTCCGTATCCGATCCGATTGCGAATGATAAACAAACGGATCNGTTCGCGANCTTAAACTTTTGTCTGATTCGCGAACGGATCCGTTTGTCCATCATTCGCAAGCGGATCGGATACGGAGTTCGCGAACGGACAGAATACGGAGGAATACGGAATAATGTGCTGTGGTTTTCTGAAAACGGGTCGCGTGCGTTCCGTATACGGTTCCTATTTCAACCGCGCGCGAACGCTGAGCGCCCGTAACGGATTGTTCGCGAATTACCTGCGATAGAAGCCCTCCCAAACTGTCAACTTTGAGCCCATATATCTCATTTTCTGTAAGAGATGTCACAAAGTGGCCAACTAATGAATTGTTTATCATATTATCAAAAATTTTTTGTTAGTTGACTACTTTTTGATATCTTTTACAGAGACCGAGATATATGAGCTCAAAATTGACGATTAGGGTGTCACTCTATTAGGCATATTGCGAACTTGGAATAAATGCAAAATTAAGATATCAGAAAAAATTGGAAAAAGAAGTTCTATCACTTCAAAACCAAAAGAATTTTATCAATAACCAATTTCTCATTTTCCCTCCAAAAAGTGCACATCCCAGGTGAAACTTCCTATTCCCCCCCGAAAGGCGGAGCGATAGGATCCTATGAGTATTCCTTCCCCTCTTGTTAGTCATTTTGTTCCTTTTTTACTATTACTATATCACCCCGCCTAACAAAAAAAAACAAACTCTTATCACTTTTCTCTATTTCAGGTGGTGGGCGGAGTCTCAAATGCTCTGCGAACTCAAGGCGACCATTCGATATATAAAATGTTTTTGATAGCAAAATTCCTCATACCTCTATGGCAAGCAGCATCAGACCTACCATGAGCATCGCTACGAAACATTTTTTGATTATACTTCTTTGCCACGTGGCACTTTCTATTACTGGTATTCAAGCTAATTCAATAAGAAGGCATCCCATTATCATGGTCAAATGTGGGGAACGACCTGTATCTGGTGCAAATGTTCAATTCATTGAATATGAAAATTGTGAGTTTAAAGAAAAAAAAAATTGAAACTTTAAATGATGTTTTTTAACTAACATAAAATCAAGTCGTCAAACTCCAAAATTTAAAAAAAAGTCCAAAAACTCACCCATTCACATTTCCAGTACACTACAAAGACGAACATCAGGATTTTCGTGACGTTACCGACAAACACGGCCATTACCATTTCAAAGAAGTCGACGCTTTGGACAGTTTGAGATCTTCTGAAAATGAAATCAGAATCAGTATAAAGGACATTTGTAAGCTGGATACAGTGAAACATGTAAGTTTTTGATGTTGACCTTTTGAGGGATTCTTTAGAATGTCAGTTAATTAAAATTCTTAGCATGCCAACCCACCGTAAAACCTGTAACAGAAGGGCCCCACACATTGTCAAGATCATTTAACTCGGCTCTTATAACAGAAATCAAAAATGTGTCAACTGCTAAAATATTTGTGATATTCTGATACATAATTTATTAGTTAACGACTTTTTTATATCTTTGACAGGAACCGAGAAAAATTGGCTCAAAGTTGAAAGTGAGGGGGGAGGGTATCACAGGTTTCAGAGCCCACACTTTCCAACTTCATTCTATAATAGCTTCATCTAACTTTTCGAAAATTTTCAGGATTGCAATCTCCCGTACAATCACTTCGAAGTTCCCATCAAAACGATTCCGTTCGTCGAAAACCAACAACTGCTTCTCGATCTCACCGACTGGAAATTCGACACAAAGTGTATCTAAACCTTCTGATGATTCTAGAATTTTCCAATTTTCTCCGCTACCATTTTCTAGTTTATTTATCATTTTTCTTGTAATTTATTTCAATTCCTACGGGTCTGAATTGCCGGACAAAATTCATAATTCTGTGATTTACAAAAACATGTCAACGAGCTTTAAAGTATCATAAATTGTTTGTTAATTGTACATTTTCTGTTATTCTGTCATATTTAAACTAGGTGAGCCAGCAAAAGTTTGGGGTACAGTTTGGGGAACAAAATCGCACCGAGTTCATGTTCGCCATCATTAAACCTTGCCCGTGTAGCTAAACCGCACTGTATCCCTGAATTGTCCCTCATGAGTTCAACTTCTTATGGGCTTCTCTAGGCAAAATATCTAAAAAACTTTTTTTATGCCTTCATAATGCTCCAAACTCCTTTAAACTCCAAACTTTTTGATGCTGAAATTTCAACACTCGAACAAAATTCGACATGTGAGGGAGAGTGGCTGACGTTTTCTGATTATTTGGCGCCAAATGACCGATAATAAAGGTGGTGACAATTTCCTTCCAAAACCGCAAACAGTCAACAGCGACTTTTTCCTCATTTTAAAGCAATATTAAGAAATCGAAGTGTCGGAAACGGAAATCTAAAAATTTGATTTCAAAAATATTGTTTTAGAAAAGAGCTTGAATATTTTTGTGTGGGTGAAATAGAAATGCCATTGACCATAATAAAACTATTTCAGCTTGAATTGCCATTCACAGTTTTTTGAATCAAAATGTTTTCTAGCTTCTCTAGTGTCTCCCTTCCTAATAATTACTTTCTGTTATTGTCGGAATAAAAAAAGTTAGACTCGGTGTTTGCGTACTTTGATTCCCGCCTCCCCCCACCGACGCTCCGCCCATCGCTTTGCAAGTGCGGCGTGGTGTTTTGGCGCTACTTGGGAGATCATCGGATTTAATGAGATTTTCATAGAAAATATGATCCCCCAGTGGCGCGCCAAAACACCACGCCGCACTTGCAAAGCGGTGGGCGGAGCGTCGGTGGGGGGAGGCGGAAATCAAAGTACGCAAACACCGAGTCTCACTTTTTTTATTCTGACAATATGTAATCCAAGCACAATTCCCATAATTGAAACACTAAAAAAATCAAGGGTGTGTCAGGGTGGGGAAAAACACTACGAAAAGAGTTTCAAAGCTGTGATAAGAGAAAAGTTATCAGTGTTATGGTATGTCAACTAGAAATATTGAGTAAATCGTTTATAGGATTATCATTGATCAGGTAAAAGATGAAAAAAAACTGTGTGATGGTGGCAAAGCAACACAAAGCAAGATGGCTTTACTTCTAAATTTCCTCTAAATATGACAAATGATATACCCATTTCACTTTTCTTTGACTATGATGTTCAAAAAAACACTATCGCATGAAGACTTGAAAGCGAGAAAATAGAATCCCATCGGACTAAAGTAAGAGACAGAAAGTCATCTTGAACTACGGTGCCGCGCAGAGATAATGTTCTTTTCAGGACCTTCTCGTTTGAGCGCATCCGCATACCCATCCGCATACGTCTTAATCCGTACCGTAAAACGTGTACTTAAAGGCACTCTGTCAAGTTTGAGCTTAACTATCTCAATTCCTATGCAAGATATCAAAAATATGCCAACTGACAAATCACTTCTGATATTATGATTAATAGGCTATTAGTTGCCAACTGTTCTATATTTTTGACAAGAAACAAGATAAATTGGTTCCAAGTTAAAAGTCAAAGGATCTTTCTATTACAGGAGTTACGGTATGTGCTTCTCTTGGCGTGGGTGACTCCAGTAACCCGCCTAATGAGTACAAAGTCTTCTCGAGGGCTGTGATCGAACTTTGTCTTTCTTGTGACACGTTGGTCATTGTTGGGTGCTTGAAACTAAATAAACATTGTAATGTCCCGAGTCAGAAGAAATAGGAATCGGCGCCAGTTAGTCTGAGGCGGTGCATTCTGCTAGATTTTCCTCAGAGAGGTTTCGAAACATTACAAGATTTCCAGTTAGCCTAGTAGGGAAACCGAAAATAAGAAAGTTCGATTTTATTCACTATCAGCCAAAAACAAGTTCCAAAAAATCAACAAATTTGGTATGGGTGTACTGCTTCCTAAAAGTGACATCAAACCATAAACGTCAAAAACAAAATCTCGAATATTAAACTAGTTGATAACATTTTGATATCACTCCCAGATAGTTGAAGCTCCAGTTGGGACATGGTACGTTTTTCTGATCATTAAATAAGTTATGCTGAAAAGATTTGGGTCAAAATGAAGGCACATATTGACCCCGTGAACTTCCGAATATGACTGAAAATGCGATTTCCAGCTAGCAGGTCTTCATTCTCTCCCTCTTCTAGAAAAGAACCTATGAAACTATACTTTATCTCGTTTTTTGTTATAACTGCAATTTGTGATCAAAAACAGTACTATGAAAAGTACGGGATAAACTTTAATGAAGGTTAGTTAGTTTTGAACAACAGTATCTCCCGAAACTTCGAAGGTTTTCAGAAACCGAATTCGAATTTCTTCGCTACGAGAATTTTCATTATGATGATGGGCCAATTGCTACTATCGATAGCACAACGTGTGAAGCTGCGAGATTACTGTGTTATGATTACTTAAGATGCGATTACAACTGTGAGGATCGATTTGTGCCAAAGTGGGGGCAAGAGAGAGAAGTGGAAGATCGGGAGGTAAGAGTTTTTAGAAAGTGTGCTCTCATGAACATTACCGTAGAACCTGTATTAGAAGAGCCCCTCTAATAAAAGGGCCCTCCGAGAGGGGCTCGGAAAAATAGAAGGGCCCTCTGCGAAAAAGAACCACCCTTCAAAATATGTTTTGAAATCAGAAAATTTCCATACTTTTTCAGTGGAAAATATTCCTGGAACTCCACAATTTAATAGAAACTTGTTGAAACTCTATTTTTCGATGAAAATCTTGTTAAAATTGGAAAAAATTGACAGATCATGAATTTTGAACGAAACTTCGTCGAATTTTTCGATGCTAAATTTCGGAAATGAACTGGTTGGAAAAATAGAAGAATCCCCTCTAATTGAAGGGCCCCTGTAATAGAAGGGCACCCCGGAGGTACAATGGAACAATAGAAGGGCCGGCCCTTCCAATACAGGTTTCCCGGTATCTGGCCGAAAGGTATCAAACGCTATTCTAAGATATCTAACGCAGTTTTTTTTCGATGGTCCATTTTAAAATTTTCCAAGTTCCTCATTTTCTCCAGTTTTTTTTTTCAAGACCACCTAAAAAATGTTCGCTTTCTCACGCACACACAACCCAGACACAGAATTGGAATAAGTTAATAAAGATTAGAATTTTAAGAGGGGTGTGGTATTCATGATAAGACGAACAGTAAATACAAGGTAATTAGTCATATAGGAAATGGAATTCCGAGCACGTGGGTGAAGGAAAAACTGTACATTTTGGGGCTTGAACACAATGATTTGAAATCTGATGTAACGTTTTGAGTTTTAACAGTTGGATAATTTTGTGCTCCCAAACCTATGGTTAGATACCTTCTATCAAAAAACGGACCCGACATCTCATGGAACCACTTTTTTATCTTCGAAAGATAGCTCAAAAATTCTCTACTACAGAAAACTTTTCAGAAAATTGAACAACTTTTCCTAGTTGAAATAAACAAACTTGCACTTTGAGCTCAATTATCTCAAGTTCTGTAAGCGATATCAAAAATGTGTCAACAGATAAGCGGTTTATCATAATATCACCAACATTTACTTAGTTGACAAATTTTGGATATCTCTCATAGGAACCGAGATAATTGAGCTCAAAGTACACGGATTGGTTTAGATTGGATGATTTACGGTGATACTTTTGACAGGAACCAATGCATCAATGGTCCCGGTCAATTGAAGGCAATCTTGAAAAACCTATTTTTACGATTAATTTATTTCTTCAATGTTTTTCAGCTTCCTCTCGCCAACCCTTGTGTTCTGACGCAGTACAAATGCTACGGAGTTCAAAACCTAGAAATGGCAAAATTTTTCAAGAAAGATTTTTAAACTCAATAAAACTTTGTAATTGTGAAAACAGCGTTTAAAGGAGCCTAACACAAAAAATTGCAAAAATTCATACACCAATTCGTCCTTCCTTTCAGACTCCCTGATAACGTTTCTTATCAGTTAAACTGACTAGATATAGACAATTTTTTGTTCAAGTTTCGCAAAAAAAATGGTATGAATCATACCTGGAAAGAGGTGAAAATAATAAAAAAGGAAGGGAAGAAAAAATAGGAAGTAAAATGTTCCATGAGTTAGGTGGCCATGCTTTGAAAAGATCAATGACTCTGCTCGTGATAATACAAAGGAAGAAAGTTGATATTTTAGAGGAACGAAAATGTGTGGTGTTGATTGGACACTAAATTTTTAGTTTTATTCGGTAGACCTCAATATTTTCAAATCAAACTAATTAACTATAAAGATTCTATCGTTTTCTGGCAACCTAAGCTGTATTCCGTATTTTCTCTAAAAGAAGCCCACCCAAACAGTCATCTTTGAGCCCAATTATGTCGATCCCTGTGAAAGATATCAAAAAGTTGTAAACTGATAAGTTATTCATCATACTATCACCAACATTTTATCAATTAACAATATTTTGATATCATTCACAGGTATTGAGATAATTGAGTTCAAAGCTGACGGTTCGGGAGGAGCTTGTTCTGACTATCAGAAACGGTTACATAAGCCATTCTCAGTTTTCGGAAGCTTATTGAAAATTTCCAGAGCTCCAATGTCAAAAACTCTCTCGCCACCAATTTTTTGTGTCCTCTAGATCTATTAATTTTAAGCATAATGTTACATATTAGGTTTTTATCCTCTTATGTCAATCTAGCATGCCCAACCAAACACACTCACAAATCGGATTTCTATTCCTCTGAAAAAGACCGGTTATTCATCACCAAGCTGTAGAGAGAAAGAGGGATTTCCACTATCTCTTCCCCACCGTTTTCCCTTTTTTTGGAATTAGTTTTTTCCACCCAGTTACGCAATACACACATACACATATACTACTCTCGTCATAGTTCAGTGAGTTCTTTTATGGCACCGCGCGTTTTATGAAGATTTGCTTTTTATTGTAACGGACGCTTATTGGATACTTGGAATCACTTTTTTTTCAATAGTTCTTGGTATTCTTATCATTAAGAATTTCCTACATCAAAAATCCTCTAATCTCCCCTTTCCGTATTCTGTGTTTTACCAATTTTGTCACATTTTGTTTTGTTAGTTGTTCTCTTCTCTATTTTTTTTCGAAAAAATCTCTGCTAGTCTTTCTTATCGAATTTCACTGAAACCACTTTAGCAAACGAGACAATAGTCAATAACCAAGGTCAAACTGACAAGAAAATGGAGACTATCATCATGGTCAATCGACCTTCTAGACCCCTTTACGTAATGGAGAATAAACCATAAAGTGTCGCCTTATTCGGGAAATACGACATTATACTGTTCAATGCTTCATTGGGCCTGACCTCTAGTTTTTTAGGGGCTACGACTAGATGGTCATCTGGATTTTTAAAAATAAGTAGTGTTGTCCTTTTGAATTTTCAAGTTTCACGACAATGCATGATTCCCTTTATACAGTTCAAAATTATACTGTAGCCTCTATTGCCTTAAACACTCTTATAGAAGACCACGCTATAATTGCACTTTAACCTCAATTATCTCAAGAACTGTAAGAGATATCGACAATGTGTCAACTGATGAAATGTTTGTCATAAAATCACAAACATTTTATTAAATCAATTTTTTGAATATCTCTCACAGTACTTGAGATAATTGAACTCAAAGTGCAAATAAAATATGATCATCTTTTAGAGTGTTTACGGTATACGATGTCTTTCTGGACTTAATTGTCTCATATGAAAAATATCAAGAAAATATCAATTAATAAAAAATTTTAATCTTATACAAAATCTTTTCGTCAGCTCAGCGTTTCCTAAACCCCTTTAGGAACAGCACCCATACAGTTCGAAAAAAACCAATAAACTTTCATTTTCTTGATTGCCAATTTTCAAAATGTTTCTCTAATTCGAAACTATAAGAACTTCAAAATTTCAAAAATCAGGTCCACTAATCTAAATTATCTTCCTCGTGTTCAGTAAGTGGGCCCAGAAAAACTATTAGTGTCCAGAGACTAAAGATGTGTTATTGGATTAGTTCGAAAAGGCTATGAAATTGGAGAATTCTTGGAAATTTTTAGGAAAGTGTTCAGAACAGTTTTGAGGTAACTGGAGACATAGTTCAGAGTGGTACACTTCAGAAATTCAGATCACCTCGTTTGAACTTTTCAGCTTAAATTTTCACTACCTGTCAGCTTAACGTTCCTCCAAAAGTCCCAAACCATATTCCTATTTCCGGTCACCAAGTTTTTTTCATTTCCACACAACTACATTTTTATGTCACCTTTCTCCAATCGGTTCACCCAATTTAATTTCCTGTTCCTAACTTTTTCTTTTTTCGACGGAAAAAGTGAAGGTGTGGGCGGGAAGAAAAAAGAAAAAAAGACCCACGCACTTTTTTTTGGAATTTCCATTCCATTTAGTGATTGGTTTGGATCCTAGGAACTTTTGGTCTTTCCGGAGGCGACAGTTTTTCTTTCGTTTCTAATCAAGAAGAAGTTTTGATTCTAGATTCTGCAAGTACATAAAGTTTGCCCTCTTCCTTTTGCAGGATGCGATTTCCGGCCATATCCATATCCTTATCATTCTCTCACCTTTTTTTATTCGCAACACCTTTTCCCTAATATCCACAAGTCTCCTGGAGATTCTTCTCTATCTTTGCTGCTTCGGCTTTCTTCCCGCTTCTTCTTCCTCCAGAATTGAATCTCATTGTCCTCAAATCGTCGTCTTCTATTCCTCTGTTTCTCTTGGATCCGAATCTGTTTTCTCTCGGTCACTCTTGGCTATTCAACGATATTTTCGACCCTCTCATTCCAATGTCTTTTCATCAGAGGATGTGTCCAGTTTATACGTTTTCTTCCTCTGTCTCGAGACAAGAAAACTGACGCACTTTTCCCTTTTTTCCCTCTCGCTCTTGGAGTTTCTCAGGATTTTCGATCCAATTTTTGTCTTGGAATAAATTCTTCCAATACAGTCGTCCTTCTATTTTTGAAATCCTCATCTAGATTGCTTCGTCTACTGCAAAGATTACTATAATAAAACAAAAAGCTGAAAAACGGATAGTGAGAAATTTATGGCTAGCTGGTGTCCCTTTCTCTTTCATTTTCCGAGAGGGATAATCCATGATACTTAATTTGATCTACCATAAAACTTTTAGAGATCAACGACGAAATCGCGACGTAGGCGCACCAGTCAGACTAAAATCCTATCATTCGAATTTAACTGAAATTATCATTTCCAGCCAAAAAGTCAGTTGATCAGGACTAAAACCACGTGGAGAGAATGTAGAAAACAAAAAATGCTGATAGACAGACGTCGTTCGTCTCCAAAGTTGAACGTAGATCAACACTGATATTTTTGCTTGTGATTTTTTGTTGATTAGACGATTTCTGTTTTTTTTGCAAGTGTAATTTTGACGATCACATACAAAAGTGGCCATGCTGTCTTATTGACTTTATCTTGATTACGATTTCAAATTTGGAGAAATGGTGATTAGGTTTAAATATGACTACCGTATTTCCTCCAATAGATGCCCACCCTAAGAGTCAGCTTTGAGCTCAATTATCTCGATTCCTGTAAAAGATATCAAAACTTTGTCAACTGATAAAATATTGGTGATATTGTGATCAATATTTTTGCAGTTGACAAATGTTTGATATTTCACAGGAATCGAGATAATTGAGCTCAACAAAGTTGACTGTTCTTTTGAGGGGTGGATTCTATTAGACTTATATTAGAAACACGGTATGAACCATATTTAGTTTTCTAATAGTAAGCAAAATCTTTTTTCTTTGTGCTATCGATTCAGCCTTTATCATTTTGAGTCTTATTTGTTTTCCAATATGATGATCAGTTGCAAAAAAATGTACATCATCATGAGGAACATTTCATTAGTTCAATGTTTCATCAATTCCCTTACAAAAATCGAGAAAACTGGGTTTAATTTAAGCTATGATTAAACTCTTCCTTTGTAAAAAATTTTTCCATTTCCCCAAATTCTAAAGCTCTGAAAACTCCAAGATCTTTTCGTCAAAAATTTCTCCAGTTTGCTTGAAGACGCAAGTTGTGACATTCTTGAATGTCTAGCCGCCGCCCCCACGCTTTTCAGCAGCTCCCGCTTTATCTGTGATTATGAATATCTTTTTAAAACTTTCCCATTTCTCCGAATTCAAATATTCTCGAAAATTCCAAACCTTTCTCATTTTAAATATCCATAATCCTTTTTTTTTCGTCATAATTAACTCGCCCATTCCCTTCTTCAGGTTCTCTGTTCGCCGACCACCAACCCCTTCCCATTATTTTCTTCAATTTTTCTATCCAACCAAAAACATTGACCCAAAAAAACCTAACCATTTTTCTTCGGCAAATTTCCTATTTGTCGAAAAGTTGCGAAAAAATGTAAATCGAATATTTTTCCCAAGAAACTCTTTCTTGGACAAAAACTTTTTGTCCTCAACACCCACTCAATTGGGAAACTTTCTTGAATAAATTTTCGACCTTCAACGAAGGCAGAAAAGAATGAGATGGTCTATGATTTTCTCAGTTTTTTCAAGTTATGCAAAAATCTTTGAAAGCCATAGTACATATTTTCTCGACATTTTTTTTCCAAAATTTTGGAATACTTCCAATTCCTTAGACTACCATAATCCATCAACCACTCAGCCAATTTTTCAATAACAAAACACAGGTCAACTTTACAACGAAACACTAGAAAACGCCTATTTTTCTTTTCTTCAAAAAAAAATTATCGAAAAAAATATAGGGAACAAACAAAACACAAAAATCAGAAGAATCTTCTCTTGATGATGTATATTAAAAGCCGCCGGTTGTGTTCGCCAAACTTTACTTTTCAGTTTTCTTCGAAATGACGTCAGCAACGATTTTTTTTCGGAAAAGACGAAAAATGAGATAACAAATAGAAACCTTGATTTTGTCTCTTATCTTCTTCCCTCAATGTCGGTATTATATCTTCTGTCGAGATCACGAAAAACCGTTTTTGACACTTTTCCACTTGGTAGAATCTTTTTTCATTGTCTTCTCATTCAAATTGGAATTTTGAAAAAAGTACGAAATTGATTTTCAGGTATCTTGAGCCAAAATAATACTCCTAAAGATGGCTCGAGCAACAACTACATTACTGATTTTTCTTCTCCCGGTGGCTTATTCAATGGTAAGATTTTGAGACTTGTCTAGAGGATTAATCTGAAAAGTCATACACATTTCTTGAGTAACAATATTCTAATATAAAGTATCGTATTTCCTCTAACAGAAGCACATCCAAGCCGTTCACTTTGAGCTCAACTATCTCGATTCCTGTGGAAGATACCAACAACTTATCAACTGATAAAATATTGGTGATATTAGGAGGAATAATTTATTCGTCGACTAATTCATGATATAATTTTTAAAGGAATCGAGATAATTAAGCTACATGTTGACTCTTTGGGTGGGCTTTTATAAGAGGAAATACGGTATTCGAATTGAGACAACTCGACAATTGTCTACAACATAGAAGTTCAAAATTTCGAAATTAAAATCTAATTTCTTGAAATTTCAGGTGGTCTGGCCAGTTTTAGACCGCAACACAACTCGTTCAACGATCGTACGTCCCAAAAATTGGGCAGAGAAAAATCTGGGTCAGTGGTGCCGCAACTTCACTGTTAATGAGTAAGTTTTCATAATTTTAATTTTTAGAAATAGGCCGAGGATCTGAAAAATAGACTAAGTTCGATTGGCCTGAAACTTTCAAAGAACAGCTGTCAGGAAAAAAATCGTTGAAAAAATTGAAAAAAAGGGCCTTATCTTTGATGCTTTCTCAAGGCTTCTTTTTCGAGGTCTTTTTAAACTCCAATATTCAAATTTCGGGATTTTATCAACACTATTTTCCAGACATACTCAATGCCCCCAAGCATCAGCATTCCACCAATTCGATTGTTGTGGACAACACGAAACTGAATGCTGTTTCGCCATTCAAGGATGGGTAAGTTCTCTTTTTTCCATACTTTTAAACGGGTCCCTGGCGGGTCTTCGTGGGCCTATCCATAGTTTATTTTATAAACAATATTTTTACACTAACAAAATTAGATATGATAGAATTTGACGAGTACTACAAAATGATAATGTTCAGGAAAACTCTTGTCTATGAACAAAGTTAGAAGACCATAAAGCTGTGAATGCGTAGCTCACACGGTTTTTGGCTTATAACTTTGTTCATAGACAAGATACAGTTTTCCAAATAGTATCAACTTGTAGTACTCATCAATTTCTATCCAATCTAATCGAGTCGGTCAAAATTATTGTTTCTAAAGGAAGGAATAACAAGGCCCGGTTTACGAGTATGCTTTGCTCCGATTTTCAAAAAAACCCATTCCAAACTTTATTAATATTTAGGTCATTGTGATTCTCATTATCGTTGGCACCTGCGCATCGATTGTTTTAATATTTTCAACACTTCTAAAGCTCAACTTGATCTGCCCACTTCCCTACTCAACCAAACCGATCCCACCAACCTATACCGGAATTCATGATTGATTTTTGATCTACAAAACGAACTTCTTGTGAAAAACGGGTTCAAATTGCCTATAATAGAAGATTTTCAGAAAAAAAACACTTTAAAAAAAGTGTTTTTTTTTCGATTATTTTGTAAACGGGTTGTTGCCGATTTTAGAGAAAATGCAAAAATATATTGATCTAGTTGAGTCTGTTTTTGTTGTAATAAATAATTTACATGTCCCAAACTTCTTTCACTGTATACACACACAAAAAAGATCCCGTAAAATTTATGATACATTTCAAGTTATTAGGTCATTCGATTTTATCACGATTTCCATCGAAGTTCTCTCGGACCAACCTTCTCGATTCCAGATCAGCCGCACGAATGGGCTCACATGTCGTGTTGTTCAGAAGAAATTTTGACGAGATCGTGGTAGCCAAATCCAGGTCAATCCCATATCCAGCTGACACGAAGACGCCGCTCTGAAATTCAAAAAATAGGAGGAGCTTGGATAATGCTTGGATTGTTACCATAGACCCGCCCATCCTTAATATATTCAGCTTGACTGGTTCTACAATATCGAAAGGGATGAATCCAGGCACGGGCTTGTTGGATTTGTAGATCTGTAAAGATTGTCAGTAGAGCGCACATTCATTTTTGGGTTTTCTCACTTCTCTACAACTATCCACAAACTGATCCACTTTTGACTTTTTATCGATTCCTACTGTTTCATAGACATCATGAAGTGCTAGATTCTTGGCGATTCCAATACTGGGAATCCCTGTAAGCGCTCCCACGTGGCATGCCATTCCACAGCTTCTCGAGTGAAATCGTCCAAATCCATCACACAAAATGACATCTGGCCGTAGCTCTGGCCTTTCTGCTATTACGGTTCTCACAAAATCTGCCACCACCTCTGCCTCCCGAACGGCAAGGTATTGTGGAATATACGGTAGTCGAAGGATTCGTGTGTCCGAGATAGTTGCCAGGTGTTGAAGACCAGGGTATTTCCAGAAGCTAACCGATACATAAACCATGTCAGGGTTCGACGAACTTGCTGATGTATCAACTCCAGCCACAATCTGCACGTCTTGCTCATCCTCTACAGTCTGCACAGAGTAGGTCATGTCCCGAATTAGTTGCTCTCGTAAACGACACGTGGCTTTTTGCCAAGAGATCTCAATAATCCCATCTGCAAATGTTGTCCAGATCAGAGATCCAAAGAATGATGTGAGCTCGATGGAAGTTAAAACTGAGATGACCATAAGAGGTGCGAAAGGAAGACGATCCGAGAGAAGCCATTTGTGCAAAAATGTGTTGTAAATCTCGACGATCGCTAGCCCCGCCCAACTTGCTACATGCCGCCAGGGAAGTAGGTCACCAAGTGGCATTCGGGTGTATCTTCTGAAATTCGTCGTTTAAATGAAGCTCGGGAGCTAGAGAGCTAGCTAAAAACTCACTTCAAGAAAGTCAGCTGAATAAAGAAATATGCCACGCAGATAGCATATTTCAGAAGAACCTCGAATGGAGTGAAGAGGAGAGGAAACAAGGAAAATGAGGCGACACAGGAGAGATGGATAAGATGGCTATGATACTTTGGGTCCTGAAACAAATAATAAGACTGAGCAAAAGTAGGCTTGACCTACTTTAATCGCAAAAATCGTCATTGGGACTGTGATGAGAATGATGGCTTTTTCGTGAACATGATATCCAAAGTAGAAGAAGGAGAGGGCGGAAAACACGGCAAAAAGGGAGAAATCCACTGGGCGGGAATCTGAAAGAGTTGTACGTAGTTAGAGCTCAATTATTTCAATTCTTGTAAAAGTTATCAAAAAGTGATAAATGGGCAAAATATTTTTGACATTATGATAAACACTTTATCAGTTGACAACTTTTTAACATCTTTTACAGGAAATGAGATATATGAGCTCAAAGTTAAAGAAGGGATTCTTACCTTTCCTCCACCGTATCACCAATCCAGTCAGCACAATAACTGATGCAATCACTACTAGAAACAGTGTTCCAATTGGATTCACACTTGGCAAAACGCTATGCGAATACTCCTGTACCAATCCAGAAGTATAAGTTGGCGCCTCGAATTTCCCGATGTTCAAGTTGCTCAAAACCCGATAAAGAATCAGGTCGGCAAAGTTGTAAAGCGCCCAGAAATTCGGTGCCCAGAAGGCGTGTGTGAGTCCTCGAGACACTGGAAACAGACGAGTGGCAATGTTCTGAAGTCCTTCAGCGCCTGCCACGTGGAAGAACGGGAAGATGGAAAAGGCGAATGGGAGGAGAAGAAATATGGCGAGAGAGATGGCTGAAAGAAATTCGGTTAAAGACTGGAATGAATAACGAGTGGTACCTTTGGAGAAGTTTCTCAAAAACTTGGCTACAGAGAACTCAAAATAATTGACAAGATAGAAGAAGACATATCCCAGAGCGTAATAGACATAGATGTGTTTGAAGTTGAGAAGGACTGAGAAGGTTAGCGCCGCCTGGAAAAAAATCTATTTTAAAGACGGATTTTGACCAGAATTTTATATTTTTAATATATCAAAATGTGTAGTAAAATATGTAGATTTATATAGCAACAAAGAAAAAATTCCAAAAAAATCGCTACAAAAGACCAACGAAAACTTCTGAAAGGTTCTGGAATCGTTTTTTTTTTGAATTCCCGCCAAAACTGAGAACTCAAAAAAAATCAGCGATTTTTCGAAGAGAAACATGTATTTTTCTTCGATTTTCTTGCAAAATTTTTAGGCATTCTTAGGCTTTTCAGCTATTTTCAGAGATTCTTGTTCGCCTTTTCGAATTTTTGGTCTAAATTTGTTGGAACAGTGATCGTGAAGATTACTGTAGATTACTGTAGCAGCTAATTTTCTTTTGTAGTTTTTTTTGCTAACTTTGCGTCTGCATTTTGACGTGATGGTGTTTTGCAGGGAAAAAAAATAAAAGGAAATTCGGCTTCTACAGTAAAAATTTTGCAAAAAATCGAAGAAAAAACACCATTTTTCTTTCGAAAAATGCCAGGAAAAAACGCTATTAATTTTCAAAGTTTTCAATTTTGGCGGCGGTTACCGGGCTGGGCCAAATACTTTTAGGGCCTGGCCCACGAGCCGGGCCCTGGTCTGTTCAGTATAGTTTTTATGTCCCAGTTTTATTATGTTACAGTTTTATTCTACTCAGTTTCATTAGCGAGTACCACCAGATTCAAGAACCTTCCAGAAGTTCTCGGGAATTGCCCTTTGAAGGGATTTTTGCGATTTTTCAAGATTTTGAAAACTTTTTTTCAAAATCTTGAAAAATATTTTCTTTGATGCTATATGAATCTACATATTTTTCTACACACTTTGGCATATAAAAATTTTTTTTGGCCCTATGCTTGGCTAACTAACCAATAAAAACATTCCAAAATCGATAAAATACATGGAAAGTATGAAAAACGCAGTTAACATTGAATTATACTGAAAATGGACCGAGTCACAAATCAATAGGGCCTGTAGAGTGGCTAGAAGTATGAAGCACGCTTCTTGCGCATTTTTTCTCATCTTTTTCGGGATTCCAGCGACAAGACGAGGGGATTTGAAGGCGTAAAGAGCGCAGATGGCTATCTGAAATCGGTTTTTTCAAAAACGCGTTCCAGAAAATTCTAGAACTCACATAGAAAATATCCGTAGCAATTACAGAAAGTCTTTGAAAAACTAGAATCCTAGGACTCATAATAGGTGTCATTGAAATCTGTAAGCAATCATCGAATCTGGAATTTTCTTTCGTTTGCAGGGCAATTCTTCCTTTCTCAGTACCCTATTGTATGTGCCACGTAGGCTAAAGCCCATTCAAAATAAGCGAAAAATGGAGGGTAATCGAGAGTCCATTCAGATGTTGATTCTGTGTACCACGCCTTCAGTGGACGGTTCCAGGTCACTGCCATCCAATTCCGATGCACTTCAAAGTCTGTCGAGGTGTACGAGGGAATCAGAAGACATTTGAATGCAATTAGAATCGCCCCGATGGAGAGAATACATGGGATTTCTCCCATCCTACATAGAGAACGTTTACAGGATGAAGTCAGTGTTAGTAGGTATAAAAGTAACTACTAGCTTAAAGTTTTGAATTGTTCTATGTTATTTCTTAGCTAATTGACACCAAAACAATTTATTATAATATTCACATAAATATTATAATAAACATTCGTATAATATGTATGATAAAACCAACGTCAGGTGGTACGCAGCAATGGGTTTTGGGGGAAGGAGAGGAAAAGATAAAACTATATGGAAAGGGGCAGAAAATTTTACATTGGAAAAAAAAGGGGATAACGAGAAAAGGAAGTGGAAAACAAAATTGGGATAACAGGAAAAAGGCCCGAAAAAGAGTGAAAAAAACCAAGAACGAGGGTATATGAATTATCACTAGAGGGATTGGACTGTTCGAATTCGAGTGAAGGCACATTCATTTGATTAGAATATCCGTTTTTGTATGGTAGGGTTTGCGGGTAAAGTGCTACGGGGCGCAATAAATATTAGGGAAAAAAAAAACGAAAGGAGAGTAAAGTAAGGGGAAGGGAAATTTATATCAACAAGAAAAAAAAACACTAATAAATACAATTTTCGGGGGAGAAGAAGGGCGAGGGTTTCCAGAAGACTATGAATATTGACGTTGGCTGAATCATCTTCGCGTTGTTTACCAACGACGGGACGATCCCCAAGCTCCACCGACAGCAGCAGTAGTAGTCGCCGAAGGTCCCATGTCTGGGAATTGTTCCGAGCTTCCGATGTCCAATTGCCATGGGGCTCCCTTCATTTGCACAGTGACTGGCCCGGATTGTGGGCGAGCGTTATGAGACTCCTGTTGACGTGGAGACATGTATTGAGTCTGAAATGATTGAAATAAGTTGTGATCGGAATCATCATAAAAACTTACTCTCTCGACGTTGTCAAGCAAGAAGGTTTCCTCTTCAGATCTCAAGTGATCGATGCAATCGTACACGTCGTTCTCGTCCTTTCCAGCGACGATAACCAAGTTTGGATCTTCGGCTCCTTGACGTGGAAGACGAATCTCGACATGGTAATCATCCATGACCTTCTTCAAGTTCTTTCCTCGAGTTCCAATGAGACGTGGGTGATATCTGGAGTCCAAAGTGATCTCTTGAGTGAACATGGATCTGAGATCCGAGATCATCTCTTCGATAGCAGCAGCACATTCTTTGGCCTTCTCCTCGTATCCAACGATAGTAATAGCCTCGTTACCATCCTCACGTGGGACATTGATGTTAACACCATACTTCTCCTTAAGAGCAGTGATGGTGGCTCCACGCTGTCCGATGATCTTTTGATGGTAGTCAGTTGGAACATTGATAGTCATCGACCATTGCTTGAGCTTACGGTCCTCTGCTTGAGCCTCGTACTCAGCAAGCTTTCCACGGAGAGCTTCGAGGGCTTGTTCGACATTATCAACTTGTCCGGTGACAGTGATGTCCTCGCTGGAGTTGTCCTTTGGAATGGAAATGTTGACGTCGTAGTCTTGCATGAGCTTGCGGACCTATAATCATAGAAAATAATAATTTTTATTAGAATTTTCAGCAAACTTACAGTCTCTCCTCCACGTCCAATAATCGAACGATGCATATCAACTGGCAGTTGAATGACCTTCGAGATTGGGACTAAAGCAAGAAGAGCTTCTTTAGCCTCCTCAACCTTGGTGTCACGTCCGGAGATGATGACTTCATCGGATGATTCAGCTCCTTCATCACGGTTATTCGGGAATCTGACGGAAACGTTGTACTTCGATTGGAGTTCGTGAATCTTCGCTCCACGTCCAGCAAGAAGTCCACGGTGGAACTGAGCTGGGATGGAAACGGTGTCGGTGATCTGCTTTTCGTAGTCTTCAACGGTATCTTCGATGCGAGCTCTAGCGGCTTCCACACATTGCTTGGATCCACGGATCGAAACTTCATTGCTGTCAGATCCATTCTTTGGGAATGAGATGACAACACCTCCGTTTTGATCTTGAATCTCCTTGATCAAAGCAGCTCCACGAGCCAAGAAGTTCTTGTAGTACTTTGGATCGACGGTGATCTTGATGTCAACAGTCTCGGAAAGATGCTTGATAGCCTCTTCAAGAGCGGCCTTAGCCTTTGGCACGTCATCCTTCTTTCCGAGCAAGTGGATCGTCTCCTTCTCAGCATCTCCCTCATTTGGGAACATGATACGCACGTTGAGGGTGTCACGAAGCTTGGCGATCTTAGATCCTCCCTTTCCGATCAAGAAACGGTGGAACTCAGCCTTAGCCTTAACGGTATCCTCGACATAGTTCTCTTCCTTATCCTTAGCGAGAGCAGAAATGAGACCAACAGCCTTCGTGACGTCTCCAGCTGGTCCACGGATAGTAACCTTTGTGGACTCGCTCTTCTCTGATGGGAATCGGATGTGAACTCCTCCGCATTCCTCTTCGATGTCCGAGATCAAACGACGTCCATTTCCGAAGAAGCGGTTTTGAACCTTCTGTGGAATGTCAATACTCTCTTCGGCAACATTGGCGAGCTCTTCTTGGATCTTGTTGAGTTGAGCAACAGCCTTTTCAACATTGGCTTGCTTTCCGGTGACGGTGATTTTGCCATCATCGGATCCACTCTCTGGGAGGTCAATACGGGTCTCGGTTTCGTCACGGAGTTTGCGGATGGTGGCTCCTCCCTTTCCGACGATGTGCTTCAAGAACTCCTTGAAAATAGCCACAGTCTGCTGATAGTTGTTCTCGGCCTGAAAGTATATTGTTAGTTTTGAAAACGACTTTTTAACTTACAAATTCTTTGGAGAGAACTGTAAGCTTCTTGAAGACAGCGTCAACTTCAGCTTTGTCTCCACGGATGTTGACAACATCGGATTTGGATTTGGCATCTGGGAACATAATCGACACATTTGGATGAGAGTCGCGGATGACTTGAACTCCGGATCCCTTGGTTCCGATGATGAGCTTGTGGAGTCTTTGTGGAATGATAATATCGCGAGACTTCTCATTCTCAATCTTGGTAACAATCGAACGAATCTCAGCAACAGCTTTCTTGACTCCGTCCTTCTTTCCTTCAACAACGATCTCGTCGGAGTTGGTCTCCTCACTTGGAATGGTGATTTGAACTCCCGCTTGTTCCTTGATCTTCGAGATGAGTGATCCACCGCGTCCAATGACGTGGCGATGAAGGCTGGGGTGAACTTTAACCTTCTCAATAGCAAGCTCCATCTGGAGACGAGCGACCTCCTTGTTGAGTGGCTCGAAAGCAGCCTTAACTTCTTCTGGAGATCCCTCGAGGAAGATGTGGTTGCTGTTGTCGAACTCGATTTGGACGTTATTGCGGTTTGGAACGAGGGTGGCAAGAGTGGCTCCCTTTGGTCCAATCAAATGTTTGTGAAGCCATTGAGGGCATGCGATGGACTGAGTGACAACAGATGATGCGCGCTCAATGACGAGGGTCAGAGCCTTGGCCAAATCGTTGGCATCTCCGATAAGGGTAACTTGATCGGATTTAGATTCCTCGGATGGAACCTCAACGACGACTCCGGTCTTGGCAAGAATCTCATGGATTCCACTGCGAGCTTGTCCGATGATATATCTGTGTTGAGTGCGAGCAACTTGAACTTGAATGCTTGTAACATTCTTCTTCGACTCAACGATTTTGCGGATTTCGGCAGCGGCGCGCAAGACTCCTTCCTTCTCTCCGGTGACAGAAATCACCTCGTTAGTGGCGGTTGGTGGTGGGATGTTCACCTTGACTCCTGTAGCGGTGAGACGATCGTAGATCTCATTGTGTGGTCCACGAACGAATGGGACCAGGTTCTTTGGACAGACGATGTGCTCGGTGGCGAGCTTGGATTCATGCTCCGATACATCCAAGATGTGCTTGGCGGCACGCATAATTCCTTCACGTGGTCCAGTGATGGTGATCTTAGAGCTTGGATCATCGCGTTTTGGGATCTGGATTCGGCAGTTGGTCTCAGCTTCCAAGTTGCGGAGAAGGGCTCCTTCCTTCCCGATGAGACGTCCGTGATGCTCTTTTGGAATGTCGACATCGCGAGATGCCTGGGTTTGGAGATCGCGAATGATGCGAGCGCGAGCATCCTCAACCTTGGCGCGTTCTCCCTTAACGACGACGGTGAGCTCTCCGTCTTTTGATTCGCTAAGCTCGATTCTGGTCTCTGAAATTCACTTTTAATGACTGTCGCGAGTTCTCTCAAAACTCACTGGTAGCGCTAGCGATCAATTGGGCTTTCTTTGATTCCTCCGAGGTGTTTCCGAAGCTCTTCACCTTGTTGGAACGCTCATCAGAGGCCAAGTGGAAAGTGATGATCACGTCAGTCTTGGAGAGTGCTGGGCGAGACCAGACGTTGGTTTGTTTGGCGGTTGGAGCGGCGGCTGGAGCTGTTTCCGGGAGGGTTGGGAAATCCGATGCATAGCTGAAGCTCAAAGTAGCTCCGCCAGTGGCTGGATCGATTTCAACAATGTTAGTTTCTTCTGAAAAAGATGTTTGCTGAGAGAACGCCCAAATTTGAGAAACTTTCTTACCAATATGTCCGTTGTCCATGATTCGTATCAGAAGGGTTGGCTTATCCGTATCCGGGGGTCCGTGCGCGAGACAATTAATCCGTTCGGGGGAGTCTGTTGAGGTGACCTGTTATGTTGACCGAAGCGGGCTCTAGTCCGTTCGAATCAAACAATACCTACAAAAAGTGAGGATTGTTTGCTTAAAGTCATATGCGATAGAAAAGAGAAGTACAGTACGAGAGCAGGCGATGAGGAGTAAAGACGGAACGAGAAATATAAAATGAATACATATTACGACGACGATAACCAAAAAAACCAAAAGAATGTCGAGACAGAATAGTGCATGCAACTGTTGGTTGAGTGAATGACGGACGGGGTGGACGTTATTGTCTCTCCATTATCTAATCTACCCAGAGACCGAATCTTCAGTTGTCTTATGGGAAACGTCTGCAGTCTATCTTTTTTTTACTGTGGGAGCAATGAAAAGCAGTTCTGTGGTTTCTTACTATAACGAATTTGATAAGGAACTGAATGAAGATGAAGATAGAAAGGTCGAGAAAAGATCCGTTTGTCACTGTTAAACAAGATTTCGCGAATTTCCCGCAGCAAAAAAAACTAGCGCAATCGGGAACTAGGCCTAGAACATAGAAAGAAACTAGTCAGAAAGATCATGCGATTCCTCAAAACCAGGTCAAGGATCTTCTTGAATGGTCGTGATTGGCTTCTCTCTCTCTCTCTCTTGCGTGAATTATTAAAAATTGAAGTTTTCAAAGTAGAAGTTAAATTTAGCACAAAACAAGAAATAGAGACATATATTCGAGAGTCGTAACTTTGGGAGATGAATAATAGAGGGTGGGGATGCATACGTGTATATCTCACTTTCTTCGGTACTACAGGTCAGGGTCGATTCGTAATACGACTAGGCCCGCACATACTCACAACCACATACACACCAAGAATAACTACACAGTAAAGAAGGGGGACAGTTTGGCCATTCCCTACTGCCCCGTTGGAATGGAGAACACTGTCCTCCCTGCGTCTCTTGAGAAGAGAGAGTGAACGAACGACGTGGCGGTGCTGGTCTCTTCGGGAGAAGAGAGGGCCGCTCTTCTTCTCTCTGTTCTCGGTGCTGTTTCTTTCGGGAATAAAAACGAAAAAAAAGAAAAGGAGAAGTGGAAGAAAACGGAACAACGGGGAAACTGATGAAAAACTGCTAGCCAGTGTCCAACAAACAACAGAAAAAAGGCCGTCATTCTAGAATTCGACACATGGATTTGGTCTTGTTCATTTAGAAGCGGGTGGGAATAGGAAAGACAACAAAAATTTAGTGTGCCCCCGCTTATGTCGGAATTGGAGAAGTAGTAGACAGCGAAGAGCTGACGGATGATATAAACAAAGTTTAATTTGTTTTTTTTTTCGTCTATGTATTGGATTTTTGTTCAGAAGGACTACGATAGATTTCTTTATAGAATAATTAACACCACGATCCGAAAACTATATAACCTAATACTGTATAATGAGCTACAGAAAAACCGTAACTCATCTTTCATCTCGGTAAAAGAGAATTAATTAGCAAGCAAGATCTGAATAGGTCAGGGGCACTCATCAGAGATATATCTTCTTTTCAACTCTCACAACAACTAGGACGACACAGATAAAAATCAAGTGCCGCTAACCTCACCTAGCACTCTTTCTAGGAGATACAGATCACACAGGGAAATGATGAATGATAGGTACACGTAATTGAGGACTCGCACTTCATAAGACTATTTGACGGGTACTTGAAGGACATCAATAGAATCATAGGTATCATGTAATGCCACAACCACTGATAAGAACGCGGGGGGAAGAATCCTGAAGGTGAAAAATTAGAATTGAGAAAGTTTTGTTGCATTTTCGGGCGGTGAGCGAAATAATAAAATTGTGCGGGTTGAGAGGAGGGGGCGGGGAGGAAACTGCAAAAACTGCAAGGGAATATATGGGTTTTCAGTGAAGCAAATGAGAGAGAAAAGGGCTCGTATTTCCAATGACGTGGGTTGACGAAATGGAAAATGGCTTTATAGAAAGAACATGGGATGACGAGTGCAATATGGCACTTAGGGAATAGGTCGAAGAAGAGAGCAGATTTAAAACACTTGTTTTCTAGAAGCCAAATCTCTTATGAAATTCAGATAACTAGGTGAAAAAAAAAATTTTTTTCGAGATTAAATTTTAAAATGCAAAAAAGTTTTTCAAAGGAATCTTCACATTAGGTGGGAAAAAGAACACAGAACATGCGATGTAAGGATGGGATAAATTGTCTTCAGCAAACTTTCAAGGTCAAAAGCAATGAAAATCTGGGTTATTCGACCCGAAAACAAAGGAAAAAAGGTCAAAATCCGAAAATTCGGTTGACTAATTACCGAATAGACTGAAAAATCCACAAAAACAGTATGAAGAGCCGCCCCGCTGCGTGGCAACTGGTTTAAAGGCGCAGCAGTACGGTAACACTCGTTTCGACTGTGTCTAGAGCTTTTTTGAAAAAAATATTTGGTCGTCTGAAAACTTTCAAATAAGGATTTATAGATGATTTACTCGCTGAAAATCAAATAAAGTTGTATATATTCAACTTAGAATAAAACTTCATCAAAAAATTGATGCAATATTATCGATTTTTTTAGAAAATGGACTCAAAACAAGTTCGAAACCCATACAATGGACTCGACGATTTGCAATCAGATTTTGGCGACTTGCCCGATGATAGAATAGCTCAAAAGAAACGGAAAGGAGATTTTATGGAAAAAGTGCGACCTGACGATCTCATGAAAAAAAAAAGAACCGATGGCCGCGCAGATTTCCAGGAAGAACATGGGAGAATGCACAGAAAAATGGCGAAAATGATGTCAATGAATGCCTATGAAAGACACAAAGAAATTATCAATCTTTATTATCTCTCATATCCGGGAGCCACAAAGTTGCTGAATAGAAAAGTGGAAGGCGAAACAACAGATCTGGATGTGCTCAAAAAGCATCACAAGTTTGTGTGGAACGAGGAAGATGAAGGAAAAGAGCCGGAAAGTTGGGAAAAGAGAATGGCTAAGAAATATTATGAGAAACTGTACAGAGGTTTTTTAGTTCTCTGGGATTCGCCAATAAAATATTTCTTTTCAGAATTTGCTATAATTGACTTGTCAATGTATAAAACCAACAGGTTCGGATTGCGATGGCGGACAGAAAACGAGGTGAAAGAGGGAAAAGGGCACTGGTGGTGTGGAGCTAGAAAATGTTCCGAGAATTCTCAAATGGCTACGTGGGAGGTAATTATTTAACAAGCCTTAAAACCAGAAAAATTTTGTGAAGATTTAGGTTAATTTCGCTTACAAAGAAGACGGACGGTCCAAAAACACACTTGTTAAAGTTACGCTTTGTCCAAATTGTTCGAATAAGCTGAATTATGGATCTAAAAAACGACAAATCAAGCAGAAGAAACGAGCCGTGAGGAAATGGGACAAGCAGCGAAGGAGAGAGGATTCAGATGAAGACGAAGGCGTGGGGACGAGTGAGATGAAAATTGAGAAGCAGGATAAAGGTAACAATTATTTGATCTATCAAATGAAAATCTCCAAGTTGTTTGTTTGAATAAATGTCAAAACTGAGAATAACAAATTAAAAAAAAATCATTAACAACCATTTTTTCAGATCAACCTTCCACCTCGGCTGCTTCAACACTATCGGCTTCGACCGACATTTGGGAAGGTCCGGCGCCTGCAGAAACGGAGAAAACAGTGGATGATGAGATCGACGAGTTTCTGAATGATCTTTTCCTGTAATTAAAATAATTTTGTGATTTTGTTTTCCGAAAACTCTGGTAATCGGTTTCTAACCAGTTTCGGGCAATTTTCCAACCAGATTCGGGAACGCACATTTTCCAACCAGATTCGAGTAAAATTCCAACCAGATTCGGAAAGTTTTTATTTTCCGACCAGATCTGGCGATTTTCCGACCAGATCTGGTGATTTTGTGACCAGATCCGAACGAGAAAGCTAATTTTCCAACCTGATTCGGACAATTTTCTAACCAGGTCTAGCCATTTCTGCTCCGGAATTTTCCCGAATCTGGTTGGAAACCGATTACCAGAGAAAATAAGAACATAAAAATTTATTGTATACATGAAAATTCGAATATTTTTCTCTTTTGTCTCTCGTTTGAGCTCTTCTTCTTTTTTCTAAAAATGAGCATTTTTATTGTTGGGTTTTACGAGACACTCCTAACTGATAACTCGGATTGCTCTCATTCAATTCTCAGTCAGCCGGTATCAAAATGTTGCGAATTCTTTTGATTTTCACTCTTTCCATTGTCTGTGTCTATCCCCAAACTTCTAGCAATTATACTCTTGAGTTCGTTCAAACTGTAAGTGAATCTGAGAACTGCCACGTGTCATATGTGAGAGGTATAGGTTTGGCGACATGGTGATAGAGCGGCTCGCGGTGATCTTTTCCCAATTTTCGAAGCCAATTGGACGTTTGGAGGAGGTGGATTTGGTGAATTGACACCTCTTGGGATGTCACAAATGAAGAATTTGGGGAAGCTTTTCAGGAACATTTATGTGGGAGACAAGGAATTTTTGAGTGCAAAATATGTGGCGAAAGAGGTGAGGAGGACGGAAAAAGTTTAAACTTTTCAATAAAATCCCCAGATTTACATACAATCTACTGATATGAGTCGAACTATAATATCAGCATTATCTCTACTTTATGGAATGTTTCCACCTGGAAATTGGAATATTCAAGGTATTTCTTTCAACTGTTAAAACAAAATTTCCTCTTGGTTCATAGGAGTTGACTACCCGAATGAAGTAGATTGGCAACAAGGATTTACATTCGTTCCAGTGCATGTGGATACATCTGAAATTTGTGTGAGTCTCAGGGCGTTTGAGGATGTGGCCATATCGTAAAACCTGCAAAAGAATGGTCCCACATCGTCAAGCTTGACGTCATTTAACTCAGCTTTATAACAGATACCAAACATGTGTCAACTGAAAAAAAAATGTTTATGGTATTATGATAAAAGGTTTATCAGTTGGCAAATTTTTAAAATCTTTAAGAGGAACCGAGATAAAATGGCTCAATGTTAAAGGTTAGGGGCCCTTCTATCACAGGCTTTACGGTATTATCTATGTATTAATTCCTCCAGGCTGAACAGCAATGCGGTTGCTCCCGTTTTAATGAAATACGAAATCAATGGCCCAAAATTCCAGAAGTGCAAACTAAAAGTGTTAAGGTTTGTGGCAAATATGCCTATACCCATATTTAAGTCCCAGAATCGTTCCAGATGGTTGCTCTGAACAGAAAAGTAGCGGCCTTGTTCAATATAACCAAGGACCAAGACAACTTTAATATTTACTCCGATGCATGGAAGGCGCAAAGAATGTGGTTCAATGATACTCTTTATAAAGAACTGCCATTTTATAACGAGTCGCTGTATCAAGAATCTCAGACTACTTTCAAAGCTTTCAAGCAGTTAGTAGATGGGTATTTTAGTATGTTTCATAAGTTAAACTAAATTAAAGTTTAATAGTTTAGCTAGCCCAGCTATTGTTAATGGAGTAGATATTGCTCATGAGGCAAGCGTCATACAGGCTGGACCTTTGCTCAATGAGCTATATCAAAGGGCTCGGGATAAAGCGGGATGTTTAAGGAACTCAGAAAACTGCACTAGCTTTTTGAAGCCACTAAAGTTTTTTGGATACTCATCGGTAACTCTTTTTCTCTTATGTTTCTAGAAATTTCGTTCAACTAAAACTTTTTCCCAGCACGACATTGTACTATTTGCGATTCTTGTTCCTCTCGGACTCCATGATCAAGTTCATACCCTTGATGGATGGCCAGATACTGCTGGATCGCTAACTTTGGAAATTTACAGTAACCCATCGAATAAAACCGAATTTTTCGTCAAATTCTTGTATAGAGACAATTCTCTTGCTGAATTTTCGGATGTCACTGAAAACGTAGCAGGATGTAATGGGGCAAAATTTTGTGCGCTGGAAGATTTTGGGAGAACTGCTGAGAAGATCAAGCCATTGCCAGATTATCAAACGGTGAGTGGGTTACTGTAATTGGAAGAAAATTTTGTATTTTCAGCTTTGCCAAACTCCATTATTTGGTTCCAGTTGTTTATTCAATTATCGTATCTTGTTGATTATTGCTTTGTTTTGTACTTTTCAGTTTCAATGAATGATAAAAAATGATTTCTGATTTTACAAATGTTCTGTTTTATTTTGGTCCTAAAATCAAGTCTCTAGGACATCTAGAACCGGAGATACAGTAATTTTAAGTTTCGAGGAGACGCAGACAGTTAGAGTGTCTCGTTGTCTGCGTCTCTCCAAAGACTTCAAATGGTAGTATTTCGGCTCCTAGAGTAGCTAGAAACTTGGTTCTTTCTCTAATTGCTAATCAGTACACTATTTCAATACCTGTTATTTTTCAGAATATTTCTGAAAAACTAATTTTTCAGTTTTTCACTGGGACCATTTTCCGTAGTCTGGAGCTTTCCGATTACTTTGAAAAATTCAGAGGGTGTAAAACATACCTAAACTGAAAATTTTGCATTTACAGATTTTTTCAAATTCAACCTTTAGCCAAATTGTCTTGGTTTCTGTGATAAATATCAAACAGTGGTCAACTGATAAATTATTTATCATAATATCACCAATATTTCTTCAGTAACAAATTATTGATATCTTTCAAAGATTCGAGATAATTGAGCTCAAATTGAAGAGGTTTCTAGTCTTTACATGATTTGTGCCTGAACACTTCTAGCCTGTACCTTTTTGTTTTGTCCGAGAAAAAAGATACAAACAAACTATGCAATATCAGAATTTTATTGAAAACTATGAAGAAAATCAGAATTTCAAAGACAATAACTTGCTGGAAGTGGTATAAATGGAAGGCCACATACAAATTCATCCCTGTTATTTTCCCTTTTCACCTGACTAGTTGGATTATATGTACACTTTCCCGTTGAACTGTTTTTTTTATGTTTGTATGTTTTTTTTTAAATAAAAATTTTAGAGAATACAGGTCAATTTTGTGTTCCTTTTTGAACATTTTTTGTGTGTTCTGTCTTTAATAACAGTAACTGATTTTTGTTTAAAATAAGATTAGAAAAGACAAGAAGAAAAACAAATACAGACTCATTTTGTTAAGTTTTACTTTCAGTTTTAAGTCTACTGGTAACATCTTTATTTCAATTGTTTTATTCAAAATGTTTTTGGGTGGTCTTTTGGATTCGAGGCGACTCGAGCTTTCTATAGATCCCTTCTACGTGGATTTTAGCAAAAATGAACATGAATAGAGCCTAATTGGATACTTTTTCCCCTATATAAAAATGTTTCAGAGTTTTTAACATTTCAAGAAAACCATAAATGTCAAACAATCCTTTAGTCTAAAATAAGTTGATTATTTTCCGACTTTATCGTTTTACGCTTCTAGCTGATAACCCTTTTTTATCACTTTTTTGTTTCTTGATCATTGTCATTGAATGAAAAATTTTCAGACATCTTTATCATTGAGAAAAAAAAGTATGTTGCGTTTTCTGGCAGTTTTCTTTGGCTTTTTTATATTCTTCGTCTATTCTCAGGAGGATTATAAGTTGGAATTCGTGCAGACTGTAAGTTCTAGAGGATACTGTACTTCTCATATTCAATTTTAAGCTGTGGCGACATGGCGACAGAGCGGCTCTTGAAGATCTCCACCCAATTTATGAAGCCAATTGGACTTTTGGAGGTGGAGGATTAGGAGAGCTTACACCTCTTGGAATGTCTCAAATGAACAAACTTGGGACTGTTTTCAGACAAATGTATGTGGAAAATGAAGAGCTCTTGAGTCATCGATATGCGGCGAAAGAAATTTACATCCGTTCTACTAATGTTAATAGAACTATTATATCAGCAATGTCTCTTTTGTATGGAATGTTTCCTCCGGGTGCTTGGAATATTCAAGGTATGGCATATTTATCTCCTCACCGAAACGTTTCCTTCTTTAGGAGTGGACTACCCAAATAGTGTTGACTGGCAACAAGGGTTCACTTTTGTTCCAGTACATGTGGATGGACCGGAGCTCTGTGTTAGTAAAAGTAACGTCTAGAAATAGTCCTCATACTTTTATTTTTTCAGGCAGCAACTCAACAATGCAAATGTGCTCGGTTTGTAGAGCTACAAGAGAAGTGGGCGGAGCTTCCAGAAGTGCAGTCTGCCAACGCAAAAATGATCACAATGAACAGAAAAGTAGCAGCGTTATTCAATATCACCAAGGTCCCTCAGCTATTCAGTAGCTATACCGATGCATGGAGGTGTCAGAGAAATTGGTTCAACGATACACTTTATAGAGACCTCCCATTTTATAACGAGGCGCTGTACCAAGAATCTCAAACAACATTTAAACCATACAAGCAACTGATGGAAGGATATTTTGAGGAACCAGCAATTCTGAATGGAGTGGATATTGCTCATGAAACAAGTGTCATACAGGGAGGTTCTCTGTTGAATGAACTTTATGAGAGAGCTCGAGAAAAGGCAAATTGTATAAGGAACTTGGATAACTGCACGAGTTTTTTGAAGCCTGTGAAGTTTTATGGGTACTCATCTGTAAGTGATATTTCAAAAACTGTATTTCTTCAACGAAATTCTCTTTTTTTTCCAGCACGACCTTGTAATCTACGCTGTTCTTGTCCCCCTTGGAATCCAAGATTCTGTAAAAACCCTAGACGGATGGCCGGATACATCTGCATCACTGACGATTGAACTCTACAGTAACACTTCCAACAATACTGATTTTTTCGTAAAATTCTTGTATCGAGACAACTCTCGAGTTGATTTTTCGGATGTCACCGAAAGAGTAAAAGGATGTAATGGTACAAAATTTTGCGCGCTGGAAGATTTTGGAAGAGCTGCAAAGAAGTTTAAGCCGCTTCCAGATTTTCAGACGGTGAGTGGATTACTGCTACAGTGAAATGATTTTCTATGATTTTCAGCTCTGTCAAACCCCTTTGTATGGTTCCAGCATTTCAACTAAATATTTGATCTCCTTATTGGTGGTTTCCTTATTGACGAATTTCAAAATTTAATTAAAATAAACCGATAATTAAAACGTGAACTTTTTCCTCATTTTTAATAAACCTCAATATAGGTTTCCAACTGCAACCCACGTGTCGTCCGTTGCGTCCGGAAAAAAACACAAAATTTTCCGATTTATACGAACATGACGGAAAGTCCGTTTGGAAAAACGGACTCTGGAAGAGAGATCAAAAAAGGGGGTTACGATGAAACAAAAGGATTTGATCTTGGAGTAAGCTTAACGATTTTTCATTTCTCATCTTACTATCTTTTCAGCCAGCCTATGACAAAAAGGAAAAAGCGGAACGGAAGAGAAAAGCCGCTGAGGATAGTAAGAATCAAGTTCAAGATGAACTGGAGAAGCTAGATGCGGATCTGAAGCGGCGTGAAGAGCTTCTGAAGCAAAAGAAAAAGAAGGAGGTCGATGAAGGAGACGACGACAAGAAGGAGAAGACAAAGACAGAAGGTGGTGATGAGGAGGAAAAAAAGGAAAAAAAAGAGAAGAAAAAGGAGGATAAGAAGGAAAGGTCGAAGGAGAAGACGAAAACGGAGGAGGAGGAAGAGGTGGTGATGGTGGTTGAGAAGAAGGAGAAACCGAAGAAAAAGAAGGTTAAGGAAGAGGTTAAGGAGAAGGAAGAAGATAAGTAGGAAGAGAAGAAATACGCTGAAAAGGAAAAAACTAAGGAGCTGTCAGATGAAAAAGATAAGGAGAAGGAGAAGGAAAAAGAAAAGGAGAACGATGAAGGAAAAAGCGTTGTTGGTACTGTAAAGAAGGATCGGCAAGACTTCCATCATTACAACTCCGGCGGAACCGGCAAGACCACCACGTGAGTTGGCATTTTTTGAGCCCTAAAAGTAACCTGAAATTTTTTTAGAAATGCCACATCGTCTACCACCAAAGAAGCCAGCGAAGAAGAACCCCTGCTGTCTGATCCTTTGAGTCCTCTCTCTTTTTTCTAGCTCTTTTAGTTCTTCTGATTTTTCTGATTCTTCTTTCTCCAATAAAGACGGTTTAAAGTGTTTCATCTTTCTATTTCAACATCAAAGATATCAATAAAGTTTCCGCATTCTGCGTAAGTACATCCCTCCGCAGTCAGATATTTTTTTGGAATCCCACCAAGCAAAAACAAAAAAAAATGTGAAAGATAATAAAATTGTTCATGGGAGAGAGGTAAAATAACCGGCGGATATAAAAGCGGGAAATTCAAAATTATACACTTTTCAAAAGTTCGGCTACAGTAGTCAATGGATTGGCTGGTGCTGCTTGTGGCACCGGTGGTGGCGATTTCTCGCGAATCACATTTCCACCGGGCTGAGTGATGGGGAACAACGGGAGCATGAATGGGGATAGGTTTTTGCAGGCCTGAAAAAAAGTTAAATTTTAATAGAGCTCACTTTCTCACTAACCTGAACCCTTGGATACTTTGCATTTGGTCTTCTGCCACGTGGCACACGACTAACAGCCAGGATACTGTCGATGGAGAAGGGAAATGTTGGGAGAGGCTGAAATTCGAGAAATTTGAAAATTGTGAATTCAATTTTGCTGAAATTGAATGTACCTTTGGCTCAGCTCCCAATCCATCTCCCACTTTTTTAAGATCACTTCCAGTATGTCGATTCTGCTCTCGCTTTCTCCATTTTGCTCGCCGATTTTGGAACCACACCTGGAATTTTAACTGTTTCGAGACTCAAACTTTCTAGTAATTTCAATTTCCCTTATCCATTTTTTTAGTTTTTCCCCTTTATTTGCCACTCCCTTTATTTGACTTCAAAATTTATTGGCCGTATACGAGTCTCCTCCTTATCTTATTTTTCGATTTTTGGAGCTAAACGAAGAAGAAGGAATTGAAAAAGGGAGAATATATCTGATTAAAAGAAGAATGACTCTACTGGAAGAAAAGAGAAATGGGGGGATGGAAATAGAGTTGCAAGTTCGGCCGGGAATTAATGGTTTTGCGAATTGGGAGAGAAATGTTTTTTGGGGAGATTTTCAGGGGTAGATTAGGTGGGTGACAAGTGGGCGATTTGGGGGGGGGGGGGGGAACCAGAAATAGAAATTTACTTCAAAGATAGCAAAAAGAAACTTTCAAAAGTACCAATTTTCTATGGTGGAAAGGGGTGTATACCGCAAAGCCTGTAATAGAAGGGCCCCCATTACTGAGCTCAATTTTGTCAGTTCCTAAACAAGATAGCAAAATTGTGCCAACTGTTAAAATGTTTTGGATATTATGATAAACAGTTTAGTTCTTGTTCAATTTTGATTCTATAACAGGTTTGACGGTATTATTGCGTGGATTTCATTTACTGTGGTACCAGTCCCAAAACATTCTCAACTTGACCTAATCATATAGGTCCTAGTATGAGCTGAAAAATTGTTTAATGGTGCACCAAAATGTATATCCAGTGAACCTTTAGGAATTCAAAAAGTTTCCAATTTTTTGCTGAATTATTTTTCTAAAGTACTAACACCTTCAATTTTAAATCCCTGCTCCTTCAAAACGAGCTACCGTAACCCCATCATCATCATAAAGACTCTCTAATAGCAAACAAGTAGTTAGTTATTCCGCCCTCATAAGGGAATTCGAAGCGAGCGCGAGAGCATCCGTCTCACTGTTTTCTTCTGCCCCACAATCCATCATGTCCCACTCAATGGGATATGCTCTGCGTCTCTATTTTTTTCGCAAAACAAAACCAATAAGACTGAATGGGAACTGAGGGATACGGTAGTTCATGAGGAAAAGAAGAGAAAGCTCGAGGTTTTGTTGAAAAAAAGCAAAATAGTAAGGAACTTAATTGCACCGTTACTTGTAATTTATGTTACTAGGAATGTTTAAAAAACGACACCCAAATTGAACTTTTAGCAGTTTATTTCTGGGTTTCGCTAAGAAATACAAAAATATTAATTATTGAAAATTTTGGGATGTTACCCGTCAAGTTTAATTTATTAGCAACTATTTTATATTTCGATTAGAACTTGGAATAATCATTTGTAACGAAGCGACATGGAATATGTTCTTAACACTATAATTTTCAATAGAAGAGATGCTGTAAAACCTGTAATAGAAGGGCTCCCAAGCTGTGAAGTTTTTAGCTCAATTGTCTCGCTTCCTGTGAGAGGTATCAAAAATGTGTTGATTAGTAAAAACTTTTTTTTTCCCTTCTATTACTGGTTTTACAATAACTATGCAGAGTGGCATAGACTAAACAGGCTACAATAGGATTTCAAAACCAATACTATAATAACTTCCAGGCAAAACTCTCTACCAGAACATGCCTGAACTCGACTCTCCAACAAATTCAATCTCATTGCCAATGACTCTCTCATGAAGACATCTGGATAGTGAGAAGCTTCAAATGCTGACTCTAGTTCTTCCAGTTGCCAACCTAAACTTTGTCTCTTTCTGATTTCAGTGTAAAAGTTTCAAATAAGAAATTAGACACATTTTTCTGATTTGAAATTTTTCTGCTAGCTGGACAAACGACCGTGCTATGTACCTACCCGAAAAGTTAGTTCTGGTCCTTCTCCTCTTTGCAGATGTTTCTCCAATATCTGTATCATCCTCCATTAGTCCTCCATCTTCCTCCATTGGCATTTCCTCATCTGGTGACGCTGTTTGCTCACGTGATGAAAGGGATTTATCATTTTCAGGGATTGGAGATGTCTCCGATCCATCGGAACAGCTTAGAAGAACTGGAAAAATGCAGATATCAGTTTGAAAAAACGTTTCAGTTATTAGCAGCTTTTAAGCTGATTCGCAGTTGTTCAAAAACTAGAAAAAAAGCCTAGTTTTTTGAAAATTAGGTTGAAACACGTTTTTTTTGGATTTTTTCTATAACCCAAGACCAGCAAAACTTTATGTCTTACCTGAATTAATTTGTGTTTTCCAGAAATCATTCCAGATATCATTCATAATTTTCACCGGTTCTGTATCGACATCAACACTGGCTTCCAAATCGCTAAGCATTGTTTCCAACGAGAGAAGAATACAGTATACCACTCAGAAGCCCCTCACTTCTTCCAGAAAACAAACAAACAATGAAATGCTTTCCTCCAAAGAAAAAAAAACCATAAGCCAGACTCCGCCCACTTCCGAGCCCCAAAACCAATGAGCCCGGGCAAAGGGGGCGTGGCCTTGTTGCGAGGGGGAGAGAGAACAATTAACATATACTAATATGATGTGATTTCTCCGCCCCATGGGATTCCCAAAACTTTTCTCAAAATATGAGAAAGTTTTATTTTGGAAATCGAGCCTTTTTAGACGAGGAGCCCAGAGAGATGATGGAAAAGTCTTTATCGTTTTGAATAATCTTTTCGAATTTTGTGAAAGAAGGGGAGCCCATCCCCCAATTATTAAGAGAGAATTGCGCAACTTGGGAGAAGCAGGGATGATGGGATATTTAGTATTATTTGTTGTTGCATAGAGATTGAAATGGGGATAAAGGAATTTAGAGATTTGAGTTGAAGAGTATAAAGTTTTCGGGTTGAAAAGTTTTTTTTAAGGCACGAAACTCAAATTTCTCAAAAACGGAGAAACTAAGACTTGATATTTTATCACTGATAAACATTTGGAAGACTGATAATTTTCATTCCACCAGTTTTTCAATATTTAGGTTACTGTAAAGTCTGTAATAGAAGAGTCCCCCTCTGCCAAGTTTGCGCACTAATATCTCGGAGGTATCAAACATGTATAAAATGATAAAACGTTTTTGATATAATGATGAACAATTTATCAGTTGACAGCTTTTTCATACCTTTGACAGGGACCGAGATAATTGAGGTCAAAGTTGAAGGAGATCTTCTATTACAGAATTTTTGGTAGTTTCTTTTTCGGGGAAAATCTGACCCCAGAACTCCAAACTTCCTTTTTCCAGACATTCCCTGACCAAACCATTTCATCATTGTCGTCCATCACATCTCATAAGTTTAGTGAAGTCTCTCCTAACTTCTTCTCAACAACTCTCCAATGAGCTGTCCATCTTTTTTGGTTTCTTCCACAATTCTCTCCTGTTCCTCCAAATCATGAAATTATGCAAATTCGGGTTCGCGCACTCCCCCATCCGGTAGTCACCATTTCCCTCTCCATTTCACACACTAGTTTGTGAGGAGTGAGATGCAACACCAGAAAAAGGTTCATGGAAGATTTATCTATTGGTGTGGAGAGGGGAGTGAGAGATGGGGTGTCAAGAACGGATAGTCAGGATGATGATTGACAGAGAACAGGGTGTTGAAATGATGTTCCAATTGCTTGGAAGCTGACAGCTTTGAGATGTTAATGAGAGATAGTATGTTAAGATTATGGGTATGAAAACTTCAGTGGCTTGAAGCATTCGATCACTCTGTAGTTTTTTTTTAACCTCAGAAGGAGAGCAAGGGAGCTGAATCACCAAAAAATGAGAAATGTTGGGTCCAAAATAACAAAAACGGCGACTTTTTCTAGTTCCCAGAAAGATGCTAGATTTGATGACCACTATTTTTTAATTATGGGCCGGTTAAATAGAGGTCAAAAAAGATGAGCGGCCTACTGAAAATTCCAGTTGTATTTCAAGTTGTAATTGTAAAAAGCATCGACCTCTAAAGTTGGAAACTTGATGAGCTTCCCAAAATCTAAATTGAACACAACAAAACCTGTAATAGAAGGGCCCCTTAACTATAAACTTTGAGCCAATTTGTCTCACTTCTTATCTAAGACATCAAAAAGTGGTCGATTGGTTCGTTCATCAAAATACCAGAAGTGTTTTATCAGTTGGCGCATTTTTTATATCTTGCAAAGGAGCCAAGAAAAATTAGCTGAAACTTTACGATGTGGGGGCCCTTCTAATACAGTTTTGACGGTATGTATTTCTATTCCGATGAAGATAAAATGAATGGCTTCAAGTCTTCTTTCAAATAAAATTTCTGATATCCTCTTCCCATAATGTCCATGTTTCCGAATCGAAAATAAGACAAAAATAAAACTTTGTCATCTCGCCATCTCGATCTACGCCATTTTGGCGCATTGAAAAAGGAGACACCATTATTATTACATATAACTCATCCCAGCTCTTCCTCCTCACAACTAAACACTAGTCACTTTCTCTCTATTCGATTCCCAATGGTCTCATTTTTGAGACAAAAGTAGAATATTTGTGTGAAAGAAAACGGAGTGGTAGAATTTTTGCGAACAGAAAAATTTTTTTTGGATGACTACAGTAACCTTTTTTTGAGGGGGGATCAGTCTCGAGTCCAGGTGCCGCTATCTAAATGGATCTCGTATTACGAGAATTATGTTAATTTTTCGAATTTCCAAATAATAATAAGAATTGTTATGACTCCTCCTGGAACATTCCATTTGAAGACATCTCCATTGGAAAATCTTCAATTACAATGCAAATTTTTCCAATTTTTCTCATTTCACTACTCCTCATTCAGACAATAAATATATGGAGCCTCAAGAAGGAGGACTAATTTGAAACGCGAAATTCGAGATGGATCACCAGTCAATTTGTTTTCTTCTTTTTCTGTAAAAAGAGGGCGCGGTACGCTTCTTAATAGGAAGAGAGTGTGTATATTGGAGCAAAATGGTAAATTGGAATGAGATTGAGAAAATTTGAATTAAAATTCAGAATAGAAAAACATGATCTATAGATTTGTGGGAGCAAATAAAATACAATGCCCAAGAAATTGAAGAGCTGGAAATATTGAAAAAAGAGAGTTGTGTAACTTCTCTATAAAACAGGATTTGTTTTTGAAAAATGAACATCGATACTGAAGAATGGATTATTGATCTACCCTGATCTCGTTTGATCTACTCTAATTTATAAAAAATCATTTGTACACACGGCTGTGTGCACAGAAACATAGTTTTTCTTGATTTTTTCCAAAATTTTTGGCTAAATGTATTCTCAACTTTTCAGTAAGCACACACAAACTTCTTTCCGAACAGCGAGACCGGAAAGTTGTGAATTTATACTATTTCCAAACTCGAGGTTATGTTTTTTCCAGTTTTTTTGCAAATTTTTCCTAGTCAATTTCAATTCGACACCAAATATTTTTTATTGAATCTCCCCATCAATCTCTGTTCTCTGTTTCCCACTGAATAGAAAAAAAGGACCGCCTAATTAATGTTCTCAGATTGAAACAGAGAGTCTATGCAAATTTCTTGAATTAATGGCCCTGTTTTTGAATTATAGGATCTTGGACTGCCTTGCTGTCAAATTGAAAGGGGAAAAAGAGGTAACAATGAAGGATTCATTTTCGGAAATCAGGCGTAACATTAATTAGTTGATGAAGTTCCCAGAAGGATCAGAGCTCTGTTCTCTCCTCGGCTGAAAACATCGAATTGTGATTTTTTCAGAGAATCCTAACTTTTCTTACCAATGCACTTCTCTGGGACTCCTGCCCATTTGCCGTTTGGCATGCACTGATAGAGTTTGAATGGCTGTCCAGCAATCTCAAAAGCATAGTACTTCTTGCAAATATGAACTAATTGCTCTCCAATTGAGTAAGATGTCTTCAATTCCTTCTCAGTGGGACGGATTGTGTTGGTTAAGTCCAGGTCCGGATAAGCACAGCTAGTGGGTTTTGAGGTGGTCATGGGAGAGGTGTTATTGACGGAGTATGGGGTCGTCGAGCTGGCTTTCTGTAACACGGAATCTTAAACGCACACACGGAAACTAACAACTTACACATCCTTGAGCATCAGCTGTTGTCTCGGTTCTGGTGGTGTTGGTAGATGGGTTGTAAATCAGCTGCATTAGTACAGTGGTACAGTTTTTGTAAGCTATCAAGCTTTCCGAGATTATCTGAAATGCGGATGAGAGGGATCAACAGATATGTATCCTTACGATTTCTCCAGACGGGAGGATGCGAGTGGTGCCACCAGTTGGCCAGGCGAAGGTAGTCGTTGGATTAGATGGAGAGGGAGTTATAGAACCAGACATCGGAGTTGTGGTATACGAGGAGGAGGATGTAGCTCTCTAATTTTTTTAAGATAGTGAAAACCAGGGAATCAAAGAACGTTAGACGACTTACACATCCCTCTGCATCGCTTGTTGTTTCGGTCCGAGTGGTATTAGTTGCCGGGTTGTAAATCAGTTGCATCAGAACAGTGGTGCAGTTTTTGTACGCAATCAACGACTCAGAGAGAATCTGAAAGCTCGAAATCAAGCTAATACTTATAACTTCCGCTCACGATTTCTCCAGATGGTAGCACACGAGTTGTCCCTCCGGTTGGCCAGTTATATGTGGTGGTTTTAACTGATGGCGCTGTTGTGGTAGTGGTGGCCTTCTGGAATCAAAAAGGAACGTTTGGAATAAAAGATCACTTACACATCCTTCTGCATCCGACGTGCTTTCAGTTCTTGTCGTATTTGTTTTCGGGTTGTATATCAACTGCATGAGTACAGTAGTACAGTTCTTGTATGCAATCAGAGACTCAGAGAGGATCTTAAAAATTGATTATGAATAGTTGGGTACTGATTAAAAACTGATTACAATTTCACCAGACGGCAATGTGCGGGTTGTTCCGCCGTGGGCCATGCGAAGGTTGTGGTTGCTGGAGTCGTAGATTTGACTGTTGTTGACATTGGAGTAGTAGTCACTTTTGAAGAGGTGGAAGATGAAGAGGCCTTCTGAATACTTTGAAATCCAATATTAACTCAAAGCATTTTCTTACGCATCCTTGCGCATCTGTGGTGGTCTCAGTTCTGGTTTCATTGGTCGTCGGGTTGTATATAAGCTGCATGAGGACAGTAGTACAATTTTTGTATGCAATCAGAGACTCGGAGAGGATCTGGAATCATAAAGTTTGTTCATGAAGTCAAAGACAACTTACAATCTCTCCAGACGGCAAAACACGAGTAGTTCCTCCAGTGGGCCAGTTGAAAGTGGTTGTTCTTGCTGTTGTTGATTGGGTTGGCTTAGTTGTGAGCATCGGAGTTGTCGAATACTTCGAAGTAGAGAGGGTGGTTGAAGAGGCTTTCTGAAACAAAAAACGTATTAGACTATAAGATTCAAGCAACTTACACATCCTTGTTCGTCCACTGTCGTTTCAGTTCTAGTCTCATTGGTCGATGGAGTATATATTAGCTGCATTAGAACGGTGGTACAGTTTTTGTAAGCGATTAGAGATTCCGAAATGATCTGAAAGGATTTTAATTTTTTTACTAATCTAAAAAAGTTAACTAACGATTTCTCCACTTGGCAAAATTCTAGTAGTCCCGCCAGTTGGCCAATTGTAAGTTGTAGTCTTTGCAGTTGTAGATGGAGTCGGTGTAGTCATTGGAGACGTCACATAGGAAGAAGAGAAGGTGGTCTTCTGAAACTATATGTAAAATTTTTCCTAGTTCGGGTGAACTCACGCATCCTTCTGGATTAGAAGAAACCTCTGTTCGTGTCTCGTTAGTTGATGAATTGAAAATCAACTGCATGAGAACAGTCGTGCAATTTGGAAAAGCTTGGAGAACCTCCGATAGTACCTGAAAAAGTTTAGTTGGCTTTATTTTCAATTAGTAAGGACTCACAATTTCACCAGATGGCAGAATCCGTGTGGTTCCGGTTGGCCAGTTAAAGGTAGTGGTTGGAATCGGAGTTGTGAGTGGTGAAGTAGAGCTCTATAATGAAGGGTTACCGAGGTATCTAACAAGTTAACTTGAAGCCGTTCTATGTAATACTACTCTGATCATGCAGGTCTCATAAAAGGTTCGGGTTATTAGTCAGGTAGGAGAGGTAAGATCGAGGCAATTCCAGAAGGAATGACATTCATCAGCCCGGTTTTAAACGGCTGGAAACTTACACATGCATTAAACTCCACAGTATCATTTCGGAGCCTTGTACCGTTGACGAAGTAGACTTGCTCTTGGGTTAACTGAGTACAATTCTCAAAGAGTTGCACGGTAGTATTACGGAACTGAAGACATGGTAAAGGATTGAACGGGAGAGATAAGGCGAAAACAAAAATAATTTGAAACATGCAAACTTCTAGGTAGCCTAAACTCACATAGACACCATCAACGTTGGTGGTTGTTCCAGGTTTTGTAGAGACTGAAATTGTATTATGAAGATTTAAAAGTTATAAAATTCTAGAACTCACTGGTAGTACTGACGATTCGAGATGAAGAAGAAACAGTTGTGCCAGAGGTGTTTTGTTCAGTTCCAGACGTTGTTGGGGTCCTGGAAGGCAATGGTGACGGGCTAGACGTAGATGAAGAAGGCGTTAATGTTTCATTGGTCTGTGCTCCTGACGTGGTGGTTGTTGAGTTTGAAGAGGTCGTGACAGTTGTTGTTGGAGTTGTCAGAGTGGTCTCTGTGCTTCCGTTTGTGCTTTTCGTAGTGATCGTTATTGTGGTGGTAGTCTCAGAAGAGCGGGCCATGGTTGAAGCAGTTGCGCCTCCAAAAGTCGTACTGTTTCCAGACGAGGCTGTATCAGGTAATGACGTAGTCGTCACCGTGGTTTCAGCCGTAGTAACGACAGTTGTGGAAGACAATGAGCCAATGGTAGCGGTTGTTGTGACGTCAGTATCATTAGCAGTTGTTCTAGTTGTAGAAGAACTAGTAGTTGGACTAGTAGAGACTTCAGGATCATTCGTAGTGGAAGATTCATAAACAGATGATGTGGAATCAGAAGACATTGTGGTTTCAGAAGGTGTGGTAGAATCCGAATCGGTGGTCGAATCAGTCGCTGTCGTAGTTTCCAAAGTTGTCTTTTTGCGATTATCTAGAAAATATTTTTTAAACAAAACTAACAAAACTTTTGAAAACTCACCTCCAGTGTTCTTCAATGTTGTGGATATATCCGTGGGACTTGTGGACGATGCATCAGTGCTTGTTGAATCGGAACTCGAAGTGGTGGAGTCAGTTGTAGTTGCTGGCGACGATGACAAAACAGGAGTAGTCGTTGTAGGGGATGTTGTAGAGGAAGATGATGTCATTGTTACTGAAATCTAGAAAATATAGGAAAAACAAGAAACGGAGAATTTTACATGAGCAATTTTCCCATCTTGGTGGATACGTGCAAGCGTCTTCAGTGCAATATAACAAATTCATCAGGTAATTCCTTTTGATCCAAACATCTGTACTATCCAGTATCCACTTGCCAGGATTCTCTTTGAGAGTATTCACGGCAGTTTTCGAACAACAACTTCCGTTATAGGAGAACGGCGTAGACCATCCATTACTATCGTCTTGGAATGGGACAGACAACCACGAGCAGTTGAACTTCGATATTGTGGTCGTAGTTTCTGTAAAGTTTTGTTGTTCGTTTCTACTCCCACTATTCTATTCACCGGTGCTAACAGTTGATGTCGTAGTGGAAGTAGTCGAGAGCTCACAGTCGCACTCTTTCAATTGGGATTCATAGCCGGTTTCCAACGAAAGCCAATCGGTCTGCTTTCCTTCCAAACATTTTGTTACACTTTCTGTACAACACTCGGTATTCTTGAAAACTCCACAGTTGAGAGAGCTCGAAGTGGTGGAAATGGAAGTCGTTTCAGTGGTTGTGCGGATTGTAGTAGTGGTAGATGGAGTGGTAGAAACTGAAACGTTTTAGGATTTGTAAGCTAGAAATGGTTTTAAGAAAGACTCGATCGAAATTACCTCCGCCACAATGGCCCGTACGATTTAACTCTTGGATATATTCGCCTATTTTGTTCTTATTAATGACGGCACTCTTCCAGTCGGAATGGGAATTGTTCAAGTATTCAATGGAACCACTATTACAGCATTCACAGTGATAAATGTAGTTTTGATTTTCATAGGAATAATCAACTACAGTTCCAAGCCAGTTGCAATCTGATTTTAAAACTAATGGACATTGAACCGAAAAGTATGTTTCGTCCGTGTCATCTCCTCTGCCTCTAATATTAGAGATGGAATCACAATAATGGACTGATAAGGACAGATATAGGAAGATAATTCTCATAGCTCAATAGCAAGCACTGGGAAAGTTGTTAGACTTATATTTAATAGCTTCAGAGAAAAAACTGGTTTGAAACTGAATCGAAAGGAAGCCAGCCAGTCGGAGTGCCTAGCAGCGGACCTAGTTACGCGGATGATGTAAAACAACTAGTTTTGGAAATAAACTTTGCATGAGCTTAAGTGATTGACAAGGTACTAGATGGTTCATCAAGCAAATCTTATGGTCCACCTAGCCAGTTGAGTTTTCGAGTCATGATGGCGAAACTTGTTATCGGCAAACTTTCACAATATCTTCTAAGACCGAGAAATTAAAAGTGGGAAACTAATAAATTTCTCGTAATTTCGGTTGAACTTGTTGACCCAATGCTGAAGGTGTGACGTCGCTACCGAAGCTAGAGCGTGCGCCCGATGCCATACATTGAAGCGACAATAGCTGTACACAGAGTAAGTCCCAAGCATTGCACACCGTTACGACATATTGCATACCCTAACTCCAAAAACCTTAAAAAATAGCCTGTCCCCACCGCTTTAAAGAACTCGTCGTAATCTAGGTCCGTTCTCTATGTTCTTGATGTCTCTTCCATCAACTTTACGATACAAAAAGTCCAGCATTCCCAAAAAAAAGTCCCGCAAAATTATCCGAAACATCGTTTCTAATATAGACATGTTATTGCGAAAATTTTCGGACAAAAGAATATGACGAATTTAGTCCTTTTGCAAAATGTCTGTCGGAAGATGACTATGTTTTGATTCCAATTAACTTACAGCAACAGGCATGGGAAATGAATTAGTCACTTTCGATCAAATAAGAACCATTAACACTATGTATATAAATAAAATCAATCCACCAACATTCAAATTTGAATCGAAACATTTATCAATTAATCACTAGGAAATGGAATCACTTACATTCACAAAATCTTTGCTCTTGAAGTTCTTTAACATATTTTACTCTGGCCTCTTCTGAATGTTCAGTGGCCCATGACGGATATCTGTTATCCATAAGATTTACAGAAATAGAGTTACAGCAGCTTCCATCATATGTACCAGCTGGATAACTAAACGAGCGTTTAAGCCAGTAGCAATCAAGTGCTACGGTAGTAGACGAGATATTAGGAGACATTTTGGTAGTAGTAGCAGAAGTAGTAGTCGACGTTCTCATATCGAACTCAATGAAACTTCCACATTTGTAATTTCTAGTTGCCCATCTAACATTTATTACTCTATCACCCAATCTCCAATCTGGGTCTTTTCCATCCAAGAATTGAACTGCTCCAAAGTTACAGCATTCACCAGAATAATATGAACTTTTTGTAGAAGTGTAATATTGTATTAAAAAGTTTCATTCAAAAAGCCACAATCTAAAATGGGCTCAATAGTGGTTTGACTTTCAGTAGAAATTAGTTTTCCAAGTAACATGAATAGCAGAAGCCACATCGTTCAATGCAAGAAAATTGAGCGAATGGAAAGCGAATGAAAATGAGTCTTTTCGGGACTATTGGATTGCCTCGCCAACAATTCCGTCCGATTTCTCAAATGACTTTTCGGAGGTCTTATGGATGATGTGCTTTTTGCAACATTATAAGAGAAGACTTTAGTTCAGAAGCAGTCAGATGTGCAGTATAGAAAGAAAGGCGTGATGTGCAAAAAGAGATAACATATGCAATTTTGATTCTAGTGGACTCAAATCAATAGCTATTGAAAGCGAATAAATCACTTTTGATCTAATAAGAACTATTAAAACTACATTGATAATCTGCGGAAAACTCAATTCGCCAACTTATAAATGTAGATCGGAAAATGGAATTTCTCACCTTCACAAAATCCTTGCTCTCGAAGTTCTTTTACATATTCTACTCTGGCATCTTCTGAATGTTCAGCGGCCCACGACTGATCTCTATTATCCATAAAGTTTACAGAATTAGAGTTACAGCAGTTCCCATCATATGTACCAGCTGGATAACTAAATGATCGCTGAAGCCAGAAGCAATCAAGTTTTACGGTAGTAGAAGAGATATTAGAAAAAATTTTGGTAGTAGTAGTAGAAGTAGTAGTAGTAGACGTTGTCATATCGAACTCAATGAAACTTCCACATTTGTAATTCCTAGTTGCCCATCTAACATTTATTACTCTATCACCCAATCTCCAATCTGGGTCTTTTTCATCCAAGAATTGAACTGCTTCGGAGTTACAGCATTCACCAGAATAGTAATATTCTTTTTTTTAAACTGTAGTAGTGTACTGGAAGGTTTCATTCAAAAAACCACAATCCAAAATGGGCTCAGTAGTGGTTTGGCTTTCAGTAGAAATTAGGATTCCAAGTAACATGAAAAGCAGAAGCCACATCTTTCAACACGAAAAGATGGAGCGAATGGAAAGCGAATAGAAATGAGCTTTCAGGGCTATTCGACTGTCTCGCCAACAATTCCGTCCGATTTCTCAAATGACTTTTCGGAGGTCTTATGGATAATGTGCGTTTTGCAAGAGCATAAGACAAGACACGCTATGTTCAGAAGCAGTCGGATGCGCAGTATAGAAAAAGGTGTGATGTGAAAGAAATCTGTCAGTTTTGCACAAATGCGGTTGTCAATTTTGAGAAAAACATGACAAGTTTAGTTCTTCAACTCTGGTTTCAATGAACTCAAAGATAAATTTGCTAGAAAATCAGTTTTTTCTTAAATGGAAGCAAGCGTCCAGACCTAGAAAATCCGTTCCCAGAAGAAAATCTAGCTTCCAGAATTACAAAATAAATATGTACCTTCACATAATCCTCGATCTCTCAATTCTTTGATGCGCTCCTGCGAAAACACCGAGCCTCCATAAGAAATAGTTTTTATCTAAATAAGCTACAGCTTCAGCATTACAACAATCCGCATCGAGGTATCCACAATCGAGCTTAAAAGTTGTAGTTGGTGCCCGCGGTGTGACAACGTAACTGTCAGTTGACTGACAATCACGGGTGTTGAGGAATAGTAACAAGAGAAATAAGAACATCATTCGAGGCACAGAATATCTATGTTTTGTTTTGAGAAAGAATGAGCAAATCCAAAATGATCATGAGACCGATATTCGGGGTTGCGTGGCAGCAGTCACAAGGCTCATTTATGAATTCGTACAGATGAATAAGAGATTGAACTAAAATAGAGTCAATTTTAGATCGTATAGTTCAGTTTTTCGCAAAAGTATTACTTACCTGTCAGCCCACAGAAACCATTGTTTTCCAAGTCCTGTAGAAAGAGACCTCCCAATAGCCCCCATAACTCTTTCCACAAAAGCTTGTTATTGTTCAAGTAAGCCAGGGACTCGGAACTGCAACAGTCTGGATCTACAGACTCACAATTGAGCTTGCTAGTTGTTGTGGCAATAGTAGTAGTAGTAATTCTCGTAGTAGTTGAAGATACACAAAAACCGCTACTATATAGAAGTTCTACATAGTTTTCAGCGAGTTGTTCGTTTCTCCAATTTGATCTGTTTTCGTCCATATAGTTAACAGCACTGATTGTACAACATTCTCCTTTATAATTTTTGGTGGTCCCGTTGGAACGGTATTGGAAACTGCTGGCTAAGAAACCACAGTCTTTAGGAGTTTGGCAATTTGCAGAATATAAGTAAATTAAAAGAATGTAAATAGAGAGCCTTTGAAAACAAATAGTCATTCTTCTTGCTTTGATGACTCTTCTAAAGCTTACTAGAAAAGAGTTTGGTTCTGCTCAATAAGTTTTTGATTCATCCCTAGAGTGACTAACGGGCACATGAATTTGGATGGATGTCAGAAAATCTACATACCAAGAAGATTCTAAAGAGATTTTCATAGTAATGATGTCACAAATTAATAGAGGAGTTACAGAAATTAAATTTGGTTACAGTAAACACTCTAATAGAAGGCCATTTAATGTGAGCTTGTATATCTCGGTTCCTGTCACAGATATATATTGAGGCGTGTAAAGAAAGTTCCATGTTTTTTACCTTCTGTTGATGTCTGCTCGTAACAATAACCCAACGAATTAAGTACATTCAACAGCTCATAATTCCGTCCATTATTCATCCAGTCCTTATAATACATAATACAGTAGTCCACCGCCTCTTTGTTACAACACTTTCCGTTGTACGTTAGTGGAAACTCTGGAGCTAAACTCCATGATTCAGAAAGCCAGAAGCAATCGATTGATGTAATGGGTATAGGAAAAATGGTTAGGCTTAGGAAAAGAAAAAATTCCATTTTCTGGAAGCCGAAAGCTAATAAATGAAAGAGGACGCTAATAAAAGCAAGAAATAAAGAAAGTTTCCCTACAAAATGCTCCAGTGCATTCCTGAGCTTTTTATGGGCTTTGGCATAAAAATTCAACAGATGTAGTTTGCCTTTCTCCAGTTTTGAACTCACCAGGTTTTGTGCTGCACAATGGTGTGCACTCATTTAAAGGTTTGAGATCATTGCTAATGTTTTTGGAATTTCCAGATAACCAAAAGCATAGCAATCGGAGTTGTCAAGTCATGAGTTTTCGGAGTCGTCATTTTTTTCTTCGGAGAAGAGATCAAAATATCACACCTATCAAGTTAGATTTCGTTTGTGGAAGTTGTTATTTTTCGTGCTATAATTTGATACTGCGTACAAGAGACAATAATACGTTCAGTACAGTTTTTTGCTACTTCCGTCCAGCTTTAAACCGCAGAATGATCCTTTCTAGCTCAGAAGTACCAACCACCGAAGATTCTAATGGTTTCTATAATTCCCACAACTTACATTGTTTGTAACACTAAACATACACTCACCACTTTTGCTAGACGTCTCTGCTTCTAAAGTACTTGCTAGACCGGTAGATTCGAATTCAGATGTAGTAGTGATAGTAGTAGAGGATGTCGAAATAACAGTCGAAGTTGTGCTTCTACCACAGAGACCAGAATTTCGTAATGCGCGTATGTAATCCCGGCGATCGATTTTCACTTTATTAGTAGTCCATTTATCATTATATGTTGCGTTCAGGTAATCAACAGATGCTGTATTACAACAGTCTCCGTAATAATCAGAAATTGTTATAAAATCAATTGAGTCTTTTAGCCAATAACAATCGAATCCTTCCGTCGTAGTGGTTGGAGATTCAGTAGTTGAAGATATGAGTTCAGTTGTGGAAGATAGCATGGCAGTCGTAGATGGTGTACTTGAAACAACACATAATCCTTCGATATACACAGCGGAGATCCTTAGTTCGGCGTTATCTGCGTTTTCCCTCCAATTGTTACCATACACCTTATCCATATACGAAACAGCATCTGGATTGCAGCATTGCCCATCGTAAGAGTAGGTTTGTTTTTTTATAGGGAACAGCTAGGTATCCACAATCCAGTGGAGTCGTTGATGAGGCTTCAGTACTACTATCTTGACAGTTTACAGTAGTGGAAACCACCACCAGAGACAACAAGACAAGTTTCATGAAGAGAGACCTTTTGAGAGTTATGCGAGTGAAAGTTTGAAAGGGAGGAAATGAGAATGAGCATAGATGAAAAAAATAGAGCTTAATAAGATGCATTGGAGCTTATTTTGATTGAATTGCTAGGATACCCGATACGCGAGCCTGGCAACTCGCGGGGATCGGGAATCGGAGAGTTTGACTCGTGTGACTTCTAGGAATATTTTCCTAGATTTTCTCGATAGGAATATTTCCGAAACCCAAACTCCTAACTCAAGTTAGATTCACTTTGTGGAACCCGGTGTTTTTCGTGATATAATTTGTTAAAGCTAACAGAAGAAGAGCAGCACGGTTTTCAGGACCAAAACTTCCGTGAAACAGCTTTAACCCGTACAATGATCCCTTCTATTACAGCTCAGAAGTATCCATCATCAAATAACGCTCCGTTTAAAACATCAGTCCGATCTTTGGAAAAACATAATGTAGCAATTAAAAAAAAAACAATATTTGAAAGTTAGAGATTGTAAATATGTAGTATTTGAAATGCTGCACAGTGCGATTTATGAACCGGACAGAAACTGAATTTCTTAACTTCAAAATCATTACAATTCTAACCCAAGACTACTTTTAACGATTTGGATAACACACACACAACCTAAACTATCGTTCATAACACTAAACATACACTCACCACTTTCACTAGTCATTTCTGCTTCTGTAGTACTTGTTAGATCAGTAGATTTGAATTCAGATTTAGCAGGACTAGTAGTGGAGGCTGTGCTAGCACCACAGATACCCCGCATTCTGTTGTACCAAGAACAATTTATTTCTTCAGTCGTAGTGGTTGGAGAATTAGTTGTTGACGATTTCAGTTCAGTTGTGGAAGATGTCGCAGCAGTCGTGGATGATGTACTTGAAACATCACACAATCTTTGATTAAACAAAAATGTGGTTCTTGAAACGGCGTCAGCTAGGTCTTCCCTCCAATTGCTACCATACTCCTCATCCATGTACGCCACAGCTTTCGGATTGCAGCATTGTCCATCGTAAGAGTAGTCATCGTTCTTATAAGAATTAGCAAGATATCCACAATCCAGTGGAGTCGTTGATGAGGCATCAGTGCTACTGTCTTGACAGTAGATGTTAGTGGTCAAAACCACCACTAGAGATAACAAGACAGGCTTCATAAGGAAAAACCTTTTCGGGAAACGGGAGACTGAAAGTTTGAAGGAGGAGGAGAAATGAGAATGAGAATGGATGAACAAAAAGCTTTATAAGATGCATTGAAGCTTATTTTGATAGAATTGCTAGGATACCGGGGACCCGCGCCCAGCAACTCGCGGGAATCGGGAATCGGAAAGCTTGACGGCGTTTGACTTCGAAGAGAAGAAGAAACATAATGAATGCATTATTTGAAATCTGTGTTTGAAGTCTAAGGTTTTCTCACAACTTTGAATACAGAAGAATTTGGAGTAGGGTATTTCTAGGTGTTTGAAAAACCTAGAGGGTAAAATTCTGAATTTTTCGAATATACTTTGTGGGGTAACCCCAGATTTTTTTTAGAACAGATAGACATTGATTCCTTTTTTTTCATAATTGGGGTACGAGTAACATAATAATTTTCATACTTCGTTAACTTTCTGTGAATTCACAATCTTTCAAAATCCAATCCAATCTCCTTTTGGTTTTTTGAAGATGCACGCGAATCTGTCATACTTGTTTGTTTCTCCTACCATGCTCCATTGGTGATGTCTACAAGCGAAAGATTTGGTGACCTCTCTTTCATCTTCGGCCAACTGAAAACTGGGGAATCAAAATTTCAAAGTTTTGGTCGAGAGCACTCACAATTGTAAAATTGGTAGTACCTTGGCCATTTATTCCAGCGATTCCGACTTTTTCGAATAGTCCTATACCATATCCTGAATTTTGGCAAGAAATCGAAATGGGTTGGCTGCAATTGAATTGCTGGATGGTTATATTAGTCGCTACAGTAACATAAGGTGAAACCGGCCAGGCACAGCAATCTAAAATTGGTCAATGGGTTTTAAACTTTTTTCGTTGGTACCATTCTGAGCGTTGCTATAAACAGCCAGAATAATAAGAAGGGCAGAAAGTAGAAGGACTCCTTTCATTTTCGGAACAAGTGGTTGAAGAACGAAACGGGATGGTGGTTTTTATACGGAAAAGGTAGCAATGAAAAGAGTAATAAACACCTATAGAATAGCAGTTTATTGAAAGAAAGTTATTGTTGGTTTTGGTGTTTTTATAGTTTTTGTACTGATGGATAGTATAGTTCAAGAAATCAAAGTAGCTGAGAGTACTGTATCGTGTTAGTTTGATTCCGTTTGATATTGAAATTTATAAGGATTTTGAGCTTGAATTAATGGGACGATTCCCTTTTTACGTCTAGTCTTCCAAAAAGGCAATAACTGAAAAATGATACATCTGGAGAAGGAACAAACCTGGAACTTATTTTAGATTCAGGGTTTCAATTTTTGTGGGATTCCTGAATTTTTTTGACATGAAGTTCAAAAATCGTATTGCAGCTATTCTTTCTTTTGAAAGTAAGGATCTCTTCTTTTTCTCTTTTCTTTTCCTGCAAAGAATATTCTCAAAGACTCAAATAACATTTATTAAATTCAAAAAACAAGATTTTTATGCAATTATCCATTTCCTCTCTAGTGTCTCGAAAACGCAAGTAAATCTTTATTACTCGGTAGGAAGCTCTTCCAGATGCCACTCGGAAGAAGATGGAGAACCGCAAACCAGTGTCTTTGTGATATAAATTTGTCCATGTCCAGCTGAAAGATTACATGGTTGGACAGGTCATGATTCAGAAAACTCACTATCTCTATGGGATTTCGTCCATTGATTCCAGCAATCCCAACTGAAGCTGGTCCCCCAAAAAATGGCGTAAATCAATACTTTGATTCTCATGTTTTTAATCAGAAACTGTTTACAAAGAAAAATTGATAGAGGGAAGTACCGTATGGAATAAAAATTTTAGTATGTGTGTGATTTTATGGTTTCTGTACTCTTGTGCTTAAAAATGAGTTGAAGTATTTATTTAAACATGAAAATGGCAAAAAAATCTACACGATTGTGGATAACCCAGATTAAAAATATCTATTGCTCAACGTCCTTCTTACAATGGAGAGTTGCAGAGCTGAAATACCATGTTATTGGAAACCCAACTTTCAAAAAATAAGTTCTCACCGTGGTGATATCTGGAAGTGGCTTAATGGTGTTAGCCAAGTTCTGAAGGGCAGCGAATGGACACAAAGCTGCTCCATTGCACATTGGGACTTGTGTGGTGACATCAGCGATGTTGGCATTGGCATTCGAGCGGTAAAGAACCTTGAAGAATCTCTCATTGGTTTGTGTGTTTCTGTGGAACTCCAAGAAGATTCCAGCGGCGTATGCTGGCCATCCGTCAATAGTGTCAGCGATATTAGGGATTCCAAGAGCAACGAGAACGGCGTAGACGTTGTTGTCATGCTGAACATTTTCTAAATGTTATAGAAGATCGGATTTTTTAATTTACAATGGAGTATCCATAGAACTTCAACTGCTTCAAGTATCCGGTGCAGTTCTCTCCAAGTTCTGCGCAATCGAATTTCTCAGAAGCTCTGTTGTACAACTCATTGATGATGACTCCAGCTCGAACCTTCTTCATCTCCAGAGCCACATCAAGACCGTTAGAGACTGCGGAGTTTTGGAAGTTACCCTCCAAGAATCCCTTGACTGGAGCATAAACAGTTTGCGACTGGTAGTACAAGTCCTCATTGTACCATGGAAGTTTCTCGTACATGGTCTTGTTGAAGTAGGCTCTTTGACACTTCCACGTGTCCGGGTAGGTGTAGAAGGTGTCGATTCCGGTGGTCATATTGTAATGTGGGCCGATTTGACGGTTAAGAAGAACGACTTGCTGGAATTTAGGAAGCACTTCTGGGAGAGCAAGCATGCGAGCTTGGAGGAGATCGTATCTTGGGCATGGGCAGTTTTGACTGGCAGCACATTGTTGTGGTCCGTCAACATGAACCGGAACAAAGGTGAGTCCTGGTTGCCATTTGAAAGGGGTGAACGGATAATCCACGTCTGAAATTTTCTTTTTACTCGATCAGATTAATCCACTGGCTTACTTGGAATATCGTACAAGCTTGGTGGGAACATTCCATATAGCATAGACATTGCAGAAATGATGGTTCTATTGAAGTCGGTAGATCTCACATAAACTTCCTTTGATGCATACTTTGGCTTCAAGAAGTTGAAGGTATTGACATATCTTTGACGAATAAGTCTTCCCAGATCGTTCATCTCTCCCATTCCAATGGCAGTGAGCTCTCCGAGACCACCTCCTCCGAAAATCCAGTCCTTCTCGTAGATGGGGTACAAATCGATTTGAGACGCGCGTTCTCCATGACGCCACATCTAAAGATCTGGTTTCTAATTAAGATATGAATCTGAAAACCACTCACGGATTGCACAAACTCCAGCTTGATATTTCCGGATTGAGCAGCGACATAGCCTAGAGCTACCAAGCAAAGACTGAAAGCCTTGATCATGGTTGATGATCGACAAGCCTCCAGGGCGACCCTTTTAAAGATTTTGAACTCATAAAAACCTTATTAAAATTATCAGTCGTCAGATAACGACATGGTCAGTTCATGCTTCGTTTTAGTGTCCCGCTTTTGATCTTCTCTCGTGATAGTTGGCGCGAAAAAGATAAAACTTGGACTTTTTGTGTGCAAAGTGATAAAATCGAGGTAAAGAACATGTTGACAAACCGTTTTCGCAACATTTTATAGGTTATCAGTTGGGAATGGTCTAAAATCGAAAGACAAAGTATAGCGAAAGTTTTCGAAAATGATGACAGCACAGTTCGAGATTGGCGTAACTTTGTGAACTCTGTCTAAAAGTGCAAACTGACTATGGATAGCACAATGAAGTGGATAATCTGGAATAAAATCTTGATATTCAGCCAGATCATGATTCGAGGATCGAAATTATACTAAATACAACAAGGGGAAAGTCTGAACCTTTTTAGATAAACCAAATTTCAGATACCGTAAACACTCAAATAGAACCTCACTCGAACCGTCAACTTTGAGCCTATACATCTCATTTCCTGTTAAAGATATCAAAAAGTAGTGAACTAACAAAATGTTTATTTTATGTCAAAAATATTTTGTCAGTTGACCAATTTTTTGATATTTTTTACTAGAAATGAGATATATAGCTCAAAGTTTTTAGGGTGTCGTTCAATTAGAGTGTTGGTAAATGGAAGGAGTGTCCGGACCTTTCGAAGATGCTAGACTATAAGAATCTAAAAAGTTCCAGTCTACTCTGAAATTTTTCAAAAAAAAAATTTAAACTACTAGACTCGCTCAAACCTTTCTCAAACCTAGACTTCCTCAAACCTAATAGATCAAAAAATTTTATTTGATATTTTGTTTTATTTTTTTGAAAATATTCTCAACATTCGTTTTGTTTTTGGAAATCAATTTTCCTTCTTCCACAACTTTCACAATCACAAGACTCTTCTCATCTTCTCAAATTAGCTCCATCATTGGCGTGCATCATGACAGAAATGGAGGAAATGAGGTTTTCCCACTTCTTCGTTTTTCCCTTTCGTTCGAGCTGAGAGGAATCCAATTATATTGCTCATGCTTCTCTTTTTGCAGCGAAATTAAAACGTTTTGCTGAAAAGAGGCGGCTGAAGAGATTGAACATCGCAATCCAGAATGTTTTGAAACATGTCTTGTGCCAGTTAGAATTTTTTTAGTATAAAAAACTTAAATGATTATCCCGCATAAGTCAACCACTCTCGACATCCCATGTGTTATTTTGCTCAACTCAAAGAAAAAGATAGAGAGAACGGAGAAAACGGAGAAAACTGCTCTCTTCTTTTCAGTATTCATTTCCATTAATAGTGCTTTGAGCTCTTCTTCTTCTTCTTTTTCTTCTTGCTGGTTCTCTCATCTTCTGAATTCCAGCGAGACACTTTTTGTAGTTCGGACGATGTTCCACTAATCCTCTTAAACACCAAAATGGAGGCTGACTAGCGAGTTCAGTTTAGAGATTAGTGGAAAGAACCTGCTACTTTCCTGCTGGCTAGTTAGAATTTTTCACAATTTCAGTTGAAATTGCTATTTTGCAAAAAGGTTACTGTAGGAATTGAAATTATCATTTTGCAAAAATATTACTGTTGAATTTGAGTATAACATACTTGTAATCCGGGCCTTTGTCGGGCCTTTGCGGGCCCTGCCATAATTTCTTTCAGAATCGATATTTCCAAACCAACTAAACTTGATATGATAGAGCTCCACGAGTACTACAAAACGGTATTATTTGGAATACTGTATCTTATCTATGAACAAAGTTACAGATCATAAAGTGGCTTTTCTCGCAGGGCTCTCCAGGCCCGGGCGGGGCCTGCTTTTTTTGTTCCTTTTGCTCAGTAACTCTGTTCATAGACAAGATACAGTATTCTAAATAATACCGTTTTGTAGTACTCGTGGAGCTCTATTATATCTGATAGAGTTGGTTTGAAAACATTGATTCTGAAAGAAGTTATGGCAGGGCCCGCGAAAGCCCGGCAAAGGCCCGGATTACAAGTATGGAGTATTACAATTTTTTTCCTAATTTTGGTCCTATCTAACTTGCCCTTTCATAATTTTCAAGTACCGTAAAATATGGTAGTAGGGCCCCCGCATTGCTAAGTTTGAGCTCAATGATATCGGTCCGTATAAGAAGGTTTACGGTAAGGTTTACTGCGTTTTCCTATTTTTCATTCATCACTCCAACTTGTCCATTCAGAATCTTCAAGAATTTTTGTTGTTCCATTTATTAATGAAAAGTTTAAAAATAAAACTTTCGTTAGGTTCCGGAAAATGAGTTTTCGAATGTTCTTATTATTAAGGTCTTCTGGCTCTTTATTTTTCCCAAAATTCTTATTTACATAGTTCCAGTACCCTTACTTTTCATAGTGCATCCGAATAACTGACCACGTCCCATAAATGACCTTTTTCCGCCCTTCTCATTTTTATTTGGCATGAAGGCGTCCGTCCTCCAACGCGTCTCTTCTTTTCCTCACCCTCATTCCTTTTCTCTGGGCTCTCTTCTCCCGCTCTTCTCTTCTACTAGTAAACGAAGCAAACAACGAAAGGTTGCCCCATTGGACTCTGATGGTTTTTATTGAAAGGTGGAACCTTGGCTGAATAATCCAGGCCTAAACTTCATTATTTTTGTAGAATTCTTTTTCAATAACTGTTCCTTAAGGTTTCCTTCTTCTTTCGTAATTCGCAAATTTTCCAATTCAAGTTTTTCAATTTTTTGAATTTTTTCAATTTCTGGAATCCTTTTTTAATTGACTTTTTCAGAAAGATGTATCCATCTAAAAATCAAATTGGGCAGAAACAGAACCATAAAAAATTCACACAAAATCCTGAACCGTGCCATTTCGACAATTGGGAACGACCAAGTGAAGCTTATGCTGGAACTTCTGGGGTGAGTTTTTGAATCATCATTTTTTTCCAATAACCTAAAAAAAATTTCAGACCCACCGAATCGCTGATTGGTCCAAGCCATGGGACCATGAATCCATCAAGTATGAATCAACAGAGAAGGCTAAAAAAGCTTTCGTCAAATCGAAAAATTATGATTCAGAGTCCAATAGTGATATTGATGTAAGTATTAGCATTAATAACGCAAATTCTGTAAATTGTCATTAGAGCGCACTTGCTGATTCTTGTTTTTCAGGATGGACCAAGTACGTCAGAAAAGAACAATTACAACGAAAAAGATGTTTTTGGAAAATTGGATGATGACAAAGAACATGACTGGGAACCAAAGAATAATTCAGTGAAACTAGAGGTTAGAATTTACCATAAACATTCTCATAGAAAGCCACCCAAATCGTTCACTTTTAGAAGATAATTTATTGATCAGAAGAAATATGGCACAAAAGTTATAACGGGGGGGGGGGGGGGGGGCACTTTGAGCTCTTGGTTCCTTTAATAGATCTTTCCTTTAATAGATCTTGGTTCCTTTAATAGATATAAAAAAGTGGTTAACTAACAAAATGTTTATTACTAGATAATTGAGCTGAAAGTTTACAGTGTGGGCGGCGTTTTATTAGAGTGTTTAAGCATATGCCCCTGGACTTATGTTCAATATTTCAGGTCAACTGGTTGCCTGCTAAGAGATGGGATGAGTCGTCAGAAGACGATAGTGAACAAAATGATCAGTTTTCAAGAAGTTTGGAAGCTCTGAAACAGGAGGAACAAGAAGAATACTACAACAGTTGGGATGAGGAATCAAATGATGAAGAGGAAAAGATACGAAATCCGAATAAGAAATTGAGAGATTCAGCACCTACTAATAAGAACTCAGCACCTAATAATAGGTGCATTAGATGGGATGAGTCGTCAGAAGACGACAGTGGACTCAATGATCAATATTTAAGAGATTTGAAAGCTATGAAGCAGAAAAAACACAAAGAATACTACAACAGTTGGGATGAGGAATCAGATGATGAAAAGCGTAAGAAACGAAATCCGGATAAGAAATTGAAAGATTTGGGATATACAAAACAGAAAGAGAAACAGGAGAAAATTGTGGTTTCGGAAGTTCAGCCCAGACTCTCCAATTTTCCTAGATTTGTGGTACCAGTCGTTGGAAAAATGCCTGTTAAAAAATCTGAAGTGGAAAAATCTATGGCAAAGATGAGCTTTGAGGTAACCTCATTGAATTAAATATAGAAAATTACAAATGAAATTTCAGAATCCAGAAAAATCGGAACTAAAAGTGGAAAGAACAAAAGCCGACGAAGCCAAATCAGGAGATAAAATTGGTCTTCAAAATTCCAAAACTTTGGATATTAAAACACAGGAAACTTCTAAAGCTGAAAAGGAGGAAACCAAGGTTCCCAGGAAAAGTTTGGAAAGTTCCAAAGAGCCTAAATACTTGAAACAGAAAAAAGAAACAACTCAAGTATCTGAAAATGAAGGAACTTCAACAATTGAAGAAAAGAAGCCTGGAATTTTTTCTTCGTTTCTGTTAGACCGTCCAATTTTTGAGGCCCGGAGTTTTGAGGTACTGTGCTTGTCCGCCGGTGATGAAGCTTTTGGCCGAACATTTATTTGAACGCGCAACTTCGATTTTGAAGCGAAGGCAACAAACGTTTTCGAATAAATGCATGCGCCTTTGATAAATACCGTATCTCGAAAATATTTTTTCTGTCCATTTTTTTCAGATTTTTGCTCTTTTTTTGCCGATCCTCTGCAATACTCAACTGAATTTTCTTAAAAAGTAAAAAAAGCAGACAAAAAACTGGGAAAAGCAAATTAACTTCAAAATACAGTATCAAAGGCGCATGCCGCCTTTAAATAAGTTTTCTGTGGCCAGGTCCATCGCCGCCGGACGAAAATCCTCTAGTTTTTTTTTGAAATTTTGTTGAAAAATATCGCATATTTCAGGATTTATCGCAACCAACAACTTCCACCGCAACGCTTTCAAACGAGCAAGTTTCTTTTGAGAATCCAATTGGAGTTTTCATGGCAGGAATTTCGAATCGGAGGCCTGATCGCCGAGAACGGAGACGTTTGAAAAAGCAAAAAGCGGAAGAAGTTAAGCGTTTGCCGGACGAGGAATTCGAAGAACTGTGTAGGCTCCACGCACTTGAAACCGAGAAAAACGTTTTCTCTCAATTCTACGCTAAGAAATGGCCTCGCCAATTGAGAAAGCCCAAAAATAGAGAAATCTCCAATTTCAAGCATTCGGAGGGCGCGGAATTTGCAGCCAAATCCTATTTTTGGGACAACAACTGGGACTTTGATTTACCGGAACTTCCAAAACCCGAACAGATGATCATGCCTCTTCCAACATCTACACCTGATGTTTATGATGATTTTGCATTCTATCGAGTGTTGATGGAGAAGGAAGACAAGTACATCTTGGTTGCATGCCACGCCAATGTTCATGGCTTCCATCGAGGAGATCTTCGATTCTTGGAAATCAATTCTAGGTCAAGACTGAATAGGTTGGAAGGACAAAGTGTGATCGGGAGCTTGTTTCTTGGAGATATTGTCGCTGTTACCGAACTTGCCAGGAATTCTGAAGCGATATCACCGGTGAGAGATGTCGATGTCTCATTAGTAACTCCGGATACCTCTTGTTATTGGATTGTGTCAAAAATGATACTGTACCCTCGAAATGTAGACAAAAAATCTCCAGTTTTATTTTCAATCGTGAATAGAATGGCAGCAATTAAAGGAGAGAACGAACCAATGAATCTGAATGTAGACAACTGGGATATGATGCATGCTGACTCTATCTACACCGGATTGACGTTTCGTCCAGAGACGCTGGAGTACCACTTTTCGAAAGATTACCAAAAGAAAAAAATTAATGAGCTTGTCGTCAGTGCAAGAACTATCCGCAGCTATCCAGGAATATATGGAACAATCTTTAAGTTTAAAGAAGGCGATCATCGGGAAGAGTTCAAAAAAGAAATGCATTTGAATACTTACACTGATGTCTCGAGCCCTGAAACGACTGGTAAGGAGAAAATGATATTTGCGGGTTTTATTGAAAATTTGCAAAAAAAACATAAGGATTTTTGAAATTGTACCTAGTGATATTTTATCACCCAAATTTTGAGTTTCAGAACCTGCGAACGCTTCCTCTGAGAGTTCTTCAAGAGTGCCAACACCTATTCAGAAGCCAGAATGCCCAAAACCTAGCTACTTCTCCGCCTATGCCTATACATCAAACCGTTCTGAATCACCTGCTTATGTGAACCCGTTTGGAGTTCTAAACTCGGATTTCATTGCAGAAGTCGAAGAAAAAACAGAAGAGGAGAAAATAAAGGAGACAGAGGTACACATCGAAACAAACTTTTTTTCATAAATTATTTATTTTCAGGAGTCCAAAGAATTGAAGCGGCTTGCTGAGTTAGAACACGAGAAGAATGTTTTCTCACAGTACTACCAGAAAAAGAGCGGCAACAGAAGAGAAAATCACCGTGGTAGGAAGTCACCACAGATACCAAAAACCAGGAAGCCCTCAAGCTGTAAACACCACGAAGCCATCGAGTTCGCTGCCAAGTCCAACTTGTGGGATAACAACTGGGACAAGGACCTGCCAATGTTGCCAAGATCACAGGAAATTATCATGCCGCTGCCTGCATCTGCACCTGCGCAGACTGAAGTTTGTGGATTATATCGAGTGTTGATGGAAAAGAATGATAAGTACATCTTGATTGCGTGTCATGTGAACGTTCATGGATATCATCGAGGTGATCTTCGATTCTTGGAAGTCAATTCTAGGTCAAGACTGAAAGGATTGAGTGAGCAGAGTGTGATTGGTAGTCTGTTTCTTGGAGATATCGTCGCTGTCACTGAGCTCGCCAGGAACTCCAACGCCCAATCTTCAGTGAGAGACGTCAAGGTGTCATCTGTCACTCAGGAAACTAGATGCTATTGGATCGTGTCGAATATGATTCTGTACCCCCGGATTCTCAAACCAGATGTTACATTCTCCTTCTTGAAAAATCGAATGGCTGTGGTGAAAGGGGAGGACGAACCGATGCGTGTAAACTGTGATGACTGGAAAACGGTGGCACCTGATTTGATCTATACTGGAATGGCATTCTCACCAATCAAACTGGATGACAATTTCTCGGACGATTTCCAACGAAAAAGCAAAAACCTGCTTATATCGAATGTGTTAAAAATTTCGAGCTATCCCAACGCATTCGGAATCATCTACAGTTATGAAGAATGTAGTGAACAGAACGAAGAGTTCAAAATTGGCACGAAAGCTTACTCAGACACTCTTGAAATTCATAAGTATAAACGAGAGAGAATCGTGGAGACATGTTCATTAATGGGATTCAGTGCAGCCAATACAATTTTCAATGGCCGATTCGACTGCCGCGCATTCCATATGTACGATGTGTCTAAAGAAGGTCCCACTGTTAGATTCCGAATCGAAAACCCACGAAACCGCCCGACACTTGGTCTGTGGAACAATGGAAACAAAATCCTCATTGGTGGACCGACGGGAGATACCAATGGTACCATTGAAACAGTGATGTGTAATTCAAGCCATATGGGATGGCTGAAGATTGCAGCAAGACTCACCAGAGAATGCCCCAAAGATTTTCGCTTCAATGGTGATTTGTTTGTATCACAACGAGAGCCAAAAGACCATTATTACTTGTATGATGGATATTTCCAAGACATGGCGCCGGAGAGTAATGGAAGGAAGATAATTGAGACATTGTATGGAGGAAAACCATTGGAACTTCGAACTGGAGATGTTGGTGGAGAATACTTCTTCCCAAGTACCCCGGAACCAATTCGTCTAAACGTATTTCAAAAAGAATATGTTCAAATGCTGCTTGATGGCAATCCACTTGTCATAGGATCATCACCATTCGGATGTGGTAAGTCTATGACTATCATCACGGCGGCACTGGAGATTTATAAACGAAATGCGGAGAGAAATCTTGTCGGGAAGACCCATCAACTTTTGATTACGCAGAGTAATTTCGCGAGTGTCAACTTGATCGAGATCGCCAGAAAGACATGTAACAGTGGAGATGAAAAACTTCGGAATATGAAATTCATGAGATTTATTACCGACAAAAATTGGAATGAGCAACCGGATCATGGCCGAACGAAGTTTGATATGCCGTTTTTGATGAACAAGGTTTTCAAGCAATGGGCGATAGGAGAGCTGGATGGAAATGAGCTCATGACGCACCATACGAAGAGCATGATTGCGCATATCATCAGAAATGGGACGGTAACTGTGGACGAGTTGTGTTCTGCGGCTAGAAGAGTTTTTGATAAATATGGAGACTGCAAGATACCATTTAGTGGCCATCTAACAGAAGCATTCTTCATTCTCTACGAACCGGATCTTATTATGACTACCGCTGATTCGTCGAAAAGTGTTTGCACTTTATTGGATAAAAAATATGAAACTAACAAGAACGAATGCACTACAGTTCAAATCGATGAGGCTAGTCAGCTACCAGAATACACTCTGTTGGGACTACTCAAAACTTACAACAAGGCAAACTTTGGATTGATCGGAGACATCCATCAACTTCCTCCGTTTTGCATGGAAGAACTCGAAGGGCGTCTCAAAGAATTCGGTATTGGTAACACAATGGAACGAGCGATTCAAAATAAACTCTTCCCGATTTCAAACCTTCGATATGTCTATAGATGCCACCCACAGACGACTGCTTTGTTGAGTGAGCTGTTTTATGATGGAAAGCTGATCTCTGGAGTCACTGAAAGCCAACGGAATGAATTTATGATAAAGAGAAAGGATTTCTGGCCGAATCCCAGTTACCCAGTTATGATTATCAATCATATGGGTACCTGTCAAAGAATGGGAACCTCTGCTCAAAACCACTCGGAGAAGGATCTAGTCAGCTATATGGTTCAGAATCTGTTGGATCAAAGAAAATACACACTGAAGCCACAGGATATTGGAGTCATTTCTTTTTACGCTGCACAAACGTCACTGCTAACCGAACAACTTCGACGGAGTGGTGTGAAGTGTGGTACGGTGGACGCGTTTCAAGGATCCGAGAAAGAGGTGATCATTTTGTGTTGTACAAATGAGCATGCGACTGAATTCATGCAATGCAAATTTCGATTGAATGTGGCTCTATCGAGAGCGAAACAAGCGACGGTGATTGTTGGAAATTTGGGATACTTGAGGAAAGCAAAGTATTGGAATGCGATTGTTAAAAGAGTGGAAGCTTATGGAAACTTGAGACAATCGGTGAGTGGCAAAAATGTCTTTCTTCTGCTGTAATTATTATTATTTTCAGGACGACAAAAATCTCTTCAACTCCCGACAAGCCTATGTATCCACGTCATCGTCATATGTCAAAAATCCGTTTTATATGCATGATCCGTACAATCGTAATGCTCCAGTCGAATCGGTTCTAAACTATCCGACTGGTCAACGCCAGAAAAACCATAAAAGGAATGAGACGCGCCAACAGCAGGATGATAATGCCATGAGCGGGGTAATCGAGCCTTGATTGGTTTTTTACTGCAAAATTCGATTTTTCTTACAGCGATGGGACAACAACTCCTGGTCCTATTATAATAATGGATACCGATGATTGCATGGATGTTTTCAACTATTTCGACCTATATTAAATCTGTAGTTTTTTTGTTTTTAATTGTGAATTTGTGATTAAATAAACCAGGTTTCATATTTACAGCAATAAGCAATGCATGGTAGCAATGCATGGTAGAATTTTGAAACAAAATATGAAGAGAAATTTAATGAACAAGCTCGAGAACTCCTTGTCGAATCAGCATTTCGCAGTCTTGACGTGGAAGGGAGTGCTGAAACACAAAAAATAATAATGGCTGAAATTATTGCTTGAAATAACAAACCAAACTATCCTTTGTTAGCTGAACTTGTGTCCCATCCGACGTCTCAAATTCTCCATAATCCTCCAGGGTTCGGACTTGCACGAAGAGTGTCTTGGGCGGTGCGGTATGCAGCAAAAGGTTGACACCAGCTTCACCTAAATTCGACTGAAACCGGGCTAGTGTGCTGGAGTACTCGTTGAAGAATTGAATTTCAGCTTCGCAGAGAGCGTTCTGAGAAAGGAGATAATTTTTTGTAGCGAAAAGGCGGTACTTACTCTGACGGACGCTGGAAGCGCTCCTCCGTACCGCCATCGGAAGGATCTGATTCTATTCTTGCGCTCGTTGACGTAGGCCATCATGCATCTCTGAAAACTAAAAACTGACATAAAATTTCAAAAATAGCTAATTTCCGAACCCGAATATGACACATCGCTGCTAAACGTGGCTGGAGAAGTGAAGGATCGTGCTCGAGTCCGTTGCGCATTCTCTCGCTGTAAAATTAATTGTCGTCGTCGTCAAAAAATTGAAACTCACACAACAGCGGCGTTTTTATGAAACAGTTCGTCGATTTTCTTCTGACACTGTCTTACGAGATCGGCATTATACGGCGGTAGAACATCTGGATTTCTTTTCATCTCCATCACAAGTTGGAGGGCTTTGTCGGCGACTCCACCACGCTGTTGGTCGTTAGAACTCATTTCTCTGCTGTAAAATTGTCAATGAACACAAAGATTCACTGTTTTTCAGTAAATATATACTAAAAGTCAACAAACGAGTGAGAAAACTTCAAAATTTAAATTTCACTGAATTTCCCTCCAGTTTTCGGCCCGCGGACTAGTTTTTGGCGGCTCTTCCATCGCCGATGGGTCTCGCAACGAAAGAGGAAAAAGATAGCCGCCCGTTGTAAATAACTTGCCTTTCAGAGATTTTACGTTTTTTTCAGTGGTTTTTTCAAGGTTTTAAGCCAAGATATGTTGAAAAAATGATAATTCAGATTATTATGCACCTTCTGATGTGTCATGTGTTCCAAATCTGACGGAATTCAGGCTGAAAATCTTCTAGAAAATCTCGAGTTAATTTTTGTCGCTTCTATTTTTCCGTTCAGAAATGTTTCTTTTCCTGTCAAACAGAAAAATAGCGAAGAAGGTTGTGTCCGACATAATTTGCTTATTTTTTGAGTTTGAATTTGCTTATTTTTTGAGTTTAAAACGCCCAGACAAAATGCAAATCATCTGTTGATTTGGAAAAAAAAATCAGTGTCAAGTAATTTCAATATTATCAAAGCATCGCCTGAAGAAGTTAATCTGTCAATAATTAGGTCTCAAAAGTTTTTTACAGGAATTCGTTGAGTCATGAATTATTGTCGGTTCGTTCGTTCCTGTATCATTTTTTTTGTCTTCTGTCGAATTTGGTTTCCAATCTATCAATTTTAATCGAATATAATTTTCAGTAATGTCCTGGTTCCGTCCTCCACCACCACACACTCAACTCAGACCATGGGTTCCGGACGCGATCTTCATCCCGATCTCTCGCGCTGTTGAACGCGTAGGAGTGTTCTTCTACAACCGGTTCGTTTTTTATTATCAAAAATTGTTCGACTACAAGCTTAGATATTTGAAAAAGTTATTGTTGCGAATTACTGAACAATATTTATATTTTCAGTGTCCTTAACAAGACCGAAATCGGATTGTTCGACAAGAGATGGAACAAGAACGTTCACGGACCATACTGCCACTGGAGATATTACGGAAAGCTCGACACCAAGCTTATGGACGTGAAGCTCGGAGAGCTCCCAGCCTGGATTGCTCGTCGTGAGAAGACTCCATCAGCATTCTACAACGAGTTCATGCGCAACGTCTGGAGAGTCCACAACCTCTACTACTCAGGACCAGTTTACAATAACACCGTAAGATTAATTTAGGTGTAAATTTGCAAGATAAAAGTTGTGTTTTTTCAGGTCAAGGTCATCTTCCGTTTCATCTTCGCTTACTCGTTCCTTAACTGGCTCGTCAAGTCTCACCGTTACGTTGACTTCCAGAAGACCATGTACCATTGGTAGACGCCAACGTCTTCGTCTACTCTTCAAAGATCGACATTTAAACTCAATTTGAGGGAGGACGATTCAGGCATCCGATTTCTTCGTATTCTTTTTTAAATATCCCCCCGATTCATCTCCTTTTTTCCGAGATGCGTCTATCCGTTAATTTAGCCCCTCTTATCGATTTTGTGTGTTGTCTTTTTTATGAGAGAATAAATAGTGTATGGATTGACGAGAAGCTGAACAAGTTCTGAATTGGAATTTATAAGAAGAAGGGATTGCTATCCGATGCGATTTTTCTGGATTTTTTAGATTAGATTGAAAGATCTGATTCTCTAGCTGTAGCGCCAAAATGTTTCATTTTTCCTCATTTGTTGGGATCTTTTTTAATCTACTTTTTGGCGCCTTTCTCCTACTTCGCATCGCTGTGTCAAATTATTTGTGGATACTTTTTCAGAATCTAACGATGGCTACCGAGCAAAACGACCAAGAGGAAAGAGGAGCTCTCATCGTTTTCGAAGGTATTTATTTTATAAAAGTTCAAAAATTTCAATCCTGAATTTCGAATACCTACAGGACTCGATAGATCCGGAAAATCCACGCAAGCTCAGCGTCTGGTTGAGAAGATCATTAATAGTGGGAGAATGGCGGTTCTCCAAGCTTTTCCAGGTAAAAATATTAAAAAAAAAAAAAACATTAACAAACAATTGAAATTCCAGACCGACAGTCGCCTGTCGGTGAGATGATCGACAGATATCTTCGAGGGGAGATCGATATGGATGAGCACGCGTTGCACTTGCTGTTCTCGGCAGATCGCTTCTTGAAGAAGAAGATGATCAAGCAGCATATTGCCCAAGGAGTCGATGTAGTCTGCGATCGCTACTGTTACAGTGGTGTTTCCTACTCGTTGGCTAAAGGTAAAATTGCTTGAAAGTCTTGAAGTGCCACGTGTCATCTACATACCAACCTAGTAGAACGGGGAAACCTAGTCCTATAAAGATTTGTAGAAAATTAAAAACCCAAAAGTCGCTTTTGCTAAATTTTTGACCCCCCCCCCCCCATAATTATCGTTTTCTTGTCATCACCGCTTGTCTCCTCTAATTGTTCTCCGAGAGATGCTTTTTCTACGGTTGATGGGAAAAAAGAAGGGTATCCTGTGGTAACAGGTGCACGACAAGCTAATGAATAGGAAACGAAGCACAGGAAGTGCGCACCGGTGGTTTAGGGGGAGGGTGTTCCGAAATTTCAATTCGAATGTGAATAAGATGACCTCTTCGAGAAGTCCCCCCACTTTTTTATGTTGAAAACCAAAAAGACGATGTCAGACGATTGCCAAAAAAAGAGACATTCTGAAGAAGACAAACACAAAAACGAAGAAGATGATGATGATGATGATGGGCAGGAAGTTGTTATGGAAGAATAGAATGAGACTGACAAAAACTTGAAGAAGGGAAACTAACTATTTGGAAAAAGGAGAAGAAAGAGAAGAGATGATGGGAAGGAAACGGAAACGGACTAAAAAGAAGAAAAGCATATGGCAAAGAATGGAGAGCTCTTGAGTGATGACTAGGCTTCCTGGAGCAGTAGATGAAGGTCTCAATTAAAAAGGCACTGTAATGGCGCGTTCAAAGTTGATTTCCAGGAGTAATTTCCTGGAAAAACGCTGTCCAAAGCTGCCATTGTTTTCCAGAGGCCTTCGCTTCCAGACCCGCCGTAAATCGACATGAATCAACAGGAAGAACACAGTCAAAACGAGTGATACAGTAGTTTACCGTTGCTGTAAATCTGGAAAACAATCGTAGCGTTGGACAGCTTTTTTTCTAGGAAATTACTTCTTTAAAGTTACCAGAGAACATACATCGAATCTTTGGAAATATCCAAGATCCCTTACTTTCCTATTGACAGCTCCTAGGGTGCTCACCCACCCATCATGGCGCATTTTGGATGTTTGCCAAACCAATAGACACCTTTCCTCCTTCTGTGATGATAACCTGTCTATTTATGTGCCGCAGTATTATCGAAACAATTGGTTTTCGTCAACACACTTACTAAAGTGGACTACAGAGATTATCGGCTCCAAAGGACACCGACAAAGTGATTAGGGCGCGTGTCGTCAGTCAAGTGGTTAGCGCCATTGCTTTGATCTGAAACTGAGGTGTCAGTTTGAAGTGAAGCATAACAAGCTTGCTCATCAACTCATCTCCTCCTAATACGCTTCACCTGTTCCTCGTGTACATATGTTTTTTTGTATGGTCCCTAATTAGAAGTAAGCTCTCATGTTTCACCTGAATCTTCCTTCTCTGTCCTCTCTTGACCATCATAAAAGTGACTAATGTATCATTGTGCCTCTGCTGCACAAATACGGAACCGATTATGATGACGTTGTTGAGAGAAAGAGCCGCCCCATATTAGCATGTCCGGTGGTTATGGTCCTTCTTTCTTAGAATGTTGCCGCGGTTGGCTCATTAAACTTGTTGGCGGGAAGCAGCAGCAAGAGCCGGCTGTCGTCAGAGCTCTTTCTTCTTCTTCAGGTAGTGAAGATTTATGGCAAGAAGAATGAGATACTAATAATAATTATCGTTTTCCGGCCGATTGTTTGCTTTTCCTCAGCTCATGTTGCCTTTTTGGGAGAGGAGACAAGGAGAAGAAAAGCGATATTCTCGTCTTAAATTCTGAACCCACATGCTTCTTCTTGGGGCATAATATGTTAAGATTAGACTGCATAAAATCGTTGACATTAAATCGTAAAACAGTTGAAATTTCTCTCCAAATTTATAATTACCGTACTTCCTCTCATAGAAGCACTAGAACCTTCAACTTTGAGCTGCATTATCTCGGTTCCTTCAAAAGATATCAAAAGTTTGTTCACTGATAAAATATTGGTGATATTGTTACAAATAATTCATCAGTGGACAGTTTTTTAAATATTTTCTACAGAAATCGGAAAAATTGAGCGTAAAGTTGACAGTTTGGGTGGGCTTCTATTAGAAGGAATACGGTAATTTCTAAATCTACAAGCTGCTCCAAAAGGTTACATGTTTCGTCTCACGACTCTCTAAACTCTGAATGCTGTGGTCCCTCTATGTTTTCTAGAATTAGTTTCCAACAGACAAGTTCTAGTTTCCAAGAACCCAGTGTCACCAGGAAGACTCCTGTTGTGCGAATAACTTATTGACACCTTTGCGATGACTGTGGATGATCCACTTGAAAGTGCCCTATTATGACAGTGTTATTCATCAATTCTTGTCTCTCCTCATATTGGGGGGAGCTCCATTCCAAACACAAACATGTGTCGCTCTCGCCTGTCGTCGATGTCCTCCTCTTCCTCGGAGAGAATCTTCTCACAATATGCCACTGTGTTGCTCCTTGCTTTTTAGATTGAATGTTTGTTCAGTCCACCTTTCTCTTTCCATGAAAGGACAGGAAATGGAGAAGAGAGGAAAAGTTAGATGATTTGTTTGGGGTTCTCCTGTATTAGGATGTGTGCGAAGAATTGGGCGAAGATCTTTGTGCACTTAGAGACTCACTGACTTCGAATCGCAAAGTAGATGAGATTCGAAATATTTGAGTAATTTGTTTTGGGGTACTGTAAAAATAAGTTAGAAGGTCAAAGGCTGATAAAAAACATCGGATTCGTATCAAAAATGCTAGCTGCCGAAAAACCGATAAGAAGTTTTAAAACTACCGTATTTCCTCTAATTGAAGCACACCCAAACTTTCAACTTTAAGCTCAATTAGAATCCGGTGAAAGATATAGAAAATGTGTCAACTGATGTTAATATTACAACACACTTTTTATCAGTTAACAGATTTTTGATATCTCACAGGAACCTAGATAATTTAGCTCAAAATTGACAGTGTGGGCTCCCTACTATTGGTCATTTGTTCTGAAACATCAGAATCTTATCAAAAATGGTGCTAGCGGAAAAAAATCAAGAAGTTCGAAAACTGTTGGCTCCCTATACTGTCCCACTCGTTTTGTTCAGTCTGTTTCCAAAAGAATCTCTCAATGATATCATTGTTCCGGTTCCAAAAAAATTATTTCCACCTTATCTTCTATCAGCACCATCACATAAAAAACCATATGTCATTTAGAACAGTCCGGAAGAAGAAGATCTGTGTTAGACTCAAATGAAATTGCCTAAAAAGTTTGATAATAGTTCATGTTGGAATTCTTGATTTAAGTTCAAAAGTTCTTGAAAAACCAATAAAGGTGTGGTATAGACGTCAAAGAGGGAATGGTTTAAAGTCTAGTCAATAAAAAATTCCACATGGGGTTCTGACCTGGAATCAATGACTAATGAGTCTTATGAGTAGGTAGAACGAAACAACTGACTCATTTTAAAAACACCTGTATGAGTTTTTGAACTTAGAGACTGACATTTAGAAGTACTAGGGAAAATAATATCATAAATATTCACAACTCAAATTCTGTTTCCAGGTCTCCCGGAAGACTGGGTCCGCGTCACTGACCAGGGTCTCCCAAAACCAGACATCGTACTCTTCTTCCAAGTGTCTCCTGAAGTAGCAGCATCACGTGGCGGATTCGGAAACGAACGTCTCGAAACGGCACAATTGCAAGCGGAGGTGGCAAAGGTGATGCCAACACTTCGCGATGACGCCTTCTGGAAATCGGTCAACGCTGATGCAGCACTTGCCGCTGTTGAGAAGGAGGTGTTCCAGTTGTACACGGAGTTGGATCGCAGCAAGCCACTGGAGGTCTTGGAGAAGATTTGATTTTTTTCTTGCAACCTCTTTCTAATTTATTTCTAATTTATCCTGATTTATCCTGATCTAACTTATTCTGATGATTTCGATCTATTTTGAGATTCATTCATTCCATCACACCATCTCCCTGTCTTGTAAAATGCAGTACACCAGTATTATTGAAATTAACCACTTTAATTGAAAAAATAGTCTTTGGCACAAGAGAAACACAAAAAAAGGAAAATTGTAGAAAAAAGATTCGGGAGCAACACTGGTACGGTATGTACATAAAACTTGGATGATAAGGAGAAAAAAGGAAAGGAGTATGATAATTTTGCATCAAAAAAGAGAGGGATCCCGTCAATGAGAAAGCAATTGATTGGTATAAATGAGAAACAGAAAAAAAAACATGAAATGTATTTGGGTTCGAAGAGAAAAAGTTGGAAAAAAGGAAAGATCAGAAGAAAAGGAGGAGAAAAAAGGGAAGTGTGAATACTTTCATGTTTAACCTAGTACCCGTAAATTTCTTTGAATAGAGCGCACATTCCTCTAGAATTTAAAAATTTGATTGTCAAAAAATGTATTTCCTCCAATAGAAATTAAAATGTTTGGCTCCAATTACCGTTTAAGCTCAATTATCTCGAGTACTGTAGGAGATATCAAACATGTGTCCACTGATAAAATATTGGAAATTTTATGACCAACATTTCATCAGTTGACAGATTTTCGATATCTCTAACAAGAAACGATATAATTGAGCTCAAAGTGCAATACACTTTTTTGGACATTTTTGGACTGGCTCCTGAGATAAAAGCGATGATACAGGGATGCATCGAATAGACCGGCCCCTATACCGCATCTAAAGATAGTTCGAAAAAGTGTAAACTCGGAAAATTTTGAAATCCCATTTAGATATTCAATTAGCATCCAGGTCAGAGCGCAAACTACAGTAATGTCTATCAGAGGAAACACCAAGGGAAATACTAAACGATTCTTGAAAGCGCGGCAGCAAGTTGCGGAATATCAGGAAGATAAGGATCTGCTCTTTGCTGCAACAACATCTCGTGCTTTTTGAGGTGCCGGTCGAGATTGGTTTGCTGGCCGAAGCAACGCTCACACTTTCGGCACCGGAACGGACGTTCCTGGAAGATGGTGATGGAGAAGAATGGATGGAGTAGTATTGGCAGAGGTAGTAGTAGTAGGTGTTGAGACCAAATGGTGCAGACTTCTCGAGTTTTGACGATGATGACTGTGGAGGGGTGTCAGCGAAGTGTTCGGCTACAAACACAAACAAATGGAATTCGGGAGGGGAAAGAATTTGGATAAGAAAAGATAGAAGATGGAGAGGTTGCGAATTCGGCACTCAAGCGCATTTGGGAAGCTTGAACAGGAGGGACAAAGGGTTAGTATTGCTCACCTTATTGTGAATGTTCCTCACGTGGCGTTGAAGGTTTGAGGAGATTGAGAAGCTCCGTTCACAGTACTGGCACTGAAAATTATAAATTTGCATTATATTTGTAAGGCTTCTTATTTGGTATACCTTATACGGTTGCTCTCCTGTATGTGTTCTCAAATGCCGGGTTAAATTGGCAGATCTTGGGAAAACCTTCTGACAGAACTTGCAGGTGTACTTGTCCTTTCCCAAACCATTTGAACTTGGGCTTGATGAAGATTTGTGTCCTCCATTCATAGCTCCCAGGAAAGCGTGACCATTGGACATAGATGGATTATATCCGAATGGTCTCTGAAACATGGCCAAAAGTTGTGCTGGGTTCAACGATGGTTGTGGTTGAGATGCTGAGAGAATGGCTGTGATCGAGTGTGGGTTGGATTTTTTTGAGGATGAAGATGCGATGAGCTCATCAATCACTCCACTTTCTGAATCATCGTCATCGTCGTTTCCAGAATCTCCAATGCTGTCCCGGTCCTCTCCATCGTCAGATTTTGACTCTACTTCTGAAGTGGATGGGGGCTTCGGGGTGGCTGAAAGGTCCACTGGCTCGGTTGTGGTGGGAGATGATTCGCTGGCATGACCGCTGAAATATCAAAAATTCTTGATACTAGAACTTTTTCTGTTATAAAGCGTACTCTGAAGAATGCGCATACATAATAAGCCACCGCCACCAACTATAGAAAAGTTGCATCTTATAAAAAATTCACAAAAAAACGAACCTCGACGAACACTCGGCGTCTGGAGAAGCGCAAGGTTGATTCTGTTGTTGTTGTTGCATCACTTTGAAGAAATCAGAATTGGCAAGGAGCAGTGGGAAGTGTGGTACCTGACAAAAAGCTCATTATGGAATGGGATGAAGGACCTCCCCGATGAGAGGATTATGCGGGAAATTGAAGACACTTGGGTGGTGCTAGGGGACTACAGGAAATTGAGAGAATATGGAGAAGGAGAGGTTAATTAAGGTGGGATTGTATGTAATATTGTTTGGCTCTTTTGGCGAATCTTGAGGCATGTGTCAAGAAGGTACCAAGGGGAGAGAGAGGGGGGGGGGGGTCATCGAAGGAGTTATAGTATTGCATCATACACGTGGCACTTAAGAGCAATAGATATGCGGGAATATGATGCCTAGATTAGTGGACAGAGGTAGGATACCGTAAACACTCTGGTAGGAGGAGATCCCAACCGTCTAATTTGAGCGTATATATGTCGGTTCCTGTAAGAGATATCAAAAAGGTGGCAACAAACAAAATATTTCTGATATTATGATAAACATTTTGTTAGTTGAGCACTTTTTTATATCTTCTACAGAAACCGAGATATATGGACTCAAAGTCGGCAGACAATTTCAAAATGTATGACTACTTAGAATTGTTTTCGCAGGAAGAATATTCAGGAAGTTTGGAAAAAAAAATCTGAGCTCCCAAAACTAAAATGCTCTAAAACTTTACTAACCTGAGCAGCCATCTGCATGAACTGTGGCCAACACTGGGCCATGGCTCCCATACCACTAGGTACAGTAAGCCCGGCGAACTGAGCCATCAATGGCTTATACATATTGGTCACTTCACAAATCGGTCGGTGCTTCGTCAGAGCTGCCTGGGATGGCATAGCTGTGTTGCAGGTGGAGCAAGTGTAGCCTTCCTGAAAACCAACCTGATTGGAAAACATGAACACAAAATTCTCTTAAATAGAAAAGGAAGAGCACAGACAGTGTCTTCTAAAGGATGAGAAGGAGGAGCTGGGGTCGTCTCTCTCATTGGCGAGAGAATAAGAAAGTGGGCGGAGCGAAAAGCGTCTCCCGAGGAGGAGGTAAACAATTAGGTGGGGAAGGAGGGGACCCTGAAGAGATGAATCTCCTTTTCCGTTTTTATTTCCCCCACTGCTTTTTGGAACCCTCCTTTTCTTTGGCTCCGCCCCCTTTTCCCTAGTCAATAGTTCCCAGTGGCACCCCCGCAGTGGGTTATCCTAGTTTTAGAACAGTCATTAAGTATGAGGTATTAGTCTCCTCATCGTATTAAAATTCTTGAGCGAGTACTGCAGAATAAACCACTCCCTGGTATTTCTCGTGGTCAATGATGTTTAGACTCTGCGACCGGTCTATTGATTTCAAATGTCACACATACCGAATGAACTCGTCGATGACGACACAAGTTGGAAAATTGTGTATAGGACTTGGAGCACAGGTGGCAGCGAAACGGTTTCAGAGAGCAGTGGATGTGAGAGTGTTGCTTGAGACCGCTGAAAAATGTTGATTGGAGTCAACTGATTAAAGTTTAGGTGTCGATAATAGTGAGGCTTTTTTGACAGACCTAACCCAAACCAAAGGACTGAGGCTACTAGAAGGATTAGATCTTTTTGAATAATTTCAAGATGTAGAATACCATATACACTCTATTAGAAAGCCACCCAAACCGCTACCGTTGAGCTCATATATCTCGGTTCCTGTAAAAGATATTCAAAAAGTTGTAAACTGATAAAATGTTTCACATAATATAACCAATATTTCATCAGTTGATACATTTTGGATATCGTTTATAGGAACCGAGATGATTGAGCTCAAATTGCAAGTATAGGGTGGCCTTCTATTTGAGTGTTTACGGTAAGTGACACTTTTTATAATTATCGAAGCTTTATCACATTCCAAAAAAGATAAAAGGATCAAAATTTTGGCACAATCACAGGAGTCACTTACTCATCACATTCCCACCCTTCTCTAATCGCTTCAAGATCAGCGCGTTCACAAAAAAAATAACCACGGAACTTATTTTCAGTGTTCTGGGATAGAGGAAGAATGATAAGACACTGCAGAGATAAGAAAAGACAATGTAGACAAAATGACGAGGAAAAAATCGGAAACGGAAGAACAGTGCCCTTTTATAGTGAAGATAAGAGGAACACATTTTTGCTAGAAGAAGCCCTAGAAGTTTTGATGAGCTAGCCAAGGATCCCAGAAAAATGGTAGTAATAATGAGTGGACCACTTTGCCTTTATTTATGCCACATCTTCAGAATATCTTCATTTCCCTCCATATTATTTCTTCGTCTGGGATCCAATTTCCTGAAGCGCCCCCACTGGTTTCGTTTCAAGCTTCTTCTTCTTTTCTCCCATTTTTGTCCCATCTACCTGAGCATCATAAGAGGGGAATGGATGAGCAAACAGCGAGAAGGGGTGGCTCCGGTGCCATGTGCATGATCCACCTTCTAATGGAATTGAAAAGGATAGGAGGAGGAGAAAGAAGAAGAGGACTACGGTACAAACAAACACTTTGGAGAGAGGAGAGAAAGCACCTGTTGATGTCCGGGGACATCATCTAGTTTGTTATTGAAAGCTGTTGAAATAACTCATGATTAGTAATGGTATAGGATAGCCTTTGTAGAAATCTAATGTTTAATGGAGCATTAGACTAACTTCATTGATTATCTATGAGTTTTCAATTAAGCGTTCCTGTTTATTAGGATAACAGATTTCGAGATTACTATTTCCTGAAAACTATTTCCTGAAAATTTGTTATCTAAGAAGCCGATTAAAAGAAATTCAACTACCGTAGAACCGAAGGGCTCCTAACTTTTAACTCAATTTATCTAGGTTCCTGTCAAAGATATAAAAAAAGTAGTCAACGGATAAATTTATTACCATGATATCATCAATGTTTTGTCAGTTGACAGATTTTTGATATCTTGTATAAAAGCCAAGAAAAATTAGCTCAAACTTGACAGTGTGGAGGCCCTTCTATTACAGGTTTTATGGTATCTGAGAAGCCGATTAACATAAACCTGACTAACTTTGAGTTAGTAACTAGTTAGTATTTTAGTTCGTAACTTATCAACCTTTAAACCCCTTTTGAACTAACCTTGCACTGCTGAAACTTTTTGGACAAACTCCACACTTGTGTGCACCGTCGGATGGCGATTGATCAGGAGCGATTTCTCCTTGCTCCCGCACGTACTCGTCGATGGCAGTGAGACTTGCTTCCTCGCTGCTCGACTTGTTGAAACTTTGAGCACTCCCGGGTCTGGAAAACCGGATCATTGGTTCTGAGAAGTCATATGGACGCAGTGAGATTCTCGAACTAGATAAGACTATCTCTAATTGCAAGCTCCGTTAGATGTCAATTTAGAAACCTAGATTTTTTAGGAAGATAGTCAGGTATCAAGTTTCAAAAACAAATCAAGATTAGATGATAACACAAAGAGATCAAAGGACAACCAATGATTTCAGTTGTGAGATAATTAGATTTATCATTCTTGAAAATCGGGTAAATCATGATTATAATGTCCTCTGGTGTGCGTAACTATGACCTCATTGGAAGGAGCACCAAAAATAGATTCTATAACCTTAAGGAAGAGATTGAATACTTGATACCTTTGAAATACCCACAAAAAAGAATCAGATCTAAAAATTTATAAATCAACAATTTCCTTTGACGGAAGCAAGTGTCCCAAAAAAGGAATCCCAAAAATGGGTAGCCCCACCGGAAAAAGGGAAATTTGTCATCTCGCCCGTCTAGTGAGACACGGAATCTATATGTAAATGAAGAAGACAAAGACAAGGGCGGTTCATTTCATTCTCTCCTCCCGTTTTTTCTAGGATGCTGAGGGATGTGCTCTTATCGGAAATCCGTTACTTTCACCGCCGCCGTTCATATTGACGAATATAGTGAAAACTATAGAAAGTAGGACGGCCAAAGAAGAGCGAAGATTTTCCACCAGAAGATTCACATCTCTCTTCTGTTTTTGGCTTCGTTTTCGGCGAGAGTTATATTGGTATAGAAATCGAGATTTTTTAGGAAGATTCGAGAACGGTGAACGGTGAAAATGAGTCGAGGAGAGGAAGAAACCTGTTTAATTTGTACTGTTTTTGTAGGCTAGGATAGTGAAAATTGAAATGAAAACTTTCCATATTCAAAATGAAATTCTGAATTTACAGTTCCGATCAGAAAGATTACCGTAAACGCTATAATAGGGTGCCCTCGGAACCGTCAACTTTGAGCTCAATTGTCAGGTTTCTGTGAGAGATATCAAAAGATTATCTACTATCAAATTGTTAATTATAATATCACCAATATTTTATCATTTGGCAAAATCTAGATATCTTTTACAGGAACCGAGATAATTGAACTCAAAATTAACGGTTTGGGCGGCACTATTGAAGAATCGACATTCAATCTTTGTTTTAAATAACTGAAAATTCAGACAAACCTAAAAGAAACTAATAAGAGATTCATTCTTTCTCACCTATCATCCTCTTTTAGCCTTAACAAATTCTCCAAATCGTCATTATCCTCCTCATCACACTCATCTTCAGACAACCGCTGAAGCAGTAACCTCTCTCCAATATCGATTAATTTGCTTGTTTTGAAATGTGTCTGGAAATACTTCATTTTGAATTTTCCACCCAAAAATTGGCTTACTTTATATTCAACCTGTGTCATACATATGTTTGCGTCCTCTCCAACATCGGCTTCTTTTATCAAGTTGAGCAGGAGTATCTCGTTGGAATTGTTCGGGGTGCTCTGAAAAAAGATTTGTTGATTTTCAGAGAGTTCTAGATGGCTAAACATTTGAAAAGTTCTCATGGGCGGTACCTTATCACCAAGGCAACGCTTCTACTTCATTCCCACCCAAACTTCTTCCTGAATTTCTTTTCAGCTTCCATAGTTCTGAAACTATTATCCCTTCTTTTTATCCCATTCTTTGATTTCTTATTCATTTCCAACCATGTCACACGGTGCTCTAAGAAGCAGCAGGCAGCTCTTCAATCTCACCGACTCAAACCCATCAATATCTAATAAGAATTGTGCGCTCTCTTGCTGGCTCTCGCTCACTCGGCTTCTGGAATCTAATTTTCCCACCGTGCGAGCAGGTGCTTTGATTCAAGGAGCTGAAGCAATCAACTGCACGAGATGATGAAATTCAGAAGCTTCAAATAAGCCAATCTTGTTAGAAGAAGCGGTTATAAACAAGACGACGGAAAAACTAATTCAATGATATATGACGGGTGTGGAGAGCTACCGTAGGATGATTAGAAATTGCTTGTTTTTGGTTCCAGGAGATTCTGATGAATTCTGGTAGGGAATTGATCAGTAGATAGCTTGTCAACTTTGATTAAATTTTTGAGATGATTGGAAAAACAACACTAGGAGCATAGCCGTATCCTAAAGGAAAATCACAAGCTTGACAACTTTTAACTCTTACTTTAAAGTTGTAGAAACGAAAGTGAACATTTCAGTAAATTTTGACAAATTGATACAACTAGAAATCTCATTTATCTTACTTATTAGCCTCCAGCTGTTCTGGATTTTCTTTTTCCCACGCTCAGATTTCTGACCACCAGCCAATCTGTTCCTGTCTTCATGTTCCGAATTTCAAATCGCTTCTCGTTCTCATCACTAATTCCCAGCTACCTGCCGTACATCTATCCTTGCCCCAAAACCGCAATTATCCGGTGCCCACAAATGTTTGGCGCCATGTGTTGGGCCCGCGCTTCTCAAAAATTCTTCCACCTGTCTCTCTCTCTTAGCACTTAGTTAACCTTGGACACCATCTATGTACATATACATACAACCATTACATTAGAGATTTACAAATCGGAACACCTGGTGTCTCGGAAGAGGTGGGGGATCCGAAAAGAAGGGCGAGTCCCCTCCTCTGACTGTAATTGATGAATTTATACGGTAAGTGAAGAGGAAGAAGGGAACGGAAGGAGAGAGAAGAGGAAGCGAGATAATTGTGGGGTATCAGAAGGGAAAGGTAATCAAAGGTTTGAGATACATATTATGTAAGTAAGGGAGCCGGAGGAAGGGACCATCAGCCGATTTTATGGGATTTCAAATGAGGTACCTTCATACTGTCTTTTCGAACAAACCTACCTTATGAGAAAGCTAACTGTTACCAGGATGGTGTAAACAGTAAACAATCTAATAGAACGCTCCCAACTTTCACCTTTAAGCCAATTTATCTTGATTTCTGTGAAAGATATAAAAAAATTATCAACTGGTATATTGTTTACCATAATATCAAAAACATTTTATCGCTTGGCACATCTTTGACATCTCTTAAAGAAGCTGAGATAATTGAGCTCAAACTTGAACGTCCCGAGAATGTCGAATTTTTAAAGTGATAATTGAGCTCAAACTTTAAAAAAAAGGGAAATTTGCCTTAACGCATAGAGGTTCTTATTGTTAGTCTCTATGTTTCCTACTCTGACCTGAGCGGGTTCCCATGACATAGGCAAACTAGATCCTTTATGTATCCCAATAAAAACTTCCATACCTTTCTATAATCTCCTACCTTGTCAATAACTCCAATATTCCGTCCCGATGATATTGGGGTCACTGCTACCAACACTGCGCCGTGCATATCGTCCTCTTGTACTTCGACGTGCTTCAGAAAATCCGTGTCGAGACTCATCGGTAAATTAGTACCGTAATCTGGAATAGTATGATTTTCGTATATTCTGAGAAACATGCGAAGAAGGAATGAGAGAGAAGATGAGTAATAAGTAACGCATGGGAACGAGAACAAAGGGAAGGTAAAGTGGGATGCATTTGGAAAAAAGGTTGGAGGATTTGAGTCATGGATATACGGAAAATCAAGAAGGGAGAATGTACAGGAGTACTGTGGTTTGTACAAATTTGAATAGTACGGAGGATTAGAGAATACGTAGGTGAAGTTCTAGATTCGTGAATTTCATATTCTGTAACTTTGTGACCGAATATTCAGAAAGTTTGCTCATTCACGATGAATGGTATATTTAAACTTCTAGATCAGCATATCGTAGTCTTCCAGGATCTGACAATTCCAGTAGTCCTCATGATAGCTATCCTCAAATGTGATTCTGTTCAGTCTAATTCTCTATTAAGACTCTTCTGAAACCCGATACCTATCGTAAACCTATCGGCTCACCTTGCCACTCTAGAATTACTCCTGGACTCCTTCAGAAGAAGTCAGGATACTTGATGGGTCCTATCTATACTCTTGACGACGAGACTTTGGTGCACAATAAAAAAAATAGGGAAAAGAAGAGAAAAGTAAGTAACCCTTCTTTTCTATCCATTTGTGGATCGAAAGGCCTCTCCCTGTCTCAAAAAGTGGGTGGAGCGTCGCTTCCTTTCTCCTTGCCTCTCTTCCCGAAGAAGAAGAAGAAGAAGAAGACGGAATCGGGAAGAGAAGAAGAAGAGGGATGGGTGGAGGAAGAGACGGATGGAGGAGTAGAAGAGTCGCTCCGCCCATTGGCCAATCGGAAAAGCGACACTTGGAGCATCATTTGGATAGTAAGCTGAAAATCGTATCTTCCAGATTCTTATCCACTCTCACAACAATACCCAAACCCCGATTTCTAGAGGCAAGAGATTTAGAGTGCATGAGAAACAAGACCAAGCAATGCAGCGGAAGTAATAATGGGCGGAGGAAATGGTCAGCAGTCACAGAGCGATTTTTTGGGAGCAGAGTTTTGTTTTAAGTTTTGAAATTAGAAATCTTGTGGCTGTTTATCTTAAGTATGCAGCTTAACCTAAATCAAAGTTCCTTATAATAGTACTGCAAGTGTGAAACATTTTCACAAACTTTTATTAGGAAAAAGTTTGTTCAAGATACCTTTCTTGAGTTAACATTTCCCACTTGCTTGAATCCATGTTTCCCTTTTGACCGGATTTATCTCGGTAAACTACCGTGAAGATTCTAGTAGAAGCCCACCCGTTACGTTCATTATGAGCGCAATTTTCGGAGTTTCTTTGAGAGATATCAAAAGTCTGTCAACAGATAAAATGTTGGGGATGTTATGATAAAAAATTTATCAGTTGACAGATTTTTGTTATCTCTTATAGAAATTGAGATAATTGAGCTGAAAGTGGAAATATAGGGTGAACATCTATTAGAGTGTTTACGGAAATTGTAAAAAACCGAATATTGGTTAACTGACAAAATTTAAGCATTTTGCAAGTTTCATTATTTATAAAATGGTTCAAAACAATGAATCTCCTAATTAGTTGATACTTTCCATGTCTAATTTTTTTTCTGGATGTTCCGAACACTTATGCTTTCCCACCTCTTTCACCATGACAACGGGAAAAAACCTCTACTCAACTTTCCTTCTTCCCATTTTCTTCACCCATCCTACCAATTTTTTTTTCGAAAAGAGCCCACCATTTTATTATTCCATCCCAAAACTCTTTAGATATAAAAGGTGCCCTCCTCACCTGCAGGGAAGAATGGGAAGGAAAGAATGGGAAGAAAAGAAGCGGCGATTTTGTCTCTCCTACTTTTTTTCTTGCTTATGCTTCTTCATCTTATTCTTCGTGAGGTCTTCTTCTATTCTCAAAAGATGAAGAAGAAAATGGGCAGCATCCGACGAGCACAGCAGAATCGTCTTTTCAAGAAAATTGGTTGCTCAGTTTAGATTTTTAGGGATGGGAAGGTACGGGGATTTGGTTCAAAAGTTTGGACCAGAAGTAAGAAGAATCTCTCCGAAAAAAATTGTAGGAAAGAAAATGTGAAGTTCCTGTGCTCATCATTTGGCACATGATGGGCAAAGTTAGAATGAAGAAGAACTGATAACAAACAAGGACATGGAACTTTTTTCCCTTTTTTGGTCATACATTTTTCAAATTGACACTTTTTAGTTTTTATCAAAGCAAATGATGAGTCTTCTTTTGATTTCGAAATTAATAGGAATTTCGGGTGGAAATGTATGAATGAAATATGTAGTGGGAGGACTTCAGAAGTTTGAAGAAAGCTGGAACAAACCGAAGATACTGTAAACACTCTAATAGAACGCCACCCGGACCATCTACTTTGAACCTATATATCTTAAATGTTTTGAAAGGTATCAAAAAGTTGTCAACAAATAAAATGTTTATCATGATATCAGCAACATTTTATAAGTTAACCACTTTTTGATATCTCTCACAAAAAAGGAGATACATGGGCTCAAATTTGACAAATCGGGTGGCGTTCTAGTAGAGTGTTTACGGTAATTTAGAAGTGGACTAGATTTCCAGAAAAAAGAGGGTACTAAAAAGTAATGGGAAAATAAAAAATTAATCAATTTTCTATCTAGAAAATCAAATCCGAGAATAACTCGGCCATAATTATCTCAGTTCTTAATAGAAATATGAACAAAAGTAGAAAAAAAATCCAGAAAAAAAATAAATTTTAAGAAAAAGTGAACAACGACGGTTAAACCGCAAAATTTAAGACTCTTGCTCCCTTTGTTCACTTTTTCTAGAAAAAAAAGAACCTGTGCCGCATCAAATGTCACTATTTACGACTTTTACCTGCCCCATCGAAAAGTGACTCTCTCTTTCACACTTGACAGCATTCAGAAGCGACGACGATTTGTCCCAATCTCCACACCTAGAAGACGTCGTCGAAACTCCGGATGGAGGTGGCGAAATAAAAGGGGAGACTTCAGAAAGACCCGTCACACAGGTAAAGAAGGTAATGATGAGCTCAGTTGAGCATGAATATGAAGGAAGACGAAAAGAAGAAGCTGTGTTGTTGTCCTGTTGTGAGCAATTTGGAAAAGAAGATGGAATATAAGCAGCCGGTTTTCGCCGCCGCTCCAGGACACAAGGATGAAGGCACTTGGGCGAGGGAAGTGAGCAGCAATGAGCACAGATGAGGATGGAAGAATACATGGTGAAAACGGGAGGACAACATATGGGAACAATTCATCTCTTCAGGTATGGAAAGGTTGACAAATAATGAAGAGAGGAGACGAAATCGAGAAAAATAGAATAAGATGGTGATAAACAAATAAGAAACTCGTACTGTAATTGCACGGTGGCAACAAGAGGGGCATTTTTTCTATTATAAACTATTATCTGGACATTATGGTGAGATACATACCGTATAACCTATAATAGAAGGGCCCCCTAATTCTTTGAACTTTGATCCAAATTTTCTCGATTCCTGTCAAAGATATAGAAAAAGTTGTCAACTGAAAAATTGTGCATCATGATGTTTTCAGTGTTTTGTCAGTTGACACTTTTTTGATATCTTGCGTAGGAATTGAAATGATTTCGCTTAAACTGGACAGTGAGGTGAGCCATTCCATTACAGGTTTTACGGTAGTGTTAATCAATCATTCGCTGAAATGGGGGAAAATAGCTATAAACGTTGGAATCACAGCTGATTCTTTGACTAACAAATTGCGGATGAGCTATCAAATTACATACAATACCCATCAGCTAATCATACTTCTTTTTTTGTGTTCTCTATCGTTCAGAATCATCACGTGGAACAATTCAGGAAAAAAACGGAAGACAAAACAACAGCTGATTCGAGATTTGCGGAAGATAACGCATAAGACAAGAAAATTTGATAAAGGTGAAAGTTATTTGAACAAAATCTGATAAAAGAAGAGAGCGAGATGAAGTAAGACAGCTGATTTCATTATTCTAGGAGTGGATTCTCAAGAAATATGATTTTCAGAAATAGATCGGAAAAAGAAAAGACTCCGGGACCAGGATTTCTACTTTTCAGAACCAGGCCAAGTAGCAATGAAAATCATGTCAAACTTAAATATTCCCAGCATTGATAACAACACCTTACATCACTTATCTGACTTTGTTTTCAAATAAAATTCATAAATCTCTCTTTTTCTATTCAAAAATATTTCTGAGGAATGCATCGCGATGAGTCCCCCAAATCACACAAAAATTGTAGCGATGAATATGATTCTTATTCTATTACCTCAGTCTTCCTTCTCCCCTCCTTATTTAGTGTGAATTGGAGTCTTCATCACAGAAATGGGGGCAAAGAAGAAGAAGAAGTTAGAGAAGTGATATTGACAGTGATATTGACTTTGCTGCATCTCCCGATATACTTGAAAAATAATTCTTTGGGCACATGCATGTTTTAAGTGGAATTAGAGGCGAGAGTCAAGAATCAAGAATCAGGAGGTAAAGGGGAAAAGGGCAAATAAGGCGAGAAGAGGAACCCCCACGCAAGAAGATAAGGGTTTCTGATCAATGGTTCGAAATTTCTGAGCGAAAAAATTCCCAATACAAAAGAAAGCAACTCATAACAAGTAGGTCAGAAGGCCAGAGCAAGGTATTTTTAGAAAAAAAAATACACGACAATCCCATAAAAGTCAGAAAAGCAAGCGTTTTTGAAAATGAAACTAGAATGGCAAGACCTCCAAGTGTTGTCTGGATATCACCGGATCAGATCTTCCATCTCCATCCTCCCCATCTCGACAAACACCAATATATCGAAAAACACACAAAAAGGTTAGGCACCATCTCGCTTCTGAGCCGAAAAAAATTTTGACAGCTAATTGGAGACGGTCATAAATAGATCTCGGAGAGGAAGCGCCGGGTAGATGGAACGTTGGAGGTGGGGAGGTTTCGAGAAAAATAGAAAGGTGCCAAACGGATGATGCCGAGAAATGAAATGAACAAGGATCGGGAGGAGAAAGTGGAAAGAAAAAGTCCAGGATGAGCTCGATGGACCGGAGCTCAATGGACAGCTCTTCGGCATCGCTGTCGAATAGCAAGGGGTAGATGAATCCATGGACATGTACTGTTTTGTGGAAGGCGCAACATCCCACAAATCTGCTAATTGAGGAAAATTTCCCACGAAAATTAGAAGACATTGTACAACCATAGAAAGAAGAAAAGGGACGCATCTCACAGGGAAAACAAAAATAATGGCAAAAAAAATTATGAGTCAGGAGAAAAAGTGAATTGATGAAGAAAAGGGAAGACAATGATAATAGAGCACAGCCATTATCGTTGTTTTTTATCTTAGAAAGTAGGCCCTCATATTTGAAGAGTTTGACTGATTGGATCAATATAATTATGAGGTCTATCATGGGATCAATATAACATGGTGGCTTTTCCCAATTTTCAGCATCTGCTCAAAGTATTTTGAACTGCAGATATTCTACACCTAGTATAATGGATCGTCAAATATGAAAAAAAAATTCTAGAACTGCCTAACGAACCATGAACATCTTAAGCTGATCTTATTGTTTACCTAGAAGCCCATCCTCGTCATTAGCCAATTACTAAAAATTTATCCGCAATTAGTGTCTCCCTATTTGGACACACGCACAGCGGGAAAGGTGCCTTCTCGCTTCCTAATCGAATCTATATGTACTAAATCGGTTGTCTCTTCGAACTACAGTATCCCAGCCCCCGCGAGGGGAGCCCCTCCCGAAAGAGACGATTTTGAGTCATGAGAGTTTGTCTTTTCTTGTTCCCCTTCATATGTGTGGAAAAAGGACGAGGAAGAAAGAAAAAGGGAGTGATTTTCGGAAGAGGTGGTGTCCTAATGCATTTTGAGGTAGTATAGATAGAACGGGGCGGATTGAGAAAAAGTGTAAATATCGGAGGAGAAATGAATAGATTGAGCATTTTAGAATCATTTGTCATGGAACGATGGAAGTGTTGGGAGTTATAGGGAATCAGAATAGTTCAAGAGTTTAGGTGTACTAACAACAGTGTAGTTGGTGTTATGGAACTAGTTGCCACTGATGTAGGTTCTGGGTCATACTGTGACATTCGATTACCCTAGGTAATCTAAGTTTACAATGTTTTGTACCTCAAAACTCCACGATTTCCTTATAGATGACCCCCTAATTAGACCCATAACAAGAGTCATCCTATGACTTATATTTATCTTCATTTCAAATTTTTTGAATAATCAGAAGTAGAATTAATGAGGAGAGCAGCAAAAACTGGAATACTAAAAGCAGTGTCGTAAAATATACACAAGCCCTTTAAAAAAATGAAGTCAAATTATTATATTTATTTTAGCATAGACAGTTACCTAATTCCGAGGGACCGTACTCAGCTTATTAAGTGAGGAAGGGTATTTTTCCCTCAAGGATGCCAGGAAGTTACATCATCAGCCGAATTAAAACGCGCAACGCGCGGTAAGCAAGAGAGAATGAGAGGGAGAGGCTGGCACCAAGGATTTCTGTAAAAGAGGTGTAAAGAGAGTGATGAGGAGGAACAAATGACAAATTCATAGGGAATGAGTAATACGGATTTTGGAAAATCCCTCCTACGGTCCTTCATCGTATCTATTCTTGAATTCACAGAAATCACTAGTGGCTCACCACAGGTGAAAATGGAGAGAAGAGAATGATGACAGGTAATCTCGAATGTATGAAGAAGACAACCAAAATTCAAGTAACGCACCTCCTCCTCCCCCAGTAGCTCATCTAAATTTGATGGAACCCTTCTTTCCTGTTTTGAAAAGGAGAGGTAAGATTTGAACATCTGTCATCAGTATAAACGGAAAGAGGGAAAAAGAGCGCCAAAAAGAAGTGGACAATGAGGAAACGAGCAGAAGCAATGCCTTAATTACACTACATCCTGAAATCTCTGAAAAATTTCCAATTTGTATAAACCCGGTAGTTCGGAAGAACACCCAAACTCACAGGGAAAATGTTTAAAATGGCAAAAGAAGCTTGCGGAAAACTTTGGCAACTTTGAAGATTGACGTCTTAGCTTAGACAATATGCCTGGGAAATTTATCAGTGCACAGACAGAAGCGTCATTTGAAAGATTCAGAGAGTCTAACAACCTACTAATTTCAGTGTGCACTTCTCCTCATCTATGCATCACTATCTTGTACTGATCCTATGAAGAGGAGTCTCTCTAATCTCTCTGAAAATTGCTCGCTTTCAGAAGGTGATTCCAACAAAACTTGAAGAAGGCGGTCATCAGAGCAACCGCATGGGATGTTAGCCTTTTAGATGAAGGAAGAAGAAGAAGAAGAAGAAGAAGCGCATGATGATAATTGATGGGATGATGATATGCGGCTTGATAGAACCATAATTAGTGGGTTAGAGAATATGTGTAGGTTTGAAAATTTTGGAAATTTCGAAAATTTCCGGTGAAAGGAAAGGAAATTCGGGAAGATGATAGAAATGGAATGGGAGATGAAATGGGCGGTATAAGGACAAAATTTGGAAATTGGTAGGTAGGAAAACTCATATGATGAACCTTCTTGGGTTGTTGTGAGGAGCACAAAATGTGGCCTACGATTGGGATCATGAAAAATTAAATAATTTTCTGAAAAGGAAAACATTAAAAATCTATTTGCCATAAAATTCTGAAAATGTCAATTGGAGGGAAGAGAATAGATAACCACAAAATCGAGATGTACCCTCAATAACAAATTTGTTGACTGATTTCCATTTGAGAAATAGCATCATATGCAGCGATATATATTAGAAAAATCTGAGTTTAAAATTTAATATTTCAGAGAAGTTGTGGGTTATGAAGCTTCCATTTTTGTTCATAACATAGGTCTTGAAAAAACTTGTTTTTTATTCAACCTATTCTGAAGATATTCTGGTTTTGCTAAGAAAAATGTATTACAATTTTTTCTGTATTTCCAATCTTTATTTCAATTATCTTGAAATATTCCTTATATGAGAAATCGCACTTTTAAAAGTCCAACCCATCCGAAAATTCCACTGGGATAGTCTTTTCCAGTAAGATTCATTTTTTTTGATTCATCAAAAAGACAGCGTCTTTGTCTTTGTACTTTTAGCTGAGCAACAGACTATATCATTCTGGCTATATATTCCCTCTTCTGTCTTCTACAGTAGGAATTCAAACAGATACTGCTATGTTATTCCATGGATGCTGTCCGGATCCAAAAATGTTGTGATTTAGAAGAAACAAAACATTTCCTCCTTTTTGAAGGCCATATATATTCTTCTTTTTTTTCTTCTTCTGCTTCTTCTTTCGTTTTCCCCAGTATGCAAAATTCTCCGTTCCAACCTTTTCCCCTCTTTTATTTGTTCACAAGTTGTATGATTCATAATGTCTGGATAGAAGGGGCTCATGATCACTACAGAAAGCAAAAAATAAGGAATGAATGAAAAATAAATTGCTTCTTGTGATAAGCTTACAACTCAATGTATTTTTCCTTATTAAAAGCGGAATGCAGTCAGAAGCCAAGGGTACATAGCCATAAACCCACCGTATTCCCCCATATTTGGAGCAATTGAGACATTTTACCTTGATTAACTTCTTCCCCACTCTTGAGGCAATCTAGAAACCAGTGTCGTAAAATTTTATGGAGCAGAGAGCAGCTGACAATCAACCAGTAGTAGACATGTATGAGAAAGGAAAGGGAGATGTTGAAATGAATTATTTATTATTCAGAATTCTTCGATTCAATTTCGGAAGGAAACATTTACCGGTAAATGGGGAGTTTGGGAGAACGAGCTTTTAAAATTGGTATTTTTTTCAGAAATTCCATACAATTTTAAAAGAAATATTTACTACACAAAATATTCAAAAAATATCAATCGAGAGGTGTTAAATCAAATCTAGACATTTGTTATACCATTTGAATTTTCATCATACTCCGGTGGTGGGGCACTTGCCATGGTGACTTCTACTCGATCCTGAATTTCTAATGTTTTTATGCTGTTTGAATTAACTACCGACCTGATACTCTGGAGGTGGCTCAATCAGCAAATTAAGATCCGGCTGGGTCACTGACAAAGCTGTCAATCGATTTCCAATGTCAGCCCTTCCCATAACATGACCAACCGGATTTGTACCAACAGTAATCGGAAATTCGACACGAAGTTTCTTGTCTTTTTCCACTTCCACAGTGACACAGTAATCCACTTCTATGATGTTAGTTTTGAAACTGGGAATCAATGGATTTGGAAGGACCAAAGCGACTTGGATGATCCCTTCTGAGCAACAGTTCACCTCGAAACTTTTCTCAACTTCGGACATTTTCGTTTCAGCTGTTTTATGGTCACAATGCTTATGACAGTGTTCATCGGAATTGAAATGAGAATTCTCTTGTTGCGCTTGATAGTGGACGTGCTGGATAAGTTGAGCTTTCAGGTAGTATAGAGGTTTCTTGGTGTGGTTGTGGATAGAAATGGCAATTGGGATAAATTCACCAGGGATGAATCCACTTTTTGGGAGTTGCACTTTGATCTTCACTTCTTTGCTTCCGAGGAATCCAGAATGTTTGCAAGCATGGTCCATCACTGGATTGCGAATTTTTGGAATTGCTGTTAGATCGATTATTGGCAGAACTTAAAATTAAAGTTTAATTTTTCCATTTAGGCGGTTTGCTATACCTGTAAACGCCCTCCTCGCTTCAACGTCCAACCTCCATGGGCGATTCAATTCAACATGAACTGTATATCGGACGCAACCATGAGTACCCTCGAAACTTGGTGGACAACTGAATGGTAGTTGGAAAACAAATGGGAAAATATTTACTCCGATCGGAATTCTATTAGACTGAAAACAACTATTGAAATTTTGGGAACGCAGTTCAAAAAATGACTCACTGGATTGTCTATGGAGCTCCATGGTTGCGAAACACCTTCGAGGATATTGATATGACTTTTGAAAGTTTTATTTTCTGGAGGCTTGGTATGATGATGGCAGTGAGATACTGGATGCCCAGATTTTCTACAAACTTTTAATTTGAAACTTTTTTCAAATAAATAGCTCACAAGTGTCTCTTCTTCTCAAGCTGTGTCCAATACGTCTGAATCTCTCCATGGATGCAAATTTTCAGTGATAGGGCGTGGATAGCACTTTGATTCCGAATTGTAAGAGATCCCCGTACACAATTACCGGGTACATAGTATTGTTCATCGAAGTCGATGGAGAATGTTGGCTCCATTTCTGAATTGGGAAAAGTTGGAGAGGTGGAGAATTAGTTTAGAGATACCGCAAACCCATATTAGAAGGACTCATGTAACAGGAGGGCCCTCCAAGTGAGGTTTGAAAAAATAAAAGGCCCCCCTCAAAATGGGCTGCTTAAAATTAAAAATTTCCGTACGAATACACCGAACTTTTCAAGGAAAAGAAAGGATTCTGTATTAGAAGGGCCCCCGAAGATACCTTGAAGCAATAAAAGGACCCTTCTAATAGAGGTTTTACGGTAGTTAGATCACAACTATCTCGGTTCCTTTTGAAAATATCATTCAACTAAAAACTGAGTGAAATATCATATTATCATGTTATCAGTTTACTTTTTTGAAAATTTTGAGAAAACAGGAAGGTAATGTCAAAGTGATGCTAGTGAAAGGTGCAATGTTGAGAAAGTTTTTATGACAGGATGTTTTTCAAAATTAGAGGTAAATTCACAAAAAAAGAAGGTGAAAATTCACACTGAGTTATTTTCTCACTTTCGCTTATTTATACAAGCACGCATGAAACCAAATACCCAAACAACCCGCACTCTTATCATTCACCCAAATTTACGTCATGTTTTTTGCCGGAATTATGATAAAACAAAAAAAAACCGTGAGACTAAACGTCATACCAGATATAGGTTTGGTACCCGTTCTTTCGGTGTTTGTAGTTTGGGAATGGTGATTCAGGTGTTTTCCTTGGGGAAAAGTTGGAATTATAGTCAACAAAGAAGACGGATGCAAAAGGAATTGATGAGGAAACCTCAAAGTAAAGATATGAACCGGTAAGAAACTAGAGCTTATGAAATTTTGAGAGCATTTTATTATTTTAATTGGTACTACTGTTTTTAATACATACAGTGGCGAACGCTCGTGAGTGTCACTCTATACTTTTGTTCATAACTTTGCTCAAACTTGTCCAATAATTGAAAACTTTTTTGTTAAATGTAGATGAATTTCTAGCAAAACGCCATATATGTTTTTTAAAACTCAATCAACTTCCATGTCTTCTGAATCTTCACAGACGTTACGATGACTCCAGAAGAAAAAACAATTTCCGTAAGAATTTTTTAAAAGATTGGCTTTGTAATGAAAAATGTTTGGTGTAGATCAAATACATACCAAAAAAATTTTGAAGCGGTTTGGAACACTTGCTCTTGAGATGTCCTCACTGGAGCATAAAAGGTATGGTTTAGGAGTTTAGCTATAACTCGGCTCAAAATGATTCAAATTTGCTAAAATTTTCAGAGAATGTGTGTCTTTAATTGTTTTACATTATATATATAAAATGTTGTATTTTTGGAATAAATTTTTTTTTTATAATACATAGCTTGTCTTCGGTACATAAAAATGAAAAAAATTGAAAAATTTTTATTCCCAAAATAAAAAGTTGTGTATGTATATCGTGAAGCATTTAAAAACACACATTCTTTGCAAATTTGAGCAAATTTGGATCATTTTAAGCCGAGTTATAGCCAAACTCCTGAGCCATACTTTTTATGCTCCAGTGAACACATCTCAAGAGCAACTGTTCCAAACCGCTTCAAATTTTTGAACCCAAGTGAAATCGTTATATATATTTTTAAAATATGAAAAACCAGCAAGCTGAAGCGTTTTATTAATAAGGAAGATATTATTTATTATAATTTGGAGGACAATCTTCTGAACGTTCCATTGCTCTCTTATAGCTTGGTGGCTCAGGTTGAACTGACACAGTTCCAATGATTATTGGTAGCTCGAAATCCACATTTTTATCATTTCCAACACTGATCAAAAGTTTGTATGCCAACTGAATGAGCTTGGTTTTGAAACTAGATCGTGTTGACACTGGGATGAGCAGTTCGAAATTCAGGTTTTCACAAGTTGAGTTCATTTTAATATCCTTTTTAACTTCCGAAATGTTGTCCTCAATAGGGTTACGATGGAATTTCAAATTTTCTTTGAAAATGTGTCCACTTTTTTGTTGAGCTTCAAAATGGGTGACTTGAATCAGCATCAGGAATATCGGAATGGTTTTTATACGCGTTTTGTTTATGATAGTCATTTCTATTGGAATCCTTTCTCCTGCTATGAATCCTCTTTGGTGAATTTTAACCTAAAGTCATGTTCATTTTTTAAAGTTAAAATGTTGAAGACCACTTACATTCACTTCAATTTCTTTAGACAGATAAAAAATGGATTTATTGTGTTCCAATGGAAGTAAACCTCTCGGAATTGAATTTAAATTTAAATATGGCATGACTGAAAAAAAAACAAGTGGTTCGAAAGTTTCTGTAATTTGAAAATACCTGAAATCGTTTGTTCAGATTCCATTTTCTTTTTCTCGGACCTCGAAACAGCCACATGAATTTTATATCGAATCGAACCAAACTTCCCTTCGAAACTAGGTGGACTTTCTTGAGGAATTCGGAATGAAAAATTTAAGGTGTGAGCCCCAGGAGCAACCGATTCGTACTTAAAATTGAGATTAACAAAAATAATTGTAGGGAAATTTTTTACCTTCTGCAGTTGAGTCAACTCATCCAGATGATCATTTTTCGAGGTGAACTGGATATGCTCTCTGAAAGTTGTATTCCAATGCTTCCAGAAAGTAACAGCCTCTCCGAGAATTCGAGCATCAATTGAAAAAGATAAAGGCTTATGGATATTGAAAGTTATTTTTCCAGTTACGTTTCGACCTGGAAAATAGGCAGCAGAAGAATTGTCAAGGTGAATTTGGAGTTTCTCCATTTTTGATAGAATTCTATTGAAGAATGAAGCAAACATGTATTTGAAAAAATTGTGTTATCGGAAAATGAAACTCCGCCCTACTGAACTCTCCCATGACACAGAAAATCAAACTATACTATTTGGAAATACGATGCCATGAATCATAATTTATGACTCTCATCTTTTCTCATCATCTTTACCCATCTTAATCTCAAAACCTTCTTTAAAGGTGGGGGGACAGGAGATTTTTCGTAGTTTTTTTGTAGCTAGAGTATTTATTCTACCGTCACGGTGTACAACGCTGTAATCACTCTGCGTACAGCTGTCGTCCTCGCCTTTATGTATGCAATCGGGCGTGCGCTTTCTCTTTGCCCGCGTGGCTCCGTCGGTAGCGGCGCCGCACCCTCAATCATCGCCCTCACAAGTTCAACTCCTCGAGGGGCATCTTTGAACGGAATTTCGTGAACATTATTTTTTTTCATGTCCCCCCCCTTTAATTATAGATGACTATTATAGTGCCCCTCAAAACAAATTTTGTTTTACATAGATCTTCATTTTTAAAAGTGCTCAAATGAAGTGAATTCCACAAGTCAGATCAAGTGCTGCTGAGATTGAATCATTATAACATTATATAAAAAACGCATTCATTCAATAAGATAATATTAGAATCCAGTTTTGCTTGGCAATGGAGGTGCAGCACCGGGAGTATATGGAGGAAGAGGACTTGTTTCTTGGAGATTGTTGTAGACTGGATATCTTGGAGCAAAAGGCTGAAAATTCAAAAAATTTTTTTGAGTTCATTCTAATGCATATTTAGTCTCACCTCGGAATCTTCTACCTTTGTAACACCTTGCATTGATTCCTCATAGGAAGGTGGAGCAGATGCCATAGGTGGTGGCCCGATAGGAGCTCCGAATCCTACACCTCCAGGTCCGATTGGTGAGGCTGGTGGAGCTGATGGAGCTGTGGGATACACTGACGCACCTGGAACCCCTCCTCCAATGACTGGGTATGGTGGTGCTGTTGGTGATACTGTTGGCATTACAGCAGGTGCAGAGGCTGCTCCTGTTGGAGCCAACTGACGAATTGGGATGGTTCCAATGATCAAGGGAAACTCAACTTTGAGGGTTCCACCGAATGTAGATGCAGTGTCCAGTTTAACGGAAATGCAGTAATCCACATCAATAATTGGACAAGTGAAGGATGGAACAATAGCTGGAATCTTCATTGATAGAACAACTTGACCGCGGGAGTGAGGGGCCACATCAAAGTTTCTTCTAGACTCTGCCACACATTTTTCGTCGTTTTTGTGATGAGTATGGTGTGTGACATTCATCGCACTTCCATGGCTAGCATGAAAATGAGATAATTGGGTCATTTTGGATCTGACGGCTACTACTGGAGACTTGGAGTTGTTTTCAATGTTGATGGTGATTGGGAGAATTTCACCAGCAACATAGCCACGTTTTGGGAGGCTAACCTAAAAGTAGTTATGTAGGTAAATGACAATTTTGAAGACATGATTACCGTCATAGAGACCAATCCTTTTTTAAGAATGAATCCAGTGTTTTTGGATGTAGAGTTCACCATAGGATTGATGGCAGTTGGTGTGATGTTCAAATCATACATAGGGACCACTGAAATATGAAATGGTTGTTATAAGTTCGGAGAAAACAGTAAATTGAATGAACTCACCTGAAAAACATTTTCTAGACTTCTTATTAAACTTCCATGGTCTATCCAACTCAACATGGACCGAGTACCGAATGTGGCCATGACATCCCTCGTAACTTGGTGGACAATTTACTGGCATAGCGAAGGCGAACGGAAATACATTGGTTCCAGCTGGTAGGCGGTCCTAAAAATGAGACTTTGAAATCTTTGGGAAAACATTTACATACCTGTCCATCTGCAGACTTCCATGCAATAGACTCTCCAGTGAGGTAGTTCACAGTAGCGGCGTAATGTACACTCTCCGTATAACTCTCACGGTTTCCTCTAGCGTCTCTGAAAATTTTAAGTTCTGGAAAATCAGCGAAGAAAAAAACTTACGTCCGATATCTGCGCTCACTTTCACTCCAACTTGTATGGGCACCTCCATGAATGCAAATTTTCAAAAATCTCGCTTTGATCCACTCTCTATTCTGAATAACCACTTTTCCGGTCACAGGTTGGCCAGGGAAATAAACAGAGTTCGGAGCATCATACTCGATTCGAAAATCATCCATTTCAACCTAAAACTTAAGAAAAATTTTTGAATATTTTTAAAGTGAAGAAAAGTAAGATAATTTTCAGTATTGCTGACAGAGGGGTAGAATAGAAGGAGAGGTAAGAATTGAGAATGTGATAAGAAGAATTTCGTTATCACAGTGCTGACTCAGATTGGCATCAAGCACCAAAATGACCAGGGAAAAAAAATCAATAAAACGATGACGCCACCAATATCATTCTTTTTTTGTGAAATTCGGTATAATCTGTCTGTTTTCTATTTTAACAGTTCAAAGTAATGTTTTATTTTTGAAAAGAATGAAAAGCAAAAGACTTTAAAATAGTGTTTGCTTAAAAGAGAGACACAGGAGTAGAAAGTAAATATAGGTTACAGCATGTGATTCAGTTTTGAATAGGGAATAGAGGAAGAGACATCAAAAATAAGAATATTTGTGTTGAGAAAAAAGCAAATAGCTGAACAAGAAGTGTTCAAAAAATTTTAATGCTGAAAAAATGATTTTAAGGATAATCCAATACCTTAAAGCTTGTAATAGAAGGGCCCCCACACTGTCCAGTTTGAGCTCAATTATCTGAATTCCTATGCAAGATATCAAAAACATGTCAACTAACAAAACACTTTTGATATTATGGTAAACAATTTATTAGTTGACAACTTATTTGTATCTTTGACGGGAAGTGTCAAAAAGGGGGTCTTTCTTTTGCAGGTTTTACGGTAACAGTTTGTTGGGAGAGCTCATCAGATGCCGAGAAGAGTTGAGAAATGCATTTTTGATCTACTCAACATTCTGAAATAGTCCTAGAATAAGGATAAGAACAAAGATCCCGCCAAAATTGCTGATATAAATCAGGACCCTTTTTTCTTGCTCAAATACCTCTCCGTGAAAAATCTACTTTTTAAAACTATCTCGTGAACAAGATTTTGGAAATATAGGATAACCACATAGATAAGGAAACGACACTACCTAATCCATTTTAAAATAAGTAGTTTTGTAATTTTCGGTCAAAATGGTTCGCGAAGGAATCGAATTATTAAGCGAATACGTGCCACAAACTTTTCTCTTCACTCTCATATTCCTGCTGACCTCCTCGGCGATTTTTATGCTGTGTAGTGGAAAAAAGGATTCGAATAGACCACCATCTTCGAATTCGGAGACTTCTAAGGTGAGCCAGGTTTTAACAAATAAAATTTCTGATGTCCGATTTTTAGCATAGCTCACTCCAGAAACCGGTGTTATCAAATGCTCCGAATGATGTAATTCCACCAGCACAACCAACAAGAAATGTTGGCGAGCCAGTCAAACCTCCAACTACAAATCTTCAAGCTCTCAAGGAAGAATTGAAAGAAGAAAAAGAGGATAAAAAAGCGAGTAGTCCACCTCCTCCACCGCCGAAAAAATCTGATCGAAAATCTATTGTGAGAATGTTTAGCAAGAATAAAGCTCAAACTCCGCCGAAAAAGGACCCGGTACCAAGTTTCCCGTTTTTTTATAAATTTTGAAAAAGAATTCAGATAAAACCGTCCGGGGAGAGTGCGAAGAAGGAAGTAAAGGAAAAGTCTGAAGAAAACGAGAGTTTGCTGAAACTTGAAAAAGAAAAAACAGGAGCAGGAGGAAAACCCGATAACTGATTTGGAGTCACATCAGGATGATAATGAAAAGAAGAAGGAGTCAAAAAAGAAAAATAAGCCAAAAGTGGTGAAAGGGAGCAATGAGAAGGCTGAGAAATCAGAACATGCTTATTGAGACTGATAAACTTTTTTCTCTTTTGTTTGTTTGATTTTTTGATCTGAATACTGAAACAACCAGAAAGAGTTCAAGCTATAAAGTTTAGTTCGATATAAACTTTATTCAAAGTTTATGGAAAAGTTGTTAACGTTAAAAAAATTCAAATTTTTCATGAGACTGTTCCAGATGACCTGAAAATGGGAATTTTTCAAATAAATAAGCTGGGAGCAAAGTTGAAAAATTCCATGAAACAGAAAGCTTGATAAGATTTTTATGGGATGTCTGAAATTGTATATATTTTGTATTATCCTCAGAGAATCGAAAATTAAAAAAAAATGTAGCCCCATATCTTCAACCCAATAGGTTCCAGGGTAACTGGTCACTTATCGCCCCATTTTGAAATTATTGAAGTTTGCCTGACTTAAAAGTTTTCTGGTCGTGATTTCCATCCTTTGTCGTGATTTCCATCCATCTGGTAGCTTGTCAACCTAGATTTTTTTTTCAATCTACGACTTTGCCACGTATTCTTTGTTTTTCATTCACTTAAAATCTTCTGCACCTCTTTTCAGAACTATTTCTATTTTTGTCATTTTCTCACAACCACACACATACATCTCTTCGGATATAATTTAGCTTCACTGTTCGATATCCAGTTTTCCTTAACGACAATGTCTGGAATTGAGAATAATAAGGAAAACAAAAAGCAGCAGAAAGCGTTGAAAAAATCTAAGAAGGGATCGATAAGAAAATCTGTGTCGGGTACAAAACAAGCCAAGAATTCCGCCAAGTGCAAAGTGATAGATTTTCCCGTTCTGATGACTAATATTTTTCTAATTTCCAGCACAAAAAAAGAGCGAGTCAGGACAAAGATGTTAACCTTCAGACCTTGGAGCAACGCTCTGAAATTTTCACATCGGATGTTTCAGAAGGAGGAGATGACAAGGAGGAAAATACCGCTAGCATCAAGAAAAATTACAGCGTCCTGAACACGGTATCCAATAAAGCTTTTACTCAATTGTCTGCTGCTCCCACTCCACCACTAACACATTTTTTGCCAGTGGTTATCCAAGTCAGTGCAGGAACCTTTGAACGTTTTTTTCAATATGTCACTGTTAATCGAAACTTGGTTATCACTAAAGTTGACCGTTCATTAATACATCATTTCATGCCTGGAGATCAAATCACCATTGTGGATGGAACCGCCCATTGGACCATAGAATCTTTAACGTCATATATGAAAGGATCATGGATTCGTGGAAAACCGGCTGTGGCGATTACAGTAATCCGTGTGTGGAATATAAACTGCATTACCAAAGCACAATACGATCTCATCAGTATGTTGATTGAAGACCGAGTCCACTACTTTCGGGTGAAATTGTATAGCCATACTCCGAATTCAGGGATGGTGCTGTGTTCTGAAAAGAAACGAATTTTAGTTAAAAGTGTAAGTTGGTTCATGAATGAAATTGAATATAAAATAAATGCTAGTTCAGCTCCGCGCAAAAACTCCAGCCAGCACAGGTTTCATAGTTGGAGATCAGATTCTTGGTGTCAACAATGAGATGTATGATGTGAAAAAAGAGAAGATGGGAGCAATTAAGAAAAAAATCCGAGAAGCCGTTCAAACCAGTTTCGAAAAAGACGGATGTGTCGAGTTAGATAGAGAAATACAAATTATGATCCGCAGTATTTTTTGACTTTTCAGGGTAATTGCATGCCGACTTATTGGAGCTCGTAGCTCCCCGGTGCCAAGTCTCGACGCTGAGCTGGCTGAAAAGTTTGCTGGATATGCTATTGGTGTGGAGAAAGGAATTCATGTTGAGAAGAAGAGTCAGAGATGATTTAGAATTGGAAAAAATTCAGTTAAAATTTCAGGAGATGAGAATACAAACCTTCCGTTTGAAGCTGATGCCTTGGAAATCGCGTTAAGAGAGTTGACAACTTGGCGTTGTTACGAAGGAAGAAACGGATTCGAAACGGTGAGTCTACTGAAAATATGTATGCTTTGAAATCTTTATTTTCCAGCCCATCTGTGACAAAGGTCCTTCTCTCCTCTCCGACAAGGGAACTCATCCAGCAACACCGGGAGGACAAAATGATCAAACAGCAACATCATCACCTGGCACATCTACACCATCTTCTTCGAACACTCAAGTCTCTGTTATGGCCCCAATCCCTATTGTTAGAACTACTTCCAATACGGTCATGGCTGAGAAGCTAGCGGTTGAGAAACCAACGAATAAAGGGGATAAGCCACCATCTACTCCAATTGCGCAGACTCCAAGAAAACGCAGCGTTTTCAGAAAAGAAATAGAGAATCCCCAAACCCAAGTTACTTTCAAAGTATGTTTTCTAAAAGTTTGAATTTGCGAGAAACACCTTTTACTAATTTCAGGATGCTCCAGAAATCAACAAAATCACTTCAGACGTTCCAGAGGAGAATGAGGTCAAAAAGTGTGATGCTCGTTCGGGAATGATTGCGTACTTCAAGAATATTATGAAGTGAATAACTTTGGACTCTTCCCTTGCATCTTAGAAATAAATGAACTACTAGATAAATTTTTTTTGTGTCAAGTATTTTTTTAATACCTTGTCGAAACTTTCAAAACTTCATTTTTAATAGATCCAAAAATTTTGGTTTTGGCGGGATCCCTAAAAAGGATTTAATCGTATCACAGAAAATTGAACAATTCTCTACATTCAACCTATGAAAGAAAATCCAATGAATAATAATGAATTTTGAAATAAGTCTTATAAAAAACAAAAAAGTTCTTATTTCCGCTCCGCCTGATTATTCTGCAGCGACGTCTTTCCAGGTCCAAATTTGTTCTTGAAGTAGGTCATTAATCCAGCCTTCTCGTTACACTTTTTCAGTTCCTCCTCCTCTGGAATATCCGATGTAATGTTCGACTGTTCGGGTGCATTCTGCAATGTTTTTATTTTTATTTTTTAAGTTGCGAAAAAATTGGATCATACCGTAATCTTTACTCGGGACATCAGATGATCGGTCTCCGTCATATCCTCTATTTTCTTGGTCTTCTGGGAGCTAGTAGGTGGTGGTGGCTGTTCAATAGATTTTTCGAAGTTCTTAGGCCTTAGAAAAAGCGTTTTGACAGGAAGACTAGTACTATATTCCGTGACAGGCAATACTGATGATGGTGACAGAGCTTGAGAATCGCGTGGTGTTTTGGCAGATGGTCGAGGTGAGGTGCATGGAGTCAGGGAGATCGGATGCATCATTAGAGACTTTCTCGGAAGTTCACACAGGAGAGACTCTCCTTTATCACATGGGAGCTAAAATAATTAAGCAATTTCAACAACCTCCAGTTTACTCAAATTTCACATTTTCCCAATCTGGCTTGACCCATTCCTGTAAAAAGGTCAGTTCTCTAAGAGCGATCTCCAATGCGTCAGCTGGGAATGGAAGACACATTAATTGCTCAGGGTCTGAAGTTGTTTGTTTTTGTCCACATTTTTCCTAGTTTCAAGCTCCTACCTTTTCTCACCACCTTATTCCCTCTGCGAACACCAACAGCACAATCCGGGTACTTCTTTCCCAAGTCGGCTTCCAGACTTGGCGCTGGTGAGCTACGTGCTCCGATTCTCCGACTTGCCATTATGCTGAAAATTGTTACCGTTAAACGAAACTTTATTAGTGCAAGACTAATTGAAGTTTCGCTAGAATCAGTAGCCCTACTCTGCAAATCCATCTGTGCTTTTTTCGACAAGCTCATACGCCATTTTGATCATAGCTCTTTTGTTGATACCGTAAAGGAATTTGTTGTTGACCCCATAAACTTCGTCACCAGAGAGGAGTGCTGTGCTCACCGCAGTATTGGCTCGGACCTTTAAATTTTTAGAAATATGCTTACCATATTACTATCGATGCTTACATTCTTAACTGTAACATTTTTCCAAGTCGATCCCAATTTCATGCCTCCTCTCCCACCACTTTTGCAATACATCCTCACCAGAAAATATTGTTTTCCCGCTTCTGGTTCCGTATACTTTTCCACCAATGTTTTCAGCTGATCATCCGTCCAACATCTCATATTCCATACACGGATTACTGTAACCACACTTGTGTGTTGCGTTCCCGAACCCCTTTCGCACATGTCTTCTAAACTCCATACACTTTTTCCGTTTACTCCTGAGATTTGATCTCCTGGCATGAACTCAGTCATCAAACATCGATCTACTTTTGTGATGACCATATTTTGATTCACAGTGATATATTTGAAAATATTAAACAGCATGACTTGTTTCAATTGAACAGAAATCGAAATGTAATGATTTGGAGGAACAACTTTTAAATATAATGGTGAAAATCCCATGGTCTCTGTTGGATCCTCTTCAACATCGGTGACATCCGTAGATTCAGAAATCATTTCAGATGTCAGTTGAGTTTCGCTGGCCTTCTTTTTGCGCTGAATAAATATAAATACATTGCACCTAAAAATGGATGCATACCTTGAACTTTGGAGATTTAACCAATTTCAGTGGAACTGCTTCTGACGTGGGTAGCTTTTTCAAATTTCCCATGACAGATGAACCTTGTGTCTTTGATTTAGTTTGGTCTTTCGGTTGTTTCTTGTTTTCCTTTAAATTCTCAGATCTCGACATCTTTTTCGTAACCTTTCAAAAATGATGACTTCATAAAATAACTTTTTCTATCCGATGACAAGGATGTTGATCCAAAAAACTCAGTCGCCAAAAAAAATCAGAGCGACAAAAAAAAATTTCCACTTGACCTTTATATGTTAAAGAATCGTGGGACAGGGGAACTTCTCAAAATTCTGAATATCGCTGACATCAGTTTGGAGAATTCGCATTTTATTCTGCGAAAAATCCTCGCATCATCGAAAAAAGAAAAAATGCAGAGCAAGTCGCCGGTGGTTGATGCAAAAGAGCAAATGAAAAAGGTGAAAAATCTGTGAATCATTTTTTTTGAATCACTAAAACCTATTTTTCTTCCTTAAACCCCTCCTATCGTTCACTTGCTTTTTTGTTTCAGAAAACTCCAGAAGAGCTGGCTCAGATGGCTATTGTGAACCGTGCATTCTCTGCTGAATCCAGTGATGATCCACCACCACTTCTTCAGAAGCGTTCCGATCGACACTGGAGCCATTGAACAATCAACTCAAATCGGTTCCACTTGTAAAAGCTTTCAATTCGGCGGAGAACCAGTTGGATAAGCAGGCCCAGAAAAAGTGACATGTGAACTTTTTTGTACAATGCGATTTATAAATGTGTGAAATTTTCTTCTTGTTTTTTTGTTTACCATCTTCCAACTTATAAAGATCTGAAGAGTAACATCGATTTGGAATATATTATGAACTTCCAACATTAACTATCTCTAATTCTCCTTTAAAAAAACCTATCTAAAAATTCTTCTTCACCCCAATACAAAAGAAACCGATAAGATAGGCTAAATCCCTTTGTTATTCTTCAGCACATTGACAGTTATTGTTGCTTTTAGCACCGTCTGTCAAAAATTTTTTACACAGTCCACCTCGTCAAATCCGACCTGGTCCTCAGGGAAGCTCCGCCCCTCCTGACAGATATCCATGTGGCCCTATTCACTCATGTATTCTCTTCATGAGATTGGTTTATTGTTCACCTTGTTCTTCTCTATACCACGATGTTTGCCAATCTTGTGCCTGTCCCGCCAGTTCCTCCTACGACGGTCCTTGATATTGAATTATCTTATAACTCGAAAAAGTACTTCCCTGGTGAGACTTTGACTGGAAGAGTAATTCTTCAAACCAGTGAGCCCATCCGTGCACGTTATCTCAAAATATCATGGGAAGGAAGTACGAGCTGCGAGTTTGGAGGAATGAAAAGACAGGTTCATTTTTCGAATTGTGTGATACCATGGATCGCTGAAACTGGAGACGTAAGTTTTTTTATATCATTGTATTCATATGTGGCTGTTAGAACGCAAAACCAATACTAAATGCGTGTCTTGCGAAACAATTAACCTGTGGGAAAAGGTCAAGTAAGACCTTGTTCACAGTTAACCTATGGGAAAAGGTTAAGAGTGATAAAACCACCCAGAAAGACTCAGCAAACAATATAACAATTCTACCATTATTCAGAGCGTAATACCATCTGGGACCCACAAGTTCCGATTCAGCTTTTGTCTTCCCAGTGATGCTCCACCAAGTTTTTGCGGATATTATGGTTCAACCACATATTCTATCTATGTCAAACTTGATCGTGTCTGGAAATGGAATATGGAGACCCAGAAGACTTTCAAAGTGGTACCAAAAATGTGCACAGCAGCGATGGCACCTGACATGATGGTTCCTACCAAATTCGTAATGTACAAAAACTCAGGATCCATTTTCAAGGATGGAGTGTTCTCGATTAAATTGAACTTCCAGAAGCGTTCTTTCATGCCCGGAGAAAGTGTTGAAGTTATTGTTACGATGGAAAATAATTCTTCAAAACCAATCAAATCAATGCAATTCGAGCTCATCCGCCAGTCTCATTTTCACTCTCAACACCAAAAAGATTTCTGTTCTCTTAACAACTGCCTCAAGGATTGCCCAGTTCCACCAGTTTACACTAGAAATTGTGAGAAAGTTCTGAACAGTCGCGTCTATCCGTGCAACGTACCACCTGGAGAAACCGAACAAGTGATGGTGGCGGTTGACTTGCCACGTGGAATTCCAGCAACATTTGAGTCTGCAATGATTTCGATGGGATATTTGCTCGGATTCTCGCTCAAGAACGGATCATGGACCAACAACAAAATTGACTGTAATGCTAGAATTGTAATTGGAAACGAAGAGAGAATCGGGGTGTCAGGAGGCAAAAATGCTCCACTTGCACCACCACCGTATTCTCCATGATTTTCATCCATGATTTTGATTCTTTCTTAATTTTCTTTGTACCTTTTGTTCTTGAAAATATTCATTTTTTCAATGAATTAACTTCGTCTATTTCTTTTTTTGACCCTAAATAAACAGAATTTTGAATTCTTCTCAACGCTTCTTCCCACTTCGACCTATAGAAAAATTTATGAACTCTTATCAGTAAGCATTCCAAATACCATAGTCCATCGAATTTATGAGGAGCCAATGAATATGCATGGGAGTGTAGACCAAGTAAATAGAAGTTACTCGTTATATCAGGACAAACACCTTTTCTGTATGGACAGACGACCATCTGCAGTAGTGCCTGTTATAGTTCTTCCCTTTTTTGGGCAAAAATTACTTTTTAATATAGGTTTTTTTTCCAGAGCAGATACCACTATTTTTAAACACAACGGCTGTCTGTGAGACGACTTTTGTAACTTGAAAGTGCAGCGAAGCGCACTTTCTTTATGTGCTCCTTTGCGATTCCGTGCAGATGTTACAGCATATGCATAACTAGCATATGTTTAGAACGAACTCATTTGAAAATGTAGCCAACCTACCAAAAAAAACAGCATTCCTGTAATCTTACTACCGTAAAACCTGTATTAGAAGGGCGGGCCCTTCTATTGTTCCACGGTACTTCCGTAGGCGATCCTATTAGAGGGACACTTCAATTACAGGGGTCTTTATATTTTTAAAAAGAGTGTTTCTACAAATTTTCGTGAAATTTCAGATTTTCCGGAAAATTTTTCATTGAAAAAAGACGGAAAATTTTAAAATTTTAAGACACATTTTAGATGGGGGTCTTTTTAACAGTTTGCCTTTTTATTACGGGGCCCTTCTATTACAGGGGGCCCTACTATTTTTCCAAGCTCTTTCCGGAGGGCCTTTCTATTAGAGGGCCTTTGTTTCTCTCACCACTTTTTCTGAAGTTCGTTTTTCATCTTTCTTGGTAACTTTGTTTTTGTACCTAACGTTTCTCATCTGACACTTTTCTCTCGATAACAGAACGGTCAAAAAAGAGAGGCCCCTTAACTTCACCAATTCCGAAAACCAGTTCGCTCGTCGGTCACATAAAAGCAAAAGGAGATGTGTATTTAAAAAGAGAGTGCAGAGAGAAGAAGAATAAGATTGCTGCCATGGACGACCCTTCCAATTTACAATTATATGAACCATTCGGCAATCAAACAGAGTATAGAGACTATGTACTTATGAAGAGACGAAGATGGGGTCTTCAAAAAGAGAGAGGGATGTACTTGTTGGGATGATAGGTTTTTGGTTTCATGAGTTCATAAGAATTTTCTTTTTTATGATGACATTTTAATTGGTTTCTTCTCCACCATTTTCCTAGAAACTCTTCTTAGAAATTCACAATTCCCTTGTCATGTACTTTTTGTTCTTTCTATAAAATAGTTAAATTTCAGATGACCGAATGTCTCATCCACTATGATCGTGATGTGTATCATGCTGGAGATAGTGTGACCGGAGTCGCGATTCTCACCATCACCAAAGATGTTCGAGCACGTAATGTGAAAGTGATATGCATCGCAGAAAAAGGATTCATACCACGAAAAGCACGCGGCGGTACCAGAGTACTCCCGATGTTCGAAGATTATATTGTTCCATGGAAAGCCGAGAACGGATTTGTGAGTTAGAAACATGACAAAAAAAAAGGATTATTACCGTATTTCTTCTAATAGAAGCCCGATTATCTCGATTCCTGTCATGGATGTCAAACATTTGTCAACTGACTAATCATTCATCGTAATATCACAAGTATTTCGTTAGTAAAATACTCTTTAATATCGTTCACAGTAACTGAGATAATTGCGCTCAAAGTTTACGGTTTGGATGGCCGTTTATTAACGGAAACACGGTGAATTATTTATTTGGTCTTGCTTCGGAAAGAGATAAGAAGTACAAAACAAGATTCAAATCTTTTGATGCAGATGTACTCATTTGGACCCATTATTTTTTCCAGAACAAAATCACCGTAGGAGAATACCGGTTCCCGTTCAACTTCCAACTGCCTCAAAATTCACACAACTCGTACTATCATCGTGGAGATGGTTACATGCAATACTATGTCAACGTAAAAGTCAATCGTCCGCTCCGCTGGGATTTTGCGAAGAGAAAGTTGTTCCGAGTCGTATCACCACCAACCAATTCGCCTTCTATTTTCCCATCAACGACTGCTCAACCTCCGAGATATACATCGACAGCTTCATTACACCAACCTCCGAGATATTCATCCGTCGACGGAACTCCACCACCAGCTTATCAGGCATGAGTCAGTTTTTCCTGTTTTAAAGTCTCCTGGACGTGTTTTTTTTTCAAGAAATTTTAATGACTTTTTATTATGAAAGGGAAATTTTCAAGTTAAAATAAAGAGAAATTGAGATGTTTAATGAGATTGTTAAGTACAAAAAAAAAGATGGTGTTAAACTAGTTAGATCCTCTGAACCCCCATTTCAGGATCAGTAACAGCTTCAACTGGTTTCTGCTCTGATCCCATAACAGCCTCAGCCAATGTCAAATCTCCTTTTTGTTGAGACCATTTTGCAGGTTCCGCTCTGAAACAAACCAATTAATTGCCACAATTTTTGAAAATCCTCTACCTGGCGAAAACTATAAAAATTGTATTGGTAATTGCTAAAACGGCTCCATAAACCATGAATACTCTTTGCCATTCACTGAAACTGTCAGTTGGGGTTAGTGCTGGTACAAGGAAGGATCCAGCCATCAGGGAAGAGCAAGCGATGATCTGAAATTTTAGAGTAATGATTATCTACATACAGTAACTCTACTGCAAACAATCGGATAGCTTATTCAATGATGCCGCTAAGGGAAATCGCGGTATGAGCAACAAAGGGCACCAAACGTGTGAAACAGCGGCATTTTTTGTTTGACCTACTATCATTAAAAGGTATTACCTGTACAATTGACATGACGAATGGTGAGTACTGTCCAGAAACCATCACTGCGCATTTACTATAACCGCCAGATGAGAAACCAAGAAGAGCCATTGGAATAGCTGAAGACATTAGTTTTCCCAGAACTTTTTAAAGGTCCTCACATAATAGTATGACATCCAGCACTTTGCTTCCTCCAGGACTAGAGCATGCCAAAACTATAAAAAAGATTGATGAGCCAAGGAGAGCACACGAGTTGAACATTTTCATTTTAGTGAGATCTGATATGGATTTTATGCGATCTGAGAAGAATCCAGTGCTGAATTTAATGACGAGCTGGAAATTTAAAGATGAATGCGGAAAGAAACATTCAGAAAACTCACCAAGCATGCCATTGGGATAAGTGTGAGAAGCCCAGCTTCAGTGGGTGAGCAACCGATCACTCCACGGAGATAAATTGGTGCGTAGGAAATGGAAAATTGGGAGACGAGGAAGTTTCCAATAACCGCAATCCAAACTCCCCAAATAACGATGGAAGACACAATTTTGCGAATGGGAGTCTGAAATAAAGATTTACGGTTGTGGACAATGCACTACTGCAATTCTGAATTCAATTTTTAGTAGAATAAGTGTCCTTACCTCATTAGATCCTTTTCCTGTTTGATTAAGTTTCTTTCCAAAACTGATTTTCCTCCATTCCTTTCTTTGGACAAACGGATGTTTCACTGCACGGTCTCTATAATATACTGCCCATAGAATAGTGAGCGCTGCAAGAATTGCACCGTGCAAATAGAACACCCACGGCCATCCAGCTACAATAGACAAGTTGAAACAGGCATAAGAAAAATGATCCTACCACTTGTGGCCAATGCTCCAGAAACTGGCATAGTGAACACGGCACCTACTTCCACATGAGCTGATAAAACCGAAATGAATAGTCCTTTTTCGTTGACAGCCGCCCATTCGTTCACAACGACTCCGGCTGTTGTGAATAAGTTTGCCAATGTGATTCCTTGAAGAGCACGGAGGATAACGAAAACTGGGAAACTCCAGGAGACCACAATAGGCGTGATAATAACCAAGACTGTTCCGAAGACTCCACTAATTGTCATAACTTTGTGAACACCAAATCTGGCTGTTAGTCGTGACATTGGGACAACGGCAGCAATCGCACCAAGAAATCCAGCTGCGAATCCAAGACTTTTCTGAGCGGTGTCGAATGCGAACCTTCTTTCTGATAGTGGAAGATTGGGATCATTCCAATTGACTTCATCAATCGACTTGTTTGAACTAATAAATTCTTCCCAATATGGAGATGAATGGAGATTCACCATAGACACATAGGAGGCATTATAGCAAATAATTCTGAAAAAAAGAAAAACTTTGTATTATATTCTATCAAGAAAAAAACTTACGATGAAAGCATGAACGACAAAAACAGTAAAGCAATGACTAGAACAATATAGCGATTTCCACCCAAACATCCATATCTTCTCTCTTCCTCATCATGGTTCATTCCGATCGTAACTTCAGATGACGAGTTTGAGGTAACGGTTGTTTCAGATGATGCTGACATTTTGTAAAACCAAAAAAGGTTGTAATTCTCAGGAGGTCGCCCGCCATAGGTAGTTTTATACTACTGCTTATGCAAATTGACCTGTCGTGATGATTTTCAGTGCAACACCACATGTTGTAGTTGAGGAGTGAACAATGAACTATGTAGGAGCACAAGCAGCTCAGTTCTAGTGAAAACTTTTAAGTTCAGATATACCGAAAATTGATAAGAAAATTGAAGCTGTTTCAATGTAGCAAGGTGAACGTATTCGGAAGTGAGATAGTGTACCGTAAATACTCTAATAGGTGGCCACCCTATACTTGAACTTTGAGTTCAATTATCTTAATTTCTATAAGAGATATCAAACTTTTGTCAACTGGTAAAATGCTGGTGATGTTATAACAAACGTTTACGCAGTTGACACATTTTTGATATCTCTCAAAGTAAATGAGATAATTGAGCTTAAAGTGCAAGTATAGGGTCGCCTTTATTAGAGTGTTTGCTGTATATTGGAACGAGAAATAGTATTTCTAAAAAGAAGAAAAAATCAATTATTGTGTTCCGCTGTCTTAATTTCTATTTTTTCAAACTCTCAAACAATGCACCTCCGTCCCAGACTTCCCAGATCCTAATTCTAAAATCGGGCAGGTGTGCTTTATCCACTATTTTCAAGTACTTTGTTTTCAAGTGACAAGAGATGACGAGGTCATTCGGAATAATGGGAAAAATTAGAATTTTCTGTGAAAAAACCAATTTAAAGTATGAGCACGGGGTATAATTGGGGAAACAGAATGGGATAATTTACAGGGAAAAGAAACTTGTCAACAAATTTTTTCAAAGGAAATAATGGGAGATTTCAACCTTTTCGGTTCATGTTTTCAAATTTCGCTGAATACTGTTATCAACGAATATCTGTAACTAGTATCATACTCACGCTGAAGTTAGCAATTTGCTGAAAAATGCACAGACAACCGAATTTCCTCTAACAGAAGCCCACCCAAACTGTAAACTTTATGCTCACTTATCTCGATTCCTGTCGAAGATACCAAAAATTTTAAACTGATAAATTATTTATCATAATATCACCAACATTTTATCAGTTAACAAAGTTTTGATATCTCTCACAGGAACCGAGATAATTGAGCTCAAACGTGACGGTATTCGATTTTTTGAAACCTAATTTAGTCAATGACCTAAAAAATTCAGTTTCAATGTTTCCTAGTTTGTTTCTTATCTTGAATCAGTCCTTACCAATATAACGTCCCTGAAGCTTTCCTTTTTTAACCTCAAAACATGTTTACTGTTTTCTTAGCAAATTCCTGCATAGCCCAAAGGGTACACCGCCCGGCACAACTCTCATGTGTTCAACAGGTGGCTTCTTTTCCCTTTTTCCAATTGTCTGTATGTTTTTAGAGGGTACTCGTGATCGTTGACCGTCGGAACATCTGTATGTACTTCTACTCATATGAGATTTTTATTTGGACGTTAATCATAAGAGAACCATGCTAATTTTTATTTCTCTTCATCAAGACGAGTTTTGGGAGTCTGGGTCAGTCGCCCTGTAACCGTACTGAGGCAGGAAGACAGGTGTGACCTTTCGTAAAGTTTCAAAACAAGCAGAGATATTGAAGGTTGTAGTAACCAACATAAAGTTATCAATTTTGATACGTTAGCTGAAGTAGTTCTATGAGATACCTATTTTTAAACTATAACTAGTACTATTTAAACAGTTACCCCATATGTTTCCAGCCTGTCCCATATTTTTTTGAAGAAACTGCTCAAACTTTCTTATCTGCTACTTGTTTTATCATAACATTAGCAAGTTATAGTCTGTGTTCCTCATCATCATTATTTTTCAAAAAATTGTTCCAAGCTCGGATTTCATAATAAACTGCCTCATATTTTGGGACCACTCCTATTTCGAAATCTCCACAGATGTTCCGAGTGGGCGGGGCTATATCTGGATGCCCAATCTCGTAAACACATTCACTTCTCATTTCACTTCTTTCACATTTTTAGCAGCGATCTTTCCCCCTCTTTTTTTGGGGTGGTTTTTAGGGGCCCATTCCACAGAGAGGTTATTGAGAGCAGTCTTCTTTGGTGTCCCCAAAATTGGCTGCGTTTTGCATTTACATTCTGGTGTCCACTTTTTTCCGATAGATGTTTTTTGTCAAACATGAACCTCACGCTTAAAAAAATTTTTGTATGCAGCTTGGACCTGTAAGTGCTGAAAAAATGGCCATCACCAAATTGATGTCTAAAGAACAATCCAAAAAACATCGATACTTTTTTGAAGAGTTATCAATGCAAGAAATGTCCATTTGTGAAAGCAATGAACTCTCTTCCGATATTCTCACGAACCAAGCATCCACAAAACATTTTTCTCCATGTACATACTTTTTTCGAATTCCATTTTTTAGCGTTTTTTTCGTCTCATCAAACAAATGTATACTCTATCAATTTTGATCATTATATAATCACTCTCGGTCGATTCTCTAGTTTTTTCGGTTTTTCTAGCGGATAATTCTCTTTCGAATTGTTCTCTCTCGCTTCTCCATTGTTTAGAACTTCTAGAAGAACTCCACTTTATCATTCTGTAAACCACTGTTGAAACTCTTTCATCCTTCATTTCTTCTAGCATATTTTAGAATATTCTAAAAATCCCATTTCCAGAAATGCCGTTCACCCTCACTCACGAAAACATTTGCTTTTCAAATCCTGCTGCAAAATATGCTCCTGGAGATAAATTGGAAGGATTGATCGAACTGAATTTCCAAAAAGACTACAACGTTCTCTACATGCAAAGTGAGAGGAATCGCAAAGACGAGTTGGAATGGAATCGATAAAGCTTCCAAGATCGAATACTTCAACCAGGAAATTCTGGCGTGGAATGAGAAGCATGACCATTCGGTAGGTTCTTAAAATCAAACATGATCAAAAGTAAAATATTTCAGGACATTATGCATGCCGGGAAACATTCGTTCCCCTTCTCGTACACAATTCCAGAACACTGTCCACCAACATTCCATAAAAATTTCGGGGACATTAGATATTACGGAAAACTATCCATACATCTTGTTCTCATGCCTTGCCACTGACTGCAGAGCGATGCTTCGTCGTCACGCCACTCCAAATATCAGCTGTGCGTTTTTTGGAGTTGCAGAACGACAAAAATATGCTATGGCACGGCTCCCAGAAGGCTAAAGGAATCATTTTCAACTCCGGCCGAATCAGTGCTTCAATGCCTTATCCAGTTCTACTCTGCATCACATTTTTGCTTCAAAACGGACAAACACATTGAATGCTCTACGGATCCTTTTATTCTCGATACGAAACTAGGAGAAATGAAATGTGGGACATATACCCTTTCTGTTCCCCAAGAAGTTGCACAATCATTCAATGCCCAAATAATTTCGGTGTCCTATGTGCTTCAAAAGAGGATTAAAATGAGTGGATTGTTGGCCAGGGACATTGTTATAAAGATCCCAGTGTTCGTTGCAACAAAACCGTCGCAAGCGGATCTACGAGCAATGGAGACTCTGGAGAGGGGTATCGCTCGTCCTTTTTCATCCGTCGCGAACACAAACGTCAACTGCCCCTCTGGATTAATGAAAGATTGAATTTGGGTGCCGTGAATGAGGAGAAGGAGAATGACAACTCGGAGCCACCCACATACGCTGAAGCCACGGGCTCCGATCAGTACCCACCAACATGCTGAAGTCATTCAAGAGTAAAGAGAAAATGTTTGATGGTAATTGCACCATACAATTGAAATGAATAACTCAATATTGGCTTTTAGGTCGCCCTTTCTCCGCTGCAGGTCCATTCCGATGTGCCTCAAATGAAACTCCTCCTAACAACTACATCCCTCCTGTTCATCTCAATTCCTGGGAAACCGGTTCATCTTTTTCAACTCCACATGCTCAACATTTCTTGTTTCTTTGGTCAAAAATCTAGATGTCACCTCGTATTAATCGGACATATTTAATATTTCTCATCTCTCCCCCATCCCACAGTTCTTTCTTGCATTTCTTCTTTCTTGGTGCCTTTTCTCTCAAACATTTTTTCCCAAAACAGAATAGTTTTTTGCAAAATTATAATTTCTCCTCGTTGTCAATTTTTCATCTCTTTCTTCTGCATTCCCCCTGATTGTCCCTCATTTATTTTCGTTTACGTATTACCATTATACCCGATCATGTTCGAGTATATTAAAATACAACGCTGTATACTGCTCCATTTTGCTGTAAAGAATTACTTTGAAGTTTTCAACTTTTCTTTTTGGACCTTAACAATGTTGGTTTCTAGTGCCCAACTAGATCCCTTGCGATACTCAACTATACAATGTTCTTGACAAAACTCTACTTATAGGAGTTTGCTCTTCGACTCTCCAAGCACCTGACTCTTCCTCTTCGGATCTCCTCACGCCTTCTTCAGCCCACTCTCTCCATTAATTATATGTTTCGCGTAGCCCTGCTTCTCACTCCCACAAAACCAGCCGATTCACAAAAGAAGAAGAAGAAGAAGAGGAGACGAAACAAAAGTTGAATCGATAGGAAGTTGAAGCATGAGCATCTCGATGTCTCTATGTGCTCACTGTGCGCTCACAGTGTGCTCATTTCGGGGGTGAAACTCATACCCGCTCACCATACACTCGCTGTGTTGGTTGCCCCTAGCAACGTATCTCCCTCGAAACTCAAAACTAGCTTGCTGCCTCCATCGGCTTAGCGGAGACATCATTCTCTGTTTTCATTCACCTAGTGTTGCGCGCGCGTCTTCTTCCTCAAGTTTTCTTACTTCACTCAAAGTGAAGTTGAAGTTCTATATTCATATTAGGAGATCCCACTGATTGAATTATTAGGAATCCAGGTGAAGGCATTGAAAAGCGTAGCAGGTGAAAAATCACTGAACAACTAATTGATTATCCGATCATCTCTCGTTTCGTTGAACTATTTCCTTACTTCGCTCGGATCCGTTACCATTTCTCTCTCTCGTTTTTTCAGGTAATGTCGATTGCAAGCACGGTCATCAATATTGACCAACATGACAAGATTTTCTATCCAGGAGACGAAGTCACCGGAACCGTTCTTCTCGAAGTAACAAGACCACTTGAGGCTCGCTCGATCGTCCTCTCTATTAGAGGAAAGTCCAAGACAGCTAATATCAACTTGTTTGATAACTCATGCGTTAAGTATCATTTCAAGAAGTCACATCTGGCTTGGGTTCCCAAGCAGGGAGAGGTAGAGATAATCAATGAAGGTCTGTTTCCTAATGCCCTTATTGCAGACCATAATCCCAGCTGGCGAGCACTTGTTCAATTTTGCTATCACTCTGCCAGCTGATTGCTTGCCAACTTTCCATGGACTATTCGGAAAGAATGACTACAAGATCAAGATGGTCATCGACAGACCATGGAAATCCAACATCAAGGCCGAAAAAGAGTTCTTGGTCACCAAAAAGTTGGACTTGCCAATGAGAATGAGCAGCAGCAACTGGTTCTTCAAAGTGGACCTCCAATCTGGAGTTTTCTTCTCGAACGGACCAGTCACCATGAAGGTGAACTATCAGAAATTCGATAATTCTCTCATCTTTTGATTCCAGGTCTCTATCTCAACACTGGTCTTCCTCCCAGGACAAACTGTCGATCTTCACTTCCAAGTCGCTAACAACAGCTCCACTGAGATCAGTCGCATCTTCGCCAAGTTGTACCAACGCACTCACTACCACTTCCGTAATCAACACACCCCATGCAAGGAGTTCAACCCAGACGGCTGTCCATTGAGTCGTTTCCAACAGACAACCGATCGCGAGAAGCTTCGCAACGCTGAGAAAATGGAGGTCTCGTTGGCTCCATACAGCGAGGAGTCGTACATCATGCCGTTCACTTTCCCCGAGAACATCGTCACTCCAAGTTTCTACTCAGGACTTATGCTTCATGGCTACGTTATGGAGTTCGGATTCCGTTCCAAGGGATCCATCGACCGTGCCATGATGTGCACCTTCTACATGGGGGAGATGGAAGAAGAGCATTCTGAGGATTGCCCAAATCGTCACGGAAAGGAAGATGCTCCACCAACCTACGAAGAGATTCTTCGTGATTAGATGAGAAAATAATCAAAGAACTGCAATAATTTATTATACTTTAACCAACGATCGTTTCCAGACATCTCAAAACCTTCCATAATTTTCTACCCCCGTTTTTTGTACCCCCGTTTTCTGAACCAAAAGTTAAAGTTACCGAGTTTCCCTTAAAGTCTCCGATCTTCTCTATTTGTCCCCCATTCTTCATATTCCCACCCTTCTCTTTATCTCTCTCGTGATATAAAAACCTTCAATTCCCAAAAAAAAACCTTCTCCAGCTGACACCTGTTCTGTCTCCGAACCCCCCCTCCCCCCTCTCCTATTTCTCCAGTGATCTGTGAAGAATGCACTATTCCCTGTTCTTCATCTTTTTTGTGTCCAGTTCCCATATTCTCCACAGTCTTCTTTTTAAAAATTCAAAAAAAAATCTGCATCATATTTGGAAACCATCTGTATAATATTTGTGATTCACTGATGTTCTGGAATAAATTATTTGGCAAAATCCTTCGATCAACTTCCTACAAAATGAGGCCTCCCGGTGTGTCTATTAAAGAAAAGGTCTTATTTTATTTGTTTGACCCTTTTTCTTCCCCTACCATTAAGAACAAAGAGGCTGATGGAATGAGAGCAGATGTTTCGCGATTATGGTCCGTTTGGTTGAGAGTGCGTTCGTCGATTGGAAATTGCGTGATGATCATAAGACGGGAATTTGGTATACCGCCAGAAAAGGTATACCGCCAGAGAGATTAAGATGATTGAGTTCTACTAGTTGCGTCACAAAAGAAGTCAGATAAATTTTTTTTAGAAAATCCGGAAAGAATACGAAGGGTGGACAACATTTTACTGTAATACCTATAATAGAAGAGCTCCCTAACTTTTAATTTTGATCCGATTTGTCTCGGTTCTTGTGAAAGATATGAAAAAGCTGTCAACTGATAAATTGTTTAGCATAATATCACAAATATTTTGTTAGTTGGAATGTTTTTGATATCGCTTGTACGGACCGAGATAATTGAGTTCAAAGTCGACAGCGTGGGGGTCCTTCGATTACAGGTTTTACGGTAGTTACCAAAAGAACAGTTTGCTCTAAATCCTTTAAAATTAAAATTGTTGAAATTATTGGAACGCAGGTTTCAAAAAATACAAAATTCTGCTGAATTAGGCTGCCGTATCTTGTAAATCGTCTTCTTTCCAAAAAATTAGAGGAATTCGTTTTACCAAATATCTAGCTAGCCGATTCCTTAAGAAATCCTCCCCATTCCGCGTCATCATCCTGGCCATCGGTTTCCGTGTTCTTTACCATTACAACGTCTTCTTAAGGCGGTCACCGTTTTTCTCGTCTCTAGCACACGTTGCGGAAAATCAGCTGTCCGCATATATGACTCTCTCTCACACACACACACAGAACATCTGACACTTTACAATGGCAATTGTGCAGCAGACGAAAAAGAAGAAGGGGGCGAGGGGTCACTCGATAACCATTCAGGAAGAATTAACATTAGAATAGCGGATGCACAGAGAAAGGTCCGATAGCGAAAGCAGAATGTATGCGTAGTTGCCATCGTCCTCTTTTCTGTCAAGGACAAATATGAAACATTGAGATTCGGTTATGTTTAGTCTGGAATGGTTGTTCAAGACCGACAACAAGTTTGTTAGGGCATTGGGATTCTTCTCGAAACTTCAAAAAAATATATTATAGTACCAAACGATAACTTCCATACAAAACTTTTATGGGGGTATTCCTGCAATAAAAAACGAAAAAAAACCCCTTGAAGACCAATCCAATCTGTCTGAAACTTTGGGGAAAACTGGAGAAAATTATGGGAAACATATTGCCAAAATTTCTGGTCAAAAAATCCATTTCAAAAATTTGGGAGTACGATGAATTCGAACTTTCGCGAAATCGAACTCGTTCGAATTAGAACTGTCCCTTTTTCGAACACGCCCAGAACAGAACAAGAACGGAATCGAACTGCTATAAATTCGAACTGTGCGGTGTCGAACTGTCCCGGATTGGAACTCTGTTAGCAACAGGGCGCGCTTGCTTTTTTAAAATTGTTTTTGTCAACAAATTTTGCATGTTTTCTCCAGAAAATAACTTTTTTTCACTTATTTTGGATATTTTGCGAATTTCTCTTCCCGTTTCGAGAATATAAACTTTACAGAAAATGGCTTCTCGTAAAAACAAGCCGATCGTTCAAGTTCAAGGATATGCAATGCGTTTCAAAAAAATGAACAAAAATGGAACAGAGCTTTTTTACTGTGTCGAGCGGTAAAAAATTGCAGCATTACTATAAAACAATATTTTTTCCAGAGAAAGACGAGCTCGATGTGATGCAGCTTATCATTTCGACAGAATGAACAACACGTTCACTGTTAAAAATCAGCATGCGAGACACGACGAGGATTTTGTCAGAAGTGAAGTTAGTAGTGAAGTTAGCATACAAAGATGGATTGGAACGAGTTGAAACTAAATCCGAATTTCCAGGTCTGTTTCTACTCTTGAACACCTAAATTGATTTTTTACTACACTTCAGGTCAGTCGAAACAGAAAACTCACCAACGCATTGAAGGACGGGAGACTCATCAAGACGCTAATAAATCAGCCAATCCCGCCAATTATGCCTTTGACTGGTCTTAATTTATTAGACACCATCTCCGACGCCCATTATGTTTAAAAGTCATGAATTCTTTCTTTTTTAAACATATATTTTCTATTTTCAAATTGTTTTTTCCTCACTGTATTCAAATAAAAATGCTTTTTTTGTTGTAAAAATGATTTTTTTTCTGGAGAAAACTTGAAATTTTCAAAGGTAATGCAAGCGCGCCCTGTTGCTAACAGAGTTCCAATCCGGGACAGTTCGACACCGCACAGTTCGAATTTATAGCAGTTCGATTCCGTTCTTGTTCTGTTCTGGGCGTGTTCGAAAAAGGGACAGTTCTAATTCGAACGAGTTCGATTTCGGGACAGTTCGATTTCGCGAAAGTTCGAATTCATCGTACTCCCAAAAATTTGGCTGGAATTCAGATATTTTGACCCGAAATTTTTTTTGCAGGTTATCTGAATAACCGTATTAAGCTTAAAACAGTACAAATAGAAATCAGAACCTTCATTTTTTTTGTAATATAGCTCCCTCTGTTCAATTAATTTGGGAAAAATGGTAATCCAGCTCTCCTTTTTCGAATATTTATCTAAATCATCTATAACCGAAGTTCTGGTATAACTGGTAAAAATTTTTATAGTAATCCTGCAAAGGAATCTGGAAACAATTCCAGGTAATGAGTTGGATCCAAATCTACTTTCTACGTTTATTCCGGTTAACCTGAACAGTTTTCTTTAAGACTTTGTTTACTATCCTTTACTCGCTTTCTCGAAGACCTTAATGTTCATTCCACGTTTTCCGTCATATTTCCGAAACACCTGCGTTTTGAATCCACCTTAATTAGAAGTCCTACGTTCTTCCCCTACCTAGCAAAAATGGAAAATATTATCTCATGATAGAATGTTCTGAATAAGGAACGACGTACAATCTACACACTCCCCCACCCAACTCTCTATTCGACGACGTTCGCTAAGCCGTTCAGAAGACAACAAGAATTTTCGGGAAACGCAGAGAAAGTCCATTGTTGTGTGCTCTTCAAATGTCTGTAGCTCTCTTAGGGCCGTGTGTTCCCTCCTAGCAACATTGACCTAATTACGCAGAGAGGGGTGGAGTCTGATCGAGCGGAAGGAAGGGAGGGGCACCCACTGCCCAACTGAATACGCATTCGGTCCTCAAGACCTCTTCGCGAGTTGTGCGTTTCTTGCCTCTAGAGGCCTGAGAAATTCATAAATTTCTTCTATACTGGATTTTTCTTATGCGGAAAGAGTTTTGAATGAACCTTCTAGTTTAGCATTTCAGGTTCTTAGAAGATTTCTTTCAAGTTAAGTATGAAAGATGTATCATAATCACAAGGTACTTTCCCTCTATAAAAAAGCTAGATTAAATAGTTAGGAACATTCATCGTTATCGTTCTTATCTTTCGTGATAAATTATCTGACCAATCTTTCATATTTTTTGATAAACATCTTCAACATTCCAGAATGGGTCTATCCAACATAACCATCAATTTCCATGAGCCCGGTAAGGTTTATCTCCCAGGAGATAAAGTCGGTGTCACGGTCACAGTAGTGAACGACAAGCCTATGAAGGCTCGATCAGTGAAAATGATTATAGAGGGATTTTCTGAAACTGAAAAATTCCTTTCGTGGAACCATCATTTGGTGTACCGTCAGACTAAACTCCTTTGGGTCTCTGACAGTTCAAAGGTTGTTTTTTTTCGTTATTTTCAGTTCACTAATTGTTTTTTTTTTCAGAACCAGATGCCCGTCGGAACTTTCGATTACGAGTTCGTTTTCAAACTTCCCGACACTATTGCACCAACACTCAATATAAAAAACGGTCGGAACACTCACAGAGTGTCTGTGCAAGTCGACAGACCATGGCGTGAGATATCCCGCGTGGATAAGGAACTCACTGTGAGCAAGAATCTCGGCAAAGAATACCTACCGTGCTACAACAAGACTATGGTATGGGAGCAAAACATCCAGTCAGGACTCATTTTTTCTGATGGAACAATTCAGGCAAAAGTAAACGGTATATTGTGGATTAGAGTAGTAAAATGTTAATTTCAGTTTGTTACGCCGTCCCAAGTCTTCAAAGCTGGTCAGACATTCGACACTGAAGTCACACTCAACAACACCAGCGGAAACGCTATCAAATCGGTTCAATACACTTTGTTCCGACATACTCATTTTCACAAGAAGTGGCAGCCGACACCGTGTAGCAATAGCTATAAGTGCCATTTACACAACTCCGAACAATTTTTCACCTATGGAAGATACGGAAAAGGAGAGAAACACAAGACACCCGTGGCTCCATACACCGAGGGAAAGTTCAAGATTCCGTTCACCATACCAGCTGAAGCTACTACGCCGTCTTTCGCAAGTGGCATGATGACTCATGGATATCTCCTTGTTGCACACGTTCAAGTAAAGGGAGCAATCACTCTCAGCTCGTACCTTCGTATTTATATCGGAGACGTTGTGGAAAATGAGGACGTTCAAAGAAAAACTGAGAAGAGGGAGGTCGCTGAGAAGAAGACAACCAAGAAGGAGGAAATCACCGAAGAGGAAGAAGCGCCACCATCGTACAGCTCCTGCACTTGAATTCACTGATCATTGACAAAATTCGAAAGTTACCTCTTTAATTGTGAACATGATTTCTATCACGAAATTTTCTATACCACTATTTACCAAAAAAATATGTTAGTCTCAATTATAATAATCCCTTCTTCACATTTCGTTCTTCTTTTAAAATTTCCCAGAAAGCTCAAACATTTTTTATGCAATTAAAAATGTTTCTTAATAAACTTTTGTTGAGAAACCACCACATTTTAAGTCTATAAACTTTTTCTGTTCAAGATTAGCTTAGCAGAAGAAGTGAGAATGCGTTCATTAAATATCCCACAAGGAGGGATAATTGAGGGAATGAAGCGTCCTCAATAAATCTTGGTTCAAAATGTTGAAATTGCAAATGTACGATAGAGCGCATTACACAGCCTTCTGAACCGTCATCAAAAGAGACATTGTTGCTAAGCTATTTTTTCCACACGGAATGTTTTGTATTTTTCTATCTAAATAATGAGAACAACGAGAAATTAGTAGACAAACACCGTAAAGTCTGTAATTTCCACCCATAATGGAATGCCAGCATTTGATATACATAGTGCCACCCTAGAGCACCTTCGAAAAATATAATCCCGCCCCCTAATTGAATGACAGCCCCTATTATAATGTCACTGCTGATTTGAAGTCACTGTAGTGAAAGCTAATGAAGTTAATAATGCAAAAAAGGATTTTCTGATTTTTCTGATTTTTCAAGCTAAATAGAGGTACTGTATTAGTCAAAAAAAAACAGGATGATGCCAGGCTCTAAGAAAAAAAAACCAAAAAAAGAACAATAGAGTGCCATGGCTATCTAATAGAATTTTTACGATAACTTTAAACTTTGAGCCGATTTATCTCAATTACTGTTTAAGATATAAAAGATAGGTCAACTGATAAGTTGTTTATCATAATACCAAAAATATTTTATCAGTTGACAATTTTTTGATAGCTCTCATAGGAACCGAGATAATTGAGCTCAAACGTGAATATGCAGGGGCCCTTCCATTACAGGTTTTACGGTATTCTCATAAATGTTTATGTTTCCCTCAGATTGTCGAATTTCAACAACATGTTGAGTTCACTTCTAGACTCAATATGTCTTCCTATAACTCATCCAACCCACCATTTAGAGAAAATAAAACAGCTTTTTCACGAGTACTCGTGCATCTTGGATTCAATGTTTCACAAGAAAACTTTAGCAGGGTGGCCTGAAGAAGGTATGCAAGGTTTAGGTATTGAAAATGTTGCAAACAGAAATAAACAACATTCTCAAGTTAGAATTTATCCTTCAGAAAAAAAGAGTATCATTTCTGTTTCCTTTATTTGATTGACACAGCATGTCTCTGAAAATTATGACGTTGCCAAGAAATGTTCTATAGAATTGGATACACACATGTTCTTCGCGTCTAAAGACCTAAACCTCGTCTAATTTTCAAGAAGGTAAGATTACCGTAAACACTCTAATAGTAGGTCACCTAAACCTCTGATTTTGAGCTCAATCATCTCGATTCCTGTAAAAAATATCTAAAATGTAAATTATTCATCATAATTTAACCAATATTTTATTAGTTGACAAATTTTCGGCATCTTTCACAGGAATCGAGATAATCGATTGTGTTAGCGGTTTGAGTGGCCTCCTATAAGAGGGGTACAGAATTTCAGACCTGAATCACTTATTTGTACAAAGTTATGGCCAAAAAAAGATACATTTTTCTCAAAATTTTGTTTCATAACTTATGAAATAAAAGTGTTCCCGGGCTGAAATTCGGACCCGTACCTTAAAATTGAATTTAGAACATTTTTTAAACATTTTTTTCTCAATTTTTCAAAAGGCGAGGTTTATACCTTTCACTTGAATTTTTGACTAATCTAACAAAATGCAAACTTCAATTTTCATTCGAATTTCGTTGATTGCAATTGTGTACAGTGTCAAGTTCAACCTCCAATCCATTTTTCTAGATCTTTTTCGAATTTTTAAAATAATTATTCATATTTTCTTCCTTCTTTCTCTTAAAATTGTTTCCCATTTTCTATCTAACCCTTCCAGTTTTATTATAGAGACGAGAGTGTCGAAATGAAATTGAGCAAAATGAAATTGTTGTTGCTCCTGCTCTTGCCTCCTGGCTCATTTAATTATTTCTTGCCCATTTTTTCCTGACCCCAATGTTTTCAGATAGAAAGGCAGTTTTCAAAATCACCAAAAATCTTTTCTATTTTATAAAAAATCTCGAATTTCAACACAAATTTCCGGTTTCTCTTTAGTTTCTTTTTTGGTTGTTCCTGTTGAAAAAGAAATAGGCGCAAAAAAAGAGAACAAGAAGAGAGCACCTACTATTACTACACATAAGTAATATCAATTTATTTTCTCTATTCCCGGCTGTTGTCATATCCAATTTTTTTTGTGACCCCCATTTGTCTTGCTCTACTGAAATTGCATTTTTCTGTTTTTTTTTTGAAGGAAGAGTTGAAGCTCAAGAGTTAGTAGTAGTTCCTTAACCTGATTATGTGCTCATTCGACCGAGAACTTTTAATTAAGATACCGCCTAATGAGTTTTTTCGTTTAACGCTTGAAATAGCTTTCGAACTTTTGAGTGAGAGTCATGTGCCTCTAGATCAGCTGATAGAGTTTTTGACTTCATATATAAGAAGTATGTGAAGTTGAGAAATGTTATTTTCGTGTTTTTTATGCTCACGAAAACATTTTTTTTCAAAGTTCTTCTGTTTCGAAAATATATAGAACTATATCATCTCACTTTCCTATTGTTGTTCTCTCTATCTTGCTTTTCCGGATTTTGCAGATTTTTCAGAATGGCCTCGTGTCTGATCGAATTCGACAAAAACCCAATTGTATTCTCGCCTGGTGACAAAGTCAATGGAAATGTGAAAATGCAAATTTCGGATGAAGACTTCAAAGCGAGAAAAGTGAGGATGGAGATGATTGGAAAAGCATATACGTATTGGGAGGGTAATGTCAAGAATAATCACAAGATTAAGTAGGTTAAGAGAAGATGAATATTCTCAATTTTTTTTCTTATAGAAACAGTGGAGACATTGCTAGAGTCCGTCATAACTGTGCAGACCACAAAGGAAAGATTGTCTACTGTCGTTTTGAGACAATCGTCTGGAAAAGTGATGGATCGAAGGTGTTTCCTTTTTTGTTAATTTTTATTGTATTTGTTTATGTTTTAAGCACGAAATGCCATCTGGTGAACACATATTTCCGTTCTCCTTCCAACTTCCTCACTGGGCACCTCCAAGTTTCGAAGGTGAACTAATTTTGAATATCAAACACATAACTTTTTGTTTCCAGGTGATCTCGGATTTATCCGTTACTTCATCAAGGTTGAAATCGATAGACCATGGAAGTTTGATGATAAGTTTATCACCTGTTTCACAGTCCTCCCCAGCATTGATCTGTCATTGATTCCTAACTCACAACTTCCATCAAAGAAACATACTTGTGAAGAATTTGGAGCAGTTTTGTGGAAAGGTGGCCTGGTGAAAATGGAAATTCGTCTTCCAAAACAAGGCTATGTGTGTGGAGAGAGTATTCCAGTGAAGATTCTTGTTGATAACAAGACTTCAAAATCATTCAAGAAGGTAAGTTCCAAAGAGCCATAAAGAGACTGACGAGAGTGAACAGAGTGAGAAAGAGAATGAGATATAATACTGACTTGCGGCTTACTAAAATGATTTTGGGAGATTAATGGAAGCAAAGAGAGAAAAAAGACAACTAGAAAAGTTTCAGATCAGTCTGAAACTTCTTCAACGAATTACGTACACTGGATTTCGAGATGGATTCGTCAATTCTCAATCTCATCCTTGCATGGGGAACGAGAAGGAGAAAGTGACATATGCGACAAGATTGAATGCGCAGATTCGGGTGGAGGAACGGAAGATCCTGGAAGAAATTATGGTTAGTTACGGAAAAATGAGTGGTTGAAATTTATCCGATTGGGTTGGATTCTAAAAATCGAAATCTAAAAGTGAAGAATCTTAAAGAAAAAATAATTAAAAGTCAAATCACTTCTGACAGTTGAGAACATGGTTTTAATCTTTTCAAATTTTTCTGAAATTATTAAGATGGGCCAGAGCTACCGTAAACACTGTAGCAGACCGTAAACTTTAAAGTCATATATCTCGGTTCTTGTGAAAAACATCAAAATTTTGTCAGTTGATAAAGTATTCATCATGATATCAAATACATTTTATCAGTTGATAACTTTTTAGTATCTCTCACCAAAAAACGAGATATATGAGCTTGAAGTTGACGGTCTACGGTATACTCTTATTCCAATTTTGTCTGAAAATGTTGTCTGAAAATTTCCAGGATGTTCGAATCGAGAAAAACGACAAGATAGATATGGAGAAGGCAATAATTGTTCCACCACTTCCACCATCCACTAAAACCTGTGAGATAATTGATGTTGAGTACTTTTTGAAAGCCAAAATGAGCACACTGGGAACATTGAAAAGTGCAGTGAAGCTGGAATTGCCGTTCATAATTGGCACTGTGCCAACTGATAAAGGTAATTGAAACAAAACTTTTTAGTAAACCACTAATTTCAGATCGAAGTTTTGACTACAAAAAGTCAGTGTTTGGATATGCTGCGACTTCCCTGAAGAATCGAGATGTCCAGGTTAGATTTTCAAAAAAATAAACGCGAAGCTTAATATTTTTAGAAGTACGCTCCATTGTACCCGGTCTACAAGTTTATTTGATTATCATTTTTCGAAGCTTCGATACGAATTTCAAATCTGATATCCTACTAATTGTGATAAAACTAACAATACTGAATATAACAATCGATTGCTGCTGATTTTATAAATATTTATTTTTCCGAATCCCAAAGAAAACAGTTCAGGACAAGTTAGTCTTATTATTAGCTGCACTCCATCGATTTGTCACAAACTTTGCTGTTTTTCCTTTGCTAACTTTATTGGTTTGTTTTTCGATATCAAATATTCTTTTTGGAAATTTCGGCAGACGATCAAGCTCCAAATTACGGCTCAAACAGTCCACTGCGAGCTCTGAAATTGAAGGTTATAAAATGTTAAAAAATATAGTAAAGTTATCTCTGAAATTAAAAAATTAGCTCTGAAATTTGAAAATGATATTTTCTATTTTTAAAAAAATAGATCTAGCGAAACTCACCATATCTAGTAGCCTCATTTGGATTACTGAGAACTGTGTGAAGAGGGAATAGGTCCAGAATATAAGAATCAAGGTCCTCTAAAGGCAATTTAGTCATACCAATAATTGTTGCAGATTTTATATTGGAAATGTCAGAGAGAAAGGTTCGGAGAAGCATCTAAATAACAACAATCGTTTTCAAAAGTCTTCCTGACCGACCTGTCTATGAGTGTATCCCTTATTTTTTGGATCTTTTCTCAACACATCAATTCTATCAACACTTATCAAAATTCTTCTTTCAATCTTTGCCAATTTCTTGATTACTGTGTAAATTCTCCGTTTGCCCATATTCACCACATTTTTAGAAATATGCACATGAGTTATATGAGAAGCACGAGCAGTTGCTCTTGCCCATGTTGTTTTTCCTGAATCAGGAGCACCGGACATCAGGAGCCAACGACAACCAACTTTTGTGTCCTTGGGTTTGTGCCACGTGGCAAGAGACAATGGAATACAAATGGTGAGAGTTAGGAAGGTTCGAAGATCAAAAAGAAAAAGACGACCTTCGATTTTACAAATCTCCCGTTGAGATATCAGCTCAGACAACTCAGTTTGAGAATTTGGAGAAACAATTCCACGAAAGCATGCGTCCCGGTATACAGTATCCGGATTTGTCTGTGTTGGAAGTTTTGTGTTTTTCGAAGGATCCGGAAGTTCAGAAGTGGCGAAGAAGAAGTCGGTTTTCAGAAGTTCCAATGCGGTTTCCAAATCACCTGGCTGCAAGAATTCGTTTATTTTTAAACACGCCTCAAAAATAGATTTCTCACAAACTCTTCCACTTGCTCTATTCTTTCCCCTTCACCAACGGCACTTGCTTTTTGCTTCCTATCCCTCTCCGTACACCTCTTCCGGATATAACTTTCAGGCGTCATATTTAAAATGTTGAGTTCTCGCTCACGCATTTCACGAACCCATTTCCGGGCAAAGTATCCACGGGTGCGCTAAAAATTCTGTCATCATTGGAATTTGAATGTCTGATTAGAAAATAAATTCAGCTCACTCACGGCTTGAATTCTGATAGCTGCTTGAGTTGCATCAATCTCAACTTTCTGTCCATGGAGCTCAGCGGCACGCTCTCGAACAAATCGAACGTAGTTTCTTCTTGAGATCGCTTGGTATTCTGAAAAACAAGTTACTAACCTCAGTTTAAAATTCTACTCACTTCTCTCTAACTTCTGAATGATCAGAACTGCATCTTCGATTGACAACAACTGGGTTTCTTGGTCCGCTTCGTGATCCTCAAAGTCTATATCAAAATCAGTTTGAGTCTTCAAAAATGACTCTCTGAACGCCTTCTGTTCCTGACATGACTTCTTCACTTCCAAGAGATGCTCGTGATGACTTATTGCCGCATTGTTTATTATTCTCCAAGTGGCAGAGAGTGAAACGTCATATTCAGTGAGATTATGAGAGATGAAGAATTTGTTAAAACCATCTTCAATTTGTTGTTGCGGAAGTTTAGTAAATACAGTATCGAAGAACGAAGAAAGACATTTTGCCGCAACTGAAAAAAAATACCATTCTAGTAAAATAAACTTTTACAGACCTAGAAGACACTTCAAATTTGTCTGCGATCCTTCAATCGAAACCATTCTGTCAGCTGTTTTGTACATATTTATTAAATTGATATAAATATCGAAAATCAGGTCTCGACAAGTCCCTACTGCCAATTTAGTTATCATACGGGTCTGGAAAGTAACATTTCTGGATCAAATTAAAAATAGGCATACTTTTGGTGCATTTTCGCCTCTGGTCAATTTTTTGAATTGTTTGCTCAAAGTAATTATTACATTCAGAAGTTTTTCTTTAGTAAGATGAGTAGAATAAAACTGGATGGTAGCTGGTGAAGAACTCATGAAGCGTCTTGACAGAAAGAATGAGGTCAGCGGTTTTAGGAGAATACGCAATCAAGTGGAAACAATTTCTGTGGATGGAGTCACTGCCGGATCTAGACTACAAGCAGCTTGGCATCGCTACATTTAGGTTTCGGAGTATCATTTTTTCGAGAGGAAAAAGTAGTTTTGATAATTTTTATTAAAATCAGTTATCAATCAGTATCAGTTATATCAATCATCCCATTTTCGATTTGGGTCCTCGACTGCTGACAAGCATGCTTCTTGTCGACGCGTTTTTAGATGTTCCACGTGCTCGAATCGTCACTTCACGAATGGCAGGTTTCAGAATGTCAAACGAGATTATGAGCCTCTCATCAACAATCATCACTCCTGCATTGTTGTCGAATTCTCCACAATATTTTGGGGCCGAGAAGATTGTCACAAGTCGTTTGCCAGCGAAGAACTCGTAGCCGTCTTGAACCACCTGGAATAAAAATTATGATTTTTTAAGTATTAAGAACTTTAGTACCTGATGTCCTCTGGCAATTAAATCAATGTTCATCTTGTCCGTAAAATCCTTGACGACATCAGCACCAAAAATATAAGAAACACCTCGAGAGTTCTTTGCCCATCCGTTCATATTGTTCTCCGGATCTGCCCAAAGAAGATCCATGGCGATTGATTTGTTTGGTGGATCGAAAGGACGCTTGATGGCGGCGAGCTGCTTCCACGACTCCAGTTGAGGACTCAGACCTCCGTGCATACAGAAAATACGCCCAGAAATCATGGCACACAAGGGGAGACCGTTGAAGAGGTCCTGAAAAAGTAAAACTTTTTAAAGTTTAATTTAGGATTCTAATTTTCTGATTACCTGAAAAGCGTTGTACAAACTCAACGAGTATCGTCTCTTGCATTCATCGTAAAATCCATACGTTCGATTGATGGATGCACACTCGTGGTTTCCACGAAGAATGAAGAAGGTGTTACGGTATCGAATTTTGTAGGCCATCAGAAGACATATCACTTCAAGTTGTTGACGTCCACGATCCACGTAGTCACCGAGGAACAGGTAGTTTTGATCTGGTGGGAAGTTGCAGCGATTGAAGATTCGGAGCAAATCGACGTATTGACCGTGGATGTCGCCGCAGACTGCGATTGGTGCCTGCACCTCGACCATTGTCGCCTGCTCCAGAATAATCTGCGTGCACATTTGGATGACATCGTCGATCTCCGCTTCTTTGATACAATGTGTCAGAGAGGGGTTCGCCGTGTCATTGACTGAAATATTACGGTTTCAAAAGTCCGATTACCTATAATTCTAACCTGATAAGAGTCGATCGATAAAGCTGGGGATGTTTGCCATCGTTTAGAGGGGTTAGTAGAGTTAGTAGAGGGTAGTTAGTCAGTTAGGGTTAGTTAATTACAAAATGATCAGATTATCGATCGATCCGTGGACATCGACAAAAAAGGAAAAAAATAGATTAAATTTTAAGATAAGTAAGTACATCACGGGATATTTCTGTTTGAATTTAATTTTTGGGGGCTGAAAATGAATGGATAACCAGGTTAATCGTAAAAAATCGCTCTGATCTTTTTTGACACAATGAGAGTATCTCAAAATGTTGCTCCAACGTTCGCACAAAATCCCATAAAAGAAAATTGATCTTGATTTACACGCTTTGCTTCCGTACAAAAAAATGTGCTTATTTTCGAACATTGAAACTTTTAGCTATATTTTCTGGTACTGTGATCCAAATTACATTTATTTCTTTTTCATTTCCAAATATTAACCATGATAATCAGTTAGAATACAAGATACCATAAAATTTTTAATAGAATGGCCCTCCACACTGTCAAGTTTGAGCTCAATTACCGTATTACCTCTAAAAGAAGCCCACCTCTATTTGAAGCCCACCTCTAATATAAGCCCACCCTGGCTGTGTATTTTTCTTTTCGGTTAGTGCAGACATACTCTTTTTTGTTTATTTTTCTGGTAATTTACGTTAATTATTGTCGTTTCATAATTATTCCAGTTCAGTTAATAACCGAAAACCCTCCAATTTGAGAATTTTCTTCAATATTAGTCCACCCCCAGAAGAAGGTTGAAAAATAGGAGACCATGGAGCTCTATTAGAGAGAAAGTGCGGTATTTCTATAAGAGATATCAAGAATATGTCAACTAATAAAATGCGTGTGATATTACGATAAGCAATTTATTAGTTGACAACTTTTTTATATCTTCGACAAGAACTGAGATAATTTGACTCAAACTTTAAAGATAGGAGGTCCTTCTATTACAGGTTTTACGGTAATCAGTTTTATACCTTGCCAAAAGATTTCGGAAGAAATCAAATTGATTACTTCAAAGAAATTATTCGTGGTCGATGTACTTCATTTCCTCATTGCGTAACCCTCATCATTATTTCTCCAAATGTACACACACTGTCCGTCTTTCACAAGTTTGAAGTACATGTCCACAAGTGGTGGCTCGGTGTGATCTGACAGGACACCGACACATAACGAGAAGATATCATATTTCAATCTGGCATGCTATCTTTGGGTTATTTCAAAGAGAAAAGATGGAGAGGTATGGTGGACCACTTGACATTCATGTTCGTGTGCTAATCACCATTGTGCACATCCGGGGAGCCTCTTCAGAAAAAACAAGGCGGCATGAAGAAAATACCGACAAATGAAGGAGAAGTGGAGATAGGCTTACGAATTTACATAACAATCATTGGAGTGAGAAGCAGATGTATGGTCAACATATGCGAGCAATTAGGAATTAGAATAATGTTTGAAACTGATTTTCATCTGGGAAGATTGGCCCAGTTGAGAGTGGTATTTTTGTAGAACTCGATTATTATAATTTTGCAAATATTTGAAATCCATTGCAATATTTAGTCTTTTATTCTTGAAGTTTTCGAATGTTTGTGAAAGGACTTTTCAGAAAAAAACATATTTCAAAGCTAAATGAACTAACAAAAAATCTGTAATAGAAGGTCTTTTTAACTTTTGAATCTGAGCCAATATTTCTCGGTTCCTGTCAGAGGTATAAAAAAGTTGTCAACTGATCAATTTTTCGTCATAATATCAGGAACATTTTATCAGGTGACATATTTTGATATCTTGTATAGGAATTGAGATAATGGAGCTCAAACTGGATAGTGCGGAGGCCTTTCTATTACAGGTTTTACGGTAATCCAAATACTTTTTCCTATATCCATGTATTTTTCCATTTAAAAACAGCGGTTTTCAATAATTAATTATAACTGTAGCCAGATAGTCAAAACGAATGAGTACTATATGTTCATTGTCCATTTCAAATTTTTACTTTGAAAAAGAGTCACTCTTCTTTTAGACAACGGATCTTTCAAAAAAAAAAAACAGACAGTTTACTTTCAGCCATTTCCTTCTCTCAACGTATTCATAAAAGCAAATAGAATCCCTATCATAATTTGACCTATCAAGCACTTGTTCCGATTTCTACCCTTCTTAACCTCATAATCTCTAACACATTGTCTTTTGACATCACTTCATTACACAACTCCTCCTCCCCGCCCTTCACACCCTCTTTTTACCGTACACAATTCCCGATGCCCCTCTAGACTGTAAAGGAAGCCGCATGTATTCAACAAGAGGATAGGATTACTGTGTAGAAAAGGGGGCGGTATCTAGGGAATAAGCTGAGATGAGCTAAAGCTCAATCAATCTCAAAACCAAATGGCTTCACAGCAACCGCTCTCTCAAGAGCAACTTCTCCATTTTTGGGGTGAGTTAGGGTTACTAATTTGGTTTCTCAGTTTTGTAAATTATAATTCTAGGTGCTCACAACACTATTGGCAAGATGACCCGCAGAACTTCACAACATGAATCTGCCGTGAAGCATTCGAGTAACAACTCGAGTGGTGGAGCAGGTACAAAACCAAAGGTCAGTATAAATAATTATCAAGTTTTTTCGAAATGTTATTCTCGATTTTTGTTTTCAGGTTGCAACACCACAAGTAGTCGCAAAAATCGAACAGTATAAACGGGACAATCCTACAATTTTTGCATGGGAAATACGAGAAAAACTTATAAATGAAGGTTTGTCGAAATTTAGAAACTTTAAAGTTTTCTCGTTATTTGAGTCATACCCAACACCTTATACCACGCCTCCGTATTAACAATTTGGAGCTGAATAAGTTGGTTCCTGAAAACATTTGAGAATATGTAATTTTTCCGTCGTGATTTTTCTAGTCTCTCAAAAGTTGTTGCACTTCGAATTATTTATGTAATCTAAAATCTAGTATGTTTATAGAAGTCTGTACCACTCCACCATCAGTATCTTCCATCAACCGTATTCTTCGTACACGTGCTGCCGAACGAGCAGCTGAAGAGCTTCAAATGATTTTATCAGCTCAACACATCGCTCGGCCCCAAATACGTCCACAAGAAGTTCGTCTTCCTCCACCGTTTCCATTTCCTCTGCCACTCGTTTGGCCTGGTCTTCTACCGAACCCTGCTCAACTATCATTTCTTTTAAACTCACGAGCACTCGCCCCAAATCTTCAATCTGGAGTAGGCGTGCCTGGAAACACGCCAGGATCGTCTGGACAGTTATCCATCGATTCTAATCCAAGTTTGTCGGAAGACGATTCCGTACTTGGCGCTAATTCAAGAAGATTGTCAAGAAGCACTTTTAGCAACGGTTAGTTTTTGTTTAAATACATATTTGTATCTGTTAATTTCCTATTTTAAGATCAACTTCAATCACTGGAAGAAGTATTTCTCCGTGAGCCCTATCCATCACAAACCGAACGAGCAGATCTTGTGAAGCGGACCGGATTACCAGAAGCTCGAATCCAAGTTTGGTTCTCAAATCGTCGAGCGAAATGGAGAAAGACAAATGCAAACGATCGAGACGAGTTGAAAGCGGAACGATCAGAAACTGATGATGCCATGAGCAATTGTAGTCAAAGCCCATCTCCAGGGGGTCAAGGATCAAGTAGTGAAGAGAAGAGGAAGGCATTCACTTTATTTAAACCATATGAATAATTTATTTTTGTATGCTACACAGTCTGAAATAAATAAATCTTCAAGAAATAGTTTTGACTTTAAAAGTTGGCCTATGAGACAGAACTGTCCTTCTGAACTGCCGTAAACACTCTGATAGATGGCCACCCAAACCGCCAACTTTGAGCACATATATCTCGGTTTCTGTATAGGATATCAAAAAGTAGTCAACTGACAAAATATTTGTTATATTATGAGGCGTATCTTGTCGGTTGGCAATTTTTTTATATCTTTCACAGAAATCGAGATAGATGGACTCAAAGTTTCCAGAGTGTTTATGGTAATTCAAGTTTCAGACGCCTCTTATAAATATGCTTATTTTCCCAGACCCCACATGGAGGGATACTGTAGTTTGTCTTCCTACACTATTGTGCAAACAATTGCTCAGATCAAAAGAGAGCATCTATCCTTCTCTGAATATCCATTTCTCAACACACATTTGTATCTGAGACCAAGCGGCCGATATTTCTCACAACATGTATACATATATTTGCAACTAATACCGTATCTCTTCTAACTCTTTTTACAGGTGTCATGTTTCAAATAATGTGCGCGAGCGGTGCGCGAGCAAGTGATACTCTTTGCGTGTAAAGGATCGGATAGGATCTCAACAAATCTCATACCGCCCGTTTCTTTCTTTAATGTTTGTTTGTTCTCATTAGGGGACAGTAAAAGAAGAAGAAGGTGAGATGAACAGTAGGCTGTCAATAAGACATCTGTTCCAAGAATAACTCATTTATTGTACACCAACAAATAAATATTACAAAAAATGAACAGGAAATTACAAGAGATCCTTTCTAGGTTCCAATTTAACTATGACATTTTCAGGAGATAGCGTTAATTTACCGACAAGTTTCAATGGAATCTGTGTATTTTTGCATGTTCTGAACGAGTATTCTTTAAGAATTTGAGCCAGAATAATTTTCTGTTCAATTTGAGCAAGCCGCATTCCAATACATTGCCGTGGCCCTGAACCAAATGGAATGTAGGATCCATTGTGTTCCAGGTGTTCGCAGGCAGAGTTTTCCCATCTGAAATTAAAATTTTTGATTTGCTATTTCTCAAAAGGTTTCACTATTTCCTTCTGTCATGGTTAGAGTATTTACCTTTCAGGCTTGAAGTCTTCGACATCATCTCCCCAAATGCTTTTGTTATGATGAAGTGTCCACGTATCAACTTGAATATTCATTCCCTCTTCAAATATAACGCCATCGATTACTGTCTCACGCATACATTTCCTTGTGTTGGCTCTGAAAACGCTTACAATTTGCTTTGGAAACAAGCCGAATTCCCAAACTTACGTCACACCCAATGGATACAACCTCAATGCTTCTTTCATCACACACTCCATATATTTTAGTTTTGATAGTTGATCAAAACTAATTTCAGGATCCGGGCATTCGTTATCCACTTCTTCTTGAAGCCTTTTTTGTACATCGGGATGCGTTGCTAATAGAAACGTGGCGTATGAAAGAGACAATGCGGTAGTATCAAATCCAGCAGCCAGAAATACAAAGCATTGTCCTACGATTTCATCAAAAGTCAGTTCTTTGTTAACTTTCATCACTGCCGTTTTCGAGAAGTCCTCGTTTTTCTCTCCCAGGAAGTCAGCATCAGTTCTGGCATCCAAAAATAAGTCAATGAAATCTTGAGGCTCTCCTGGTTCGATTCCATTCTTGATATCACTTTCCCGCTGGGCCATTCGTGCTTCTACAGCAGTCTCAATAAGGTCAAATATTTTAAAAGCTGGCACAAAATCAGCAGGTAGAGATTTCGACATTTTTCGGATAACGGAGGCAAGTGGCGGGAAAAGTCCGGTGAGAAGGAATAAGTGCCAGGAACCGTTGAAAATCTTAAAAACAACTTTGAATTTGAAATTTTTTTGATATAAACTCACAGATTTGACTTTCAGTAGTAATGGATTTTGGAACATTTTGGATTCAGATTGTCCCAGAGCAATACGACTGATAACTCCAAGTGTGTATTCCTGGTAGAATCTGGAATTAGACCTGATTTCTAAAACATTTCAATCGAGACAGAACTCACAAAAGCATATCAATCTCTTCGCCAGTTGCTACTTTTCTTTCGATGTTCCACAATATTTCCGATCCACACTCTTGTACAGTACTTTTAACTTTTCTCAAACTGTTGTTAGAGAAAGAAGGACTTGACATCGTTCTCAAACGTTTCCACCGTTTTCCCTGTGCTGCAAACATGTTCACTCTTTTGTCTTTTTCTGGATCACCAATGATTGGACGGAGTTTTCTTCCATAAAAGTTATCGAACTGTTTGTTGAATATTTCATTAACCATTTCGGGCTCAGAAATCACCATTGTTTGTTGAGGACCTTCTGTGAATCCCCAAACAGGCCCGTATTGCTGAATTTTGAACATTTTCTACGAAAAAGTGAAAAAGTTTCTTACCTTTGTCCACTGCCTGTATTTTAAAAACGGTGGATTCTCATGGTCGAGAGTCTGCAGCAGCATCCCAATACCAGGGAATCCACGTGGCCCTTTGATTCCTTTTCGAATAAAATATGACCAGATCCATACAGAATAGGTGAAAACACCTAGTAAAATAGCGGAAATTAGTACTAAAATCATTTGAAGGTTAAAAAAAACAGAATTGACTTCGCTCTTGTTTGACTTCCCTTTATAACTGAAGAGAGAGGAACAGAACACAATTGATCACAAACAACAAAAACTGACACGATAGGTAAAAAAAATATTGAGAGGTGGAAGACAAAGAATGCATGGAAATAAGGTCATTAAAAAACTGGAAAGGTTCCAGACATAATCAAAGTTGAAAAAATAATACTTTATTAGATTAACTTTCCAAAATAATGAAAGGAAAAAACTTCCGGAAATTGAGTCAATTATTAGTTGGTTCCACAGAAAGAATCAAACTCTGGGGTCTGGAAGTCTTGGTTCCACAGAAAGAATCAAACTCTGGGGTCTGGAAGTAGCACGTCCGACAAGTTTCATTGGTACCTGTGTTTGGGTATTGGCAACAAAACTGTACTTCCGGAGGACGTGGGCAAGCAAAACTTTTTGTTCCAGGTAAGCCAAGCGCACTCCAAGGCATACGCGGGGTCCCGCACCGAAAGCCATAAAAGACTGGTGAGGGTTCAAAGGAGACTCCCATCTGGAAAAATTAAAATTCTGATTTTTTATATAATTTCAAACTTTATGACTCACCTCTCTGGTTTAAACTCATCAGCATCCTCGCCCCAAACTTTTTTATCGTGGTGAAGCGTCCAGGTGTCCACGAGAATGTCCACGCCTTCTTCAACGACAGTATCTCCAATCTTGGTAGTTCTCATGCAACGACGCGAGTTTGCACTGAAATTATATATTTTACAAAGTTTTAAAATACTAACTTACAAAGCTGCCATTGGGAAAACTCTCAATGCTTCCTTGATTGTGTTCTCCATATATTTCAACTTGGATAATTGTTCAAAAGTGATTTCAGAATCTCGACATTCTCTATCCACTTCTTCCTGCAGTTTTCTTTGAACTCTTGGGTTCAGTGATAGGAAATAGGCAACGTAGGAAAGGGAAATAGCAGTGGTGTCAAAGCCAGCCACCACAAACAAAAAGCAATTGGTGATGATTTCTTGCATGGTCAACTTGCGATTGTTCTGAAAGAAAATCATAAAAGATCAGGCTAATATGTTTTTAAAGGCGTACATAAATAGTTGATTTTTGATACTCATCATTAGTCTCTCCAAAGAAGTCCACATCAGCTTGAGCATCCAAAAAGAAATCGATGAAATCTTGTGGCTCTCCTGGTTCCATTTCTTGTTGTCTATCCGCTTCTCGTTGAGCAATTCTGTCATTAACAGCATCAGTTACTTGTTTTTGGACACGAATAAATGGACCGGCTCCGAATTTTCCTAATTTCAAGAATAGATATCTGAGCCCCTTGACAGCAAATGGGAAAGCTCCACTGAACATCCAAACTGGCCACCGGCTGTTTTCAAAGAACTGAAATTGTCATTTGTGATGAAAATTTAAAAGTTGAAACACTTACTCCTTTACAATCATACAACATAGGGTTTTTGAACATTCTAGATTCTGGCTGACCCATTGCAATTCTCATGATTACATCCATAGTGTACTCTTGGAAGTATCTGAAATTTGACAACTTTTTTTCAGCTGATAATATTTTCTTGAATCATACAAATGCATATTGACAGGCTTCCCATTTTCCCCGTTCTGTTCCAAGTGTTTCAGAAACTCTTGAACACTATTCTCAATGCGAGGCATCACTTTTTTGATGCTGCTGTTGGTGAAAGCTGGCGCTGAAATTGTCCGTAGTCGCTTCCATCTGAATCCCTGAGCTCCAACAAGTGGAACATCCTTATCCTTATCCGGATCTCCTTGAATTGGATTCACTTTTCTCCCAAAAAAGTTGTCATACTGCTTCACGAAAACTTCCTGAACCATATCGGGATCCGAAATCACCATAACTTTCTGCATTCCTTCTGTGAATCCATAAACCTTTCCATACTTCTTGGTCCACTCTTGAATTAAAAGAGGTGGAGCACTTCTATCGTCTAACATGACTCCAGACTTCCCCAAAATCGGAATGCCCCATGGTCCAGGAACTCCACGTCGTTTCCAGAATGTCCAGTGGTAAATATAGTAGGTGGAAATCGCAACGAAGATTAGAAAGAAAAACATTTTGAAGCTCTAAAGTTTATAAAGCTGTGGTGGAAAAATCTTGAATGCATTTCTCTGAAAAATGTTTCCTTTGTTTTTATACACCACCAAGTCAGACACAAACCAAATTATTTGCACGGAAAAAATCCCTTTGCATCTTTTCCACACTCTCTTACCCTAACAGTCTCTAACTTATTGATGATGCGAAGTTAAGTGATAAGAGAGTTTTGGAACAAAATAAGGGAGGCTTTGGTCTTATCAAACAATATGGTTTGAAACTTGTGATTTGAGTGGACCGTTCTGTCAGAGGAAAAGTAGTGATCTACTAATATCTTTTGATCTACTCATGCAAAATGGACTAATTTCGAATTATCAACAGTCCCTGAGTTTAAATAAAGTTTGAATTCCTCGACTTCCTAAACAACATAATACGATTTCATATATCCACAATTTTTTTTTTAATTTCAAGGAAATTCATTTGGATTGGATCAAAGATTTTTCTCCTTTTTCAAAGCTCAAAGCTCGTTAAGATAGAGCAAATTTGCATTTATCGTGAAACCTGTAATAGAAGGGCTCCCACACAGTCGAGCTTGAGCTCAATTATCTCAATTTCGAGAAACCGAAATTGAGACAACTGACAAAACGTTATCATGTCATTTTATAGAACTTTACAAGCTCTACGTTTTCCTCTTTGAATAAAACAAAACTATCCGTTTTGACGCTAGTATGAGTAGGCGAAGATACGAGATGGTGCATCGACTTCATTTCGGACGTTTTGGACGCCCACACACTGTCAGTTTTAAGCTCAATTATCTCGATTCCGGTTCAAGATATCGAAAATGTGTCAACCGACAGAACACTTTTGATATTATGATGAACAATTTATCAGTTGAGCACTTTTATATATTTTTGCCAGGTAACGATAAAATTCAGCTCCAAGTCCAAGTTAGGAGTCGTTCTAATACAGGTTTTACAATATCTTTCTTCATTGCTTGGGTATAACTTACTACCCATCTGACAGCACTCAAACTTCAAGCAATCTGCCTCTGTTTATAAAAAAATTTTTGATTGTATAGTTGTAGAATTAGAAAATTTCGTTTTAGAAAAATTGTATTAAACCACTTGTAATTATTCATCATTTTTGATTTCACTGGAGCCATTGGGAACGTCGTGGAGGACTCGAACCAAGACTGTATTCTGAGAGTGTAAATTGCAAAGTATTCTGGAGATTATTTTTGCTTTTGCTTATAGAAAATGGGTAGAGGTAAGTCTAAAGTGTATTGTTCCCAATCCACTGATTCAACAAGAAAGTCAAAAAATACCCTTAGATGGTTGCGAGACCACAAACCAAAAAAGCAATAGACAACAAAAAACGAAAAGACGCAGTGAATCAGGCAGGAAAAAATTCTGACTGAAATGTGATTTCTGTTGAATTCGCATTGAGAGATAAGAAATGGGGTGGCAGTATAAATAAAAGCAACCGAAAAGAAGAAAAGACCACAAACAATATTGTTATTGAGTTTTTTCTACTTAACTGTAACAACTGAAGACTGATTTTGAAGATGATAAATATATACTTGGCTATAATAACTGCGGTCGTCGGAGTTCTTAGGTGAGTCTCTTTTTTATATGGCGTGTATTTTTAGTTTTCTTATTTTCAGCTACTACCTCTGGACATGGACCTACTGGAGACGTCGTGGGATTTCTGGACCACCCGGCTACCCACTCATTGGGTGCGCTTTGGAAATGCTTGATTCTGAGAATCCACCATACCTCCAGTTGAAGGAATGGACCAAAGAATATGGAAAGGTTTATGGGATCACCGAGGGAATGATGAAGATTTTGGTTATTTCCGATCCCGCATTAGTCGAAGAAGTATTTGTAAAACAGTACGATAACTTTTACGGGAGAAAGTTATATCCGATTCAAGGCGACCCGAATAAGGACAAGTTGGTTAATTTGTTTGCTTCACAAGGTCACCGATGGAAGAGATTGAGAACTATTTCAAGTCCAACGTTTTCCAACAATAGTTTGAGGTGAGCAACTTGACGATTTGCTAGCAACAAGATCATAATTGTTTTAGAAAACTTAAAACCACCGTCGAAGATTGTGCATTGGAATTGTTAAGACACATAGAAACACAGACTGCTGGAGGGAAACCAATTGACTTGTTGACGTAATTTTTCTAGGGTAAAAAAAGAAATTTACTATTAGAAATTTCAGATTCTACCAAGAGTTCACTCTGGACGTTATTGGTCGTATTGCTATGGGTCAAACCGACTCGCAAATGTTCCAAAATCCAATGCTGAAATACGTTAAAGCAGTTTTCGGAGAGCCAAGAAAGTTTATTTTCCTAAGTGGTGCAATCGTTCCATGGACTGGACCTCTCCTTCGAAAATTCTTCATGTCACTTCCTAACATTTTCAAAAATCCAGCTATTCATATCATTCGACAAGTAGCTCAAGCAGTGGAGAACAGAATCGCTCAGCGTGCTACAGATGAGAAGGCTGGAATTGAACCAGGAGAACCACAAGACTTTATTGATTTATTCCTAGATGCTAAATCAGATGACGTCGAGATTGAGAATAATGAAGACTTCACAAAGGCTGGAATAAAAGTGACCAGGCAGTTAACAAAAGATGAAATCGTCGGACAATGTTTTGTTTTCTTGATAGCCGGATTTGACACAACAGCACTGTCTCTCTCATATTCTTCCTTCCTTCTGGCCACGCATCCAGAGGTTCAGAAAAAACTACAAGAAGAAATCGATAGAGAGTGTCCAGATCCAGAGATCACTTTTGATCAATTATCAAAGCTCAAATATTTGGAATGTGTGGTCAAGGAGACTTTGAGAAAATATCCTCTAGGAGCAATGTGAGTTCCCTATTCTTTGTCAAAAAAATACTTATTATTTTTCAGGGCAAACGCTCGTCGCTGTATGCGTTCCACCAAAATCGGAAACTATGAAATAGAGGAAGGCATTGATATCTTATGTGACACATGGACACTTCATGCAGATAAGAACATTTGGGGAGAGGATGCAAAGGAGTTTAAGCCAGAAAGGTACTGATGTTACGTAGTCACAGAAATACAACTATGTATTTCAGATGGGAGAGTGGAGACGAACAATTTTTCCAAAAAGGAGGATACATTCCATTCGGATTGGGACCTCGCCAATGCATCGGAATGCGTTTGGCTTATATGGAAGAGAAGCTTCTCCTTTGTCATATCCTTCGAAAGTATACGTTGGAAACTTGCAGCAAAACTCAAATTCCTTTGAAGTTGATTGGCTCGAGAACCACGTCTCCAGAAACTGTTTGGTTGAATTTGAAACCGAGAGAAGATATTTAAAAATATTGGTTTTTTGTGTATTCATTTCAGTTGGATCTCTTTTTGTGTAAATAAATATTTATCATGTTTCCATGTCAAATCTTATTATTAAATCTGATTTTTATTAAAGCGATTTTGAGTTTTGAAGAAAATCTCAATTTTTAGAGCGAATTGATCGTAACATTTATTTCGAAATATATCAGTTTGGCACTTCACAAGAGCACCACAAAACATATTGGTACAAATCACATATTTCCTCGAATATCCTTTCCTCGAATATCCTTTCAAAATAAATTTGAATGCAGCTGAATTCTTCTAATTCTTATTTCTAACCGAATTCATTGCGAAACCATGTGTTTTGTGCCGACGTGCTTTGTGTCCGTATGTTTCTCCTTTTCTCTGTATGTCTATTTCTCCACACTCATTTGCTCCCTATAAAACAAGAACAAATGGATAGCGTTTTGTTCGGATTTTATATTTTTTATTAATTTTTCTATTCAGGTTCAATGGGAGGTTTTCTATCTCATCTGAAGCCGGAGAAAAGTGTTGAAGTGCTCAATGCAACCTGCGGTCCTGTAAGAGGGAACATCTACAGACATGTAAGTATTTATGGAAGTATTTGAATCGTGTTTAATTCAGGATGAAAAAGTTGTAAATGGCTACCTTGGAATCCCATATGCACAGTCATCTGCTAAAGAAAAGAGATTCAAAAAACCATTGCCTGTAGATACATGGACAGATCCACTAGATTGTTACAAGTATGGTCCGATTTGTCCTCAATCTGGAGACAAAATCTCGACGGTGATTTTTTCTAATATCTCGTGTCATTCTCTGAAATTTTCATTTTATAGCTCTTGCCCCCCGGATATCGCGACATTGATGAAGCTCGTGGCTTGAACTTGAACGTCTTTGCTCCCAGCTGGAAATCGGAAGAGTTTGTGAGTTTTTTTCAAATACTGATCAAAGATGGTCACAAGGATGGTAATTCCAGAAAGATGGTTTCCCAGTAATGGTGTATTTTCATGGAGGAGGTTTCGAACTTGGATTGGGTTCCTCCTTTGACCCCTATTCTTTGTCCGGGTATGTTTTTCGAACAGAAAATTTCTGGAAGTGTCTTAAAATATTAATATCCTAATTTTTCAGAACACTTCCCCTCAACGAAACTATCGTAGTCACTGTAAACTACCGGGTGGGGCCACTCGGTTTCTTTACCACTGGTGATGATGTGGCACCTGGTAACTATGGATTATGGGATCAAACACTCTCTCTTCAATGGGTTCAGAAACACATAAAGTCATTTGGTGGGAACCCGAAATGTGTTACTGTATTCGGATCTAGTGCCGGTGCGATGGCAGCAGGATACTTGGCATTGAGCCCACATTCTAATAGTATGTTTTAAGAACAGTTTCAACTTCGGTTTATTCTTCCAGAGCTCTTCCATCGATACATGCCAATGTCCGGATCGGCTTGGTCTGACTTTGCGATCCGACCAAAAGGCGTTGAAGCAGAGGTCTGCAAGAATTTTGCCAGGCATCATGGATATTCCGGAGAAGGTTCGTTGATTTAACGACACTTTTATCAAATGTATTCAGACTCAAAAAGTTTGTTGGCCTGGTACAAGATGCAAGATATCAGTAAGTTTTTGGAAACCACTGGCGTGAACAAAAGCAATGCGTCCGGTGCCGCATACTTCGGACCAGTTTTTGACGGTGACTTCTTCCCGAAACCATTCGATCAACTGCAAAGAGACGCACCAAAATTGGAAGTTCTGACCACTGTTAATGAATACGAGGGTCTTGGATTTCGTGAGTTGATATTTGGGTTACAATGGAATGTTGGCTATTTCAGTTATGATGTACCCAAATCGGAAACATAATATCGAAATCGTGGCCGACGTATTTGGATCAGATGTTGTGCTACATCCAAAAGAAGTTCAGAAAAAATTGTATGACTTTTATATGGGAAATGTCAAGTTAGAAGATTCGAAAGCTATAGAATTAAAAATGATTGAGGTAGGGAACTTAAATAAAAGCCTTCACACAATCACATCTCTTCAGTTTATCAGCGATTCATGGTTCAACTTCCCCGCTTTAGAAACCGTTCGTCAAGCTACAAAGGCTGGTAACACAGCATATTTGGCATCATTCGACTATTACAACATGGAATCTAGGGATCCGTATGCGGATTGGTTTCCATTCAAGGCAGCTAATCATAACTCTGAGCTAAAGTACATGTTGGGAGAAGGAATGGGAAAATTTGATCCCGTCGAGGGAGAGTTTGAGATGATCGAACTTATGGGAAAGTTGGTGACCAACTTTGCCAAATATGGGTGAGCAAAATAAGAAGTTTTGAATGATCTAAATGATACCATTTAAGGAATCCAAACGGCATAACTGGTCCACAACTATGGGAAAAGTACACATTGAACAAACCATTGTCCTATTTCCGCATTGACTTGCCTAAATGTGAAATGAGGGATAACTTCCAAAATGGGAGGCTGAAAATCTATGACGAAATCAACGAGAGTGGAGAGAAGTATCAAGGAACACTTTACTCAGCGACCACAGAAAAAGGAGTGGAGCATATTATCTCTTCCCCGCGGGGGTGTTTCGGATGTCTGAATGGCTGTAACAATGGCTAGAAGAGAAGGATCAATATGAAAATTGTTTTATTTATGCATATTTAACTTGAATAAAAAGTTGAGAAATTTGCCTATTTGTTTTGAAAGAAATGTTGCCTGAAACCATTCATTATTTAGCTTGAAGCTTAAAAGTGAAATAAAAGCTTCTTCGAAATTTATAGGTCTTTTAAACCTTATTCAGATGAAAAGGACCTCGAACAAAGAACGTTTTGTTCTCGATTGTGACATTTTTCCGAAATTTTGTGATTTGTAAAATTAACCAAACGAAAAAATAGGTCTCTGGCAGCAAACACCACACATTTCACAACCTCCTGAAGAGACGTTAGACAGATGGAGAAAATATAAATATAAACGGCGCACTCTTCAAAAGATAAACACTTTTGGTGACTATGGTTTTTTTCTTATTTCATTGGTTTATCATTGTCTTCGTGGCAGTTTTTAGGTTAGCTGGAATCATTCATCAAGATTAAACGAGGGGAAAAGTTTTGCAGTTATTATCTATGGCAATGGACATATTGGGTACGTCGAGGAGTTCCGGGACCACTGGGTTACCCAGTAATTGGGTCGTTTTTGAATAGTTTGGATCACAGTTTCCCAGGACCATTACAAGTTAAAGAGTGGACCAAAGTAAGTCTGTATTGGCTATTGAAAACGTTTCAGTATCAAAACAGATGTTTTTTAGAAATACGGAAGCACGTTTGGATTCACAGAAGGGCTAATGAAAACTTTGGTAATATCTGACCCAGAATTGGTAGACGAAGTTTTTGTAAAGCAATACGACAATTTCTATGGAAGAAAAAGAAATCCCATCTCAGGAGACTCAGAGAAAGAGAAAAGAACTAATATCTTTTCTGCCCAAGGATTTCGATGGAAGAGATTAAGAACTATTTCTAGTCCAACTTTTTCCAATAATAATTTGAGAAAACTGAATTTAACTGTAGAGGAATGCGCTTTGGAAATAATCAAGCATACTGAGGAGAAAACAGCTGGTGGGGCTCAAATTGATATGTTGCGGTAAGCCTTCTTTAACTTTGTTAAAGTTAGTCTTGTTTTCAGATTTTACCAAGAATTCACACTTGATGTGATTGGACGAATTTCAATGGGTCAGAGCGAATCTTTGATGTTTAATAATCCCATCTTCCCTATTGTTAGGAAAGTTAGTGTTTTCTAAAGTTATTGAATCTCTATTCATTTTTTAGCTTTTCCAAGGTAGCGGCTACTACTTCAGACTCATGTTGATCGGTGGTGTTCTTCCTCCATTCCTAGTGGAAATCGTCAGACAAATTGTTAGGAGACTGAAAATGGGAACTTTCGGAAAAATCAACGGAATCACACTCGAGGCAGTGCAAAAGAGGATCAAGCAGAGGGAGGAAGATGAAAAAGCAGGAGTAGAGCCTGGAGAGCCCGAAGATTTTATTGACCTATTTTTGGACGCAAAGGCGGGAGATGTAGAACACTTTGAAGAAGATAATGGAGACTTCAAGAAAAGTACAAGTTATGTGAGTCAGATATGAATAGCATTGAATCAACAGAAATATCATAACTACTTCAGACCAATCGTCAACTTACCACTGACGAAATTGTGGGTCAATGCACAGTTTTCCTGATTGCTGGATTTGATACTACTGCGTTATCACTTTCATACTCAACGTATCTCTTGGCAACGCACCCAGAAGTCCAAAAGAAACTCCAAGAAGAAGTTGATAGAGAGTGTCCAGGTTCCGGGATCACGTTTGATCAACTATCAAAATTGAAATATCTGGAATGTGTAATGAAAGAGACATTGAGACTTTATCCATTGGGAACTTTGTGAGAGAAAATTTTAATTTTTGAGTCGGAATCTTCACTTTTAGCGCAAATTCTCGAAAATGCATGAGAACCACAAAACTCGGAGACATTGAAGTTGAAGCTGGAACAATGGTTCAGGTAGATACATGGACGCTGCAAACGAATTCAAAAATTTGGGGAGAAGATGCGGGAGAATTCAAACCAGAAAGGTTAAAAAAATTAAAAGCTCTACCCCAGACGTTTTGTTCCAGATGGGAAAATGGGGATGAGCAGTTTATTCAAAAAGGAGCTTACATTCCGTTTGGATTGGGACCTCGTCAGTGTATTGGAATGCGTTTGGCTTATATGGAAGAGAAAATGTTGTTGGCTCATATTTTGAGAAGATATACATTTCAAACTGGAACTAAAACAGAAATTCCTTTGATGTTAATTGGGACGACTACTACTCAACCGGCCAGCGTCTGGATGCATTTGACACCAAGGCTTTGAAAGTTGGGAGAGAAGGAGGATTCTCGGAAGTTTGTGTATTATGAAAAATAAAATAAATTTTTATTTGTTTGTGTTCTCTGGTTTGATCGTAATTCTAAAGAAATTCTTAAACATCTAACATAAGCTAGTAGAGATTGTAAATTTGAATAATTTCGAAATTTTTCAAATGTAGAGATCATTAAAGGTTGCGAAAAATCAATCATCAATGTTTCACCTGTATATTTAGAACGTATGCTGAATATTTAAAAGGGTGAACGTAATTTTGAAATCCCCAAACCCCCTTTATGTCTTTCACCTGTTGACGTTAATAATTTATCATGTAGTAATTTTAAACTGTATTTATTTGAAGGAACATAACCTAAACTTCATACTGTTGACGTAAATTTCAAAGAAAGCACCAAAATCTCCATGAGTCTATCTATCGTTTCCTTCTCAAACCACATGTTCTTGTATAATCTGTGTATACATACGTACATTTCGAAACGTCACACATTTATCCCGTTTCTTCTCTCCCACCATTTCCGTTTCGGGAGAAAACGGAATCGTTGGAGGATATAGGGAGCTCATTGAACCGAAAGAGTAGTTGCCAGAAGAAATAATTAGGGGCATATGCACACATTTTTCGGTGGGACGCATCTGTGCGAAGTCAGATATGATGACGTAGAAGATGAATGGAATCAAAAGTTTGGTTTTTCGCAGAAAAATAGGACCAAATGACTTTTGTACTTTTTCAAAGATGTGTCGTGATCCTATTGGTAGTCGAACCATGTCACGGTTTCCTGACAACCTCATGACCCAGTTTCTGACCGTATCCTAACACTTAATACTGATATCAGACTTGAAAATGTGCCCATTCAGTTCATCTTTTTCGTCCCAGACACCCTACGTCAACAATATAACAAAAAAATTAACACCAAAAAGTAGTACTTCTATCCATACACCCACAAAATTAGATAATATCCTCTCCAATTTTCTCCTTTGTTTTACGTCACTAATTACATCTTACTAGTTGACTCATGGAATTTAGGGTATTTAGACATCGACATGTAATCAATTTTTCTTTTTTTTTCCGGATACCAAATATCATTTCACATCACTTTTGAATTATATATACTACTACGATATTCCAGTTTTTAGACGCTGAGAAGTTCTTTTCTAAAACTTAATGAAGCCATATTTTTTGTGCAACTTTGAATCTCTTGAGATTTCTTACGCATTGGGTTTGAAATTTCGGCTGTATTAGTATACACTTTATTACGGATATGTATTACGAAATTTGTGAAACTTTTGGAAGTTTTTTTTTCTTTCTTTTTAACAAAGTATTTGACCTTTTCTAATGGTCCCTTCAAGAATGAACAGCCTTATAGTCCATTCAAATGTCTACTTGATCTTTTTTAAAAGTCACACTTGTAAAGTCCACTTTACAAAAAAGGGGCGGCTTAAGAGGTAATATGATCTGTTTAATGGAATGAGAGAATAGTTGAGCAGTGGGTTGGGGGTGGAATAATGTGGTGTAGTTTCGTCTTTGCGTGCAGAACAATACATTCCCATTGAGTTTCACTTTTATTTTTTCACAGAAAACGTCATTCTAGAAGAAACCAAGTTTTTATGATGGTAGCATCTTTCCCACTAAGGTTGCATGAAAATCTCAGCAATCTCTGTTTTTTTCCTGTACCCCACTTTCACTTTTTGTCTACGATTCTCAAAACATCTTGTATTGAAAAAAAAATACATCCAAAATATGGGCATTTGCAGCATCGTATTTCTGTTGCATCTTTATTTTGTTGTTTGATGACGTTTAGTGTCTAATTTATTGTTGTTTTTTCCCTTCGAATATCATTTTTCATGTATCCTTTTTTATTCGGTGCGTCATTATTTTGATTTTAGTCAGAACCATATAACATTGAAAATCGTTTTTGGGTTAATTAGTTCTATGTAGTTCTATATTTCTAGATGTCCGGATGTCTTATTTTTAAAATGAAGTTTTCTGGTAAATCTGAAATTCCAATTGCAAGCCTTGCATATTACCATCTACCCCATGCTATTATATTTTCATTTAATCAAGTTATAACATCTTTGTCTTAAAAACATCTGCATATTATATCCCCTGCCATTTACTTTTATTTGTTTTTCATCACTGTCGCACACAATTATAAGAAGAATTCTCATAAATGCTCCACCTCCTCCCCACTTCTTCAGGGGCATCCGCTTCTCATTTTTTCTCTATCAGGATTTTTTTCTGAATTCAAGACGACCAGATATCTTAGTATTTATTATCTAGGCCAAGGAAAAACAACCAGCAAGTAGGGAACATACATCATTTTTTCTGTTTTCTCTCAACTTGATAGACATTTTCGGAGCCTCCGAAAATTGCGTCAAGTCACTTTGTTTTTGGGTTTTTTGTAACCATCAATTTCCTATCCTCTCTCGTTCTCTTTTTCAATCTCAGCTGTCTAAAAAATGTTCGGTTTCTTTTCAGGCGTCCTATACGATGCTCGCTTATCAAAACACAATTTTTAACGTTTTCATTGTTTTCAATATATTGGTTATTCCTGATTCCAGGTAAAAAATGGGCTCCTCGTTCATGGTTCTAATGTCCCTTGTGCTTCTGAATTGTGCCACGACGTCAGTAGCAGCACAGGAAGTTGGTACCAAGTCGAAGCAGCTTGAGTCATTGGTGGAGGTGTTGAGATGTTTCAAGTCGTTGAAGGAGAGGTACAGATTTTTTTGGAAGATCACGTGATTTTGAGAAACTTGATATTCTAATGAAAACGAATTTCAGTGGCCAACGGACCTACGTCAGCTACGTCGGCAACACTATGCGCCTCTTCGATGATAATGGTTTGTCTGGGATCTTTAGATTACCGATTGGAGCTAGTTAATAGATTGCGGACTGACTAGTTTACTTTTCTGGTTTCTGATTAATTTTACAGCTTGGCTGATAACTATAAAAGAGTGATAAAACGGAGATTCTGAGTTCATTCCGACACCGTACTTTTGATCTCCATTACCTGCAAACAATATCAAAAATTTGTCACCGAATAACATAAATAGTCTAATAATATAAATAGTCTCGGTACCCAGTTTTCAGAGATTGACTCGGAGGAGAGTTATTGTATTAAAAAGTAGTTAACAATGCAATTCCAATTTCAGGTCGCGAAGTCTCATGTGACGCCGAGAAGCAGCTCGAAATCCGTCAACGGTCGGACCGTCGATGCATCTTCTCACCGATTCACTGTCTTTTCGATAGACGTCTCCAAACTGCAAAGATGTTCAGAAACGTCGGGAACAGTCGTATGTTTGGAGAGAACAGACGGAAATAAATTGAAAATAGTGTCACCGTTGATGCAGCATTGACTGAAAAAGGACACTGATAATAATATTATGATTCTACAAAGTGATAAATCAAACGAGATTGTGTGTTTTGAAATAAATCATGTATTCATAGAAGTAGAATTTAGGTTTTGACATTTAAAAAGAATCTTGCTTTTCAAAAATTGAAAAATGACAATTGCAACAACGGCTTCAAGAAGACAGGGAAGAGTTTTCCGACTTTTTGTCCACATTCTGAAGTAATGGTGTCTGATGAAAATAATAACATTAAAAACTGATACCTTGTCTCCTTGTGACCATTCCATTCTTCTTTCAGCTCCTTTCTCGCTTATCTTTGTCCTAACCGGAAATGAAATTGTCTTAATTATTTTCTTATTAATATTTTCGAAATTCTAATAACCACCAAGTGTCTCCGTTGGACTGACGGCGCTTCATCCACACGTGGCACTTTGAACATGGAGTCATCCTGAAAGGATTTTCCAGCACAAACGACTTCAAATAAAAATCTCACTTTGGTTTTGTTCTCCATGTTTGCTTTTATCGGTTGGGAGAGGCAAAATTTGCAAATGATGCTGAAAAAATATAGTTTTCAAGAAGCGAAAATCCCGAAACTCACAATTACAATTGCCGGGAATAAATGACATATTTCCTCTCGTCTTCTTTTTCTCTTTTTTGGTTTTTTTTTTGTGGTTGCCGTTAGACTGTGATTTGTATTCGTGATGGCTGTCGGCATAATTTCGAAAATGAAAAAAAAAGAATAGAGTTGTCATTGGCAACCAGAAGAGGCGGCAGAATTAGTCATAGAGCCCCGCTGTGAGGTGAGAGTCCCCCGATGTTTTCAAGACTCTGTTTGTTTGAAAAAAAAATCGTATTTTGATATTCCATTTCATTTTTTATTATCATCAAAATAAAGTATGAGGTAGAGTAATAAAACTAGGCAAAGATCAATTAAAAACAAACACATAAAACAAAAAACTTGCGAGCTAACCGGTCACAATGTGGACTAAAAATGAGGTAACAAAAAACCAAAACAGTTCGAAAACAAGGCTTCTAGATTGGATTCACTGATTTCTAGGTTTAAGTTGAACGAAAACGTTTTCTGGGGAAGTGGTAGCACTCCCTACCAGCTTCAGAGGAATGCTAGTGCTTGGACCGGTTTCAAAAGAGTACTTCTTCAGGATATGGGTTAATAGAACTTTCTGCTCCATCACAGCCAAACGCATTCCAATACATTGTCGTGGTCCCAGTCCAAATGGAATATAAGCTCCCTTGTACTCTGATTGCTTTGCAGACTCCCATCTCTCTGGTTTGAAGTCCATGGCATCGTCTCCCCAGATGGCTGGGTCTCGTTGGAGGGTCCAGGTGTCCATTTGAACATACACACCAGCCTCAATCTCTACACCATTCACTGTTGTGGTATGCATGCATTTGCGAGAATTGGAGCTGAAAAGACAAAATTTGTTGAAAATTGAACTTTCCATATACACAAAGATAGTCTTATGTGCTTCTGTTTCAGAAAAAACAGAGGGAAGTGTCGAATCGTACACGACAAACTAATTTTAACATGGTGAATGAGAAATCTTACATCGAAGCTAAGGGATACAAGCGGAGCGCTTCTTTGATTACGCAGTCCATGTATTTCAGACGTCCCAGCTTTTCGAATTCAATCTCCGAGTCTCCAAATTCTGCGTCCACTTCTTCTCTGACTTTCTTCTGAACCTCTGGATTGACAGTCAGCAGATATGTGACATAAGACAATGCTAGTGCAGTGGTATCAAATCCACCAATGACAAACACAAAACACTGTCCGACGCTTCATCTGCGCTCAGCTCTTTTGTGATCTTCATATTTCTTTTCGAAAAATCTTCCCTAGCTTCCTTACTGAAATCGACATCATCTGATTTGGCATCGAGGAACATGTCGATGAAGTCTTGAGGTTCTCCTGGTTCCACTCCATTTTCAAGTTCTCTATCTCTTTGTTCCTTTCGTTCCATTACTGCCTTTTTGATCATGAGATAAAGTTTGAAAGGAGCAATTTTAGGATATTTAAAAGTCAGAGAACGGATCGCTTGGCCAACAACTGGAAACACTTGACAAATCAGCATCAAATATTTCCGGCTTCCACCAAAAATCTAAAATATTGAGTGTTAGAAAACAGTCGAAATAAAAACAGACAGACCTGTCTAACAATTTTCAGAAGCTCATTTTGGTCGCTGAACATTTTATTGTCTCGTTGGCCAATTGCAACACGGGCAATGACATCCATCGTATACTCTTGGTAGGCGCTGTAATATTTTTTTCAGAGAAAAATTTTTTTTTCTAGAACTCACTCCAACATATCAATCTCTCCATTCGCTGATTTCTCCTCCATATGCTTCATAAAGTCCAAAGCACTATCTTCTACAGTACTCATAATTTTTCTCAAACTTCCATTTGAAAAAGAAACAGAAGAAATTGTTCGAAGTCTTTTCCATCTGAATCCTTGAGCAGACAACAGGTGAACGCGTTCATCTTGATCTGGATTTCCCTGGATTGGGTTTAATTTTCTACCATAAAAATTGTCGAATTGCTTCACGAAGATTTCATGGACCATAGACGGATCCGATACAACCAAAGTGCGTTGGTTTCCATCTGTATATCCGTAGACTTTTCCATATTCCTAAAAGATTAATGTAGAGAAGAATGACATGCGTTTTTAGACTAGTTCGAATTTCTGTTTTCCAATCGTTTACAAATAGTAGTTTGTTCTCCCACAAAGAGTTGTTTAGTTGATCTAACAAAAAAAAGTTAACAAAATGTCTGAAAAGAACGGTGAACAGAACGTCAGCATGAACTTGCTGAAAGTGCAAAAGTGTTATAACAATGGTCAAGGATAGTTTTCTGGTGTTGATTCAATTTTCCATTTAGAATACTAAAGTAATCAGATCACGAAAAACTGTGTCTTGCACTTCTAAAAAAAAATTGATCAGTAGAAGCAGAAGGTCTAGTTTCGAGAAATCGGAAAAGTGCATTCTGGTGGTGACTTGAAACTAATGCGATTTGTTGGAATGTACTGTTCTGACCTAACAAGTCGTGTGTATTATTTCGATTTCTAGTTGAAAAATTGTTCGAGTGTTGCACTCCTGGAAAGCAGTGACTTTTTTTCCAAAACGATCAAGGTCAAATTGAAATTATTGGTATTTCATAAATGGTATCAAATATTAAGTTTGATCTGATTTACAACACATTTGAGGAATCCAAAATATAGGTTTCATATACTGTTTGTGTTTCAAAGTATTTTCAGTTTTTGAGGCTAACCTCTGTCCACTCTCCTAATTTCAGCAATCCAGGTTTCTCGTGGTCCAGAAGAACATTCAGAACCCCAACGAATGGTTTTCCTCTTGGTCCTTTGACGCCTCTTCTCATCCAGTAGGTCCAAATCCATAAGTAGTATGTGACCACTCCAATAATTCCAAGTACTGCCAGGGTGAAAAGTTTTGAGAATAGTTCAAACATGGTGTCTAGAATTGGCCTTTGAAGCATTTCTGCAAGAAAGATTTTATTGCTACAATTGAAGTTGAATGAGAAAATCGGCAAAAGTAGAAAAAATTAGGCTCATTTGGCATAGTTTGTTACTGTCCAACAGTTTTTTGAGAACTTCACAAGAACGAGCGGTCGCAATATTTGCCTTCTCTTTTCCAAGAGGACAACTTAAAAAATCGGGAAACCGTTCCGTCACCCCCAGACACACACCAGTGCGTCTGTATTTAAACAGAAAACGCCCCACCCCCAAGAGGTTGAAAGTATTTTCGCTCACCCCAGTCTCTTCTCTGCCCTCTCCCGACTTCAATATTTACCAACAACTTTTTTTCTCTTCCTCCGGTTTTCGCATCTCTCGCGTTCTTCTGCTTGGTGATAACAATCACATAAATTTTTAAATTGAGAAAATGAGAGAAACGAAAAGACCAGAAGAAAAGCTCTCAAGGACGACGGAAAGGGATCTTGGAGTCTGTCCGACCACTGGAAAATGTCGTCTCGATTATCTTCACTGGCCACGGAAAGTTATTCAGAACACCCATACCAAGGTCAAATTGGAAACATGTAGGTGGTTAAGGTTGTCTAACTTTCGTTTCCAATTTGTATGGGTTTGGGTTCTACAGAATTTAAAATGTCTGAACTTTTTGAAGAAGGCGGGGAGATGTTTGTCCAATACTACAGTAAAACTGATTTCTTGAAAACCTAGTAAAACATGCCGGAATATTTCGTTCTCTTCTTTGAGCAAAAATTTGAGACTTTCAGCTATGACCAACAAAATTTTTTTTTGAATTTTTCGGATAAACAAAATTGAATGGAAAAAAACCGACACGAATCAAGCAAAAAACCGGCGAAAATAAAAAGGGAACATAAAAAAGATTCTAGTGCAAAAACAGACCCATTAATCTTGTCGTTAGTCACAGACAAAAAACGACCCTCTTTCGATGGAGATCTGAAATAGAAAAAAAAACAAAGTTGAATTCTGGAATTGAAACGAAAAAGAAAACTTTCTGCATGTGATATGATCATACGAAGTCATTTATACACCTGCTCGAAACATGACTTATTTCTCATGAATGTGTCTAGCCGGGACGGATTAGAATTCAAGTTTTCAAACGATCACTATATCCCACATTTGCTTTTTTTTTGTTACTTTGATCTCTTGCGAGCAAGATAATGTTTTCGCTTTTTCCATAATTTTTTTTCAGACATTATCCGATCATGCTTTGAAAGTTGAGCACCTTTTTCCACATCTTTGGTTTCGATGTTCTTGACCTGTCGCATTCGCCGCCGTGAAAATTTGGCGACTGTTGCATCTTTCTCAAAGAGTCTTTATCATTAGAAAGAACACAAACCATGAGATGAACAAGACACAGAATCGGGGAAAACTAACAGAATTAAAAAGAGAGTCGGTGATAAGACTAATCGGAATGTCTTGGTCGTAACTTCAGATTGACGCTGCTTGGGGCAGTGGTGGACCGGCCGACCAGTTTCAGAGGAATCACTGTCTCGGAAGTGGTTTCAAATGTGTATTTTTTGAGAATCTGGGTCAACAACATCTTCTCTTCCATAAGTGCCAAACGCATTCCAATACAGATACGAGGGCCCATACCAAATGGTAGATAGCCGCCTTTTTGGATGAACTGCTCGTCTCCAGATTCCCATCTGAAATATTGAAAAATAATGTAAGGTACTACTGAACTATTCTTGGAACTACCTCTCCGGCTTGAATTCGTTCACGTCATCCCCCCAAATGTTGGGGTCCTTGTGCATTGTCCATGTATCGACTTGAACATTGGTGCCCTCCTCTATTTCCACCCCGCAAACCGTTGTGGCCTTCATACATTTTCTGTTGTGAACACTGAAAAAATTGGTGTCGTTTGAAAGTGCTAAGCAGGTACAATCCTAAAATCGGGTAGGCTACTGGCACTTATAGAACTTTGTCGTTTAGCTTAAGAAATTATGAATGATAAGGTCACATGAATATGGAAAATAAAGTTCAGTGATAAGAAGGAGGAGTGCTTAACTATGCTATTTGCAGAAGTGGTTGCAATGAGAATGAGTTGCAGTTTCAAAATTGCAAGATTGCAACAAGACAAGAACAATTTTAAAACAGAACTTTTGATTCTGAAATAAAGAAGAGATTTTTTGAGGATTCTTGATTTTTCCAGGATTCCAGTTTTTATGACTGTCGTCAACTGGTCAGATTATTAATGCACATACCATGTGTAATGTAGGTTATCAGTTTTTTAATAGTGCACCGTAAAAGTGCAAAGATTGTTCAATTTCGCGGAAAAAATTTACTGGTCGCGCCGAAAGAAAATGAGTGATAATGAATTTGTGTTCTACACGATAAAACTTACATTGAAGCCAAAGGGTAAAATCGTAGGGCTTCCTTGATCACCCAATCCATGTACTTCAATTTTGACAAATGATCAAATGTGACCTCTGGATCCGAACATTCTCTATCCACTTCTTCTTGACACTTTCGTTGTACTTCTGGATGAGTTGCAAGAAGGAAGGAAGAGTATGACAATGATAGTGCAGTCGTGTCATATCCTGCCAGTAAGAAAACGAACAGCTGTCCTACTGTTTCATCAAATGTCAAATGTTTGTCAACCTTTGTGATTTGGGTTTTTCCGAAATCGTCTTTGGCTTCTTGCTCGAAGAAATCCACGTCGGCTCGAGCATCAAGGAATAAATCAATGAAGTCTTGAGGCTCACCAGAAACTTCGATTCCCAGCTTTTCATCTGTTTTTCGTTGATCTATTCTTGCTTTAACAGCTTTTTCAATGATGTTCATTATATCACTGGCGGGTTGAATAGATGGGAACATTGAGACGAAGCATGGCTCCGAGAAATGGGAACATCGCAGATGCAAAGAAAGCGTGTTTACGTCCATCGACAAATATCTGTAAAACACAATATGTATTATAAAATCTTCAGATGTGAAAAGAGAAACTAACCGACTTGACCTTCGGCAACATCGGATTTTCAAACATCAAGGATTGTGTTTGACCCATTGCAATTTTTCCAATGATATCAATGGTGAACTCTTGGTAGTATCTAGAAGATGAACATAATCCAATGAAGAAGTTCAAAATTCACTCACTCCAGCATATCCACAGTCTTTCCTCCAGCGCATCCCTTCTCCAAATGCCTCATCAGCTCAGCCACCGAGTCATCTACAGTCTTCATGATTTTTTTCAAATTTTTATTCGAAAAAGTTGGAGAAGACAAAGTACGAAGGCGCTTCCATCTGTGACCCTGTGTTGAGACCAAATGAGCCCGTTTGTTCTTATTTGGATCTCCTTGGAGTGGATTTAGTTTTCTTCCATAAAAGTTGTCGAACTGTGTCACAAACACTTCGTGAACAAATTCCGGATCCGAAACCACGAGAGTCTTCTCGACACCTTCCGTGATGCCATATATAGGACCGTATTCCTGAAAAGTTAATTTTTGAAATCGAGAAAAATATTCACAAGTTATTTTGATTCACGGATAAGATACAAAGTAATAGTTGACTACTACTTAGAACAATCAGAGTCAAAAAACGGGGTTCTATAAATTGACAAACCTTTGTCCAATCCATCATCACTCTCCAGAACGGGTAATCATAGTCCTGAAAGCGGTGCATGATCCCTGAAAATGGTATTCCACGTGGACCCTTGACACCCTTCCGAATCCAATAGGACCAGATCCATACGTAATAGGACAAGAATCCAATGAAGATTGTGGAAATAAGGAGTAGACTGAAACTCATTCTGAAAACTAGAAGGAAGACTTTATGAGTTACGGAGTTCAACGTAGATACATTCAGAAGGTGATAAAGGAAAATAGTCAACTGGAAAAAGTGTTTATTTTATGAAACATATTTTATCTATCGACTTAAAAATTATATATCGTAAACACTCTAAAAGAAGGCCACCCAAACCCTCAACTTTGAGCCAATATATCATAGTCCCTGTAAGAAATATCAAGAAGTGGTCGACTAACATTTTGATATTATGATAAACATTTTGTTAATTGGGCACTTTTTTAATCTTGCACAGTAACCGAGATACATCGGCTTAAAGTAAGCAGTCTGAGTGGCCTTCTAATTAGTAGAGTTTCACGGTATCTTCTATAAAACGAAATGATATACTGGTGAAAATAGCAATGTCGATTCATTAGATAAAAAACAGTAAAATAATGGTAAAAACTTTGAGAATGATATCTGATTTTGTCTATTTATTTATATACCGCATTTCTCATCACTCTCCTTTTTCTATTTACTTTTTTCGGTCACAAACGTTTCCCCCATGTACAATTGTGATTCGTGCTAGCAACAAATCACTGTGGTTTGTATCAAAATAATGGGAACAAAATGATGGGAGAAGTTGTGACTCTACTGATTAATGATGCAATGGAAAAACATCGATTATCTATTGTAAATATTTTCTTGTTATACAAGAATGGAGTTTGAGTTTTTTCTGGAAAAAATTTATTGAAATCAAAAATAAATCAGAGTCGACATAAGTTCTTGAAATATGTGCTGCATAAAAAACCACCGTTATACAAAAAAAGCAAAAATATAGGCAAGATTTGACCAAAATGAAAAAAATCCTAGCGATTTTTAAAGAATGACATAATTGTGCTCATTTCCTTAGTTATCTGCTCCAACAGCGTGAGCAATTCGCTTGAAGCATGATGATTGGCTTGATGGGGATTTTCCACGTTGGAATCGGCCGCGAGCTTCCTCTTCAATTAACTGAAACGGTTTCAGTTGAGTAAACTGGTTAGAAGAACATAAAATGGGGTTTTTTAGTTATCTATTTCTTAGTCTGAAGTAGTTTTTGGGCTGCTAGAAAGTTAGGTGTTGTTACCAAAACGTTTATTTACCTTTCTCGTTTCAGAAGTTAAATATGCTGGTGTCTTGTCATGGGGTACTGGTCCTCTGAATATAGATTAACTTCTTTAATGTATTGATGACGAAACCCACTCTGGTGTCAATCCGGTTTGCTGGTACAGCTGCTCAGCGGTAGCTTCCGAAGAGTAAAGGTTCATTGGAGAGTTATATTGCAAGTGGTGCACCGATGCTCCAGGAGACAAATCCTGTCTGTTTCTACCGGATGGAGAGTGATAGAACACTTTGGATGGAGAGAGTCCTCCCTGGGCTCCAATTCCTCCCGATGGAGCTGTGTTGATGAATGTCATCTGATTGAGTGGAGTTCCACCGGCCCCTTGCCCATAACTTTGGTTGGTGGCTCCATTGTTGTAACTGAAAAAAACCTTTTCTAGAAAGTACCTCTGGATTCTGAACTACCTGTAAGTGGATGGTGGAGCTTGAGTTGGAGCCGGAGCGGGAATAGCTCCTCCATTGGAAAATCCTCCTTTGTATCCAGAAGATCCGAATCCAGCTGGAGTTGAGTTATAATTCGAGTTGGAATTTGGGTTGTAGTTGGCGCTTCCTGGTAGAATCTTGTTGTCAGTTGATTTTTGAATATTAGACGAATAAGAGTTATTATTAGCCAAAGAGTGGCTGAATGGTGGAGCAGGGGAGTGACGGATTGCGATATTGTGGTGGGAAGATGGGGAGAAGCCACCGCCACCGCCGCCAAAGTTTCCAAAGGTGTTGTTAGAAGATGAGTGGAAGGTAGAGCTGTAAATCTTTGTTGCTGGTATGTAAAAAATTGATTCAGCCAAATTCTATCCAAACTATTCATTAACCGTAAAACACATTGATACACTATGCACTACATTCGTTCAATTCATGCAAACAATTCGAATTAGCTCCTAGAAAAACTTTTCTAAAACCCAACAGCATCCTCCCACCTCTGATGGTTACTGCTGCTGGTGTTGGTGGTGTTGGTAATGTTACGGTTGACTCCAGATCCTGTGCCAAAGTGAGACCCGAATTGAGATCCCTGAAGTTTACGATGTTGTTTTTTACTTAGTCAGAGTTTTTGGTACCTGGTTGAATGAGGAGTGAGCTCCTCCAAACCCAGATCCAAATCCAGACCCAAAACCAGAACCAAATCCTGGTTTCATTTCCTCGACAACCATCTTGTTGTCTTTCTCGTTAAGGGTCCATGGAAGGCAAGTATGCGAGGTGACAAATCTGAAAAAGATGTTCCAACAACTTTTATTTTTAAAAAACTACCTTTGAAGAGAAAGCCGAACCTCGTTGAATGAGTCATCAATAAGTCTGTTAGCTGTAGATGCATCCAAACCGCGTGTTGAGCGACCATTGATCTGGAAATGAGATTAATTTATAGTTCAGCTAAGAGGTAGTACCTGATCAACTTTATCATTGTGCTTGACTCCAGCTTTGTCGGATAGAGATTCAGTTTCGACCTGGAAATCCGTGAAAATAGTTCCGCATTAATCTTCTGTTATTATCGATGACCCTGCTTAATCTTTGCTCATCTCTTTCTTCTCAAATTTTTTTCTCTTATCATCTCTCGTACCACAAAACGTCTGGGGATCCCGTTCAATCAACAGGCAGAACAGGAGGAGCGTGGGAGGAAGCGAGAGAAGCAGAGGTGGTTAGTGGGGTAGATACTTTGGGTGAGAAGCTAATGAGATTGTACTTTAAAAAAAAAATTGTCAATTTACCGTAAACACTCTAAACCCATATCACCAACTTTGAGCGTACATATCTCAATTCCTGTCAGAGATATCAAAAAGTTGTCAACTGATAGAAAATTTATCATAACTTGAAAAATGTTATATCCGTTTTTTACTTTTTGATATCTTTCACAGGAACCGAGATATCAAAGTTCAAAGTTGGTGATCTTGGGGAGGGGGTGCTATCTATTAGTGTGTTTACGTTATTTAAGGGACCAGACTCTCAATCTATTGATACTTACCCGATCAATGATAAGGCCATCTGCTTGCTGACGAACAGAGAATCCCCATCGAATATTGTGATCGGAACGGTTCATACGAACCGAAATCGTTTCGTATGTCATTCTGATATGGCTGAAATTTCTTACAGTTTTTTAAAGCAATTTGTTTATAAACTAACAGAGACATACTCGTGTTGGCAAGAGGAAATATTTTGAGTCAGAAAAATAAGAACTAAAGGGGATTGGGTTAAACATGTGTGATTTTGTGGTTTATGTGATTTATATGTTTCGAAAATCCATAAAAAATTGCAAGATTCGATACAGATGTTTTTCCGTTTTTTTCATGTTAGAAGATGCATCACGTGAGGGCTTGGGATAACAAATACGGTGTAATACGGTAGCTTTAACTACTCGTCCTTTAGAAAACAAATTAAAAGAAGAATCAACACAACATAATCCTGAAACTGATCGAATGGCAAAAGATACTAAGGCTGGCAGAAGAGCATATAGGCGGGTTATCAACACGACACATGACATTTGTTGAGCTCTCTCACACAACGGCACTCTCAAAAAAACGGAAAACCTGCACAGAAAAAGTTGGGATGTCGGTATGAGAGATAAGGAAGAAGTTGGAGAGTGACGGCCTCTTCTTTTTGTTTTTCTCTTCTTCTTCCCCACCAACAAACTTACCCATCACAACAAATTCTTCTATATTTCTCTCCACAAAAAAAACTTATCTTCTTATTTTTAGACTCTATTCCACACATATCTCTTCGAAGCAGACTTGAGAGGGAGTGAGAATTAGGTCAGATGATGTAACATGAGTCTTTCCTGCACTATTAGAAAAATAAAAATTGAAAAATCGAAATACTAAAGCAAAAGGACTGACTCAGACAAAGAGCATTGTTTGTGCAAACACGAAATGGTTCAGAGACTCTAGGTTATCCTATCATGGTCCGTCACGGGAGTCGAACTCGCTAGACCCGGGTGCAGCAACAGACTTGTTGCCGACTGCGCCACCGAGGTCAACACCGGAGCGGGGAGAGAAAGGCGTATATGAAGTTGCGCAGAGGGCGCAGAGAATAGAGGGAGGAGGGAGAAGAGAAGGAAGTCTAGGTGTCCTTACGGAAGAAAAGAAAGATGCGACTCGTTGAAATGTGGATAGTGAGGTGGCTGAGAGAAACTTTTGGTCTCAAAACAACTGGGATCTTTAAATTGTTCTTTTTTTATACTGTTCCTGTTTTTCAAATGAGTCCTAAATCCTAAATATTCATATTTTAAATATTGTAGAAGGTTGTTATTAACTTCCGAAGTGCTCCCTTTTTTTGGCAACTAAATTAATTATTATCCATTTCGCTTCAACCCATTCAGGATGCTTTCGAGTCACCTGAAGTACCAACCACGTACAATACATCATACTCCACGCGCATTCACCGTTCTGTGTCCCCTCGGTATAAGAGAGACACCAGTGCAATTGCAATTGATGTCTCCTTTCTTTTCTTATTATGTAGAGACACAGAACTAACTGACGTGGCCATTATGTATGTTTTAGTCGGGAATGATAGCAAATTGATAAGATTCTTATTTAGGTTAGAGAAGGTTTTTTTTTAGTTTTCATACTAAATACTTTTCTACAAAATGCAAGTTTGAAAAGCAATTTGATTCCCAATTGAATATTTGTAGTCCAACAGTTGCGTTCCAACATGAAATTCCCGATTTTTTATATGAAAAACTTTAACCACAGTAACCCAAAAACTAATTCCACTTTTCCAACACAACATGACCACAATTGGAGTCTTTTTTTTGAATATAATGGGATTGATTTTTTTTCTCTCTCTATTGCACATGATTTTTTATCGATTTTTTTTTCGATTCGACATAAACAATCCTTGCAAGCAACCGCTCAATTTTGTATTTTATCCTCGAAACTCAGTAACTTCATTTCTTTCAGGAATAATGGATGCTCTAACAAATGAGTATTATTTCCCACTCTACTCAGCACTTGGATATTTCACTCTTGTCTTTGGACTTGGAGAAATTTCCAGAATTGTAAGTCTATCAATTTTCTGATCCTTTAAATCATCTCCAAACTTCCAGCTAACATCTAAATATGTGTCATCCCGTGGAAATGCCCAACTCTTCTTGTATGAACTGATTGGAACTATCCAGATGTGCACTTGTGTTTATGAAAATGGTAATATAGGAAATGTGCGCTATTGATAATTTCAAAATTTTTAGGAATCATCTTCAAGAACTACGGTTTCCCAGCCATTTTCCTCTGCGTCGGACTCCTTCTTACGGCTGGTGGCATCTTCAATCGTGATGCCTGGACAAATTGCGCTCCAATTTTTGAGCAATTCATTTTCGGAAATCTTGGATCATCGAAATTCGTTACCATTCTGTCTGCACAACTCATCGGAGCCGCGTTTGCATCCAAAGTTGCTTACCTCATCTGGAATTTGACCGCTCCATATTCAGCTGCCCATTTGGAGAACGCCAGCAATTTGGATTGTGTTTTGCATTACAAGGTTTTTTAAATGTTTATCTAAACTTCTGAATTCCAGAAAAATCCATGTATTGAATAGTTTAAAGTTATACTATGTCTTCGAATTGCTAGTTTTCTAATTTCTTGGGTTTTCTGAATTTTTGATTTTCAGAAGTTTCTATCTATCTGGATACCGTAAAAACTCTAATAGATAGCCATGGCACTCTATTGTTTGAGGGTGATCTAGGGTGGCACTGTACACTGCTGGACATAATTATAAGTTCACTTTGAATTTCGAGTTTTCTCGAAAACTGTGAATATAGACTGAAAAGAATATGAACGCAATGAATACTATTTTGAAATGTGAATTAATTAATACCATTCGATACCACTATCGTTTCTTGATTTTGGAAATTTTGAAAATATCGAAAAAATGACCCGAAAAAAAGGGACATAATTATAAGTTCACTTGAAACAATCGAACATAACTCGGGGTATAGGTTTTGCACTGTAAGGAAACTACAAATTATAACAAATATAACTGAATATAGTCCTATTAACATAAGAAACTTAGTTGTATCTATACTCATAATTATGCCTCATCCGTTTTTGGCCAGCTTATACTGAAAATGAAGTTTTTCGTTGATAACTGCTCTGAAAATCACGAGGACTCTAACTTTTTGAGTTTTTTAGTATTTTTCTTAAATGCATTTTTCATTTAACTGTTGAAAACATTCTGGTTTTTTCACCGACCGGAGAAAAAACCCGCATTTCAGCTCATTTTTATCGCTATGTTCCGAGTGGTACTGTACCTTGCTCAGTAGAAACTTGACTGAGCTAAATAGCATATAAGAAAGATACACTCGTGTTTATTCAGAAACATACATAAAATCATGAAAATCTGTATTTGTGTTCATGTAATCATGCAAAGTGTCGGACCACATAAATTCCAAGCATACAATTGGGTTATGGGTAGGCATGCTTAAGGAGTTGTTTTGTAAAGAAGGAGACACGTAATCTGAAATTTCTTTTTGTAATCACACTTGCCGGTTATCGAATTTACATATAATTAGGGAGATTATTTAAGCATTAGACAAGGTATAGACAAACAATGAACAGTTTCACCTATTTTAAAATTGCTGAACATATTGAAAAAGTCCGAGTTTATGTTTTTGTAGTTGACGTCTCTTTTCGAAACAATCATTCTGAAGAGATATGAAGTACCTTCTGAGGTTAGAAACGTAGATTATTCACTGATTCTTTTTACTTGGAGTGGACCTATCAAAATGAATCTTTTTGCATATTTTATTTGCGACTTTTCCAATGTGTTCAGCAACTTTAAAATAGGTGAAACTGTTTCTAAACAAGAATTGAGAGCTCGGAAATAGGGTATGTTTTTCAAAAAATAGCAGTTTTCCAAGGTTCATTGTTTGTCTATACCTTGTCTAATGCTTAAATAATCTCCCTAATTATATGTAAATTCGATAACCGGCAAGTGTGATTACAAAAAGAAATTTCAGATTACGTGTCTCCTTCTTTACAAAACAACTCCTTAAGCATGCCTACCCATAACCCAATTTTATGCTTGGAATTTATGTGGTCCGACACTTTGCATGATTCATGAACACAAATACAGATTTTCATGATTTTATGTATGTTTCTGAATAAACACGAGTGTATCTTTCTTATATGCTAATTAGCTCAGTCAAGTTTCTACTGAGCAAGGTACAGTACCACTCGGAACATAGCGATAAAAATGAGCTGAAATGCGGGTTTTTTCTCCGGTTGGTGAAAAAATCATAATGTTTCCAACAATTAAATGAGGAATGCAATTAGGAATAATACTAAAAAACTCAAAAAGCTAGAGTCTTCGTAATTTTCAGAACATTTATCAACGAAAAACTTCATTTTCAGTATAAGCTGGCCAAAAACGGATGAGGCATTATTATGAGTATAGATAAAACCAAGTTTCTTATGCTAATAGAACTATATTGAGTTATTTTTGTTATAATTTGCAATTTCCTCACAGTGCAAAACCTATATCCTGAGTTATGCTCGATTGTTTCAAGTGAACTTATATGTCCCTTTTTTTCGGGTCATTTTTCCGATTTTTTCGAGATTTCCAAAATCAAGAAACGATAGTGGTATCGAATGGTATTAATTAATTGACATTTCAAAATAGTATTTATTGCGTTCATATGCTGTTAAGTCTATATTCACAGTTTTCGAGAAAACTCGAAATTCAAAGTGAACTTATAATTATGCCCAGCAGTGTATTAGGGGGTGGCATTCAATTAGAGGCTGGCACTTTATTGTTTGGAGCCCATTTCTAGTGGAACTCATAATCAAAGTACTCTATTTTCAACTCGTTAATAAATTTCGAGGTTCTCGTGATTTTTCTACTTCTTTTTAGATACTGCCTAACTTTCGGAGTCTGATATCATCCGGAAACGTTTTTTTGAAAAAAGACAGTACTCCTTTTAAGCTTGAAAAAGGCTAGAAAACCAGAAAATCATTTGTTGTGTTGTTCGTTAACTTTTACCAAAGTGACATCAAATCAGCAGTGGCATTATATTAGGGGCTGGCACTTTATTGTTCGGACGTGCTCAAGGATGGTACTATATTAGAGGCTGGCATTCAATTAGGGGTGGCTATCTAATAGAGTTTTTACGGTAACTGAAAATTTAATTTTTTACAGCAATCTGCTGGAATCGTCATTGGATTTGAAATCATCGGTGCTTTCGTCGTTCGTGTCGTCGTTTCCCTTCTTTTGAACCGCCCAGCTTTAATCAAACTCATTCCATTTGCCATATCTGCTTACCTAACCCTCGGTATCATTTATAAATTTTGCTTTAAAACAAACTTCTCAAATTTCAGCTCTCTACATCGTTGGAGTACCCGGACTCAACCCGATCGTCGCCACTGCCCGTTTATACGGATGCCAAGGAATTGACAATACTTCATTCATGATTTTGTATTGGGTTAGGAATTAAGAAAAAATAATTCAAAAACAAAAAAAAACATTTTTTCAGTTCTGCCCTGTTCTCGGATGGCTTGCCGGAGCCTACTTTGTCGGACAAAAAGGACCAGTAAAGAAGACAGCCAAAGAAGTGAAAGCAGCCAAAAAGGAGAAGAAGGCTGCAGCAGCTGCTAAGAAATCCGATTAAATTTTATTTATTTTAATAGCGATAATTATTTGCCTAAATGTGAATTTTCTTGTTAATTTATGTTTCAAAAACGATTAATTTAATTAAATAAATATTTTTTGCATTTTTCGAACATTCTCAGAGATTCGACGGGAGAAAACTGGGAGAGATGTCGGTTCGAACTGGGAGAGGTTTTCGGTCGAACTGGTATGTCACTGGCGTTCTCTCTAGCTTCTCTCCTGGTTGGAAGAGCGGCGGGTTCGAACGAAATTCAAATTTTCATTCCGTATGAAGAAATCAAATCAAATGAATTAAAACAAATATTTATTGAATTGAATGAAAAGTTTCTCAGAATTTCATAGTTTTATCAAGTTTGACCATATTTGGAATTTTCCATTCTCCACTCCATAGGTTCCCTCATATCTAAAAGTCCCAGAGCACCATTAAAACAAACACGCAAACAGACAGTAAAGTTTCCATAGTGAGAAAAATAATTTGAAAATTTTGAAATGTCAGAATTATAAAATTTATTGTTTCAAGAAGAAAAAAAACACATCCACCGGAACATTCACAAGAAAATCGGTCGAGATAGAAAAAGAGAATCGATGACTTTGGATAACCCGTAAAGATGGTGAAAAAAAGGTCGTGGAACGAATATCATATAGGAAACATTGTCGACGGCCTGCGACTACTGAGCGCTGAAGTGCTACTAGCTGGCGCCGGAACCAGCGACCCTCCACGTGACGATGAGCTTTCAGAGCAACACTGGCTGAGCACATCAGATGCACAACTCGTCGTCAGGCCTTTACACCGTCAGGCGACATCGTCATCTTCGTGGTCGCCTTTCGTGGTGCTCTTCATTGAAGCAAGACGATTCTCTTGACGATAGAAGTGTTTGAAGTTGGCTACCTATAAGAGAATTTTTGTAATCTTGCAGAGATTATTACTGTTTAGTGGTAAACTCATGGTCTTCTCAGTAGACGCGATGGAAAAAGAAGATTATGCTACCACAGAAATTTGGTTTCAAACCAAAAACTTACTATAATAGGTACTGGAAGAGCCAATGTAAGGACACCAATCAAGGCACACATACTGCCGACCACTTTACCAAACGGACTCAATGGTACGAGATCTCCATACCTACAAAAATTTTAGTTTGTTTTGAGTTGTGAAAAGAATCCACTTCAGACGCTTCCGAAAATAAAAACCTCTAAATAACTACTCATTTTCACAACAACAAAAATATACACAACACTTTCTCAGAACTTACCCAACAGTAGTCATTGTTACCTGGAATTATGATATTTAGACTAGTACAAGGGTCCTAGCTCAAATAAAACTTACCAATACAAACCAGAAGCTAGCTGGAATAGACGTAAATTTCGAGTTTGGTTCTCCTTGCTCAGCGAAATACATTCCAGACGCAAACAGAACCAAAGCGATGGCCATGAAAAATATCAGAAGACAGAATTCTTGGACAGACGATCGGAATGTTTTTCCAAGGATTTGAAGACCAACAGAGTGACTGAAAGATTACTTGGATCTTCAAGTAGAGCTTCCAAACATACCGACTGAGCTTAAATACTCGGAAGACTCGAACCAATCTAAGCACTCGGAGTACAGCGAACGACATGGATGAATTAGACTTGTTGGTGTCAGCTCTGAATTCATATTTTATGGTTTAAAAAACGAAAAAACAAACTAACAAGAAAAAGTTGACAAAGAATGGCGCGATTGCGACGAAATCAATTATGTTCAGGATCGAGGTAACAAATGTCACTTTGCATGGACAAGAGATGAATCGAAGAATTAGTTCTAAAAATATATATAATTAGAATATAGATGGCATAGAACACTCACCAATAGTAAACCAAAGAATACACATGAGTTCGATCCAGAAAAATGGAGAATAGTGTTTTTCATCTAGCTCATCTATTAGTTCTCCAGTAGTCATGTTGATAACTTTGTCATCGTTGTCAGATGGAACTGTCTCCCAGCAGAATGAGATTATGGATCTAGAAATATAAATTTTAGAATTTTTTGTAGTAGACCACTTTGTGATACAGTCTCAAGGATTCAGATAAATAATTGGTGTTAATCCCTTACAGAGCTATCACAAAAATTGAGATAAACGCAATGATCCGCGCTGAGAGTGAACTATCAGGATACTCCATCAACTCCCATATCTTTCTCTGTGTCTTGTTAGTTGGCATCATCACTTCTTTTGGTTTTTCATAACCTTCTGCTATCCAGAATTCTTCCAGAAGTTCATCGCCCATCTGAAATAAAATTTCCAATTCTAATACCTTATTGTGAAAAAAAAACCTACCTCATAAAATCTCATTTCCCTCAAAAATATATCAATCGGCACAATTTCAGGTCGTTTAACTCTTCCACCGCTCTGGTATATATACAGTATGGATTCGAATCTAAAAATGTCAGATAATTTTGACACATTTTTTCTGAGTATTGTGAATACGAAATAATAAATTACGACACATTTTCTTATTACAAATCTTAATTTTAAAAACTGTTAGATGGTGTTTTTCCCTGGTAGTCTGGTATGGTTGGACATAAAAGGTACAATTGGGAAATGTATACAAAAAGCCAAACAAAAGCGAGAAAAACACCATCAGGGGCGCAAAATGGGAAAATTCTTGAAATTCAATAAATTCATGAATTGTGCTTACAGACAGTTTCGATATTCGAATGAAGATGTGTCTGAGCTGAATTTTATAAGTTTTCATGAATTTTTTATCTAAATTTTGATTTCGAAACTTCGGGAAGAAACACTCACGTTGTTCGATGCCGATCAAAAAAGTATTCATTTGTGTCGGGCACAAAATAGTGTTGCCGTTTTGTGGGATCTCCTAGTAGAGAATGCGGATATCTGAAAAAAGAAACATTTTCCAAGATGATGAAAATTGAAAAATCCCACCTGGCCAATGTGCTTTCAAAAGTTTGAAACCGCATCCCAGACACATTTATAGTTACGATCTGATCGATGAACTGATGACCTTGTCTGAAAATTTTCAGTCAATTTTAAAATTCCTACCAAATGCCACTTACGTGCTGGAGCTGTCTGGTGTGCCACGTTGCGGACTCGGGTGCCGGACTTTGTCATCTCCATTCCTCAGAAGCATCCCTTTGCCTTCTTCGCTATTTCCACCTGCCATTTCGGCAGCTCGGCTGAATTTTAATTGTTTATTATTGTAGCAATTTTGGGATCATACAAAAATACTTAACTTAGAGTTGCTCTCTAACAATGCCAGATTTTTAAAAAAAAGAAGAAAAATGAGTCTCATTCAGTAGGGCTCAAAAGTCTCAACAAAAACTGCTATTTTCTTTCGTTGAGTTGAGTCTTTGAAATCATAAAAAAGCTTTTCTCCTCCCGCAAACGATACGTGTTGAAGGAATCGCCATCTGGATAGTAGAAGGGTCTCGGTGGATATAAAAATGAACTTTTACTACATGCAGGATTTTCTCACATTTTTAAATTGCTTGTTTTTTCGGCTAACCTAATTTTCGAATCAGTCTCTAAGTGTTCAATAAATAAAGCAAAAACGATGTGAAAACGAATGAGAGCATCTAAAACAGGGGAGGGAATGGATGGAAAGAACGAGTATTAAAGAGAAGAAGTCATGAACGAACAGGTGACACATTTGTCTCCTCTGTTTCTCTCTTATGAGTTCTCCTCTCATCTGCTTCATCTCCTTCTCATGTCGTAATAAAATAGGTCGTAATCAAGAAGTGAAGGGACCGCTTTTTGCATAATCTTAGTCTCTCCAAAGTCTCTTCAACGGTGACCAATGTCTCATTTTAAATATTTACGTGTCGTCTTATGAGAGCAAGAGGAGACCTGACGGGATGATGAATGGTTTTCGGGAGAAAGAAAAGAAGTGAAGAAAAGGTAGAAGGCAATTGCTCTGGGAAGATTAACGAAGTATTTTTTGCTTTTCATGCATTTTTCATGCTTATTTTATCTTAAAACTTTGAATTTTCTAAAAAGATACTGGAGACTGTTCAACATATTTTCAGACTAGTAAAAGCCATGTTATTCTGTTTTCTTCTTCTTTTTTTCTTGAGAAAAACAATTATCTTCCTTCTTCCAAAAAGGAAAATATTAATCCTCGCTGTTATTAAAAACTCAACAACACGACAATCTAGAAGGCTAAAAATACTCAAATAGGAAGACTGAACACACAATTTTTTAAACGGAAAATCAGTTTTTGAAAAGATAAAAGCGACATTTGACCTCCTTTGTTCCTGGTAATTGGATATACTTTGGGAGGAGGAAGAGAATAGGAAGTTCTGCTCAATTTTTCCAGTGACACCTTTTCTTTTTTTTTGAAAAAAAAATGTAGACTCAAAATTCGAGAAGGACCTTTGGAGTTTTTAAAGGTTAACGTCACCAAAACTTTCTCCGGAAAAAATTGTTTGCATGTATAGTAGACTTTTCTCTTTGTTTATGAACTTTTTGAAAAACGACGAGGGGTGGGTGTCGCATAAAAGGAGACACAAAAGTGCTCATCACAATTTTTATTTTTGAAATTGTTCACTTTCCATAGAAACACGATTTTTGAGCATCAACATTAGATGTTCTCAAAAAGGAAATTTTTTGAGAAGAACAAAGAAAAAAACGCAAAACAAGCGGGACGACAGATATTTTTCTATAATCCAGTCATTTTTCATAACACACATGTGTATTCTTACTACATTCGTCCCCTCTCTTATAATCCTTTAATATCGAAACAGAGGAACAAGAAAGAAATACAAATTCCCAGGAGTAGCATCTTCAGATGCAATTATTTCTTAGAAAATTCAGAGAAGAGAAAATTTCAAATTCGTGTGAATAAAAATCTAGATAAAGGAAGACTGAATCAAGAAGGAGAGAACATTTTTGGAAAGGAGAAAAACCAAATGGAAGTGTTTCACGAGATTCTGAAGCTTCTGAATTCGAAAAAGAACTCGAAGCAGAAATGTTCTTACAATTGAATCAAACATGAACATATTTGACTAGAAATCAATTGGGGTTTAGCTTGCTTTTGTGCACATATTGTATATAAACCATTTCTACAATACTTACCTTCTTATCCGATTGAACCGCCACATATCCTATTTGCTTTAGGCTTCCTCGGCAATCTCAGAATATTAGACAGAATAAAACCCTTATATTCCACTTCTTTTCTGGAACCCAAAAATCGCAAAATATGAAAATCTCAACCAGACACTTCCGTTTCCGTTCGCACCACACATCAAAGTGCATTCGTATGTGAAGAAATGAACAAGTATTGAGGTGCCAAAATCTTATAGGACACCCGAGTGAAGTTTTGGTTTCGTAAACGAAATCAATTACAACCAAAAAAATTCCGTTTTCAAGTATTTTTTTTTTCAAAAAATACTAGCCTCAAAAAATATTAGGAAATGAAGAAAGCAACTGGTTGGTGAGCACCAAAAAAAAAAGAGTGAGAGAGCGAAACACCAAAAAATGAGTGATCCTTTTTAATTGGGTTTCTGTTTCTTCTGCATTATATGGATGGGACAAGTGAGCGGCAGCAGCTGCTTCCTTTTTCGGAATGACTAATGGTGACAACATCTTTTTAGGAACAATAGGAAATTTTAGAGAAAAGGAGTAGTGCGATTCGATTGGAAGATCTGATAGACGTAAGAGGAGCATTATTTTGCAAGACAAAATTTGTGCCGAAATTGGAAAAATAGTTTCACGAACGCATCAAATTTTGATACTTCTTCCAGAGGAATTCATTCTATTACCTCAATCCGTTTCCAGAGCAGAATTATCATTTTCAGATTTTTATAATAGACTTACTAACTTGTCAGATTAAAATATTGCCTGAAACTGGAGCTTTTCAATTCAAAACAAGAAAACTTTGAAAACAATCTTCTCACATCTTTATTTTGCCAGGGCTCGAAAAATATTTCACGAATTTTATGAACAGTAAAATTTCATAGAATGCAGTAGTCATCTTCAAATTTTTCCTTATGGTATCTTTAACCAGTTAGTTTGGACATAATACAACACTCTATATTCCCCATTTCCCTCTTCCACTACTTTTACGTCTTCTTCATATCTCAAATATACGTCCAATTTAGCCTCCATGTCTTGAAACTTTTATAGCCTCTATATCTCATGATCCCAATTAATTAAACTCCAATGAACTCAATTTCTTTCCATCAATTTCCAAATTACTATTTTCAGAAAAGCACTTCCCTTGGGACTTCAAGGAGCCCCGGACTCTGGATTTCCGAATTTTCAAGAATGCGTCAAAACAAGTATATCATTTTCATAACTGCTTCTTTATTCCTAGTTTTTTCTTCATCACTGAACTTTTTGCATAATATATAATTAATGAATTTTCGAAGGGAGAGGGAGTTGAAATCATGTTTATAGATATTCTGAACAGAAATCAAAAACGTTTGAGAGATAGAAAATATGGATTACGGTAGGAAAAGGAAGAGAAGGAATAAAAAATGAAGAATCGGTCACACTTCATTGCCGTTGAAATCTCAAAAAAGTTACAGATGATAGAAGACCTAATAAATGAGGGCTATTGAGATCTTTTCGTTAGACTGGCATTCTCATTACATCACGTTCACCTTATTCATCTAGCATATGACATCGGAAGTGTGTCAACTACTAAAACCAAGATAATTTAGTGCAAAGACAATGTGATGGTCAGCCATCATTAGCTCGATAGACGTGGAAATATATAGAATTTAAGTTCTGGTTTTCAAAAACCGGTTCTTAGGAAATGGACTAACCCGAAATCAGCACTACGGCTTCTGATCGATGTCAAAAGTTGATCTGGCGAGGACTGACGACTTGGGCGTTGGCTGCTGCATCCATTCTGATACTTTTCTGGATGGACATTCAGCACTTGTTCCAGACGCCTGAAAATCTATCTTTGTTTGGAGAAAAGTAATTAAAACTAAGTAGTGATTACTCTACTTTGATCTACTTTTATATTGTTGGAGTCTGTATGTTATGTTTTTGTTTACTCACCTCTGTACCTGCGACAAAAACATGCAAGAAAAAGTGAGTTTATAGTTACAGAAAAATTTCAAACAGGTATCCTCAAACGCTTTGCTCTAGAGTTTTTCAGATTGACAGATATTATTTCAGATGTTTTTTCTTTCCGAGGGGCTCTAAAAATATCAAAATCGGATCGGAAGCACGTGGGATTATTTATGTTGTCGTTTAGTATTCTCTCTGGAACAAAATATTCAGATGAGCTGGTACTAGTTGACGTAGCTCATTGCTCAATGACCTATATCGTGATTCTGTCTGATCCACTCAATCAATCTGGAAAATATGACCTCATTTTTCTTTCAAATAATCTACCAGTAGTTCCTTCTTTCTCAGAAACCCGGGCATTCATTTACTCTTTCCTTTTAGAAACTTCTAGAAAAATATAAATTTAATTTGTTCTTCTTGCTCACGCCTTCCTGGAATTGAATGCATCTAGGTGAAAATATCGAATGAGATCACATTTTTTCTTTGATGCTTTCTTCGATCTTTAAGATCCGGAAAACCAATAAATTTCGAGACTTGGAAAATAGGAGAATATCAAGGGAAACTAGGGGAATGTTACAGGCTACATACGTTAAAGAATGAAATAAGTTCCTATTGCGGTTGTAAAAATTATGTCCTTATTCACTTGAATTATCTTAATTACTAAAAAACAAGAATGTGGTAACTAATAGCATGGCGAAAATATTAGGATGCGAATTTTTTTGTTGAACATTTCTTGTAATCTATACTGTTAATTTTACTACCGTAAAACCTGTATTAGGCCGACCCTTCTATTGTTCCAAGGTACCACCGGAGAGCCCTTCTATTACATGGGTCATTTAATCATTCAATTAGAGAGGGCCTTAAAATACAGGTTCTACGGCAATTGAGGTCAAGTTTGGATCCGTTACTTTCACTTCTGTATTTTCTAACTAACCTGATCAAACCGTCGATCATTTTACAGGCATTGGTAAGTTCATCGAAAAAGAATAAACCATCAAAGATTACAAGTACACATGGTGTAAATAATAATAGAAACTTGACCAACACTTTTTCTATCCCTTTCAAAATGAAGCGAAAATTTTAATAATGAGGTGTGTATGTGCCCTTCGTATTTTCCCTTTCTCTTTCCCTCTATCTTTTGACGAGCCAGATGAAAAGTGGGCGGCGCTTGAATGAGTGACTTTGGTGGAACAAGAGACACTTGCAAAGGATAGAAAACGAAAGATGAAATGAAACCAGACAGGAGAATAGAATAGATGGATCGCGGACTACTGGAGCAGGAGGGAGGATGAGCTCATGAAAATAAGCTACTGACCATGGAACATGAGGACTGGGATAGAATCTAAATGAGTATCTTTTCATGTCATGGAAGCTGTGAATCTACTTTTGTAGAAATTTGCATTAGTCATGTTTTTCAGAAGTGAAGACACCGCTTCCTAAAAAAAGTAATTTTTAAAAAGTTTAGCGCCCCTCCATTATTCCCCAGAAAATACATATGTCTGTGCATACATATATATCTGTGTGATTGAACTTACTCAAGTCACTTCTTGAGATTCTTGTTCTTGAGAACGCCTGAAGTACACCCTCAAACATCTCAGAATATTGAGCACCAAAAAAAAAAATTAAAACCAATGATCAGAAACACTGGAAAGGTATTTAAAAACTGTCAAGTAGAAATGAACGTAGAATGAAAAAAAACAAAAATTCTGAATTTTCTAAATTTAGCTTCAACAGAATATAAATGAGGAATCGAGTCAATTTTCCACAGGCTTTCCCCCGATGACGTCGCCAGTTCAACGGACTTTTGACACTTTTTTGATCAGAATTTTGCATGGCTCAGAGAGCATATTCAGGAAAAGGAGTCATGAGGGTAATGAGAAAGGGAAGAGGTTCCTTTGGGGTGTAGGTTATGTGTGTAAAAGCCAATTTTTACGAAATCCCTTACTAGGAAATATTTTTCATGTCACATAGATTTCCTTCTTGAAAAACTATACATAGACGATGTGAGAAAAACAAAGTCTTTGGGTATGAACAAAGAAATTGAACCTTCTGAAAATTGAAAAAAAAGGTTCTCTCGCAACTCGACCGATTACTAGCATGGTAAAAAATGGCGTTATAAATATCTCAAGTAAACAAGAACAACAGATACCTAATCAATTTGTCCTTTGATAACACATTTTAAAGTCTTAAAATTTTTCTTCCTGATAGTAATAATCTTTCACGGTCCCAAATATTTAATTTTTTCGTTTTCCTACCCATCAAAACACTTTTCACACCTTCGTGATCTTAGTATTTAGATCATATTGCGTCAAAAAAACGATTTTGCAACTTTTTCTCTTTCTATCCCTCTTTGCTATTGCATTTTTCAAATTACGTCATCATATCGCGTTTCGTGCGTGCCAAACTATCAGCAGAGAAATGAAAGAACCCATAAGTTGAGCAAGTATCAACTTGGAGGGGTTCATAATCCTAGGCCTACCCGGGTGTGATGAACTCAATTGACTAGTTTTTTTCTCTAATATACAAAAGAACCGTAAACCAGACTTTATGTAGCCATACTTTGATTTTATTTATCTAGGGTTTTAACGGATAAATCAGACTGTCTACTAGTTTAATAAATACTGGTTTTTTTGTCTTTGATAAGAATGGAGAAACTCCAATCAAGGTGAAACTATTTTTAATGAGGGGTGTACTTTAGATAATCAACAAAACTGAAACAGGCGACGATTCCGAAAATTCTCAGGTTTCAGCTTTTGAATTTGAAAATATGAATGTATTACACAATGGTACTTTTGGACTTGCTGAATGCACAACGGCATTTTTGTACCTGATGTGTTCTGAAAGAGAATTTTCAAAAATTAAACAATTCAAAAAAAGATGTAATGTCCAGTTTAAAAATTTCAGAACATCTAATGAATAAATTCGAGCTGTAAATATCAGGTTTCTCTCACAACCTCATAGATTTTGTTTTTTAATTTGTAAAACTTATACAATTACTGCTATAGAACCTACCGGTAACTTTTGCGACTTTCCAACTCCACCATCAAATATCTCATTGTGAGCTTTTTTCAAATTTTCAGAGTCAAAAAAAAATTGAAAGGAAAAGTTCTAGTAAGGCATTTGAATGAATTGAGTGAAACGGAAATCGAGTGAGTATAATTTGTTTACTCTTTGGCTCGTGTATTTTCAGATTTTCTAAATGTCATACATTTAGAAAGGGGTCCGTGCCAAAATAGGTGTTTTTCTTTCAGAAACTCGGAATGTTCGAAAACAAAAATCTCTAGAATACTTTTGAGTGAGCCATTCAACGTCAAACTTTCGCAACACGCTTTATACTTCGGTTCTCGCGGTGCCTGGCAGTGTTTAGAAACCTAATTGACTGTCTAAAACATTGAGTTTGATATATTAATATGTATGACTTTCAAGTGAACAATTTTAACATAAGTTTACCTAGTCAATGACTGTGCCCACTTCCACTCTTCTTTTTCCTTCTGTTTCTGCCCAACTGACATCGAATCGATCGAATCATTGTCATCACTGCTTGGATAACGATGCCGTGTACTGCCGAATCGCATCGGTTTGTTATGACCGAAGCTTCAACGTAGAATTTATAGCAAGTTCAAAGCAATTAATACAACTTGTATTAGAGATGACAATTAAGAGACGAGAAGAAGTATCGTACCAATCCATCGATTGGTACTAAACAGTACCGAAATCGAGAAAGTCTGCAAAGCCGTGTGGACAATACAACTTCTAATCGACAGTAATCAAACAGTTTCCAATTAAAATAAGAACCATTTGCTTGGTAGTGTAAGAAATCACTGTTCTAGAAACAAGTCAAAAATGTTTTCAAAATCATTCTAACACGATGCAAATACTATAAATTAAAAAATCTCATCCGTTCCGAAAAACTTGACATTGAAACCATGGAAAAACAGTTATGAGTTGAAATTACACGAAAAATGAAATCCAGGTCAAAATTGAGTCATGATGGTGAAAGAAGAGCAGCTCAGAAATGATGAATCTAGCTCACTAGATCCAACGCCACGTTTCAAAAACCGTTGGCTCCCCCCTCCCGGGAGCTCGCCCGACCTTTCCAATGTCTGACTCTCTTATTCCTACGTTCTATTCATTCACCCAACACTTTCGTTTTTCTACTCGGACCTGTGATCCGGACAGCTGCTCTTCTTCTCCTTCTTCTTTTGCTCTCTTGTTATCATTTTTGCACACACACACACATTCAAAAAGAAACCGGGACGACGAGACATGTCTCTTTTCTTATTCTCCGTTTTTCTTCCCTCAATAAATTTGAGAGATTCGCGATGATCTATTGTCACATGTGTGGGAGGAGGAGTATGGAGAATTGGATGAAGCACAACGAAGAGTAAATGAGATATAAATGTTCCAGAAGGAATAAATTCGTTTCGAAAAGTTTAAATGATGTCATCTAGGTTTTTTGAAATGCGGAAATTCTAGAAAAAAAACTCGAAGTTGGGAATACTATAGACAATGAGTGTTCGGAATATGCGTTAATTTTACTCGCTATCTTTCAATGTTCTGTATCTTCCTTGGACCAAATTGAATATTCTATGAAACTAACAAAAATCCGAAATTCCATACAATGATCTGTTGTTGCTGAATGATCTAGTAGTTTGGATCAGATTTCATACATTTACAAGCTTGTTGAAAAATATATGAAAAAGAAAATGTCAAACTCCACAAGATTCAAATTTCGAGAAGGGCAAAAAAACTTTCAAAGATCATGACTAATGTTATCCGTTTCAGCGGATTTCTTACCGACATCAATTATTCAGAATATGATCACCTTATCTATGCTAAAGTGTCAGAGATGGCAAACGTCATATTTGCTGAAAAATCGAAATACTCTATAGAACAACTTCGAACTTTTTGGGAAAGGATGATATTATGAAGGCCCGGTGCAGTTTTTTGAATATTGTAGAATCTGGTATTTCATTTTTCTTAACCTCCACAAATTAACACCGTTAGTAAAATTCAAAGTCTCAAAAAACTCACCTTTCAGGTCTCTGCCTTTTGAACCGAAACATCGTTTTTCAAATCCTCTTTCAGAGTTTTCCAATCACATTTTACCATTTATAGATGACTTTGACATTTTTAAGAATCCAGTAGAAAAAACTTTTTTTGTTATTCCTAGAAAGGTTTACAATATAATTTACTTTCAAAAAAAGAGCAAAATGAGAAACCAAAAAAACGATGAGGTGGGGAATGAAATAGGGGACCTTCGTTATATGTATACATATGTGTGTAATTCAAGAAGACCCGTGTTTTCATTTTGATTTTTGAGAAGTCGAAAGAACATATTTTGAGAATCGTTGGAAATTTTCTAATGAACACTATTCGGGTCTGCTGACCCATTTTTAACTAAAATAACGACGTTCCAATGAAATAGATGAATTCATCTGAGTTAAAAAAAAACTGACATTTGATCAAGATGGAACGAGTTTCTGAAACACGATAGAGAAAGTCAAGCGATACCAAAACGGATGTTATAGTAATAAACAAGTAGAGTCTCAGCCATGTGACATAGAAAGCGGAAACTATGAGTGGACTAGACTATGGGATTTTTAGAAAACTCGGGATAATTAGAAAAAAATTTGGAGCGGGATAGTGACGCCATACTTTTGTGTAGTCATTCTTTTAAAAAAATAGTCAGTGACCTATAAATTCAAACTCATTGAAGTTTTGCCAGACCCTATTGCCAAATTCTGATCTCATATCACATAATTCAAAACACGCAACACCTTTTACAACTTCCTTATGTTATCATTTTTCCTGAATTCTGCATCACTATAGAATTACACCTTCAAGTTCGGAAAACGTTTTCAACCGAATAAAATTAGGTTCACTAAACAAAGGAAATGTTTTTAGTCATTCTTTCTCCTCTCCTCCAACGCTGAAAAAAAGCTCACATTTGCATAACATTAATCCAATTACCTTAAAATGAAAGGGACCAGAAGAAGAAGAAGACGTGGGACAGAAGAAAAACGAAAAAGAGAGAATGCGACATGATGAATGAAGAGTAGGCACACAATTTTTGAGCTCAGAATTCCCTGGAAAAAAAGGAGCAGAAAATGCACAGGTGATAAGGAAAAATAGGAAAGGGTGTGAGGGAATAATGGCTCATTGACTCCAGTCTTATTTTTGTGTTTTGTTGATCTTACTCGTTTTAGATCAAAAAAGTTTCACATGTCCATTCATAATTCTTTTCATAATTATTTTTCAATTTTTTCTGACTACTACATATACAAAGAAGATATACGAACTTCGAATTATGTTCAATTAAAACCATTATCCGTGACCCATTCAAAAACTAATTTTTCAAAGAAGAGGAAAACTATAAAATTAGAAATCAGGTTTTTTTTGGAAACTTTCAGAATACATGAAGTTGATGGGATTCTCAGATGAGTCTTCGTCGCCAATTTTCAGTCGCCTCACTTTTTTCTAATCTGGAACTGAAACATAGACCATGGAAAGAAATGCGTCAAATTATCTTCATCGTAATCTTATCTTCAATAACATTCATCCCTGACTCCAATTACAACAAGTAATGTTGGAACACACCAGAGTTAGCAATCGTCGAGAATAAGGAAACATGTTCATTGAACAAATGAGAAGCATTCCCGGTCGATGCATCATATCTTGTCTACATGCTTTATTGGAACGTTAAAATCATACAATGTAGGGAGTTAATTTGTTGGTTACAGTGTAAAAATGATATAGGAAACTGATCACGGGGAAAGCCATGCACGAATGTTGGTGAATCAGGCCCAAAAGAGTGCGGTTTAGCACAAAGAGCTATTCAAAGGTGTCCGATAGTCAAGACAAAAACCGAACTCTCAAAAAGATCACAAAAGTAGAAGAAAGTTTCAAAGTACCAAATTTTCATACCGAGAAAGACGATTTCCTGTCATTCGGATTTGGTCAGAAGGAATTCTCTAGAATTCTCACGAGAATCAGGATCTGGTAAGCTGAATATTAACATCTCTCCATTAGGTTATGATCGTTTTTTAACTGTTAAAATTTCCAAAATCATTACCAGTTTTCTAGAATCTTCCTTCACTATGTCTTTCATCTCAATACCGAGTTTCCCCCATCCTTAAAACTCAAAAAATTCTCTTTTCTTTCCAAGTTGTTCAATTTTTATTGCTCACTCCCAGAGAGTGCTCACTTCAATTTATAGTCAATTTCAAGTCCGATTTACCCGTTTTGTGTCCCTCCGAAGTAAGTGTTTATCCCCTATTTTCCTTTTTTATTCACGGTTCGGATATTTTTAGACCATGTTTACTTGCTCTTAGATGCATGTTGTTGAAATAAATATGGAGAATAAAAAACTTGTTTGAATAAGAATTATATTTGAAGATTCCCAGAGATTCATTGAAGCTGTGTTCTCTAGAATAAGAAAGTAGCGTCATCTGAAAAGAAACCTTTTTTATAAATATAAAAGAAGGTGGACGAATTTTAGAGTAATGCAGTAGGGAAAAGAGTCAAATCAATGGGAGCCTTTTGAGTTAGAATAAAAAGAATGCCTAATGAAAAAAACGGATATAATTAATTTGCAGGAAACATATCAGCATCACATGATACGTTCATTTTCAGATTTCGTGAAATCGTAAAACTAGTTTTAAGACATTTGATTACAGGTTTGTATTTGCAGACGTTCATATTCATAGAGGTTTTAATCGTTGAGTTTTATTGGGGAAAAAAATTTCAAAACCCAATTTCCTAAATTTTCTTTTTTTCTCCCTAATCGAACACAATTCTCGTAATGGAGATTCAACTTTGACGTGTTTTTTTTTGTTTTTTGTGATTTATCAGTTCTTTTTTGACCACCTAGAATGGAAATGAGACTTCTATGTCATTCGTCAGAGTTCCTAGTATTCGAAACCTTATTTACTGGGAAAATTGTCATGATTGAATTGTTAACGAACTTCCATGTAATTTCCCGGATAGTACACCATCATTCGAAAACAAACCTTGAAATATTATTTCGTTTTATTGGCAACAAGATTTTACAAAAAAGTAAAGCCAAGTCCAGATTTTCGAATTTTCCCATATAAATACTTTGATAGACTGTTTGGGCCTATAATTTATATACTCCCATTTGTATTATCTCTATCAAAAACCAGACTGTACAAATCCATATCAACGGCTGGCTAGCAATTATAAGGAATGTCTGGTTCAGAATCCAGGCACGAATCACGTCATCTCATTTGCTTCCCACAGCTCTCAATTAATTTTTTTTCTAGCCTTTTCTGCACCCAACACTTCCGTGATCTTATTATTCATTTGTAACCAATACAATGCGTAGGAGGTGTTGGTGTCGAATTTCCTGTGTTTTCTTTCAAAACGAATCTAGTTATTATTGCTCTCTTCTGGTTCTTTAATTTAGGATAGTGTCTAACAAAACACTTTATTCTCTTGAAAGAATAGAAATGGCGGCGGAATCATTGCGCACACAGGAAAAATGGATTCTGATGGAAACAGGAGGGGAAGCATTAAAAAAGTGTGATCAATTTGAAGAGAATGGGCAAAAACATACAATAGAATAAGCCTTGTTTGTTTGAAAATAATTTACTCAGATAACAAAGAAATTGGCTGTAAAAAAGAAGGTACTCGTTGGGATATTGTTAGTTTCGGAAATTGTCTAACGACGTCCAGCTCGTTCCAAAGCGTCAGAGAGTCCGAGAGCGTCTTCGAATTGGTAGGATGGGGAGATCATGGAGGATCTCTTCTTCTTACCGGCATCAATCAGGCGGTTGTACATCTGAAAAATAGTTGAATTCAGAGGAAAAAATCTCCGCGAAAAACATATTATCCTTTCACATAATTACTCTTTGCACAACAATTATCTCTCATTATCGCATTAGTGTTTCACCTCCTTCTTCGAGAGAGACACAACTTCTAGCCACGTCATCTCCGAATCAGTGAACTTTTCGCCTATCCGCCCCAACACTTCCGCAGCGGGAAAACGGAAGAGCACATCCCATTAGATTTCTAAACACACACACGTATTGTGTAAAGGACTAGAATAGACACAAAACGGAAATGAGAAGCAAGGAGACATGACGTTAGAAGAATCAGATGGTACATAATGAGTTTTGTTTCAATGAGCTTTCAATAATATTTTAAACCTGGAATTGATTTCCGTAATCGGCGGCCATTGGTGCGCTTCTCTTTCCAACATCCAACAAGTTTCTCATGTTTCCAGCGTCAATCTCAACGTCGTACGATGGCGAAATGTGTCGTTTTGATTGAAGCAATGGAGCGCGCTTGAACAGGGACGCTGGTGCCTGAAACTATGATTTCTTTTCAGTTTCTGAAATTTGTAATTCATCAATTTGTTCGATATTGCACTTTCCTCCTATTTCTCTACTTCTTATTTTTCCCCCTTACATCCTATAAAAAGAATACGTGCGAGAATTAAAAAAAGCGACAGAATTAGTCTGGGTGGTGACATGTAGCTTTTTAGAAATTCGCTTTGAGAAAAAAAACGAATTAGAGAAAAACACGACTAGGAATGAAAATGGATTAAATTTAGGGTTTAGGTCTTCTTCTGCTAGACTGGAAAATTATAGGCTAGCTTTTTTTAGTATCGGTAGGGGCATCTTCTATTTTGACTTGCGAAAGGTGACATCACTTTTGAATATTGCATTGTAAACTGCAAACTCACTTTCGTAGCAATCTTATATTCGGAACCTCAATTCGAATAAACTACTAGGTGTTAGTTTAAGATGAAAAAAGGGATTCAGACTCAATGTACATTCTGAGTATTATGCATTTAGATTTCCATAAAATGGTAATATATCTTTTGTCGTCATCAATGATATTCCTGTTATGATGCCTAAAGACAAATAGGAGGTAAATGAATAATGAGGTTGTATTGAAGATTTTTCAGTGAATTTTTAAAGTCTTCGTAGTCGGTAAAGACAGAAATATTATATGAGGGTTTCAGCCTAAATTATGGGAGGCTGCCCAAACAGTCTCTTGGTTACTCCTTACATCAGCTAAAGCACGGCAAATATTTGACAAGAGCTTCTCAGTTAGAGGTAATGTTTTGATATTCTTTATGATAGAATGGCTGACCTCAAACTCATAGATTGCAGCCCAGTCTCCTCGATTGGCTTCTGGAGCAGCACCTTGTGGTGCTGGATTTGGTGCAGCACAGGCGCATGCCACGCAGATAGCCAAAAGCACCAAAGTGTTCATCTTCATTTTTTTTTCTCTTCAACCAAATGGAGAAATAGCACCACGGAGTTTGAGAAAGGCGGTCTGTAAGTTGGAAAAGTAATTTATAAGAGTTTCTGAACTTTGGAACTCAAGGACGAAAGACTATCTCAACAAAAAAAACTCAAGGGTAAATATCATGAAAAATTTGCGTGGGTTGAAGATAATACACCCCAAGGGGGTATATGATGCTCAGGATCTCTTGCTTCAACAACAAATAGAAGAAGAAGGAAAGCTTTTGGTTGGAGGCTCCGCCTATTTTCGGCCTCCCCAAAACGAAAGGGGTGGAGTTAGGGACAAGGGAGAAGAGAAAATGAGAAAGAATCCGAGTATCGGAATATAGAGACGTTTAAAAAAAAGTTATCAGTAGCGGTTCCGGCTATGATGAAATGTAATTGATTCTCGAAAAATTTGAATGCATGTACGTTTTTTGTTTTTTGGTCATTTTTACATGATGGTCTAACTTTTTCTAGTTGGGTTTTCTAGATCTTCATTTTTATGAACCAGAAATGGCCCAACATGACCCTAGTGTGTTTTTAGGTCGTTTTGACATGGTGGCCTAACTTTTGCAGGTTGTGTTTTCTGGGCCACCGTGTAGAAATGACCTGCAAATGGCCTGATGTTCATCTGGTATGTTTGCTAGGTCATTTTGTTTTTCTCGAAGTCTGGTTGAAAGGATACACTGTATTTGACCTATCATATTTCTAGATTGTATCTATTTCCGGAAACTCAGATATAAATTTTTTAACTGTCTGAAAACATTTCTCGCCCCCAAACTACTGAATACGCTATAGATGGCGTGGAGTTTTCCAGAAGCGTTGGACTCCAGAAGTAAAGAATTACGCACTAATGGAACCCCATAAAATCATACTAGGCCATTTGACACCAATTCCAACAAAAGTATGCTAAAGTGTGTGTGTGTGTGTGTGTGAATTAATAGGGGTACTCTATATTTCCAAATTTAGCAAAATCTTGAGAAAGAAAAAAGAAAAGAAAGAATTTCTAGAATTCGGATAAAAAGGCAATAAAAAGCATTATTGAATCCAAATATTGCATTTCCGGATATTATTCAGTTATTTCTGAGATTACTGCTGGAGGTGTTACACAATGACGTTTGCTTGTGACCATGGAAAAAAAAGATTCGAACAATGAAAAATTCTAGTTTTGCATTGTTTTTTTTGTATTCAAAGAATGTTGCAGTTCAAGTTTTGAATATTTCGAACCAGTATAAAAATCGGGCTCTCTAACCACAATATACATTTCTACAATAGTTAACATCAACACACAATATGTCCCCTTTTGGAACAATGTGCTCCTTTTCACTCTAGTTCACTAGTTATTCTCGGCCAAGAAAGCAAGCAAAAGAGAATAAAAAATGGTGCTGGAGCACCGCTCCCAGAATATTGCTTCTCAGTTTTTGGAATATTAAATTATTCGGATAGTTCAGCCGTATAAACTTCCAGATTATCTCCATGTGAAAAAGAGAGACAATTGAGGTAAACGACCATACACGTATTCCTTTTGGTTGGATTGGAATACTTATTTTTGTTCCGTACTAGCACAAAAACCGAAAACAGGTTTTCCTGAAGAGGGGATGACTTCCGGACGCGTATACCAAGAATTCAGGTTACTCCTTCCAGAACAATAAAATTAATTCGGAATTCTAAAAACAAGATTTTTTTCTTTTTTCTTTATGCCTTTTCATTAGAAAAAGACTCAATTTCACTTCATTATCGGCGCAGAAGAATCGGCAGCTTTTTTTTATTCGCAAGGAAAGAAGAGAAAAAAACGACAATTTGATTGACGGTGTGAAAAGATGTGCATGTTTCTTTTAGAAGCAGAGGAGATGAGGGAAACTTGTGACTCATCCTGAGGGGGAAATATTTCAGAGTCAAGAAACGAAAAAAACCGCGAAGGTTTTTGATCCACAGCTAATAGCATTACTTTTACTCGCTTTTTATGGGCGGCAAAGAGCAAAGGAAATACAGATGTTTATCATGATGATTTAGTGAGAACCACAACACAAACTGCATGGAATGGAGGCGGGACTTTGTGAAGAACAATTCAAATGGTGAGCAGATTTTGTGATAGAGGATTCGAGGATGTGACGTGATGATTCGGGAGTTCTAAACTAATCCGAATGGGGAGCGCTTCAGCTATGAGCAAAGTTGTCAAAACCAGGAACCTGCAGGTTTCACCATGGTCCAGGGTGAGCTTAAATTGCTCTTCACCAACCGTAATAAAAAAGCTGATGTTATACCATCTTGGTTATAAGAATACGGAATTTCTCTATTTTTTGGAGATATGATCATATCGAAATCAAAAAAAGCCTCCTCGAACGTTGACAACTTTTTCAACTTTTTTTACCTAGCAAGTTTTAGGTCTGTACTATTACAATTTTAAAAAACACCTAACTTTGGATCAACCTGAAATTTTGAAAATCCTAACACAGAACTAGAAGCCCAAATCGCTGAGTAGCGATTTGGCAGTTAGGCTTAAATCTGTCGAGACTAACGCTAGTTTTACGCAAGTCTAACTAGTAAGTTCACTACAGTAAATTCGTGTTCGAGCGCATTTAGATATCACCCGAAAAAATACCATGTACAGTTCAAGAAAAGCTGTTTCTATTGGTATGGAAAAAATGGAACAATGCACAAATGAGCAAAACACATTGGTTGAGTTTTGGAAAACTCCTTTCAAATTTTTTTGAAAAAAAAAATTGAAAAGAAGGTGGTTGTCTGAAATAGCACACATTTTTGTCAACAATTCCGGTATTCCGCTGGATTGGGTACCAAGAAAAAAGCAAAAAAACCTATTCGAAATTTCGAAAACAAAAATCACATCTAAACCACTTCTCGAATGTCTTCAGGAGGAAACAAGGAAACTTGACAGGAAAATAGATGAGATCGAACCATCCACTTATGTCGAGGCTCTTTTTCTTTCCTTTTTTTGAACCTTAAAAGTGTTAGGAAAGTGGGCAAGTTTCTGAAGAGAAAAGATTTGAAAAAGAATTCGCTGTCTGACATAAATGTAGATTGCTCAAGTTCACAATGCGAGTTAACATTAAAAAACATTATATTTATTCATAATTAAAAAAACAAAAAAGGCAGAGACATTGTCACTTGAGTCGGCTTTCTGGATCTGACAGTGATGAACAATAGCATTGGTCACAAATCTTCGAGACCTGGAAGACGAAAAATGCGTTGATTAATGAATAAGTGGGCTCACAAAACGATCGACCTGTTGAGACGTCGTCCAGAATTTTGTTCAAGTCCAGCTCCAAAGATCTTGACGGTTCTGGGTCCTCGTCGATTCTCCTCATTGTCTCCAGTCGCTCCTTCATCTCCTCAATTCGCATTTTGTTGGATTTCATAATGTCTTCATGTATCTGAAATTTCCAGGAATTCGAGAATAATAGAATATCATTTTTTTTACCAATCTATTCAGATAGTCACTACGAAGACTTGCAAATTCCTCCTTGCCCATGTCTAGCATCTTCTGACTCACTTCAACGGAGATTTCCTCGTTTTCAATATTTTCAATTTGTACTGTGAATTCTTCTTCAGAAATTTTAGATTCTACGTATTGAAGTTTGTCATTGAGCTGAAACGTTTTTTTCTTGTTTTTCAAAGTGTCAAGAATGAAATATCATACCACAGCTTTTTGAAATCCAACTATTGTCAGCATCTGACCAAACGTTTCTGCCAGTTTCTCAAACTCTTCTCGATATTCCATCGTTTTAGTTTTCAGTATATCAATGAGATCGTCGATTTCATGAAGAGCCGGAATATTGAAAACTCCTGAGCTATCGTTGACTTTTTCACGGTAATCATCCACTTCAGCTTCCAACGAAGATCCATCTTCAGAAGAAGATCCGGCATGTGATCTTGATTCCGATGACGTCAGATAGAATATCTGGATAATTACTAATAGTGTGATCTAAAAAATTCAGAATCCCTGTGCATCTCACATCACTATCTTCTGTACACTGTGAACTACAGGTTGTGCAGTCCGCCGCATTTTTGTAGCAGAAACATTGATTGTTGACGTGGCAAGTTGGGCGAGGAACGACAGAGTCCTGGAATTGGATTTTTCTAGACCATGAGATACATCGTTTTTCCATTGGTGTTAACAGAATCAAGTAAAAAATATCCCAAACTACAGTAAACCTGGTCCCAGCTCACCAAACAACTGTTCACGTGAAATTCCGAATATCGAATAGCTGACAGTGAATTAGATCCCGTCGTGGATGGTTCACTTTTTTGCTTTGCTTTGTTGAACAAAAGGGATTCAATTATCCTGTTCGGATGACCGTACATTATTGTTTGTAGTCTTAAAACAACACACGCATTAGAAAATGACAAGAATCTCCCAGCGAATTTTTTCAACGAATTACAGATCGTTTTTCCGACGATCCCACTATCGAAAAATGTTGAAGTTCACGTCGGTTTTCCAACACTGGGAACTTAAAGGGGGCGTCCGCTAATTCCAAAATTTTTGAGATTTTAATATCAATCGATCCAGCATTTTGGGTCGGGAAGAAAACTCTCTTGGAGGATAGTCCAAAAATCACTCGTTCTTAAGATATATGTCAAAAACAGGTCAAAAAAAATCAACGTAGAGGGTGCAGATTAGGGAGCTCGACAAGAGGCAGAATCCTTGAGGGTGCACGCAAAGAAATGAATAAAAACGTGAATTATTTTCCCTATTATTCTCCCTAATCTGCACCCTCTACGTTGATTTTTTTTGACCTGTTTTTGACATATATTTTAAGAACGAGTGATTTTTGGACTATCCTCCAAGAGAGTTTTCTTCCTGACCCAAAATTCTGGATCGATTGATATAAAAATCTCAAAAATTTTGGAATTAGCGGACGCCCCCTTTAAGTAGATCTTTTTTGTGACCCAGATAATTTTTTTGAGATTTTTATGTAAATATTTTAAGATCATCGTTTTTGAACCTTATCATTATGCAGAAAGGCGGTGACGCAGAGAGATAGGGAAAGGGAAAAGGAGGCTAACTAAGATAAAGGGAGAGGAAAGAACGGAGCTAATAAATAAGAAAGTAATATAATTTAGAAGACGAGAAGGAAAAGTAAACCATGAACTATCTTTTCTCGAAAAAAAGGAGAAGTTAGTTTTATATGGAAAACTGGGAAAGGGAAGGGGAAGAAGAGTTACTGAACGACCACCAAACGGTTTGAACGAATTAAATTCGAATACTTAAAATGGCTTTTGATAGGTCCAGCAGAAAAAAGTTGGGAAATCCTTAAAGGATGCGGGGGCGGAAAAAAACCAACAATGTGAATATTAAAAAGAAAAAACAACAATTTTTCAACAACGGGGATTTGGGCATGGCGAGAGAGAAGACATTAAAGCTTTTTTTGGGTGAATTATGAGGTTACGAAAAATGGGCGTTGCTAATATACTTTTGGAATGATGGAAACGAAATACGAAAAGTACAAGAGATCATAGGAAACGAACTTCTGGTGGCCGTGTGAGAAAAATCGATATTTATATAAGGTCATACACACTGATCGCAGATACATTTCGACACCGTCGCTATTGCTTGTCGCCGCCGTAGAAACACCCGGAACGCCGACTTAGTGTTTTTTATTCTGAAAACTTACGACAGGGTTTTAGGGGGTCTCGCACAGAACAATATCTACCTCATAATTTCCAGAACCTCGACCCCGTGCGTATCCTCCACCTCTTCCGCCACGCTGTCCGTTCACTCCAGAAGATCGTCCTCGATAGTTATTACCGTTTCCGCCATATCCACGTTGGTCGCCTCTTTGATGATACGGACGGTTATCAGAACGATTTTCTGAGTTCTGACGAGACTTCTGCTGATATTGTACTGGCGGTGATGGGGAGTCAGTAACGGCGTCTTGATCGTCCACAATTTCCTGTAGATCACGTTGTCTGTGGACTGGTGGAGTTGGACCGCCACGAGAAGACTCCCGAGACTTGGCGATTCGTTCTTCCTCCTTCTTTTTTGGACAGACCAGCGGATGGTGTCCTTTCTCGCCGGTAGCCTCACAGTGTTCACATTTGATCTTCTTCATGTATTCACACCACAAATCACCATTATCTTTGCGAATGCTGAACGACAAAATTAGATTTGAAGCTTGAGGAATACGAAAACTCACTTATGAGAAGATACTTCCTCTTCTGGCAATTTATAATATTCACATCGGTAACAGTGAAGCCCAGTTGGTGCTGGTTGCGCAGCAAGTTCTTTAACTTCAACGGCTTCTGTTGGCTCCTCAACAGCTGGGGTCTTTTCATTCACTTCCTCTACAGGCTTTGGCTCATCTTCTGCTTTCGACGACTCCTTAACATCTGTCTTCTGATTTTTTGAATCCTTCTTCTTTCTGTGCCTTGGAGTACTTGATCGGCTACCTTCAGCTGAGTTCTGGACATCCATGTTGGCATCCTCCTTTGGTTCCACGAGCTGTAGTATCTGCTTGCTTGGTGATCCAGCATGCGATACAGGCTTCAGGAGCTCAATACGGTTCGTGACGTGAGAAACATCGTCATCCTGATGGTCCTGTTGTTGGTAGTGATCGAATTGGTTACCAGCTCCGCTACGAGGGCCCTGTCCTCCTTGATTCTGAGAATGCCAGCTTTGATTCGAGTTTTGACGGGAGTGGTTATAGTTGTTGCTTCCTCCTCGTCCTCCTCTACCACCTCGCCCTGATCCTCTAGAAGTTGGGGCATTGAAGTATCCCATTGGCTGATGCATGAATCCACCCCTCCCTGGACCCATTTGGGCCATTTGGAATGGTGGGGCACCCATGAGTGGTTCTACGTTTCCTTGACGTCTCTGGTGCTGTTGATGTTGTTGCTGCATGTGAGCCATCTGGTGTGGTGCGGCCATCGGCATGTATGGGTATTGTTGTTGTTGCGGGTTCATTCCCATTGGGTTCATCATAGTGGCTGCATGAGGTGGAGGCGGTCCTCCGGGATGCGGCATCATTCCATACGGGTTCATCTGGAATACCTGGAGGGGTTTTTCTGGCAGTTTGAATTTCTTTTGTTTAAATCACGACACCCGTGTCGAGTTCGCCAACTTACCTGCATATGATGCATTTGTTGTTGCTGTGCAACAATCTGTGGGTCCACCTGTTGTTGTGGATGTTGCGGTGGCGGATGCTGGAAGTTACCGTAGCCGGTAGCTGGTATCTGACGATGGTACGGATTTGGAACAAACTCCTGATATCCTTGTGGTTGCTGTGGAGCATGTTGAGACGGTTGAGGTTGCTGCTGCTGATGTTGTTGTTGTGGTGGTGGCTGCTGTTGTTGAGCTGATATTTCATGCTGGCTCTGCGGACCCTCCTCCAATTGTTCATTCTGACTGTTTCGTTTATTCTTCCGAGCACTATTTTGGTTTCCGCTATCTTTCCCAGTATCCGAATGAGAGTTCACCACCGGTTGCTGACGGACAACGATTGGAGCCGGCACTGGAACATACATCGCTGTCGGCATCGGCATACCGTAGATCACCGCTTGTTGTGGATGTTGTGGAGCCTGCTGACCATGAGGTGGCATTAGCTGCATGATTGGTGCTGGTCCCTGTGGCGGTGGTCCTCCACGATACTGTCCTCCTCCGCCGCCACTATATCCCTGTTGATAAGGAGCTCCTTGCTGAATGACGGAACCCGCATAGTATTGAGCTTGCTGTGGATTGTTCTGAGGCTGATATCCTTGTACTGATGGTGGACCTCCTGGTCGGAACTGATCGATCTCATAATTTCCCTGATTTGCCATTTGCTGCTGGTTCTGATGTTGCTGCATTGGTTGTGGTGGTCCTTGCGAGCCAGCAGGTGGGTCTGAAAAAAAACATTTAAAATAAAACAAAACTTGTCTATCCTTACTGTACTGTGGTCGCCCGTCAAAGCCATCATTTGGTCCGTGAATTACGAAATTGTTGTTACCGTCATCCCCTCCGTAGCCGCCTGGAGGGCCATCCATTTGCTGGTACTGCTGTAATGAGAAAGATAATTTATTCAATTTGACTATTAAATGTGCCGCATTTTTGAAACACAAAATATTCGGTCAAAATTGCCGTCAGTTGCTCACCCGAAAGTTCGGTCCTCTTTGATGGTGTTGCTGGTTTTGATGTTGCTGATGTGGTGGTGGCGGTGGTGGTCCCTGTCCACCATCATATCCTCCAGCACCATAAGATTGATCAAATCCCTCCTGTTGCTGAGATGGTGGAGGAGCATACTGACCTCCTCCATGCTGATTTTGCTGCTGGACATTATAGTATACCATTCCATTTGGCGGTTGTTGTGGTCGCATCTGATAGTATTGAGCTTGTTGGTGTTGCTGCTGCTGTGGATGGTGCAGATTGTTTTGATGGTGTTGCTGATGTCGTTGATGATGTGGTGGTGGACCGCGATTCTGGTTCTGGAGAAAAATATAGTTCATTAATTTTAAAGCGATTGCATCTTGCAAAAAAATCTAGCTGTTTAATTGAGCTCTAAATGGCTTCAGACACACAAAACACTATCAGACGATTACTTTGAATATGAGAACGTTACCAAACCTTCATGATCTTGTTGTTATATTGAAAGTGCCGAAACTTTCGCAAAATTGGAAGAAATAGCAGATAATTATAGGACGCGAGAAAAGACTATGCCATTTTTCTCGAGAACCAATGTTTTAAGCTAGGAACTTCGATATGACAAGTAGATCGAAAAGGAGAGAAATTCCTCAAAATGCTGAAGTTCCAGGGTAAAATCGACGCATAGTTGTCTCGTGGTCAATCGCATGCAGATTAGGCCAATTTCTAGTGTGTTGTCCCTCTAGTTAAGCTATTTTGAGAATTACTGCAATTCGAGCCGATTTAAAAAAACTTTATTTAAATTTCATATACCACTCTGATAATGCGGCTTAATCGCGAATGATCATCCAGAGTTTTTATAGCAATTCTTATCCACTTAAATACTTACAAAACCCGGCGGTCCGCCACGAGCGGCCGTATTCGCCGGCGTGGTTGACTGTTTCTGATCGTCGGTTCCGAGGCCCGAGTCAGGAGTAGTTCTATTCGTGTTCCCGGCTACCGGCGGTTCGGCGTACTCGAAAGACGAACCGTTAGCTGACGAGTTCGTCGCTGAGTGAGCAGTAGAGTTGCTTTTGTTGTTTTGGTTTTGGGCACCGTTCTTGTTGTTGTTGAAACTGACTGGCGCACGCTGTTGTTGTGGCTGCTGTTGTGAATGTTGCTGGAACTGTTGTCCAGACATTACCAAGTGTAAGTTTACTGAAAAATTTTTATAATTTTCAATGAAAAGTAATTCTTCACACAGAAACTCATGAGAGAAGAGAAAATACAATTTATTCTTGAGCGACAAAGCAAAAAATGATACCAAAAACACATGTGATTGATTTTAGAGACATACAAGAAAACAATCCAGCGAAAACCAGTTTTCACTTTCTAAACAACAACAAAAATAATGTGTTACTGTCCAATTTGAAAGAAAACTGCAATAAAAGTATATTTTGTTCTATTTTTGAACTCAAAAATGAGTAAAAACACACTTCCAAAGAATTAATTAAAATCTTTTTGGAAAAATCAATAGCGGACACCAATCCCTTATGCAGGAACGCTAACAAATTCATCGATAAAAATAGATGCAGTGAGCCAAATTCAAAGGCGCATAGGGTTTCTCGACGAGCGGGTCTCGCCGCGACAGGCAACGGTCGCACTTGTTTTGACGTTGTGTCGTTTTACGGGGACGATATTTCAAGCGAATAGTGTGTTGCAACCTATTTTCAGAATTTCGAACAGTTTTCCGGACACATTTTCTAAAATTCTTTCTGTTCTAAATATAAAGATAAAAAATTTCCTAATTGTTAATTTTTCAGGTGAAAATGACGGAGCCTATCAAAGAAATAGCCACAAAAAGAAGTGTTGAAGCAGTATACACCGGAGGAACTGTTAGATGGAGTGCAAACGGCCAGAAACTATTCTCAACGTGCACAAATGTGGTTAAAGTTATCGACTTGGAAGATAATAGTGCTAGGTAAGAGTATTAAAACATAATTCGATGTATTAATGGTAGCAAACAGGTCATTTCAGCTACACTATTGGAGATTCTGATGATGAGTTGCGAATCACTTGCACCGCCATCGATAAAAACCGAAATCGTCTTCTCGTTGCCTACAATAATCAAGTGATCAGAGAATACTCTATTCCACTGGATCCCTCGATGAATAACCCCGAATTGGCGAGAACTTGGAAAACCATGCACACCGCACCGATCCTTGTGATGGAATTCGATGAGGGAGGCAATATTTTGGCTACTGGAGCTGCAGATCATGTCGTAAAGGTGTGGAATTTGACCGAGCAGCAGTGCACCCACACTCTGAAAGGTCCTGCCGTAGTTTCGGCTATTTTATTCGGAAAGAATGAGAAGCTAGTGGTCGGATATATTGAAGGTCAACTACATCTCTATAACATAATGATAGGAGCACCGAAAAAGCATGTGAATACCTGGAACAATCATAACTCTCATATCACCGCTCTTCTTCAAGTCCCGGATTCTCGTTATATTGTTGCTTTATCTCGAGATCAAACAATGAGTATTCATGAGACAGAGACACAAGAAACTTTGCGAGTCTTGCCTCTTTATGAATCGATTGAGAGTGGAGCTATCGGCCACAATGGAAATTTATTCACAGTCGGAGAGGAGGGATTCGTTAAAGAATGGGTGATCGAATCAGCCAAATTGCTCAGAAAGAAAAGAATCTCGAGGTATTAAGATGGAGAAAAGACATTACTTCAAAATAAATAATATTTTTCAGCTCTCAAATCGACGACGTTTCTTACGACGTTGTATCAAATCGGTTTTTGGCAATATCAGCAGAGCAAAATCTAATTGTGCTAGATTTTGATAGTTTGAATATTATCAGGCAAATAGTCGGATTTCATGATGAAGTGAGTTAGTGTAAAGAATCGATAAAAATTTTGATTTCAGATCTATTCGTGCTGCCTCCTTGGCAAAGAAGAAACGCACATGGCAGTGGCTTCCAATACATCCGAAATCCGGCTCTACAACACCAAAACGCTTGACTGTCATCTTGTCAGAGGTCACACTGAATCCGTTCTTTCTGTTGTATCCCCTTTGTGGGACACTTCTCTTCTTGCTTCGTGCTCTAAAGACAACTCCATTATCATCTGGAGACTTGTATCCACTCCTGAAGAATCTTCCACATTGATACCATTATGTGCTGCCACTGGACATTCCAATACTGTAACCTCATTGGCTATTTCAAATAGTGCACGGGCATCATTCCTTGCTTCTGTTTCCTCAGATTGTACAATCAAGTTATGGGAGTTGGGAGATTCTGCAAAGATGAAGGACGCAAGCATTGATGGTGAAAGAGATTTCGTGGAACAACTGTAAGTTCAGAGGTTTGGATAATGAGATATGGAAAATTTTTAGACCGAAGCTGACATGTAGTTCAACAATGGTTGCCCATGGTAAAGATGTCAACTGCGTTGACATTTCCGAAAGCGATGCTCTCATTGCAACCGGTGGAATGGATAAACTCGTGAAGCTCTGGCAAGTAGATACACAAAAAATGCAACTTGGAATCGCCGGAACTCTATCAGGACATCGTCGTGGTGTCGGAGACGTCAAATTCGCCAAGCATTCACATAAATTGGCGTCTTGCAGTGGAGATATGACCATTAAGATCTGGAACATCTCAGAGAAATCCTGTCTACAGACTATTACTGGCCATTCTTGTGCGGTTTTCCGTGTCATTTTTGTCAGGAACGATGCCCAATTGCTGTCAGCGGACAGCGCAGGAATCATCAAGATATGGACTCTTAAAACAGCTGATTGTGAAAGCTCCATTGATGCACACACTGATAAGATTTGGTCATTATCCAAGAATCATGACGAATCAGAATTTGTGACTGCTGGAACTGATGGTCGAATCATTGTATGGAAGGATGTGACAGAGGAGAAGCAACGAGTCGAAGACGAGAAAAGAAGAGAGGCCATCGAGCAGGATCAGACACTGACAAATTTATTGAGTCAGAAAAGATTTTCCGATGCTTTAGTTTTTGCATTAACATTGGCAAAGCCTTTCTGTGCTTACAAGGTACTTGAAGTTTGAATAAGGCAACCATGATTATTTTTAAGGTGGTAATCGCGTTGATGTCTGAAGATACTCAAGAGGAACTTGGCTCCGCAATCTGTCGCCTTGATCAACGCCAAATTGAAATTCTTCTTCAGTTTTGTGTCAAATGGAATACTAATTCGCGACACTCTCCAGTGGCTCAACGCGTTTTTTACGAAATCATCCATATCATTGAACCGGATAAGCTAGTAGCAATGCCCGGCGCGTATGGATACATCGAATCTTTGCTACCATATACCCAACGACATATGGACCGTTTGGATAGAGCAAAGCAGGACGTCAGCCTGTTTGGTTTTGTCTGGCGACAAATGAGAAGCGCTGTTTAAAATGTTATAGTCTAGTTAGCCTTCATTGTTTTTATTTACTCTGTTCACTCTGGAGATCTCTATAATTGTTAATTGTTAATTCATTGTTTTGTTTGTTAAGAATATATTGTTTTTCTCTTCATACTATATCGTTTCATCTTTATACTATGTCGTTTTTCAACGATTGCGATATTGTTCTGTTTTCTGTGCGAGACACGAATTATTTTTGCAGACAGAGGAAACATGGCCACTAGCAGCTCCGCTTTTGATGATGAATTCCCAATGGAGGAAGGTAACAAAATTAATTTTTCATTCCTCTTGCATAACACAGTCCGAAAAATTTAGGAATGCCGGAGCTTCTCGACGACGAGGATGTTCCAAGCACACTTCCTTCACTTCTCGAGCAGAATATGGACACGGCTTTAAAGTCGAACGAGTTCAAACTGGTGAGTACCTGGCATAATGAAATAATGAAATCTTCTTCTGAGCTTTCGTTTGTAACAGTTCATCAAAATTGAACTGTGTCTGGAGGCTATAATGAAAAATGTATCCGTATTCTTCAGGTAAAACGTAAGAGAAGGGCCGGAAATGCAGTTGACGTCGTGATGGAGGACATCTCTCAACCAGACGACTCTACCACAGATTCTCCAGACGCTGATGCCGAGCAAAAACCTACGAAACGCTCAAAAGGTTCGAAAGGAGAGTCGCGTGTGGTTCCAGTGCCTAAACACCGTTATACACCTCTTAAGGATAACTGGGTCAACATTTTCACACCGATCGTCAAAAATTTGGGACTACAGATTAGGTTCAACTTGAAGAAGCGGCAAGTCGAATTGAGGAATCCTGCTGACAGAGAGGACACAACAGATTTGCAGAAGGTGTCTTGAATTTTTGAATGTTCTGTTATTTTATGATTTTCCAGGCCACCGATTTCGTTCGTGCTTTCATTTTGGGATTCGAAGTCAACGATGCGATTGCCCTCATCAGACTGGATCATCTATTTCTGGAAACATTTGAGGTAAACGTCCTTCCCTTTTCTTAAAAGTGTTTCTTCTTTTTAAATTGATGATTGTTGTCAGAAGCCCTTCAATCAAAACTCTAAGTCCCCGTGTCTTTCTTCTCTCAACTTATTCATCAAATTGACACATGTTTTATCACCCCTCGATAAGTACTTCGGCCAATAACTGAACTCAATCAAGACGAGCTTCGCTAAACTTTCCAAGTATTGAGAGTTAGCCATAAATGTCAAAAATATCTGTTGTCGGAGCATAGGAGATTGTCATAAAGTTGAAAGGCATGAAGGAGGGCATTAAAAATGTGTTGAATATAGCATCTTATATGAAGCAATGAAAATAGTGACTATGGTTATATGAAGGGTACGTCCGAAAACTACGCTGTTCCGAAAACTACGCATCGTTGAAATTGATATTTTTCGGAGGCGTCCCATTGCGAATTTTGAAAATTATTTTTTTTCTGCTAGTTATAGTTCAGATGCAATACTCGATCCCACGATTTCTTTAGAAAAACAATTGTTTCCTTTATGTGCTAGTTAGCTTTGTGGCGCGAATCCTGCCTTCTATCTCTTTTCCTGTGGAATTTCTAATTCGCTAAGAGTTTATTAACTGTGGGCAAGGTTTTTCCGTTCATTTTACTCTCGGTTCAACTTTTGCAACGCCAGAAATGTAAGTATGCTTCAAAAGCTTATATTAATTTTGTTGTGTGATTTTTATTGTTCGCCGCGATTCCATCATTCGCGAATCTCCGCCCATTTTGGTGTCATACTAGCGACTGATAGAATTTCTGAGTACTGTAGATAAACTCGCAACATTTATGTACGTCGTTCCGAAAAAAAGCGACCAACTTTTGGTTTCGCGATAGGAATATCACAAAAGATAGAGAGGCAGGCAGTCTTACAGACTGATAAGATGACGAGCGCTTTAAGATGACACAGTATTTGTCCTAAAAGTGTATCATGAAAAATAAACAAGTATAGACAACATAACTTTTCACAGATCGCCGATGTGAAACATTCGCTGAAAGGGGATCATGTGAGTCGCGCAATTGGACGTATCGCTGGAAAAGATGGCCGTACCAAACTCGTCATTGAGAACACCACCAAGACCAGAATTGGTAAGAAATAATGTTCTGTTTCGTTTCTCACTGTCGTATCATTTTCAGTTGTCGCCAACACCAAAATCCACATTCTTGGTGCCTATCAGAACCTGAAACTCGCCAGGAACGCCGTTTGCAGTTTGATTCTTGGTAAGATCGGAGACACTTGTGTATGAGCCAGCAGACCCCAGACTATTATTCTCCCGCTAGTGCATCAATTCTATTCAGCAGTTCGATGCACTTTCATTTTAATAACTTTTCATCGCAGACACAAACGGTAGCACAATATGAGCTGTAATTACAAGGTGTAACTCGCCACACCGTCCATTTGCCAAAAAACATATGTAATTTTTGTGTGAATCCTCTTTCCGCAGCTTCCTATACTTTTCGTGCAATTCTATTGAGTAGGGTATCCCATAATTTGTATGTCAGTTAGATGTGTACTTTAGATCCGACACGAGCTAGTAGAACTAGACGTGCTTTTTAACAGGCTGAAGTGATGGACAAATTGGTACGATAGAAATCACGTTATTCGTCGTTTGAAAGCGGAAATAAAACCAAAAGAAAAAAGGGGAATCTGAAAACAGAGTGAACAAAATTATTCTAAAGTATTCCTACAGTAGACGTTCTGGCTCACACTAAGTTTTCCCTGAATCTTCCCGGAAACGCTATTGTCAAACTCGTAACATCTCCAGGAGTTTTTTCTCGAAACAATGTCTTCATCATCATCTCGGCAACAACTTCTTCGAACTTCTCCTTCGTCTTCTCTCCACCGCCGCGTCGTTCGCGTTTTCTTATTGTCTCATTTTTCTTTACTACCGTGTCACATTTGATGGGGCCCACCACGACGTCGGTGAAATGTGTGTGTGTATTTGTACACATTGCAGAATCATGCAGATACAAAAAAATGACGGGTGGTAGGGAATGGGGGAATGGCATTTGGAATGGGTTTCCTCTCTCCAACCAGCATGAATATCGTTGCAATTCTAGGAAGACGGCAAATGGAAAAGTGAGACATCAGGAAGAGATAATGAGATGGTAGGAGGCGGTTTGGGGTTAGGAATACTGTAGAAATCACCTAATTCATAATTATAATATTGCTTTTTTTCAGGCTCAAACCCATCGAAGGTCTACGGAAACCTGCGTAACATGGCATCTCGTGGAGCTGAACGTCTTTAAACAAGAATCTAAACTTCGTTTCCAGTTGTTTTTCAGTTTATTCGTTGTTTTCACTGCTTCCCATATTCTTTTTTTCGTTTACTTCATTATGTTACGTTATCCTCATCCACACTGAAATGTGTGTCCCCAACTGTTTAATCCGTGAATCTGAATTTGTTGAGTTGATTTGTCTATTATGTTTTTTTCTAGTTACAGAATCGAACGGAAAACGAAGTTTGAGGAGATATTGAAAATATGAACATTTACTTTTTCTACAACTAAACATATTCCAAACAGACAAGCCTATGTCAGCCCCCTACACTTTCTCCATTGAGTCTAGACACCTTGTGATTTCATCATCGTCCTTCTTCGAAGTGTCTCCTGTGCTCATGCTTCACACCTGTCAATCTGGTACCAGTCGACACCATCTCTGTTCTTCTCGCTCCTCTCTATTTCTGAATTCTCTTCAGTGATCGAGAAAAAGTTAACAGCGTTCCGCTTATCAGCCGATGTGGATTGGCGAAAAATCGTATATTTGACATTTTTGGGAAATGTTGCGATTCAAGTGGAAAGTTTTTATAGTCAGGTGCACTTTTCTGTTTCCATTTTTGACATAATGATTGGGAGTAAGTTTTCGGTGACGCAGGAAGTGTAACTCGTAAAATGGCAACAAAACGGAAGTGTCTAGATAGAAAAGTGGCGCCAAGAACTTTGAATTTCGAAAAAACATGGAACGGAAAGAATATACTGTCTCTAAGTAGTTGTTGTATAATAGTCGATTCGAATTGGAATGAAATCTTATTGAATTATCTCTTCGTTGTTTTATACTCCTATAACCCATCATTGCATTGTGGGTTGGAACCCCTTCAAATTTTCCCCATCTGCCTTCTCATCGGTCAGTCAGTCGTTGTGGTATACACCGCTGTAGGTCGTTATTCTTTTTTTCGATTATGCCGGATGACACACGACAAACGATGGCAGTTCAAAAGGACGGAACTGCCAGTAAAAAACACTGAAAACTCCTTTGAATCTTTCTTATTGACAAAAATCGCACACGATTTCGTAAGATTCATTTTCAAAAGTATTTTTTTATTCAGAATCTGAAAGATAATCAAAATGAGTACAATATAAATTTTATCAAAAGAAATCAGTCGAAATTTGATTAACAATTATTAGACTCGATGCATTGGTATTTCTTGTTTTCAACAAGTTTTTTTCAGAAAAAAATTATTAGGAGAAGGAGAAAGCACCGGGTGCTAAAAGGGGGTGTCTGTAATTGAGAAGTGACCGGTTCTAATTTTTTGGGAGGGGGAACGATGATGACGAAAAAAGACAGGATTAGATCCTTAAAAAGAGAATTTAAAAACAGGAACAGACGAGAAAATATAAAAATCCTGGGGCGAAGGGGGCGGAGCTCAGCTCAATTAAAGGGAATTTTTCGAAGAATTTTAATGACATGATTAGGTGAAAAAGAGAGATATTTGTAGTGTCGGGTAAGAGAAGCAGACTGTTTTTGGGGAAACAATTGGAAAATGGATGGTCTTGAAGACCGGGCTCACTTGGTGAAGCAAAAAAAAGAACTGATGAGTTTTGGATAGGGTTTCCATTTGGGCGGGTGAAGAAGCGGGCTACCCGCTACCCACCCGGGGGGGGGGGGGCTCCCACCCGCGGCCCCCCGCATTTAAATGCGTGTGAATTTTAATAAAATTTTAAAAGATAATCACGTATGTTCCAAGAAAAACTGAGTTTCTCAAATCAAAAAACTACAAAAAAGATAATATTTTCCTCACGTAAATATTCGCGGGGGGTCAACGGGGGGGGGGCGCGGGGGGTGAGCCCCCCGGGTGGGTGCGGGCGGGTGAATCGCCCCCCAAATGGACACCCTAGTTTTGGAAACCGAAAATAAAAAAGATTGAGTGAAGAGAGAAGAAATAAAAACATGAAAGAAACAAGATAGAAAAGAAAATACAATTTGATGTCTAGAATTGGATTACAATCATATTTTGAGAGAATCTTTCATATACATATTGCATAATGCTCCCAGTTGTTCGGTAATTACGAAATTAGGAGGAGTCAAAAGGGGCGTGACTTGGGACTGCACAGGTTCCAAAGGAACTGTCGGTAGTAGTGTTTGGATGTAGGTGAGCAACAATTGGTTCTGTAGAAGCTGATGGATGTTTGGTGTCATTTGGGGATATACTGGAATTGGAGCAGCCAGAATTGGAGGGTTTGGGGTGAAGACGGGAGAAGATAAAGTTGGAGGTGACGGAGGTGGAGAAATCGATAGAGATGGAGACATGGTGTCAATGGTGAATGATGGAGATGGACTAGTAGATGTTCCTGAAATATTAATAATTGATTTCAATATTTTACGAATTCGCCAGATTGGCTAGTTTCTCACATTTCCCATAGGAATTGAGATGTTAAAAACCTTTAAAAAACATATATTTGAAAATTCGATTTTTTGAGCCACCCAGCTTATCGACCTCCCTGGTTTTCCGACCACCCATGTTTCACGCCTCCTAGTTTCTTAGACCTCCCATGTTAATTTACCTCCCAGGTTTTCAGACCTCCCATATTAGTGTACCACACATATATGTTTTAAATAGACCTCCCTGAAAGTTGACTCCGAAAATGCCAAAATGAACAGACCTGTTCTTTTCTGGTCCTCCGTTGTTACTACCATCATTATTCTATTCATATTTTCCATATTAATTGGTGTTGTTCCTCTGGGTTTTCTTCCTTTCTTTGTTTTAGGCTCTTTTCCATCTCGAGATTTCTGTTGGGATCTTCTTAACTTGATCTGTGCAGCCATCAACATGCGCCGGTTTTCCACGAGGGCACACTGAAATTCCAATATCATAACTTCTAATTCTAGTAATTTTAGCGCATCGATTGGTTCTTCCAACCTCCTATTTCTCAAATACAGTACTCTCTATTGCATATAATTTTCGTACGAAGGCGAGGACATTGAAAAAGCATAAAAACAGTAAATAGGGAAGGGAAATACAACGTTTCAAGGGCAACCGAGATTTAGATATCTGACAGGATAATTATAAACATTAAAATAATAAATTAAGAGAAAATGGAATAAACTTACCAGTGTGCAAGTACATGTGACAAACTGACACATGGTCCGTTTGTGTCCGCGAAGTGGGACGAGAACTCCGTGAGCGGAGCATCTAGCACAATGGGGATCTCGGACACGTTTGCCATTTAGAGTTTGAGTGTTGGGAGTGCATTGGACCTAAAAATACCAGTTTCATTTTATTACATATTATTAACAGCACCGGCCTATAAGACATATTTTAAAAACGTGATTTTCAGTTGATTTCTGGCCATTTTCTAGAGTCCGGAGCTCACCTATCGAATGCCCGACCACTTTGAAAATCTTGAAGGTTATGAAACAAACCTACACCCCCTTGAAAACTCTGCCATTACAGAATTTTTTTAAACTCTTTTTTTTTGCATATTTCTGAAGAACACCTGCTTTTTTCCCGTTTCAGCACAAAATCGGCCCAAAAAGGAGTGTCTTCAAGGAATCGAAAATGTAAGGAATTTCCAAAAATTCTGTGAATGCAAAGTTTTCAATCTAGGCATATTTTTTAATCTCCGAAATTTTCAAAGTGATCGGACACTAGACAACCGAGCTCCAGACTTCTGAAAATGGCTGAAATTAACTGAAAATCAAGTTTTTGTATATCTTATTAACCGATACTGTACTTAGTTCCTAATGACTACCCCTCAAAAATTGATTGCAACGGATTCGAGATACCGTAAACTTTCTCATAAAACCACCTAACTCCCACACACAGGGTTGCAACAGGGTACATGCATTCAAATTTTTAAACTTTGAGCCCATATATCTCGGTTTTTTCAAGAGATATAGGAAAGTTGGCAACTGACAATATGTTTATCATAAAATTGAAAATTTTTTGTCAGTGTACCATTTTTCGATATCTTCCACAGGAACCGAGATATATGATCTCAAAGTTGACAGCTTGATTGGCCTGCTATTAGAGTGTTTACGGTAATCAAGTTACCATTTACCTCTGATAACCATATCTTCCCTCGGTGTCCCTTCACAAAACTAAATCTTTCGAGAAATTGGGATTAGAACATTTTATCATTTTTGCAACACTGTCTCTTCTTTCTCACCCCTACTGATGACCTCTGTTTCAATTCGATGAGAGATAACATCATCACCTTCATCTTCTTCTCCACATTTTTTACTCAATCACAGAAAAATACTCCGACCACCCGTATTTCTTTTTTTTTTCTGCTTATTAGTGAGAAACGTTGTCTAACTGAGAAGGTCAAATCATGACGAAGAGAGTAGACGGAAGAAGGAGATGAAGTTGCGATTTGACAGACTGATAAATGAAGAACGCAAAAATGTATGAACTGGGGTGACTACTGTATAGACGGGCATTGGGACCGATCATCAGAAGTGCATCTGAACTTGTCCTCCCGCGCGAATCGTATGGAAACAGTTTTCGCAAAAGACGTTGTGAAAAACGTCACGTAATCGGGTGATAAGCTCAGTGATGAAATGGTTTTTAATAAGCGTGAAAAGAGAAAGAGATCAGGAAATGATTAAAGAATAGTGTAGATTTCTACAAATCCAAAAAAAACATACTAACCTTTTTCTTACTCAGAAGATTGTTTAACTGTCTCCGCTGTTCAACCATCTTGCATTCTGGACATGGACATTGGAGGTACCTGCCAAAAAATGAACTTGTTTACTGTTCAGTACCATTCGGTACCAATTGTACAGTATATATGGTTCCGCCCACACATTCCCCAAAAGAACTAAATTTGTTGTATGAGAAGTTTTGTATTCATGGAAAGAAGAGGTGGGAGGTTTTATGACATGGCATTTTTAATGGAGAAGATATGATAGTTTTGTATTATTGAAGAATATTTTGTATATTTGAAGAATAAACATAAAACAGGAAAACTGAGAGAGCTTAGTTCTCTTTTATTGTAAAGTTTATCATTTACGTTCTTCTTCAATTGTTCTTCTATGTTACAGTACCCGACCTTTCTCCCAGAATTTAAAATTCGAATATAAAACCCTATACAAAGACACCGTAAAATCTGTCTCATGTTCTCCATCGATTAAAGCGTTCGAAGCCAAAAAAAACACAGTTGACCTTGTCGATTTTAGAAAAAAGCAAGAAAACGACCACCCGGTAGAAGGGAGAATAAAAGAGGTATTCTTATTTCCAAATTGTTATTATATGGATGGAGGAGGTCAAATTATTATATGGTAGAAAACCCGAGAGAAAGAGA